CGCAGCCTCTTCAAGGTTGAATATATTCAGGATTTTATCTTTGCCAGCTTCACCAGCAACTTAGTAGACCTTGTTGGACTCTCCTAATAGAAATTTAGCCAAATCAAGCAGTGTTGCTATCTGGCTCTCTACTAAGCAACAGATCTGTTCAATAATGTAGCTATGGTTGAATTTAGCAGTCTTTGGGATTTTCACAGCTTTCTGTCTGATCTCTGTAATATGGTGTGCCGAATCAATGTCAACCTTGAAGACATATCCAGAACACACATCTAACTTTCTGAGGCTCTTGTCAGAGGGTAGCCAGGCTCCCATGCAGGTGAGAATAATTTTTTGGCCCCCAGTTTCACTTTTAATAAGTTCAATGAGCTGCGCTCCTGTTAAACTGTCTTGGACCTGTCCAGAGAAGTCAATAATTGGGCCAACATGATGAACAAGAATAAAGAAGCAGATATTTAGAGAAATCTCCCAGTTGTCTGAGAACTTGAGGCAAATATCAACATCCATATTTGAGGCACTGATGGAGATAATATCAAACAATTCCAGTAATTGGTCAGGCCTATATGAGGACTACCTAAAAGCTGGTTTTGGAAGTCAGATAGGGCAGCTGTGACATGCTGGGCCACATAGCAGACATATCAAGTCAGATGTAATGGACAAAGAGATGTATAAATGGAATGAAATAAGACCTGCAAGGAAAAAAGAGGTTTTGCAAGGAAGCTTGTCAGTTTCAGAATCAGGTTCTGCCTGTGTTAGTCCTAATCAGAATGCACATGACACATGTGACATAACTACACCTGCCAAAGTTGAGCAGATTGTTTCTGAGATTGTGTCCTGGATCTCAGTGCTGTTGTCATGGGCCTTAATGCTAGTGTCAGCAGTCCAACTCCTTCCTGATATAGACTAGTATATCTTAGTCATAAAGTAGATAGTACAGAGTAGCGCGGTTATGGGATACAAAGGGCTCTAAGGTGCGCGCAAAGGAATTGAATGGAAGGGTAAATGTGCATATAATATAGCCTTAGCACACAGAGCTAGCTGCTGGTGGTATTTATAAGACCCTGGCAGTTAGGAGAACATCTATGAGTAATGTTAGATAATGTAATTCACGGCTGAGCGGCACACCCACCCCCATTAGAGGATTTCAAGATCAATTATCTCAACCAACACCTATTAATTCAACTAAATATAGTGATTTTTACATGTATTGATCCTGTGGCCAATCTCCCTACACCCACTACACCTAGGTGGAGCCCTGGTGGCAGGCTGATCTGCCTGAATAGGCAGTTTGCCTTGTATATAAGAATCTACTGTAGGTGCTTCTGCTGACAAATCAAGCTACAGTGGCACCTAATAGTTAAGTCTGATGCTGCTTTTTATATAGATTGAATCTGATTTTTTTTAAAGCTTGGATTGTTAATAGGATTCTGCCCTCTTGCTCAGCACATTTTTTTGATGATTTAGGCTTTTTTAGTGGCATGGTGGATGTTCAAATAATATTGATTTTGATGGAGTGGAAGAAGCTCGTAGGGTGGCCGGATCGATCGGTGGCCAGGTCGATAGGGAATTACGTTATCTGTTTAGTTGACTAAATATACTTCTTTACCACCTTCTTATTTACTGCGTGTAGATCCACATTTTCTTATATTAGAAATATAGTGTTATATAATGCTATGCAGTGGCCCTTGATAATCTGATCTAATATGGTTTTTAATAAGCTTTGTTGTGGAATATGCATGTAACTCAGGGAAGAAGGGCAGAACGAAGCTGTATTGACTACACGTACATAGCCTACTAAGGAACGGATGCCATTATATTCTGTGTCTCTCTCTCTCTCTCTCTACATATAATCAGGGGCTCGGATTCTCAGGGGTTGGAGAGGGAGCCAAGCCGCCATACCACGTGACCTTTTCCATACAGTGTGTGATCACCTGACGCCCGGTACTAGCTGCCGCCCGATTTCCCCTCACTGACTATTTTTTGACTCAACTTCAACCTCCTATATCTCAACTAATATATCTTCAATTAAGCTTGTGATACAAGAAATCGAATTGCTAGAACCAGGTGATTCAATTAATTATACTAAAATTGCAAAAGAATTTGGCATTAGCTGATCAATATTATTAAGGCACCACCATAGGGTACAGGGCATGAGAGACCACCAATATGAGCAGCAGCAAGTTCTTACCACCCACTATGAAAAATAACTAATAAACTATATTAATAAGCTTATTAAGAGAGGCCTTTTTATATCTTATAAAATATTTCATAATTTTGCAAAAGAAATTACTATTATAAAGCTTAAAATATATTAGCTTAAGTACTTTATTAAGTGCTATTAAGATAATCTTATTTTAACTTACACAACTGCAATTGATGCTGTGTGAAAATAAGCTAATTCTATATATAAATATACTTTATATTTTGAGCTGCTGAGCTGGAAGATAAAGAAATATAAGCTACAGGTGGAGGATATCTATAATATAGATGAGAAGGGTTTTCTTATTAAGATACTAGTTAAAGGTCTTAAGATCTTTTTAAAATAGAAATATATAATTAACAGTTTTAAACAACACTTATAAGACAGCAATTGTGAGTGGATAATTTTAATTATTTATATTTATATTAACAGAACTACCCTCTTACTAGGCCTTATTTATTAAGCTATTAATAGGAATATATAGGATTCTTAGCTTTAAGATTTTGATCCTAAACTCTATATTTGCTTCTTTACCTCCTCACCTGGCAGTTGGACCAATGACAATCTTAGATATAGATGGTTGACAGATATATTTGACTGTAAGACTAAAAATAAGATATAAAGGTAATAAAGGCTTCTAATCCTTAATAGCTACAGATCTTATATTATAATAAAGTTTATTAAATATTGCAATAATAATAAGATCTTTTTAATAATTTATTTATTTTATTTAACTTATTTACTGTAGTTATTTAATATTAAGATTTTTAGCCCTCTCTCTATTACTTATAGCAAGAATCTTAAAGATTTTTTATATAAATTAATAAGCCTTACTTATATTACTAAATAAGACTTTTTTTATCTTTTTTAGCTAGTCTAAGAGTAAGCTTTATTGTGAAAGAATATCTTTTCTTTATTTAAAACTATAGAAATATTGCCACTGGATCTAGAGATTATTTTAATAAGATTTACTAAGAATAAAGACTCTTAGTTATCTTTAAATAACTTTTTATGCTTAGTCCTACAGGCAGAGGATTAGAGGAGGATTAAAAAGCTTCTAAATTATATTGTCACTGATATATATAATAAAAATATTAAGAAGTTAAGTGCCATAATATATTATTCTTTTATAAAGCAGTTTTCTTATTATAAATGCCTACTTTTCTAGCTGTCTAGCAATATAAGGTATTTTGGATGCTAGATCTGTTGATTAACTATCTAATAATATAGGGGTCTTTAGCTGGATATCCAACTAATTAAGCACCCTATCTAGATTAAATAGAACTAGGCCAGCACTTATAAAGCTATTTTAAATGATTTCTGCTTAAAAAGCACTGTTATAAGCTTGTAGAAAGGCCTCTAGAAAATTAAATTTATTAATATAATTAATTCTTAAGCATACTTTCTGCTCCACTAAACTCCTATATATCTTTTTTAAAGATGAAAAGCAGCTTATATCCAAAGATTAAAGCTTGTAAGAAGAATATGCAGGCATATAAATAAAAATAATATTATTTTTATTATATATTTAATTAAATTAAGGTGTAAGATAGCTGTCATGGTTATTAGGAATTAAAAGATAATATTTCTTAATTATATAATTAAAAATAATAAAAATAAAGAGATTTTTAAACTAGTGAAGGCCTATCTTATTAGTAATCTATTTATTAATACTAACTTTAATCTTATTATTATATGGGAGCTTAAAATCTTGATATTAACCCTCTATATAGACCTTCCCTTTAAAGATAATGCATAGGGGAAGTATTTAACTAGTAGAGTTAATATATTTAATTAAAATAATTTATTCACAATTATTTAACTATATAAGAGGCCTTCTTATAATAATTAACTCTAGTAGCTACTCATATAATAATTATTAGACTTATAATAAAATTAATCTTATTAAAATTATAGATATCCTCCTGTGTGATCCCATATTATATTATAATAATCTATATATAATTAAACCACCCTTTAATAACTTTAAAATCTTCACATTTAGCATATCAATAATCATATTATCTTGAGAAGTGTGTTTTTAACTGATCTTATTAATTAATAAAGTTATATACCTATTTCTCTCTAACAGATTGAATTAGTATAATATCACACTAAGTAAGTAGGATATTAGTCATTTCTTATACATGTAAAGGTTGGGGAGGTGCTTCACGTTGATCCAGTGAGAGAATTTATCATATAAGTGATTCCTCTTCATTTTGAATTATCTTATGGTTGTTGACACATTTTTCTGCTCAAAAAATATGGCTATTTAGTCATCTTTGAAGTATTATATATAGAATATTATAAACATATGCTGCTTCTGCAATACTGCAGATTTCTTGTTTTTTTAAAGCAGATATAGTAAGTAGGACCCTTCCCTCTTGCTCTATTAAATCTTTTAAAATTTGATGTGCTTTTGGAGGCATGGTTGGTGGTTGAAATGAGTGAGGTTTTTGACCACAGTCAAAATGCGGAGAGGTGGCCGCTCGCTTACCGGATATGTTATATGGACTACCATATTAGCTAGGCCTAACAGTCTAGGCCAGGTCCATCTATTAAAGATAGAAGGTTGATTCTCGCTGTGCCACTACGTATCTTGATAATCTAAACCCCAAACTAGATCAGGATCAGACCAGTGACCAATTTCACATGAAATTAGGCCAAGGGCAAGCAGTGGTGGCCAGTGTAGCTAAGTCCAAATCAAACCTACCTCTGGTAATCACTACTGTAAGGGCTGGATGGCGGTGACGGCGTGAAGAGGTAATCGATTTACGGATAATGCTAAGTGCGATAGCATGGAGGAAAACGTAGGGACCTTATTGCTTAAGAACTAATCGCTGACTTCGCTATGGTGTTGCGGAGTTCAGCTCCCTAAGTGATAAGTACACATGATCTTGTTTGGCCTAAGGCTGCTGCTTTGCGGCCTTACAACTACCCTGCCTAGTTTTTCAGCTAGACACCTGACTGAACACCTTGATATTTGGAAAGATATTATTGTTACAGTGGCTGTTCTGTCATGTCCAGCATGATATATACGAGAGAGCAGTGTAGAGCCTCCGGCTCTACAGCCTAGTCTTTTGCTAGTGCAGCGGTTAAGCTTCTGAATGCTCCCGGAGGTCACATCGTGACACCCTACATAGACGTGGGGATAAGTGGAATTAGGGTTTATTAGGATGGTAGGCGTCCATTGATTATCTACCAACCCATATATCCACTGTCCATATCATAATGGAGTGTTGGCATAGCCAGCTTTGCCATCATTTTTTGGCCATGCATCATCATGTTCAGATGCTGACTGAGCCAGTATACTACCCCTTCGAGCCCTCTCATGGACAATTCCCGGGAAGATTTTCTGTTCCGGTAAAATACCGGTTCCAGCTCCAGTGGTCCCAACAGATCCATTGCTGCTAACAGATGTGCCAAATTCGACCCCACCAGTCTGGAGCGGCAGTGTATTAGAATTTGACAGAGTAGCTCCAAAGAAAGCTGGCTGGGTATTCTGGATGTTCAAAGCATCACTGGGAGAAATGAAGCCTCGTTCTGGGGATTGCAATTGAGACAGCAAAGAATTGGGTGAGGTCTGGGTGTTGTAACCCAGTGCGGTGCCAGTAAGGGAAGTTGGTGAAGACTGAACCTGCGGCGCACCTTCTAGAGAATAGGAATGAGCTCAATTGTCATTCCCAACCATGCCCTAGAGCAGGCACATACCTTGGTTTGGCGAATTTAAATTCCCAGATAACGAAGGAGACTGGGGTAATTTATGCCGCTGACCTGGCGAACTGATCGTTGCAGAATCGGGCTTAGGAGCGTATCTTTCAATCCTTGGTTAATGTTAGTTTCTTCCGGTAACACCACTACATAGCGCTTATTGTATACGCAGACAGAGTATAGTAACAAGGAAAGGAGGGTTCAGAAGGGTGAAAAAATCACGTACAGGGACAGCTCTCCCAGCAACGTCTCATATCTGAATGCTTCACGGATGTCCGGCACATTACTTTTCGCAACACTATTGCCAGCGACTCCAGGGAGATGACAGTTGTCGCCCAACCATCTCCTCTTCAAAGAGAGTTCAAACCCACTTTGGTCGACGGAATGCTTAGCGAGCTCACACATATCCACTGCGCTGAATTTATATATCTGCGCCGCCACTGAATATTCTTCAATTAATGGCTCCTTGGTAAATGCAAACTGAAGGGGATCATCCGTTGACAGAGACACATTCAGCCCCCGTTTGAAAAAACTTGCGAACGGGTTCTTGTCGTATGTGAGGAAAAGGGCGTTGTTGCTCAGTGGGGACATGGCAATGCCAATTTGGTCAAGATAGTATAAATATTGTAGTAGAGGGACTTTTCGGAGTAGAATTCCATGACTGATGCTGTGGCAGCAAAGGAAACCGACTGCCAGGTGGTCAGGGTCACCAGCCTCTCCACAATGAGGTCTTAGAACGAAAGTGTTGAAGCCGCGTTTTTTGCGCCAGTGGTTGAGCGAAGCTATGTTCGCAAACATGAAGTAAATCCAATAACTATAAGGCGGGTTTTGTTTCGTATTCCAATCTCTTGGAACAGGATATTTTCTGTAGAATCGACGCTCTGCCTTGCTTTCGTCATCGACACTGTCGAACCCAACGACGCGCTGTAAAAAGATGTGTAGTTTTGGGTGGCTAGAAGGTCTCCTCGTCACCTCAAATAAGGGCTTAAATACGTTGGTTATCACTTGTTCAAAATTTTCCATCATGCCACTTGACTTGTACACGTCGTAGAGACGAGGTATTTGGATGAGCCACCGGATGTTTGGGGAAAACAGCTTATTGTCCACAACCCAAGCCGCAAGCTTGTCCCACTCTTGAATTGACCTTCCGTATATCGAAATGCGCCATTCTGCCATTTGGTATTTGCTGGATTCCAGGTCTGAAATGACTTCCTTTGTTATCTCAGCCAAGTAGCGTCCTTTGATGTAATTGTCTGTCTTCAGAAAAATCTCGCGCAACCGTGACTCTCCAACAGGATTATACTTCAGGTTAAACTTGTCAAATCGATGGAAGGAATCCGTGTGTGCCTGAGTGCTTTAGTAGGAAGGACCGGCGAAGACAGGGATGTTCCGTACTTACATGCATATCGAGCGTATCGATGCTCAAGTCATAAGCAGTCAAGTTGATACTCTCAAAAACCTCTCTTAGTGTCAGATGCTTACCGTCTCTAAATAGAACAACTTCATCCGGCGATTTCTTCATTTTGCTCTTGATGAACCGGAGTAGATGTTTTTGGTTCATACAGGCTGAGTGATGAACATGAGTGTCAACCTTCCGAACGTTATAAAAGTCCCTGTGAGGAACTTTTTTGCTGTCCGCAATCTCCTGGTATTCATTGAGCAGGGTATAGAGCTGGAACTTGCCCTCTAGGTAAGAAAGGCGTTTGAAGGCATAGCTTTTGGCGGGCCCATCGGTAGATACTTCTACAACAGCGTCAAGATCCATGTAGAAATCCCTCAGCGACGGAATTTGAAAGATGGGCTCGTGCAACTCCGCAGCCTTCTCATTTTCGTAGACTTGATAGATGCTATTCCCGTCTAGCTTGAAAACCCAGTTGGAGTCTTCGGGAAGAGGCATACATTCTGATATGTCAAAGTCTTCACCGATATCCTGGCCCATTTTTCTCTTCTTGCGCTGCTCGGAGGAAAGGCTGCTCGCCGTGCCGGTGAGGTATTCCTTGCCTTCATCCCAAGCAGGCTCAGGAGGTGGAGGGTAAATCTTCCATTGAGGATGATCCCTTGGATTATCTCCTGGTCCCTGCGATGAAAGTCGGATGTACTGTGACCGTCTCGCCAAGAGACCCTGTATCTTGCGATAAATGATAGCTAGCTCGGATGTGATTGCCGCATCACTTCTTGCAATACTTCCAGGGCCCTGGGGAGCATTAGTTACGGTACCGGCTCCCACTATACCTCCTGTATCCGACAGATAAGGGCTTTGCTCATGAGGGACCGCATGATAAGCCGCTTGATCTCTAGCCGATAGATCTGTGGCAAGAAAATTGTCACGGGAACCGGAGAGACCAGGTATCGATTCGTGTAAATTTGTAGATGCGGAATTTAGGCAAGGTGTAAGGCCTGTGGTCGATGCATCATAGGAGAGCCTGTTTGGGTAAGGCTCAGCATCATTGTCTGGGATATCATCTTTCTGCTCACGATGATGTTCATGGCCCACAGAACAGGTGGCAGGCATCTGGCTTTGTGAAGGCACGCTGTCAGCGTTCTGCGAGGCTAGCTGGTGATGCCGGTAGAAAAGCTTTGCTTCTGCGTGGCTCATTGATTTTTCGTAGGCATAATCGTAGGTGGGAGTCTTATGTTGCATATCCCTTGCTAGTATCTCTTCCGATGATTCCTTTTTCGATGTCGTCTCAGAGTCGCCACGTTGGATATCTTCTACTCTGTCTCCACTAGAGACAGTCATGGACCTGCGATGCCTTCTTTGCTGGGGGTGCTCATGTTCAGATAAGGCCTGAGAGGTATTGCCGTTACCTTTGACACTGTCCAGATCCGGGGGCTCAGATCCCATTATGCAAATGTACAGAGAAAACCGAAGGGGGAAGGAAACAGGAAAGAAGACTATAGGCACTTGTACCAGTCCAATGTATCGTCACACTGTAATAGGTAAAAGCTACCTAGTGAGGGTGCACAACCCTGAAACAGACACACAGGAAGAAATTGGTTTTTCTTCTGTTTTCGGTACAAAGTACTTGCACCAATTATATTGGCTGGTGGAACATGGACAAGGTATGTATAATCTGAAGAATTTTGTGATTAGAAAGACAATAATCGTACAGTGTGGAAAAAAGCAGTTGTCTATCTATGCTGCACCATCAGTGATCCACAGCGTAATATGACAGTGTACGTGTACAGAAAGGTCTATGGCCCACACAAATAGCGATATTCTTTGTAGGCTGTGTCTACTACCCAGGACAATTGGCGTGCATGAGATCCTTCCAGGCTTATGAGATCAATTCTATTTCTTCTTGTTTATTTAACTCTCTGGACTTGATATTCTATGGATATTACTGATCTGTATGAAAACCACTAGGTATCCTGTTGAAACTACCTTAGGTACTCCGTATAGCATACCGTCCTTCATGCCTGATGACTAACCCCACCTGACGACTGATATTTCTTCAAAACACGAAAAATCGCGAATATTTCAAACCATGATAAATCAACCAATATGGCTTCAATTAAGCTCACACTTGCAGTGTTACATTCTGTGGATTCTGAAGAAAAGCCCAATATCAGTTTAGTTGCAAGAATATACAGTGTTAATTAATCAACCCTTTCTAAATATTTTTTACAGTATTATAGGCTTAAAAAAAGAGCAATATAATAAGTAATAATTACTTAACAATATGCAATTGAGAGTGCTTATAAAATAGATAAATCAACTCACTAAGCAAGGCCTACCACTTATGAATTCAACGTTGGTTAACTTTGCAAGAGAAATATCTGGTAAAAAGTCTAGGAAAAACTGGGCTTCACACTAGATCAAAGTTTATTTAGATAAAGTGATTTCTTGCTCTTCTGCAGGCCTTGATTTAGATAGAAAAAAGGTAGATTCAGTATTCAAATACACTTTATATTTTAAGCTTATTGGACAGAAAATAAAGTAATACAACCTTAGCCTAAAATAAATTTACAATATGGATGAGAAGGGCTTTATGCTTAGAGTAAGTATAAAACAAAAAAAAAAAAAATTTATTTAGTGTAAATATAAGCAAGAAAAATATAAGCAGTATCTTTAGGACAGCAATTAAGAATAAATAATTACAATTAGCTATATTTATGCCAATGAAACTGCTTTAGCACCTAAGTCTTATTTATATAATAAAATTAGGCCTTATCTAGGATTCTTAGCTTTAAGATTATGAACCCCAAATATAGAGATGCTTTTTTGCAGCCTTAGAGTCAGGATAGATTAATAATAATATCAGACATTGTTGGTTGGTGGATATTTTTGATAAAGAAACAAAATATTAAATAAGCTAGGAATAATACCTTCTTATCTTTAATAAATATAGATCCCACATTATAATAAAGTTTATTGAATATTATAATTTAAATAAAATATTATTAATAATATTTTTAATATATGCAATGCATACTTTACAGCCTTTTAATATCGCTATTTTCTTATCTTTTTCTAATACTTATATAAAATAATTAGAATTTTATATAGGATAGTCAAGGGTTCACTTAACTCACTAAATATGACTTTTTGGCTTTTTTAGCCTAATTAGAATAAGGTTTTTATAAGAAAGAATATTAACTCAGTATTTAAGTATACCAGTCTATATCTTTTTAATCCAGAGGTTATTATATAAAACTTTAGTAAGAAAATTGCAAGTTAGCTATTATTATGTGAATCTATGGCTTTAATTATTTCTACTAAAAATTAGAAGTAGCTTAAGAAGCTTATTAAAATAATTATTATAAATATTTATAAATAAAAAGTTATATAGCTTAAAGATACAATACTTTATTTTTTACTAAGAATATCTTAGGAATGAATAAGAATAAAGGCCTAAAAAGAGCTTTTATAATGTAAAAAAGCATAAAAATAAGAAAAAGCCTTTATTATTAGATTTACCTTCAGAATAAGACAGTGGAGCCTTTTTTAAAAGTCTTATAAAGATTTAGTAAGCTTGTGATATTGTTTTTTAAAAGAATAACAATGTCAAGGTGCGGGCTTGCAGGTAGTCAAAAACAGATTGATTAAGTAGTCGATACTCAGATTAGCTACAGGATCTCTATCTATCAGGTTCTAACTGCAGGACAGGCTGGTGCAGGCAGGCTCAATAGACAAGACATAGCTCAAAGAGCTTCAGTCAGGATCTAACTGTGCAGTGAAGATATTTACTAGACCACGTGACTTCTCATGTGACTCCTTACTGGAGTCTCCTGCTTCTGTCCACGGTAGCACCGTGACAAACAAAGCCACACAGAAGCAGGCTTATAAAGATAATAAAAAGCTTTAATAATAGCTTAAAAAGTAGGCTAAAGAGGCTGAAAAAGCTAGAAATACTCAAATCTGATAAGAAAAATATGAACAACACTAATAAGAGACTGCAGAAAAGCAATACCTTAAAGATAAATAAGAATTAGCTAAGCTAGCTGATTTACAGCTTCAAAATAATATTATAGCAATTTTTAAGGCTTTAAAAAGACTTAAAAAGCAGATTTCTAAGTAAGCAAAGCCAAAAGCACAGCCTAAGGCTTATTTGGAGGATAATAGGGTGGTTGTTATTATGAATTATAGGGGCTGCATGATATGGCCCCCTGTGTGTTTTTAGTACTAATTTTTATGCTTATTTATTTTCTTATATCTCATTTAATGCTACACTAGAAATTTATTATATTTAATTATTATGTGGTGTTGTAAAGCTTCAAAATATTCTGTATAGTAAGCTGTTGAAATCAGTCATCAGGTGGGGTTAGTCATCAGGCGGTGAGTGACAGTATTCCTATGATGCAGTGCAATGCAACCTGCTATTCAATAGTGATAAATGAGTGGCTATCTACTCACTATTAATTAAGAATCGGAAATGAGCAACTAGACTAGACTAGCCCCAATTTCGGTCACCTTGCAGGAAAATAACCTCAATATTTGAAGGCACTAGCTAACGTATTTCCCGGTCAAGCGGGCCACCTCCTGCTAATTCCTGCCCGCGGGCTAAATACTAGAGCCTCTACCAGCCAAACAATTGCATTTTTATATAAAAACTAATTGCAAGGGGATTAGGACATCTAACTCTAGTATGTCCCTGAATATGACAATTAGAACACTGTGGTGGAGCTTATATGCATGATCCAATTGCAGAAAGTGCTGAATCTATAGGAAGTGTATCTTGACCTTCAACAACCTCATCCTTATACTGAAATCACTCTAAACCTTCCTGAATTACTGAGCCTTCTGGAATAGCTAGTGTCACAGAACTCAACTAGACGATGAATGGGATGCTATTCAACTATCTAGGCAGCTATCGACGAGAACTTCAAGCATGGAGAGGAGGGAAAAGGGAAGAGATCTACGTGAAGCTGGACGACGTATTCCTATCCACGCGCCACGCTAATCCAAATAAGGATACTCACGTGCTCGTCCTGGTCTACATGGCAAGGGCCCTGACAGCTAGCTGCCTAGTAAGGTATTTTTGCTTTTGACCTTTCTATTCATTATTAGTATGAAATTTGCATATTTCTTCACATGCAAAAATAATCATCAATTCATAAACTTTAATAATATTATCTAATTACAATTTTAGCAAAAGTAAAAGACTATAGATATATTTCTTAAGCAGTTTCTCTACAGCTAATGCCTGCTTCTCCAGCTATCTAATAGTATATGATATTTTAAGTACTGAATTAGTTGACTGACTAGGTGATAATATAGGGGTCTTTAGTTCGATATTTAATTTGCTAAACACCTTATCTAAATTAAATAGAACTAGTCCAGCATCTGCAAAGCTATTTTAAATAGTTTCTATTTGAAAAGCATATTCACAAGCATGTGGAAAGGCCTCTAAGAAATCAAGCTTATTAATATGATTGATTTTTAAGTGTGCTTTCTGCTTCACCAAGATTTTATATGCCTTTTTTAAAGGCGCAAAACGGCCCACATCCAAAGATTGAAGCTTATGGGAAGAATAAACAGGCATACAGATGGAAATAATATTATTCTTATTATATGTCTGATTAAATTAGGGTGTAAGATAGCTGCTATAGCTATCTATGACTAGAAAATAATATTTCCTAGTTATATAACTAAAAGTAGTAGGAATAAAGAGATTTTTTAAGCTAGTGAAGGCTTATCTTATCAGAAGTCCATCTATTAAGACTAACTTTAATTTTGCTATTATGTGGGAGCTTGAAATCTTGATACCAGCCCTCTATATAGACCTTCCCCTTGAAGATAATGCATGGAGGAAGCACCTAATCAGTAGAGGTTGATACACTTAATTGAAGTAACCCATTCCCAGTTATCTGGCTATATAAGAGAGGCTTTTCCATAATAATTAACTCTAATAACTACTTAAGCAGTAGTTACTATGCCTATAGCAAAGCTAGTCTTATTAAAGTTGTAAATATCCTCCTGTACAATCCCATGTTATATTATAATAATTCATATATGATTAAATCACTTTTTGATAGTTTTAGGATCTTCACATTTCACTTATTAATAATTATAATATTGAGAATAGTGTATTTTCATCTCATCATACTGTTTAATAAAGCTAGAGACCCAATTCTTTTTAATTGATTGTGATATGGAAAGGTCACGTGGTATGGCGGCTTGGCTCCCTCTCCGACCCCTGAGAATTCGAGCCCCTGATTATATGTAGAGGCAGAGAGAGGTAGAGGGAGAGAGACAGAATAGAATGGCATCCGTTCCTTAGTAGGCTACGTACGTGTAGTCGATACAGCTTCGTTCTGCCCTTCTTCCCTGAGTTACATGCATATTCCACAACAGATTGGATAGATGTTGTACCACACTTTGTAAAAAGAATATTAGCTATTTCTTGTATTTAGGATGGTCAGGGGCCTGCTCCACATTGATCTAGTGATAGAATCCATTATATAAGCGATTCCTCTTCATTTTGAGTCAATTTATGGCCATTGGCGCGTGTTTCTGCGCATAAAGTGATTCCATTAAGTTGTCACTGGAGGGTTGTATAAGAGATATTATAAGCATGTGCTGCTTTATGAATATTGCAAATTTCCTGCTTTTCTAAAACAGAAATAGCAAGTAAGATCTTTCCCTCTTTCTCAGCTGAATTTCTTGAATTTTGACGCACTTTTGGAGGCATGGTTGGTGGTTGAATTAGTTGAAGCAGTAAAACGCGTAGAAATTTGATGAGGTGGCCCGCTCGACCGGGAAATACGTTAGTTATAAATCTTTGTCATACATCAGCAAATTTCACATGGACTGGTTATTTTATAATATTATCTTTAGGGAACCAGTCATATTTAAGCCTGGGTCAAGGTGATATGGAAAAAGGTCACGTGGTATGGCGGCTTGGCTCCCTCTCCAACCCCTGAGAATCCGAGCCCCTGATTGTGTGTAGAAGAGATAGAGAGATAAGATCTGAATAGCATCCGTTCCTTAGTAGGCTACGTACGTGTAGTCGATACAGCTTCATTCTGCCCTTCTTCCCTGAGTTACATGCATATTCCACAACACAAGGTAATGCTTGTTTAAACATATGAGCACCCATATGATAACCAGACTGTTAATGCCCCAGAGCCCAGAAGATGTTACAAATTAACTTAGGCCGCTATGATACCTAGGTACACGTTTATATGGAAAAAAAATGGCCTCTTATATAACATAACAAGAGGTTAGGCATTGCAACTTGGTCGGAACCATTTTGCATCACCATATAAGACCCCAACTGAAATCGAAACTGAAATTGCATCCTTAACTTCTTTCCATAGTGAATGGAACGGCTATGCAAGACAGGCGAATATATATATCAACAACTCTAGTCAATGAATACTGCAGCCTGTTCTCCCCCATACACAAAATGGCGACAATTTATTATATATGTCAAACAGAAGGATATGGGATTACGGAAGAAAGAGGAGATGGATATCAGGACAATAATTGTTGGGTGTTGAATTGTTATACACTATTGTTTTAGTTCAACTGTACTCTGAAACTGAAGTCAGATTCTGCTAGAGGTTCTCTTGCAACACAGAAGCGGTAGAGGGCTGATATGAAAACAGCAGGGAAATGCCCGTAGTATGTAGACTACAGAGAAGCATCTAATATTTTATAAATTCTTATGGTCCATGGCTTCATTATTATTCTGGGCACGGCAGGCCGATGAGGGTGCAACTGCTGACGTATAGAAACTAAGCCACGAAACTCCACCCGTCCTGTTGATTGCTGCTGCCTCGCAACTCCCCTCGTAATTCCATTCCAACTGTCGTTCTATGCCATTACGTGGTCTTTGCCTGCCAGAAGGGAGTCCTCTCCTCAACTCATGCCCACTTTATCTCTTGAATTATTGTGAAACCATATTGTTGTAACTTCTTTTCTGTCATCGGTAATTCCCCTTTCAACCTCATTAACCGTCGCGTCGTACATGACATTGCATGTTTATATGCCATACTAAGTTAACTCTAATTTTCAAGATTTACATGTCCCTTTGCTGTTCCATATTATACAAAATCAAGTTTGCGGCTTCTTAATACCGCCAACGGATACGCATCTCCGCCATGGCTTCCCTTAATCTTTCATCCGATGGGCCATCGATATCGAAGAGCTACCAGGCAGTGGTGAATGCGCCGCCTCCATCAGGCCCCGCCGTGGACTCCTCAACTTATGGTCAATGGGCTGTTTTTTCTGTTTCCACGCCGCTTGTCAACGTTTTCCAACAGAGTTCTGGCAACAAAGAAAGTGTTCTGAAGGTTCAAAGCACTGGAGGTCAGTCTCATTTTTCTGCTAATATTCTTGGGTCAAGACCTGATGGAATTTGATTAGATGGAGAGCTGGCCGATCTCATTGATGAGTTCTCGGAGGGCAAGGTCCAATTCGCCTACGTCAAGGTCAGGGATCCCAATACGGGGCTCCCAAAAAACGTGTTAATTGCATGGTGTGGAGAGGGTGTTCCTGAACGTACTAAGGGGTATTTTACTAGCCATCTGGCTACCGTCTCAAAGTTCCTACATGTTAGGCTTAGATCGCCCTAAATAGGAAATTACCCCAGTGCCACTAACATGGAACTCCAGGGTTATCATGTCCAAGTTACCGCACGTTCTGACGGAGATTTGACACCTGAAGGCATCATTCAGAAGGTTGCCGATTCTTCTGGTTCTAAGTACTCATCCGGGCTTGAACAACATTCAACAGCTGCTGCTCCTAGCCCCCCAACATCCAGCAAGCCTGTTTTTACGCCTACGCGGACGACCGGAGGGGTCAAACCTCCTGCACCGATACCAAACATGACCAAACCAATGGCTTTTAAGCAAGATGATGTTGATGACAATGGATGGGGACCAGATGCTCCACCGATTACCAGAACCGGGCTAGAAAAGGTACAGCCAGCTTATAAGCCCACAAAGGTGGACTTGCGGGAACTCAGGTCGGCAAAGCAACCCGTCACGGAAACTAAGTTTGACCGTGCCAATGAAAATCGGGATGACATCGTCAAAGGGGGTTATCGCCCCATTGGGAAAGTAGACATTGCGGCCATACGGAGGCAAGCCCTTGAAGCCGGAGAGCTTAAGGATGAACGTCCAGAACCGGTAAAAGGTGCATATCAGCCGGTCGGCAAAGTTGATATTGCTGCAATTCGCTCAAGGGCTCAGACGCCAGACGACGCCGCTCCGAGTGGAGCAAAACAGCCCCAGGTCGCTGATAGGCCGCCTACAGTTTCTGAACGATCTGCTTTGTTCAGTACTTCTGAGCGTCTGACGAGTCTTCCGAAGCCGAAAGTTTCAAATAAATTCGCCGGAAGTATGCCTTTCACGGGAACAAAACCCCCTCTTCCCGGCGAATCCGCCCCCAAACCCGCGGCAGCTACTGTGCGAATTGGCGGTGCAAGCAGGACTTTCGCGGACGAAGGGGGTAAGACACCTGCACAGCTATGGGCGGAAAGGAAAGCGAAGGAATGGGGGCCTGGCGGCTCTCCAACCTTATCTACGACTTCCGTGTCGGAGCCCCCAATTCCGAGTCAACTCAGTGGCAATGGGGAATGGAAGAGCTCGTACACCGGCAAGCATTGGGAGCCAGTGCAGACGACACATACCGGCAAGTCTTTTAGCAGTAATGCATCCCAGAAACTCGAAGATGTGAGCACCGGCGAGAAGTTGGATGAAGAAAGCCTGCCTCATCAGAGCGTCAGTGCGTTGCGTGAACAGTTCGCACATGGAACGGCCAAGGAACCATCAAAGTTAGGGAAGATTATCAATGCTCCAAGCACTGGACACAGTATACCGATACCTGGTCTCCCATCAGGACCTACGGAGCCAGAGTACGAGTCCGACTCCAAGCAGGTCGTCCCTAGCCCGCCGGAGCAGCCAAGGTCACCAACTCCCCCTACGCCCCATGTCCGCGAAACTTCGCCAATCCGTGTAGCAGTGCCTGTTAGCCGAGGGGTCGCGGATGCGCATGATGAGCAGTATTCACCACCTGCGGCCCTGCCTGTTCAAGGTCTCCAACAAGCAATCCCTGACGAGAATGTTCTTGAGGATGCTCCTCATGATATAGGCCGTGCAACTGCCGAGGCTACCGTTGGCGCTGGCCAACGTGTAGGCCAAGGTGGCGCCATTCGAGCCGTCGTGCAATATGATTACGAAAGGGCAGAAGATAATGAGATTGAACTAAGAGAAGGAGAATATGTGACTGAAATCGAGATGGTGGACAGGGATTGGTGGCTTGGTGTAAACACCAATGGCGAAAGAGGCCTCTTCCCGAGTAATTATGTCGAAGTCATCGAGAATGATCAACCAGAACAACCAACATCCACCGCTGTGGCTCATGAACCCGAACCAGCTTCACCTGTTCCTGTGGCCGAGCAGTCTGAAATTTCAGCTCCAGGCACCGCTCCTAAATCTGGAGCCCCTACAGCAACTGCGTTGTACGACTACGAAGCCGCGGAGGATAATGAGATCAGCTTCCCCGAGGGCGCCAAGATAACGAACATTGTAAGATTACTTTCTATCCAGTGTCTCGATTCGTTTTCGCTTCCCATGCTTTGTAACTCTTTGACTTTGAAGGAATGATAACTAACACAGTTTTAGGAATTCCCCGATGATGACTGGTGGCTCGGCGAGTATGGCGGCCAAACAGGCCTATTCCCGTCAAATTATGTCCAGCTTGATGAGTAAGAAACTCTTGTTTGGAAGCTTCTCTGCATAAAAGAAGAGCCATGAATTGTACTGTCAGTCAGTAGCTACCATCTGGCCTGCGTCAATGCTTCTTAGCCTGCTCTGGAATAGTTTCTTTTTGTGTTTTGGGGTCCTCTAGCAGTTGAAGGAAATATGAATACATGTACTGCAGCATCGGGATCTGCTGGTTACTAGGTACCTTAGTAATAAGTAGCATTGTTTTGCAATGTTGATGGGTACTACTAACTATAACTAGTATGGATGGACCATGTACATAGCCCTTGCCTAGGTAGTTTGTGCAACCAATTAGGTATGTGTATCATGATAAGGTAATCCACCACCGAGCCGCTGATTTTCCTACCGACTACCCATCAGAATTAATGCTTTTGCAACCATTAACACCATTAAATTAGACAATCTAGAGGATCAAGCAGGTTGGAATTTAGTAGGACAATTCCTTATTGTATGACTAATGGTCCAATAGCCACTACAGCATTGTGGAGCACACTGGTGAGCCTAGAGATAGATTCCCTGTATTTCAACCTCTCTATTCAGCTGTTGAATACGCCCCTATGTTGAGCAGTCACGTGATCCCATTAGCTAGATAGGGACCGACCCCTCCGATGTTAGAGGTCACGTGCATTATGCCATATTAGACCGCCCTCGCTTGGCCTGACACACTAAAATAGCTAGACCAACCTAGATAGATACAATACAAGCAAGTTGATCCAACATCCGACCCCTTTATGAATACAACCACGTCCAACCCGTCACCCTAACCTTTTTGTATAGATAGGATAGTATCTGTACCAAGGCTTATATACTTCTACTGTGCCGGGGGCACTGCGAAACCTCGGATCTCACATTTCCTATCTTGGAACACCGTAGAACCGCGGACTCCGACATACTAATGTATGGTGGAGCCCGCGGCCGGCGAGTACTTAATGGAGGGTTCCCTCACAGATAGTTACGAGAAATTGAGCATTCTTTTGGTTCCTAGGTTGCTTCACTAGTATCGTTATCGTCGTATAGAGCGGAGCGAGGCTCCTTCGTTGTGTTTCCTTTTATCGTTATATCGTTTTCTTGCTAAGATCGTTCGGTGCCGTGTGGTATAGCGGCATCGCCTTGGTATATCCATTCCTGAGATCCCTCGATCACAACTCGGTTCCTGTCGCAGGGAACAACGCACGTACGCCCCCCTTTACAACGACCTAGCTCCTAGGGTGCATTCTAAGGACTAAACCGCTGCACTACCGGCAAAAGACCAGGATATCAGGTCGTAAGACCTGATACTGGACTCACTTATATAGTACTTGTTTTCCACACCGTCACAAGTATAGACAGAACCCCTATCATCTTATCTTAGGGTGCTCAGCCTATAATAGAGAAAGGAATGCCACTATCCATCAGATTCCCCCAAAGGATAGATCTCTATACTATCTCTTTACTCAAAAGAAGGGCCAGGAAGCTATTCTAGCATTCTTAAAACTTACAAAGATTGCTACTAGAGGTTGGATTTTAAGGAATTAAGAGGGAACTTCTATTTACTCCTCTCTTCCTCCAGAATCTCTCTTCTAAGGTTCTCTCTTTAGTTTCTTTCCCCACATATTTTATATGAGAAAAGAAACATAAAAAGAACTAAAAGAGGGGATATAAGAAGAAGTTAGGGCTAATAAAAGAGCTCTCTCTCAGCTTCTCTGTTTTCTCTGGATACTATCTGTCAGGGCCCTTGCCATGTAGACCAGGACGAGCACGTGAGTTTCCTTATTTGGATTAGCGTGGTGTGTGGATAGGAATACGTCGTCCAGCTTCACGTAGATCTCTTCCTTTTTCCCTCCTCCCCATGCTTGAAGTTCTCGTCAATAGCTGCCTAGATAGTCGAATAGCATCCTATTCATCGTCTAGTTGAGTTCCGTGACACTATCTCTTATCTGGGAAATACCAAAAAAAACCTATTATAGAGTCTGGAGTTTAAATTTATACTATCTTACTATCACTATCACTCACCCTATTTCATTATTCTATCTCTCCTTATTATGTCTTTCTCTTATTCCATTTTTCATTTCTTATACACTACTGCCCCTACTATTCACTAGATTATTTCATTTCTCTATATATCTCCCCTATTTCACTGTCTATGTGACCCTTATTGTGTGACTTATATATTGCAAATCCCATTCTTGTGATTAACTAGCTGACCCAAATCCTCCGCCCTATGGGGGGAGGTAGACCGTGCATAGTCTCAGACTGAAAAATGGTCTCAAAAATGGAAGTCTACTCCTACTACTACTGATATCTGCTGATTATATCTTGTTTAAATTTCAGAATGGTATTTAATAAACTTAGATACCTAATTGATACAATAGTGTGACGACAGTACCTGAGGTATGACCGTCAGCATGTGATACTAGCACATCTTAGGTGTCAGCAGATTGAGCAGATAGGGCACAGGGCTAGGGCTGAGGGCAGGCAGCTGCCCTCATCTCCTATTTCCTCCCCACCATGTCTTTCACCTTTTTCCTTTCCTTCTTCTTCTCCTCATGTACGATATTCCTAGACAGTACGGCCAAATAGCGAGTTGCTTTTCTCTTTTCATCCTATTATAGCTGATCGTCGCAAATAGGAGGGGCAGAAGGATTTTATTCTTGAAGTAGAATTTATGCTATTTTTCACAGGAACTCTGGCTGAATCAGAAAATTTTATTTATCTGCCTCTAAAAGACATTTGATAAGGACCTGTTCTTCAAAATCCGATAATTCATAGCCATTTGCACGTGTTTCTGTACATGGTTTGACCCCATGAAGCTGATCATGAAGGGTTGCTTTTGAGACATTAAAAACCTCAGCAGCAGCAGCAATTGATTTGAACTGTTTCTTCTTATATGCTGATATGGCCATTTGCAATTTATTTTCTTGAGATAAAGGCATTTTGATAAAATTTAATGATGTTGGTGGTTGCAAAAGCATTAATTCTGATGGGTGGTGGATTCGGTGGGAAAATGAGCGGCTCGGTGGTGGATTACGTTATTTCATTTTCTTACCTCAACTTGAAAATAATAGGTATTATTTTGTCCTTCGAACGAACTCTTTCACTGCTGCCAGTGTGGCTTGATAATATTACCCAATACCTATTATTATTGAATTATTTAGGGCGATATTGTTGATGGGGGTTGAGTTGGTTGTTCTAGCTAGGAGTCGGGCAAACTATCTACACTATGATGACTAATAGGAACTAAAACTAACCTGGGAAAGCAGCTGAACCATGGCCACCAACAGATATCACTTGAAATAGGAACCCAGGTCACGTGTAGGGAGTCTCCGAACTTAAATAACTCCAATGCAGATAAACAAGATCAAGATAAAAGCCAGACTGTATCACACTACGGTCGAGCTTCCTGTTACGCACTTGTACACGGGAATGATAAAACCAATTCTCCTGCGGCCTCTTGCTTCAATTTACTTCTCTGCAGCTCAAAACATCTGATTTCGGGTCGTTGAAGACGCCCGTAAGGATTCCCTTTCTTCTTTATTTATTCATTTATTATTTTTTTTTGACCTCGTTTTGCGGATCCACCTTCACCTCTCGAGTAGAATAAAAGGCGCTCGTCAATTCATTAACACCGCTCAGAATGGCGTCGTTGGGTGAGGACTTGCTTACCACCGTGAACAAGTTGCAGGACTTGGTCTTCAATACAATTGGCAATGATTCCCTTGATCTACCACAGATTGTGAGCGCCATCTCCCCCTAAGTTCTCCGTTCCTTTGTTGCTCCCCATCCAGCACACGCGCAGCTTATTGTTTTCGAAGTGTAATTGACTGGTATACTAAACTGGCTTGGATACTAGGTTGTGGTAGGCTCACAGTCGTCAGGCAAGTCATCGGTGCTAGAAAATATCGTTGGGAGAGATTTTCTACCAAGAGGAAGTGGGATCGTTACTAGAAGACCATTGATCTTACAACTTATAAATATTCCAAGCGAGCGCCATGATAAACCTGCAAGTGATGACGTCCACGTACCACATACAGCTGCTAGTGTCGCAGGCCAAAATGAGTGGGCGGAATTCCATCATCTCCCAGGTCGGAAATTCGACGATTTTGCCCTAGTAAAGCAAGAGATTGATGCCGAAACTGCGAGGATAGCAGGAAATAACAAGGGTATTAATCGGCAACCCATAAACCTGAAAATATTCTCGCCTCACGTCCTTAACCTTACCCTGGTAGACTTACCAGGATTAACAAAGGTACCAATTGGAGACCAGCCATCAGATATCGAGAAACAGACTCGGACTTTGATTTTGGAATATATAGCGAAACCAAACAGCATCATACTTGCAGTATCTCCGGCAAACGTGGATATCGTTAACTCTGAGGCGTTGAAGCTTGCGCGCCAAGTGGATCCTATGGGTAGAAGGACTATCGGCGTTCTGACAAAGCTCGATCTTATGGACCACGGCACCAACGCCTTGGATATTCTGTCTGGTCGAGTATATCCTTTGAAATTGGGATTCATTGGTGTTGTCAACCGATCTCAACAAGATATTCAATCTGGCAAGTCGCTGTCCGAAGCATTGAAAGCAGAAGCAGAATTCTTCCGGCATCATCCTGCTTATCGAAATATGGCGAATCGGTGTGGGACGCAATTCCTCGCCAAATCTTTGAATTCGACTCTAATGGCTCATATTCGAGATCGGCTGCCAGATATTAAGGCACGTCTTAATACGCTGATGGGTCAGACACAACAAGAGCTTGCTAGTTACGGCAATAAGCAGTTCAGCGGTAAAGAGCACCGTGGGTCGCTAATACTGCAGCTGATGACCCGGTTTGCTTCTTCCTTTATATCCTCTATTGACGGAACTTCATCCGAAATTTCGACCAAGGAGCTCTGCGGGGGAGCTCGCATCTACTACATTTTCAATTCTGTCTTTGGAAATTCTCTTGAGACGATTGATCCCACCCACAACTTGACCGTTTCTGATATAAGAACAGCGATCCGAAACTCGACTGGCCCACGCCCTAGTCTCTTTGTCCCTGAACTTGCCTTCGATCTGCTTGTTAAACCTCAAATCAAACTTTTGGAGGCCCCTAGCCAGAGATGTGTTGAGCTTGTATATGAGGAACTCATAAAAATCTGCCACACGTGCGGTTCGCAAGAGCTCTTACGGTTTCCTCGTCTCCAGGGGAAGCTTATTGAGGTTGTGTCAGATCTCTTACGCGAGCGTTTAGGTCCCTGCTCAAACTATGTGGAGTCACTGATTTCCATTCAGCGTGCCTATATCAACACTAACCATCCCAACTTCCTTGGCGCAGCAGCAGCGATGTCGTCGATTATGCAAAACAAGCAAGAGCAGGAAAGAAAAGCGGCGTTGGCAGAAGACAGAAGAAAGCGCGAAAAGCGGAGATTGAAAGAACTTGGTGGTATCAATGGACAGTCACCTACTCGTGAAGAGGAGGAAGAGCAACAGGGCCTACCAATCAGGAAGAACAACAGGAGCATGTCACCCCACGTTGGAAAAGCGGTGGAAAATGGAATCACGCCTCCAGTAAATGGTGCGCAATTGAATGCTCCGCCAGCATTCGGGGGGCCAAACGCTGCTCGTGACTCGTTTCTGAATTACTTTTTTGGCAAAGAAGGCGGATTGCAGAGCTCTACATTGTCTCCACCGAACACTGCTCACCAAAATCGACAATTTGGTGAGCCCGCCATTGGCCAGCAGAATATTCATCGAGGGGAATTTCGGTCGCCAGTAGTACAAGAGGAGTATATTGCTCCACCTGACTTTGGCGGCGAGTCTTCTCAGTTTGTAAGTTTCTGTCTTTCCCCCGCCCTTTCAATTAACTGCAACGGTAACTTATATTCCCGGCCCTAGCCAAGCGATAATGCGGAGCCTGCTCTCACCGACCGTGAGATATTAGAGACGGAATTGATCCGCCGCTTAATTTCGTCGTACTTCAATATTGTGCGGGAAACTATAGCTGACCAGGTTCCAAAAGCTATCATGCACCTTCTTGTCAATCATAGTAAGGAGGTTGTCCAGAACAGACTTGTCAGTGAGCTATATAAAGAGGAGCTTTTCAATGACTTGCTGTACGAGGATGACGGCGTCAAATCGGAAAGGGAAAAGTGTGAGAGGCTCCTAGAGACATACAAGGAGGCAGCAAAAATTGTAGGTGAAGTCCTCTAAATTTGATTCTCTGATCTTGGGATTCTTTCCCCCGCGTCTCGCAATTCCGAGTACATTGGGCATGGAAGTAGAGTGAAAGTCTGGACTCTGCTGGTATAATATACACTTGGTGACATAGATATCTTGTTGACAGTCGTTTATTATGTACTTTATGAATGATTAGAGACTTGAGAGTTTCTTAGACCACCTTCAATATCGCTCGATATGCACCGACGAAATTCATGACCGTGGTTTATGCAGACCTTTTTTGCGTCCTGAGCTGTGTGTATTAGCAGGTTAGGGTTGAGATGAAGTGGTATTCAGTGGCAAAGAGGTATACCATGCGTCAGTAGACTGTAGATTCAATTACGAAATGACATTTGCAAGAGTACTCCAAGCACAAGCAGAACACCTATATTGTCAGGTTATATAGGCTTTCATTTGTAATGCTCAGAATCTGCATGGTCTAGAGTTAGATGGAATGAAGACTCAAGTATCATCTCTGACAGAGTAGTTCTAGTCTAATGTTGAATAATGAACAATGGCATTTGTGTAGGGGCACAGATGTCCACAAGGCATATTATATTGTAAATGCATGAAGCAGACCGGGTCACTGGCATCTAATCTCTCTTTTTCTTCAGTCGTGCACCTTCAATGCCGTACAGCCCACCACCCACAAACACAAGAACAGCACCCGCAAGGATACCCGAAGCGAGATTATTCCCAAATAAGTAAATAGAAAGCAAGAGTGACACCAGCTTGCGGATATTCAACACAATGGTAACGGTCAAGGAAGACGATTTTGCAGAGAGCAGATGCACGCCACGTATACAAAGGTACTGCGTCAGGGCGTTTACCAGGAGATAAGCTAGTTGTACAGGAGTATGCGCGAGGATAGATCTGAATATAGCATTCCCCTGGAGAAACCTGAGTAGCAAGGAAACGTGGCTACCAATTGAAGACGACACGGGAGAAGACCCAGAGCCACTCTCCATGGCAGCGGGAGGAAGCTTAAAAAGTAACGGAGGCGATGCGGACAAGACTCGCAGTTGAGATGAGAGCTGACTATATCCGGGTAAGAAGCATGGCAACGAGAGGGTATGGGAGTAGAAAAGCGCTTCTTTCCAATGACTTCGACCATAGGTTTCGTAGAGCCAATCTGCATAAATGCCCTGGAATGCAGCGAGGATCATGGCCAAAGCGAGGATCGTGAATCCAACAACTGACGTGGTCAATGTAGAATCATTTGCACCAGAACCGGAACTGGGACGAATTGACTGGCCCTTCGTAGCAGCATCGGCTAATGCTGCCCCAACCACACCTAAAGTAAGCATCGAGACTGCTAGAATCTGAAGCTTGGAATATCTCTTTCCATTGTAAAAAAAGCCAACTATCATGGATGCCACCGGGCCGCCTGAGCGGACGATTATGTGCAATGGCACAGAGATCTTGTAAACGAAAGCCCAGTTATTCAGCAGATTGACTGTCATAAAAAACCCTGTGTACACCAGCCATGATCTCAGTGGTATAGCTCGCGGAGCAAGAAAAAAAGATCGAGGACCGGCAGAGGGTGATATGAAGCTAGGCAGGGTGACAAGCGAAGTCAGAGTAAATTGGGCGAACGTTACCAGAGGTCCTTCAAGTTACTCGATCAGGAATCAATTTGCGAGGAACTAATTTTAAAGATCAAAGGGAACAACGAAGCTGCACTCACCAGCACTTGACTCATCTCTGTAATTTTGAAATTGTTAGCGCCGTGTCCTTTGAACGCGGAGAATAACACTTTCGGATGCCAGCTTACTTGATGATTGCTTCCAGAGCAAAAACCTGAATTTTTATAAGAATCAGCAATGAAAAAAAACCCTTCCCATATTCGAGCAGCACTCACATTAGAACAACAACCACCAAATATCAACGAGATCATCAGGATCGTATTCGCCCAGCTGGGAAAGGTTGCATGGGACACTGCCGTGATAAGACCGCTGACGCTGCCTTGGGTACCGCTTCCAAAATCTTTGAGGTCACCATTCTTGATAATTCCATTTTGGCGCTTCTGCAGGGGAGAGAAGTCCAATGACGATGCTCTCACGTCGGTTACCGCATAGCCATTTGGTACACTAGCATTGCTAGGGGAATTGCGGCGGGTGGGCGACGAAGCAGATGTAGTATAACTCTTGTCTTCGTGCTTTGAAGGACCTTCCTTATGACTATCGATCATTTTTCTTTTCTCCGATCTTAATAGTGCAAGAATATGACGGAGGGGGGTCATGTCATTGCTCAATTGCTAGGATGCAGAGATCTTTAGCATCGTCGTGCATGCCGAGGGACGGCGTAGGGCCGCGTGTTAGCTTTTAACGGGCGCGAGTGTATCAGCATGCTGTAAGCGAGGTAGGCTTCCACATTTAGGAGTAACTTAGTAGTACAGAGTATATACCAATCTAAGTCTCCTGGAAGTATAGAGGCATATATGAACATTTTTTAGGATCATCCCTTAGAAATAATGCTTGTGAACTGCCATATGAGACTTAGTCTGAGAATCAGAAAACTAATAATAGTTTCATGTTGAGCTGCTTAATAAGGCCAACCCAAGCCAAACCTTCACGGCAACTGCCTTATTCACATAGAGAAACATGGCCTTTTGGTATCTTCCAAGAGAGAGGAATTTCAAGATTGAGGGATATTTATGCCACCAAGTCTGATATATTCCGCTCAGGCTATCCTAAACGATGGGCCCACGTTACATTAAAGAGCCCTACGCGGCGACCGCTTCCCTCGCAGCAGTCAGCTCCCCCATCATTTCCGTCAGCTTGGTCGTGTCGGACGTGATTACGCACATTGCCATATTCGAGGTAGCCTTGCGCAGACCATCACCAGTTGCGAAGGTGAAGCCCGCGTAGGGTTTATTGTGCTTTGTGACTGTTGAATGGAACAGCTCGACAGCATCCAGCCACTCAGGCTCATCGCCTTGGATACTCAAGCCAGCTGGTAGACCCATGCTGACTCGAGCATCCAGGGTGCCAAACCAGACAATGTCAATGTCAGGTACCTCTGTCAAGATGCTATCAAGGTTCTTAACACCCTCCAGCGTCTCAATCTGGATCATAAGTGCTGCCTGATTGTTCAAGCTTTCCCAGAGACCACGCTCGGGTTCCAGAGCAGTATCGGTCAAATTAGGTACATATCGGAAGGGAGGCGCGGATCGAATGCCTTTGTGTCTCTTGCCGAACTTTGTTGCGCTGAGAACTTGCTTGGCTTGCTCAACAGTGTCGACATGAGGGACTACAATGGACGCCCCCGCGTCGAGAGCATACGCAATGGATGATTCGTCATGTCCTGGCACCCTGCATAGAAATGACAAATCTCAGTCGCACTGTACAGTACCACGGGTTAAGAGGATTGATCAGAGCGTGCATCACTCACCGAACGAAAGGGATAGTGCGACCACTGCTTAGAAAAGTCGTCTCATGGACCATCTACATGTGAAGCTCAGTCTTATGTTTTTTTTTTTTTTTTTTTTTTCGTCAGTGTGCTGTAAGCAGCAGAAAAGCATACCGTTGTCATGGTCTCGACGTTCATTGCGCAATGTTCCCAGTCGATCCAGACAAAGTCAAAACCCATAGGCGCCAACCAACGGGTAATAGGTACGGAGGCAAGACCGGAATAGTAGCCGATCATAGGGGTTATCTTTTTTTCATGGGCATCGCGAATAGCATGGCGGGCCTGGTGAGGCTGGAACAGCGTTGGGCCTATATAGTCCCTCATGTCGCCGTACTCGCGGCCATTTGCACCGTCCAGTATAGGACTCATGGTTATTATTAGATAAATCAGCGACAGGGAAGGACTATATTTTTTATAGTCACTTCTTGTTCAGAATAAAGAAAGAAAGAAACACATGGGTAAGTGCAGTCAGTGGTGAGTGTTGGAAATATCTTCCTCTGTCCTAGGCTTGATCAACTCCACAGCAGCGCCATGGTGATAAATAAATACTCTTTAGGTAGTATCAGCTTACCAATAAGCCGGAGATGTCAAGAAATGAGGACTGTCATGGACTCTGGCTGACCGTAAGCACGGATTCTATCTCCATGTCGGACGTACCGATTTGAAGCAGGCTCTGGGGTTGATATCTTCCCCCGCATACAACAGGAGCCGAGAAGGTTCGTTATGCAGTGATACCCATGGATATTAGATGTAGAACGCGTTATACATAGGCAAATTGAAAGTAAAGAATAAGCAGAGTAAGCTTGGACGACTCAGCCTTCAAACATCTAGGCTAAACAGTAAAAATCACGATATCTCTAACAATAGCCCCCTGTCTTGTAGAAAAGCCGTAAGGAAGACGACCTGCTACCCTATGTAGGGATTTCTCTATTTGCCTCTATGGTGTGTTACATCCAGAAATAATGTATTAATAAATCATTGTGTAGCATCTTTTTGTATTCCCTTCCCTTGCTTATCTAGTTCATTTGAGAATCCAAAACGCCCCGATAACTCGAAATAGACACCCATATAATCGTCACAATGATAGATATTATCAGTTATGCAATGTAAAGGAGGGAGCTGACAAGATGGGACCATGGGCATCTGTCACAAGATGTCAGTCATCTTCAATGTCATCATCGCTGAGAATAAGCTTCCCCCCATCTTCTACAGAAGGTGGAAGCTGTGCTCCAAAGGCATGGGCAGCAACCATGCCTTCGTTCAAAATCCTTGCTCTCAGAGGTAACGACGAAGATTGGTTAATTCCCGGATTTTCCAGCATATCTAGGCTGCCATTACCCACTATGTCACTTGGAGCTTCAACGCCGCGGAAGGAGGTCAACCCCTCGAGTTCCCTGCCGACCTCCCGGGGAAAGATTTTGGCCAGGTACGGTAATTGAAAGAGTAGCATATCATCACGGGAAATCATTGTCACGGCTTTTGTCCGAGGATCAACGGGGTCCTCACTGTCCATGAAGGAGAGACTGCCAACTCCAAGACTCTTCCAAGATCGTACGCTGTCTGCTTTATACACAGAGTTCGAGTCACTTGGGCTAAGAATTGGCCGCAAAAATGGATCCAGTATCCGTTTTGTCCACAAATATATCAATCCTTCTATTTTCTCAGACTCTGACCATAACCGTAACGATGCCGGGAAGAACATCTTGTACGGATCTCTCACACGCCCCTGGCTGCCCGAGGAAGGTACCCGTCGTCTCACTGGGCTGGGAAGAGAAAAGAGTAACTTGCGTGTGGCAACCTGAAAGCTAATCTCATCTTGTCGTAGCATGTCCACTCCCGCGTTGAAATATGTCGCACCAACACCAGCCGCAGACCATGGGCTCTGTATACCTTGACGATGGGGGCATAAAATATCACTGTCTGATAGTCCTTCTATGCATTCATCAATAGTATCTGTAAAAGACTGACCCTCACAAGATGGCGCGTAATTCTCATGTAGGGCGCAGATGAATGTCTGAATATCAGTCCCTGTCTCATCAACAAGGTCATTGACGGAGACCTGAGGGACCTTTGGGCGCCAATGTTGGCGTAGATGGCTAGGTGGTGGCGGTGGAATTTCAGTGCCTTCCGGCACAAGACTGGCATCTTCGCGTTTGTTGTACACAACTTTCCCAACAGCGTGAAATATTCCTAGACTAGCTTCCCTCTGTGTGATCATCTCCAAGGAGTCCTTCTCCATAGATGTCAAAGCTACCTTTTTGCGGGAGGATCTCTTCATTTTGCTGGATAGGCTGCCTCCCCAATCTTTTGTTTCATCACCCTTAAGGCAAAGAAACTCTAACGAGGATATCGCACTTCGGATATCACCTATTTCGGAAATTCTCTCAAGAACAGCTGGCCCTGGGACTTTGGTGCGTTTTGAGCAGCAGGCTTCCTTTTCCATTACTAATTGCAAAGCTTTATACATGAACGTGGGTGCAATACTGTTGAAGTCAATGATAGTAGTACCCGGGTGGTTGTAGATGTCCGGCCCAAGAAGCCTATGAGCCGTAAAGTTATCGGATATGGAAGCGGCAGAAGTAAGAAGTGTCTCAGTGATAATGACGACAATGGGAGGACTCGCTTGCACTCCAGGGCGGCCGTGATGAGAGCCTTCAGACAAAGAAGGAACAGCTGCGGCAAGGTATCGTTGCAAAGACGATCTGAAAGCAGCTAGACCAGAAGAACTTCGATTTATGATGGTAGGAAATTCCTCAATAAGTAATATGCGTCGTTGAGATGAATATACATCTCCATTTTCTTTGCCTGAAGCAGTGTCATTCATCCCATCTAGATCAAGACCTCCAAATTTATCGCCCCGTCCAAGAAACTCCTCGAACTGCGCGCCAATGGACATGTAGCCTCCCAAGGTAGGATCGGCAGACGAAGGATTCTTCCACTCAACTATATCAAATCCGAGTGATTTCGAAAGTAATGATACGGTAGTTGTCTTTCCGCATCCCGCAGGACCACGAAGAACGAGCAATCCCTGTTTCCATCAGCAAAAGTTGTCCGAGCCAAAAGTTCATGGAAGACCAAAATGAGAGCCAAGACATACTCGCATATTCCTCCTCTTGAAGACACTACTCAACCAATCCCTGACGTCCGCGACCTTCTTCTTGTGAACAGCCAATTCTTCCAGACTAGATGGGCAAAATCGCTGAGCCCACGGTAGACCGTCATCATATTTCACTCTAGACCTCTGCGGTACTTGACTCGTATTCTTCAAGACTGGACTTGGAGGCAAAACAAAGCATTTGGCGGGACTGGATACTCTTTTCGAATGGCTAGTTCGCCGAGAAGGAGAAGGATGGCGCTTGTTTCCACGATTCGATTCTGACTCTGAATCAACATTCAAGCCTAGCTTACCATTGACGATATGCTGAGTAAAGATTTCGTCATAAGAGTCGTAATCATCCTCGATGCGATCGTCGTCGTCCTCGACACTCTCCGCCAACGTTAACAGATGCCTCGCCTCGAACTTCTTTGAAGACCAACGCTCCTCGTCCGTTGCATGTTGGAAGTAATTATGCAGAGATTTCCCGGTCGATGAACTATTCGATGCCTGGTTCACCTTCCTGTCTTTCTTGGGAGATGAGGAGGCCGTACGGCCGGAGTGGGTGCTCCTCTTCGACGTGTGCGAGAGGAGACTATTCGGTTTCGATTGTGATGGCAACAAGGGAAGGGCTTTCGAATTTGACTTGACATTGCTGTGAACATCTGTGGTGTTGTTGGCAACCGGAGTTCTCAGTGGTAGCCTTGACTGCGTCGTGCCATCGTCAATTTGAACATCAGTGTCGTCGTCCGACAAACAGACGCGTCTCCGTTGCCTCTTGGCGGGACGGACGTCCATCATGGAAGATCGCCAAGAGAATCCTCGGATATCATTGTATGGAGAACAGTCTAGGGCGTAGATAATAGATATCCTAATATAGGTGACTGTATCCAAGAAAGTATGTATTTTCATGCATATTATTTAAGTTGTCATGAGCTATCGCCGATGAACCAGTAATATCAGGTGATCCCTTTTTGCTGAGCTAGGATAAGGCAAAAACCTTTGGAAGGTTTGCTGAAATTACCATACGGTATCATACGACATTAGGTGTCACAATACAGAGTAGACATCTTGGAGTGTCAGGGAAGATTATTGGAACTTTGAGGTATCATGGTTTATATGCATAGAAGAATAAGATAGCTGGAAGGTCATCAGGACAGATATATTAGATGATATTAAAGCAGTTCCAGACCGAAAAGAAGGCTGGGAGGAGATAACAGGAAAGTAAGCCAAGAAGCGAATAACCAAAGGTAAAATTCTCCTCAGGAACCCCCAAATACATCATAGTAGTAATCGTCATCAAGGCCTTCCCGGGAAGGAACTCTGGGAGCTTCACCTGCAAAGGCCGCATCATCGAATCGAACATTCAACAAGCGAATCTTAAGTCCGTAGTTGGCGATTAAATCTATTAGTTTGTTCGATTCTGAAGTAATTGGCTCTTGGTTGAGCAACATGAGCAATCCATCCAACCATTCAGATGCAATGCTATGCGACTGTGGCCGGAGAGTTAGTAATACGATTTCGCTTTGTGTTGGCTTGCTTGTCGAGCGAGCACGGCTATGGCTCTTCTTGTGACTTCCTACAGCTGCAGCTGCCGGCTGGGAATAACCGTGGATAGTTATCTTGGTGGAAGACTGAGGATGGGGAACGGTTTTGATAGTTGAAGAGGAAGAACCGTCCGATGCCGCAGAAACGTTGGAGACGACAGACGACACGATTGATAAGTCGACTAGGTTAGAGGTTAGAAACTAGTTTTGAATAACCAAGAGCAAAAGAAATTATGAAACAAACAAACGGGAGCCCTTACCTCTTTCCGGAAGGGAATCGAGTTCCGGTGTCTTGTCACTTATAGAATCAAAGTCTCCGAAATGAAGATATCGCCGGTTATGAGATAATTGGATGTATTTGTGAGAAGTGACTCTCGCTGTCGTCCCAATTTCTGCCTTGGACATATGCTCATTTGGAAACCAAGCTCCTTGCAGTAAGCAACGGATCCTCTGCTCCTTGACAAACTGGAGAGCTTCATGGTGCAGTTCTTCGCGCATTTGCCGTAGATGCTGACCCCATGCACCCTCGTACGTGAGCTCCAAGAGCTCCATCTGCAGGTTGCGAAGTCGGGCATATTCGAACTCGGCTAAATCCTCCTCAACGTCTTGTATATCCTTTGTACGATGAGCTCCTCCGACCACAGACTCAATGAGGATACGGGCCAGTTCGACGATCTTCTCAAAATCCTCTACCGTTGCCCCGGTGGCTTTCCACAGGCGGAAGAAGGCGTGCAATCCTGCAACATGCAGTCGGGTCCAATGTAATAGCAGCGGCTTAAATAATTCGTCAAGGTTAGAACTAGACTCAAGGACCATGTAACTCTTAGTGTCTTCGATGTCGCATTGATCTACTTCAAAATGCTCGTAGAGAATCAAAGTCACAGCCAACGAAGCTCGGGCAATTGGGCAGCGCTGCGCAGTCGGTTTCGTCGACTGTTCTAACAATAATTTCTGGAACTCATCTTGGTGGCTTTTGACGTAGTCTGCCAGATCCATCATGCCCAGAAAGCCCACATCCTCGAATTCCTTTTCAGGACTTTCCGATTCAAACCCTAGTCGCCTCCACTTTCCAGAGGAGCGTCTTTTCGACGGTCGTGTCTCGCTGCCGCTTTTCTCTGTTCCACTGTCATTGCTCTTGTCGGGATTACTAGCCAAGTAAATTCCTTTCAAGGTTCTCCTGTGCTCGGGCTTCTCCATATCTAAGGGAACGTCGCGCCACTTGCGTAAGAGGAATTTCGTGAGAGATTGAAATTCGATGAGCGGATGTGCGTGATCCTGCAATGCAGTTCCTTGCATGAGAACATAGACCGCCCGAATCACACCGAGATCTTGTAGCTTCTGGATGAACTTGGGCCACTGTCCCTCGGCCTCGTTAGTGACAGCATCGCGCATCAGGGAATTGATCAATTGCAATGCATTTGCACATAGGGCATGGTCTGCCGATGACAGCCTGCTGACAAGCATTTCGAGAAACTGCGGATAAACTGCAATCGCCGGCTTTAAAGCACGGAAGCCAAAAAGTCCCTGTTGCGACGACCGGCCACCAGTATACGGATGAGATACGATAGAGACGAGGATCGACATGGCACCACGGAGGATATTCACAAGAGGATGGGTTACAATAAGTTCGACAACCTAGGATACGGAATATAAAGCCGTAGCAATCAAGATTAGCACACCCCGTCCACATCTTAACACAAGACAACAGGGAAGAAAGCGCAATCGCCAAAGTATATCTGATTTTTGGAGGCTGAGCTTACCCTCTCCACGAGCTCTTCATCAGCGAATTCCCAGCCTTTATCCACTTCAAGTAGTCTCGCAAAGCTTGCCAAGCTATATGCCAACGTGTTCCCCGTCGCATGTAGGGTCAGGTAGCGCAGTTTAGCCAATCCACCCTCAGCGATGAATATATCCGCGAAAGATGGGTCTCCAATGCTGCCTTGAAGCTTGAAAACTGCCATCTTACGCACGGCATCTTCTTCACTTCCCAGTCGCTCCACCAAGTCGGAGATGCTGGTATTGTCCATGGCTCTGACAGAGCTCGTTCTTGTACTCTAGTTGTTAAGCGGTAATGCTATTTGCATTAGCTGGGACAGGACAGGAATAGCCCCACCGAACAAATTATCTGTCAGGTATGAGAGTTGGAAAGACATTGATGTTGGTGGTGAGGATATCGGGGATTGGTTTTAAAACAGATGCGGATGGATCAGGGGCTAGGATAGTGAGTGCATGGATTAATGAAACTAAAGCAAACATGCGGGAACTAGCCTTAGCGGCATGGAACCCTGGAAGCCATGAACTATGATGCATAGATAGATAGATACTATGGTTATCCTTGGGCATGATGCAATGTTCACTTTACTGTTCATATTACTGAGAATAAAAAAAGCGATTATCTAGGTATACTCACATATACAGAATGGACATTACACCAATGGTAGGTATCTAACTCCCATCATAAGAAAAATCAAACAGAATGTTATCTATGTACTCTACTCCAGCCCACTGTTTAACACGCCTAAAAGTAATGGTGCGGGACCCTCCAATTCAAAAGGTGGGGAAAAAAAATTGCACGCTTTTTAAAGAAACTCTTACCTGCCAGACAGTCATTTTAAAACGCCATAAAATGACACTCAATAATGCAACTGTTGAGAAGATAAATGCAGACATGCAATGCAGCCATCCCTCGCATCGCTTGGGATAGCAAAGTTGAGCCAGAACAATAGAGCCCTTCAGGCTTAGCTCTGCCACCCAACGTTCCAAATCACATGTGCAATATCTCTGGCTGTGTTTAAGGTATCAATCACTTTGCTAAAGATGCCAGGATGGGATGAATGCTCGTCATTGTATGGCATAAGCATACCGGAGGAAGTCAAGTGAAGATGTTGGTCCATTTCTTCGTCTTCAGGATCCATAAACCAAGGGCGACTGCGAGCAGAGTCATGCAATGGCGGTTTTGGATCCCAGTTATAGTCAAGTTCATGGTCGTCATAATCATCATCCAGGAGGAAGTTAGCTTGCGGCTTTGTCGGCCGAATAGTCTCCATAGAAGATGCTGGTGACGATGTAGATGTTGTGTCAGACCAGAAGCCAATACCTGAGGCAGTGGGCAACTGTGGGGTATCTCCACGGTACTTCAATGTGGTTGGGGGCAGAGGAGCGATCGTTCTGCTTTCACTACCGTGGGTGGTTTTTTTAGGACCAGGTAATGATTTTGGAGGAGTCTGCTTCACGGTATCATCGGAAGATGAATTACCCAGTAAGGCCTGCCAATCACCATCATCCTCATCGGGCTCTTTTACCTCAACCGCAATACATTGAACCACCTCATTGTTGAAGTGGATATGGCGCCTCTCACTTGGAGAGGATAGACCGGACGAGGATGCATTTGTGGTAGAAGAAGAATAAGGTGGGAAACCAACATCCCGGTCCGATATGCCGGACGATTGTCTCGGAAAGGACGGTCGACCGTCAGGGTTTGCCGCTTCCCGAGCTCTTAGAATGGCACCAGCATGTCGCAGAAGAGTATGTTGTGATAAGGAATGCTGTAAGATGATTTCCGATGTGGTTTTCTTCTTCAATATAGGCTTCCTATCCAGATACGAGTTCGGGGTTTCCAGACGGCTCGAAGGCGATAAAGGCGTTATATCATGCCTTTGGGAGGTCTTCAGGGGACCATACAACCATGTCACGTCACAGTCTTTCAACCTGCAGAGATCGTTAGTCTGCTGTTTTGAGATTGCATACTAGGAAACTCGATTTGCTGTCCGGAAACATACCAGTTAAGAGAATCTGGAGAAACTGTTCCAAGATTATGTTTCGACTTCGCCCATGTCCTCCAAGAAGCATTCTCCAGTCTCACTCCATTACTGTAGACGTTCTTACGAGCAGTCACGTAGCGCCATGATGCCCAAATGTCCTCTTCTTTCCATAAATGGGAGAGATAATCAACATGCCTTGATGGTTCTACCTCGATCGAAGTATCGTCCGCAGCCAGTGAATTCAGGGTAGCAGATGAATCTGTGGACATTTCATTTTCATCATGCAGCTCCTTCAGTTCGTCGTTACTCCACCGCTGTGAATCATATGAGGGAAATACTATCTCATCCTCATCCTCACGCTGGTGCTCGTGCTCATGCTCGTGTTCGTAATCGGCATTCAGAGACAGACTACTGATAGTAGTTGGTGTGTAGGAATAATCCTCGGGGGGTGTTGGTGTCAATGTAGGATAATGCAATGGTGACGAGGAAGGGGAAGATGAAAGTGAACTTGGACAATTCGATGGAGAGTATTCCTCATGCAAGGGTAATTTGCTCGGAACACATGAAGACTCTAGCAGATACCGCCGAGGAATGGCATATCGCAAAGGGTCCGGGGAAAGGCGGGACCCTTCCAGGGCAGCAGCGGGGAGCACGGCTGTCATATCAACGATAGCATCAGTACGGAAAATTGCGGGGTGATTTTCTTCAGCGGACAAGTGATGCGTGTATCTTGTTTTCCCTCTACCTGGGAGGCAATACCAAGGCAATCTAATCCCTCCTGGAGACGGTTGATAGTATGTGCAAGGGTCCGCTGGAAAGAATTGGTCCTGGTGGAACGGTGGAGAGTATGTTGAAAAGCAAACTCGAAGTGTCCGCGAGCCTAAAGAAAAGAAGAGTAGAGATCCCAGAAGCAAGATACGAACACGAGGCTCGAAGGTGTAAATATATATGGTACATATATATATGTATATGCAAACTGTGCCTGGAGAAGAAATAGTAGAAAATAAAATAATACGAACAAGACGACACCAAAAGGCTCTTGACAAACAATGATGCAATATCGCAGGGATTTGTTAGATGGACGGGTGAGGGAGACAGGCCAGTACTTGTAAATGGGTGCCTCCAGCAGGCAGAGCGACTTTAAAAGTCATCGAAGTTACAGAGGACTGGCCAGAGAGTCTGGATTGAGATGGATTAGATTTGGATTGAACCTAAAGGTGACATGGATGTTAGGACCGGAGTTGCATTGATATTCCAATCACCAAAGCAGGCATCAAAATAGCATGTCTCGGCGAATGAGTGGCGTCTTGCGAGGCGATTATTATTATTACATATAATACTAAAAAGAAAGTCGGGATTGCAAGGAATTGAACAGAGAATCGGGAATTTTAGAGTTTGGGAGATACGGGAATGTGTGGTTTTGCCACTATCTAGGTCGGAAGATGCATCGAGAAGATCATACTTTTTTTTTCCAGCGCTGTTCGTGCTTGCAACTAGTGATGCTTCAGGCAAAGTCTATCTATACATAGATATTATCTCCATCAACATCATACAGCACTACTGCACAAAGCCCGTTACCAAAGTGGAGCTTGCGGGCATGATGTACATTGTCCATGCGTTGGCGCCATTTCGATGCGCTGCACAGGCGCCCGTGAAATGCCAATAGTGTACTTTGTCCTCCGGAACAATCCGTCCTATGGCAGCATCATGTTATGATATGGTATGAGATTCTGGAGAGAATCGCTGTTGATCCTGGTTGATCCTTGATTTGTCAAGGGTTCTGGCTTCCGGCGTGTCGTTTTATACCCCGCATTTCCCACAGACCAAAATCCAAATAGACTCGTGGACATCAAGGATATCGTATATGATACAAAGAGACCAGCTTTAGCTGCACTGTCAATTATCCATAGCAGTGGATATCCGGGCTGTTTCTAGACAGGTTGGCATATTGTTAGTGGCATTAATATTATTCTGAAACATGGTCAGGGAAAAAGGGCCGGGCGCAGTTGAGACAGGATGTGACATGCATACGCTGTACATATATGGTGTAGAGATAACAATAACAGATCTGCATGAGCTCCAGACAGCTGGATTTCCTCCTGGTCGTTCCGGCTCGCACTGTTCCCTCTGTCAGTTCCACCCAACGCACGGTCTTGTCTATCAAGTATTAACCATCGCCTGCGGAGTCCCATCAATTTTATGCGCCTTTCTCTGAAAACGGTTAGATTACATGGCATCTCCTAACAGGCCAGATCTTGTTGGGTCGGCCTGTGTACGCTGTAGATAGGCTATCACGGTCAGATGGACACACGGGTGTACTGGCTGCCGAAAGGAGAAGGCCTTTCATCCGATCTTCGCAAAAGCCTCCCGGGATTATCATTATCCATTGATGGCCGCGACTTGCAGCATGGGTGCCGGGTGCTGTACAGTCCCGGGGTGGTCTAACAAAGAGAGAGTACCTTTGGAGAGATGTCTACGGAGTAGGAGCACTACACTCGTTACTGCTGTTTCTCGCAAGAGCAACCCAATACAAACTTCGAATCGTCATGCCAGAATCTTCAATGGAGATACAGATTTACTAGCACTCACTCTCTATGAAGATATTATCAAAATGGCATTTCTTTTCCTTTCTTGCGTTGCGTGCTACATGGCAGGGATTCGCGAAATTCTAGGCTTCCAACTCCCATGGAAATAATAGTATAGATGCACTGACAAGTGCTGGTGATGTCTGTGTGTCTGCAGGATGAGTGTTTATTATTATTATCTTTTTTTTTTTTTTTTTCAAAAAGTCCAGAGCTGCCTATCGATGTTCCAGCCACAGGTACTGCTCATTGGATTCAAGCTTGTCGGCAAAACCATTTTCTCAAAGAGCATCAACCTGTTGGCGAAAGATAGGAGTATCTCCATGATATCTATTATTGTTTAATGGATTATGGTTTTCCTAAGTCCAAGGCATTATTGTGGAGTGTCCCACGGGGTAGAAATATCCGGACGTGCTGGAGAGAGTTCATTTCGCTTTCGAAAGACTATGGGAAGAACCGCAACCTCGTTCTAAAATGCTGATATGAGCCTACCCAGGTGGAACCTACGCTCAGATACCGTCCTGTCTGCCAGTCTAGACCGAGGGTCATTCTATCGCGTATTTTCCGCTGGACGGTCTCTTGTTACCGGCTTATCATTTGGCATCAATTTCTTCACGCCGGGGGAAGATGGATTTGCTCGGGGCCCCAGTTGGAGATGTCCGGCGCATCACGGAGCACATCATACCGGGATATATGCGCCCTGCGTTACCTGCTTGACGTGTATGCCGCGCACAAAGTGACACAGACATTATAATATCCTCGAATCGCCAGAGAGCACCATAGCAGCTCGAGAGTCCCATTTTATGGTTTCACCCAGAGTCCCTGCCCGTATTTCTTCGGTGAACGACTTGGTCTAGAAGAGATGGATCCATTATTCCATGACGCGGCACATGTTCTTCCAAGTTTCCTCTCCACGCGTCGTCTATCGCTCCAGGCATTTGCCGCGGGGAATGGGCGGCAGCGTTTGGAGCTCGAGTAAGCTGGACGCTTATTGGACTTTGAGCATGCTAGTTCAGGCAATTCCGGCTGGATCAAGGACCAGTGAAGGTTATTTGTCCATTGCTTATATTAGTATTTCAGCCAGCACGCATCTTCACCACCGTCCACGTTATTCTGACTTGCGTGTCTCATCACTGAAGCCGACATCCTGTTGTTTTTGCTCTAGCATTATTATGAAAATATGAACAGTTGTGACAAGGCCAAGGGCAGCCATACACCATGCCACAGCTTGGTAATGTTTATCCAGGTAGATATGACACCCTGGTACATGTGTGCACGCACACAGATGTCCTAGTACAGTACCTCCTTTCTCAACAGTTGCATGATTGTCCATATTGCACAGAAAAAAAAGAACTTTGGTGGGTACATTGATCCCCTTACCAGACGCTAATAGTGATACTGATAAATAGACACTGAAAATAATAGAATCGATGCAGCCCAGTAGTCTCCAAATGGCAGACCATGAAACCTCGGTCAATGATGACTACTTTGGCAGATGTAACAGCCTGAGTCACATATGTATATTCCCTTGATCCTTATGTTTTCATGCGGATATACTACTTATGGCCTATGTGCAAATTGTACGATACATGTGGAACTTATTTGCATTTGCTGTACTACGCAACTTCTTCTTTGTCTACCGGGTTCTCAATGTTCCATTTTGATACAGTATTAATTGCCAAACAGCACTGCCCAGACTCCATGACACCGAGAAATACAGGGGTATGGAATCACCACCAAGGGCCAAATCCACAGGAAAGGATACCAGTGTTAGGTCATTGAGAGCCAATGCTCCATCCCCATGCATGCATGTAGATGATAAGACTACAGTGAACTGTCTAGAATTCACATAGGGCCAAATGATAGTCTCGTTGTCCGTGCTTCGGGAGTAAAGACTGTTCATCGTCGACTCGTACACCTCCATTTTATCACGAAAGCACAGATATCCAAAGGGGCACATTATGCATGTCGTTACTGGCAACAGTCGTTCCAAGTCCCGTCTTGTATAACAACAGGCAATGATCTAACTTGGAGTAGAGGTCACACACACACCATAGAATATGGCAGGTAGAGAGGAGCCTGTAGTAGCCTTGTGTCAACGCCGATTGCTAAGAGCATGATAAATCGTACTTAGTTCGTTGCGCGCGTCTGAATATCTCACATGGCAACCCGGTAGAGCCAACATGAAGCTCAGAGTGCCAGCGCAAGCACAAGAACTGCAGAGCATCACATACATTCATACTCGAGAAAGGCCTCGGCGTTGCTCACACGATGCTGAACGCGCCGCAGCCCGTAAGGTGGACGGACAGACATGCCTGTGCGCCTGCGCTCAGACAGAGCGTGATGCAGCAGAGTGGGTTCTATCATGTCCGAGAACATATCCTGAAGTATATTGCGAATGCCAGGGGGATAGAGTAATTGATCGGCGCATCCCGACGGCTGTCCGAATGACATTGGTTTCGTATGGCTACGGAGGACCGTAAACCCAACCCCACGCCGTATCGATAACCATCCATCCCACACTTAGGTAGTCCAGCTAGCTCAACCGAGAGAAGAATACTGAAGTTTTCCATCATTTTTTAGCACACCATACAATTTACAGACAAACAATTAATTCAATATGGCGGAGGTCACTGAGTCAGGCCCCGCTGAGCCCCAGGCGAGACATGTCCTATACTGTGGAGGTGAGTTTTGCATGCTTGAGCCGTGGAACTCGTATATCGCGTTCGTTTTAATGCTTCAGACTTTACTTTTAGACAATATGGCTAAGTTTATTCTTTTTGGTTATAGTTTGCAGTTTACCGCCGGAGGTATAGTATTTCTCTTTCCTTCTTGTGCCATGCCCTACATGTACAGGATATCTGGCCACGAGCAATCAAGATACTCGATGGATGGAGGCCTGCCTGTGCCTGTTGCTGACTTAACCCGAATCTGGGGTGATCACAGTATTGTGAATTCGGTGGAATGGTCAAAAAATGCCAGGAATGGCTAAAAGACAACCATCCGGACATGTACGAGCGCTTATATTCAGAGGGTGAGTGAGAGCTAGTCGTTAGCTGACCCCGCTATGGACAAAGTTCAATTATGGAGAAACGAAGACTGAAACATGTCAATTTATCCATGTGCAGGAGCTCTTAATGCCAATCTCTCTACTCTCTCGGTATCCGTTCGTGAACGCGCAGCCAAAGACGCAGCTAAAAAGGAAGCGAAGGCAGCCCTGGCAGAGGCTCGCGATGCGGAACGCAAAGCAGCTGCGAAGGTCCAGATTAAACGGGTTGAGCGTAATAAGCGCAAATTTGTCACCGTCATTACGGGCTTGGAAGTCCACGGGCTGGAGAATAAGAAGGTAGCAAAAGAACTTGGCAAGAAGTTCGCTACTGGCTCTTCAGTGACCAGGGCACCAGGTGGAATTGAAGAGATTACAGTGCAAGGTGACTTGAGCGGTGAGATAGAAGAGTGGCTGTTGGATGTATACGGGAAGGAAATCCCCGAAGCAAATATTGAGTTGGTGGAGGATAAGAAGAAGAAGGGCGGTAGCTGAATGCTGAAAGGAACTATTCTTGGACAGACTCGAAATGATGTTCATTGCATGTTGGGTATCACGAAAGAGCTTGTAGTCTATAGATATTACCTAGGAAAAGAAAAAACGATGAGTGGAAGGACGAGGGCCGGCCCCCGTCGGAGTTCCACCAACTATTCTTGAAGTGTCTTGAGCCATAGGCGATTCGTCTATATCCGCTCTGCCAGAGATTAATGCGTGTTTCAGAACCGCATGATCTTATGCGGGACTCGACGGGTAAGCAGAAGGGCCATTTTGGTCCTGTGTATCTGCCGTCATCTGGCTGCCAACAAGCGTCCCCAGCGACCTTCCTGTCGAATACTTGCTCGATGCCATTGGCAACTGAGAGGCCACCTCAATAGGAGGAGACTCGGCACGTCGCAAACATTGGATTGCTATGGCGATGAAAAGAACAAGGACGCTGGTTACCACTGCAACCCAGAAGATGCGAAGTCTCCGGTTAGTCTGAGTCCGCAGTCTATCCTCCCGCTTCTCCCAGTCCTCGATCTCATTTCCTGCCGCTCGGAGTCTATTTCCAAGTACCTCAATCTTCTTCTTGCCCACCTTCATACGTTCTTCCAGGGCTAAAACTTTTTCGGCCTGAGCATTGAATCCCTTTAACTCTTCAAGCTGCCTGCGAATCTCATGCTCCAGGCCCTCAGTCTCTCTGTCAACGTCTTTCAAAAGTGCCGATGCAGAATCAGCCAAATCTTGGAACGAGACAATGATTGAATTGAGCTTAGCAATTCTGTCCAGTAAATTGTAGTATGTGTAATCAAACCGACGCGTCATGTCAGTTGCCAGAGTCCCAATCGATGCAAGAGAAGACCTCAGATATCTGAAAAGCAATCAGCACAACGACATTGTTTTCGCGGAAGGCAAGAATCTCACTGTTCTCCTTGTTTTCTCCTCCTTTTCGCCTGTTCGATATCCTCCATGGATCGAATTTCTTGTTTTTGGATAGATCCAACTCTCAGGCTCAAATCGCTATCACTTAGTATCAAAATTTCCTTCCTGCTACTCCCAGTACCCCCACCGCTGGGCGATTCAGACATCAAATGTGACTGAATCGGTTCACTTGTAGTAGGTCTGAGTAGGCCGTCATCCCCATCGCGGTCTCTCTCCTTGCCCCCCGGCCAGGTCGGAAGCAGTGACCTTGCACCAGTGGATGAAGCAATGTGGTTCATTTTTCGAGTTAAACGAGGATCGTAGGACTTGCTGCGTATATGTCTTTCTCTGTGAGGTGATTTCGAACTGCCGCGGTCGAAAAGGGAGGTGTCTATACCAAAGTGGCGGTGGTGATGATGATGCCGATGGTGACCGGTGTCGCTATCATTATATCGAACACCGTCATGACTATTATGACTAGAATGCGATGCATAGTAGAGCTTCCGATTACCCGTGCGGGCCTGGCCGTTGCTTGAGGCTGTGGTAGATTGGACTGAAGACGGGATGCTTGTTTTGTGGCTCTGGGCGGGAGAAGAGCCATGGGTCATGCTGGTGGACTCCATGAGTACGCATCTTCCGGGGATCCCGCTTCGTTCTTGTGTCTTTTTGTCCCTTCTTTCAATCACATTGGGTATGGTTGGTTCAAATAAACCCAGAGGTTGGAGTTTTTGGATGATAAGCGCGCTGTCTATGTTGCTCCTTAAACTCGGTTTAACCCCGAGATTGGTCAAAGCCGACTTCGGCAAGACATCCAGACCTGATCTTTCGCAACGTATCTCGTGTGATAAATGATTTGTCTTATTTTCCTCCTTCTATTGACTACAAACATATAACTCCATTGCAGATATGATATGAATCTAAATTCGTCATAGATGCTCCAAACCCCATACGCCGTGCAATCGCGGCCATACTGAGGCCACTGGGAAGACAGTAACCAAGCGCCTGGATATCTTTCCATGTATACCAAATAGACTAAGATAAAAGCAAATATTCAGGATATGTTGTTCACCGTTATGAGTGGAGCAACTTGTTGCGCTTCTCTTTCCGCTTCAACCGCTCGACTCGCTTGCGGTGCATCTTCTCTGCCATCTTCTCGTAGCGCTCTTTTTCCTCCTTGGCGGCTCTTCTGTCTTTTATCTTCTGGATGAGGGCCTAGTACATTATCAGCGTTTCTCATTTTGGTACAGCTTCCAGGGTTAAAAATCCTTCCTTACCTTTCTCTCAGCTTCCTTTTCTTCCTTCAGCTCCCTTTCTTGCTCCTTTATTGCTTCTTGATGCTTGCGTAATTCAAGTCTCTTTGCATATGAAGTCTGACCTGCGTTAGGGCGGAACGGCTTTTTGGGCTGATGCCAGTTTTTGCCTGGATATCGAATACGGGTCAGAAGAGTCAAGATGGGAGGCTGGGACGAAAACGAGTATTACGCACCATTCTTCCTCATGCCCAAAGAGGGCGCAACAAGAACCGGATCCGTGGCGGACATGACTAGTAATAAGCGAGAGAAGAGTGTGGAACTTTACTGCGGTAAAGGGCTTTCTTGACAGGAACAGAAAATATCTTGCTGGCCTAAGAAAAGTTATCTTAGCCCGATCAGATAACCGGATCTCGGCTGAAATTTCAACCGAGCCCACATGAGACTGCTGTGATAATTTTATATTGGGCGGAGAAGAAGACGTGCTAGTAATGTACTCGGGCGGATACTCTCCTAAACAACCACTCCTACCCACCTTTTCTTGGGTCATTATCCTCTTGGTCTCTTAGTTCTTCAGGCACTCCGGAAGTGATGTGTCTCTCTTAAGGTTCGCCGAAGTCGATTGGGCACTCCAGGTGAAAATCCCTCGTCACTACACCGCCGCCCCCCTTCTCCTCTCCCTTTTTGTCTTTTGTCTCCTCCACTAACTGTGTGTGATCAAATTCGTTTATTGCTCACTTGCTTGCTTAAATACTAGACAAGGGTCATACGATGCTCCATCGATAGCGATCGATCATCTCCCCTCTTCTTGCTTCCTTGACTTCTTGTCTGGAACCTGTTACATATAACTCGATTCCTTGATGGCGGCCGCAGAGCATGGAATAGCAATCAATGATGAAAGGTCTATGGACCTTCCATCGGTGCCCTCTAGTCAGGGTGTTGAGGCCTTTAAGGATGTCATCTTTGGCTCGGTATGATACACAAACTTTGGGGCATCATTCCATTATATTTGGCTCCTACTGACGATTTTCACACAGGCAGCGGGTATGGCAGGCAAGATTATCGAGTATCCTTTTGACACTGTGAAAGTTCGGTTACAGTCTCAGCCCGAGCATCTTCCCCTTCGATACAAGGGACCTGTGGACTGCTTCCACCAGTCGTTCCAGGCTGATGGCCTGCGAGGACTCTATCGAGGTATCAGTGCACCTATGGCAGGGGCTGCTGTAGAGACTAGCTGCCTGTTCTTTAGCTACCGTATCATTCAGGATGCGATGAGAGCCGTTCTTCATTCCTCAGACGAACCATTGTCCTTTTCGGTCTTACTTCTCTGCGGTGCTGCATCGGGATCAGTCACCTCTCTTTTACTCACTCCAATCGAGCTCATAAAATGCAAAATGCAAGTTCTTGAGGCTCCTGGCTATAGACCTAGTCCATTCGCTCTCATTGCTTCTATCTTCCGACAAAATGGAATCCTCGGGTTCTGGCGGGGCCAGCTGGGAACGCTCATTCGCGAAACCGGTGGGTCTGCGGCTTGGTTTGGAAGCTATGAGGGCGTTTCAGCCCTCTTTCGGAAGTACTCTATGATATCGCCGTCTGCAGGGTCATCTCCTTCAGAAGAGCCGCCCCTTCCCGTGTATCAACAAATGATTGCCGGAGCGACCGCAGGTATCAGTTATAATTTCATGTTCTATCCTGCGGATACAATCAAATCGCGGATGCAAACGGAGGATGTCTCCCGTGCTGCAGCAGATGGGGAGCGGCGCAGTTTCTGGGGCGTTGGCAAGGCTTTATGGCGGCAGCAGGGGTTAAAGGGTATGTACAGAGGCTGTGGCATTACTGTCGCGCGCTCGGCACCAAGTTCAGCCTTTATATTCTCTGTCTATGAGGGACTACGACAATATTTCGGATGAGACCCTGGCATGCCTTTTTCTTTTCTTTTTTTGTCCCCTCTTGGGTGAATCTACTTGTTTTGTATATGGTTTTTTTTATCTATCTCCCACGGCCGGTTTCCTGTGCATTTCTTATTTACAGGCTGACTCCCGTTCTCTTTTGTTATTATTCTTCTTTTTGCCATTTACTTTTCCTTTGTTAGGTTGATGCGATGGAGAAAAAAAACAGGGCACACCTTCCGAGTACATAGATGTGGTATTTTATTTTCGAAAATAATGGGCAACGTTCTCATATGTAATTCTATTGGTAATATTGACTGGTGGATACATAATATATTTCATATGTGCTTGACAAAAGGAAACATTGGCCCCCGTGCATAAATATCCATTCATAAACTGCGACTAAAAAAAAAGGGCGTCACCATTTAGGAAGGTAATCAGTTTAGCATGGAATAATATCCATATAATGAGAAAGTACACTAGAGCCTCCATCCTCCATAATATCGATGAACTTGTAGTATTGTGTGTTTGTACTTTGTTATACCTGTATGTGATAGTTGGAATCCTAATAATGTCACATGAATTAACAGCGTTGAAAATACTCTGGATCTTGTAACATTATCTCCCAGCCGACCGCCAATAAGTCCCGCGTGGTGTAGTGGCTAACATCGCCGTCTCTCATTGGTTCAAATGAACACGGCAGCCGGGGGTTCGATTCCCCCCACGGGAATTAGATATACTTTCTTCTTTTCTTGATTGTCTCTTCCTTTCTCCCCTAAAACGGAATTTCGCCTTTCTTTTTTTATTGATGATCAATGAGTAGTTGTAATTAATTTCGAACTTATATCAGGGCTACCCTTGTCTGGATTGAGACTGTATAAGGTTTCTTCATCTCGGATTCCTCGGGATGTGTACTCCTAGGGCACGTGAAGGGAGGGAATGTCACTTGCATTTGGCTAGTGCCAGCACTTCACAAGGACTCTGAGAGGTTGTATCCCATACCCCATACAGAGAGCATGTTGAGTATGTCCATGGCCTTGTCATTTGTCATAGAGACCTCAAAAATGACTGACGCGGGGATCTTCTTATCAACATCGATAAGATAAGCTTCCCAGCGGCTCGTGTATATCATAGAGTAGCATCAAGAGCTACTTGGCATTCATTCTCTTCATGCGTTCATATACAAGGATAGATCAGAAAGGACAACATGGTCTCGACTCTTTCAACCGAAGAACTACACATTCTCTCTACCAAGGCCACTGCGGCTAAGGAGGCTGCATACTGTGAGTGAAAACCCAAAGCCAATGATAATATATATCGCACAGCGTTATTTGCCAACCACTGGGAAAGGCCCATCCCACCGAAGGTATTTGGAAACTTGAGCTGATCAATGCGCACAGGTCCTTACTCCAAGTTCCGGGTCGGAGCCTGCATCCTTACGCACTCAGGCGAGTACATCGTCGGAGCCAATGTTGAGAATGCATCCTATCCCGTGGGAACCTGTGCGGAGAGAGTAGCTTTCGGGACTGCCATTGTAAGTTACGCCACCCAGATCAATGCATCTATGGAACGACGCCCTGAATGGAATGGATTTGCTAATAGTTATTTTCAGGTGTCTGGACACAGAGACTTCAAGGCTATTGCCGTTGCAACGGATATCAAACCCCCGGCATCGCCGTGTGGCATGTGTAGGCAGTTGTAAGAGTCCTTTATGGCCCCTCTCTCCATCTCTACTTCGAGAGAAATAGCCAACCCAATCGCAATGCGAGATATATGTTATAAACTAACATGAAAATTGAAACCTGTTTAGTATGCGCGAATTTACAACTCCCTCATTCCCGATCTACATGTACGACAAAGACGGGAATTACACAGTCAAGACCATGAGCGAGGTATGTGTGAGAAAATGGTGCTTTCCTGGCCTCAATAACCTTGTTTATCCACCCTGCTATTTCGAAAGCGTGCACCATGAGACCACTTGTCCTGAAATCATGTTCAGAAGACACTATTGACTGATATCTACTCACCACCAGCTTCTCCCGGACTCCTTCGGACCGGACCATTTGCCCAAGTAAGGGGCTTGATTAGTGTCTCATTCATGCCCAAGGGATATATATCCATATGGACTTAGGAACGGGGTTAGATAATCCATCCTTGAATACTAAATGTGAGTGGAGATCAAGCATATGTATGTTACATGTTAGGTGGTCTGTGAATCAAATAAAATTTCCATGGGCTCTGCTGACTATTATCTATGGCATTCTCGGATAGCTGCAGGTTCATCAGTCATGGATCCATAATCTCGTTCTGCTGCCTTTTCTTCCAACCAGGATGGAATAATGGGCACCAGAACGTACATGTCCATTGCAGCTTAGCATGTATCCATGACTGCTCAAGATCCTGCTTGCATGACTGTCTTCTGTACTGATCTATCGCTGATATACAGAAGACTGTAATATCTTGTTGGTAGGATATAAAATAGAAGAACTATCAATTCATCTAGATGACACCTGTCCTGTTCCATACTACCACTTCCAATCACTCATGAAACCATCTATATCTATCGCAGGTTGCCTCCAAGGGGCCGCAATGGGCAAGAAGGAGAGTCAAAATGTTATATAGAGGAAATATCTTTCTTCCCCCCTTCCCTATCACGTACATGATAAAAGTAACAGAGTCCATAAATGCTAAGTAAAAAGACATAATCTCTTAGCCTAATATACCGTGACACAGCGTAACTCTTAACCAAAACCAAAAATACATCTGTCCCGAAAAGCTGCAAGTGCACAGTAATTGACGGGGACGTGAAGCCTTCATTTGCATGTTCGTAGACCTAAAAACACACACCCGAACCAACCAAGTTAAGCTTCCTCATCCTCCTCACCATCAGGATCCTCTACACCGAGCAGCTCATCCTCGTCTTCAACGACGCTAGTGTAATCGCCTCTCCGGGCTGCAAATGAAGCCCGTGACAAATACGGTCGCTGGTACCCTCTCCCTCGTCCAAGACGAATGTACCCGCTTGCACTGCGCCACAGGCTCGTCGCTAGAAGAGGAAGGGCCTTGGCGACAGCCACGATGCCCGCAATGATGGCAATCGGGATCTCTATGAGACGGAAGTCACGCGAGAACAGGCCACCGGCTGAACTGGGCTCCTCGCCAAGTCGGATCTCGCCAAATTTGACATTCCACCTGCTGTAGACGTAATATCCAGCCGCCGCTGCGACAGCGATCGGGGTTACGATAGCAAAGAAGAGTCCCACGCCGCTGATTCCATGCTTCTTCTTATACTCCTTCTGTTTGCTGGGGCAAGGCTTTGAGACCAGATGGTCAAGATTCAGGCCGCCCGAGCATGTCGTCAGTGGGATGCGACGATAACCAGTGGGTTCCCAGTACTCGACAGCATCAGGGTCCCCATAGCAAGTTTCTATGGCGTTTGGCTTAGGGAGGCCAGGAACAAGACCGCAACTACCGTCGCTTTGTGGCTCGTAGTTATAATCACTGCCGGAGGATGTTAGCTCTTTTCACCCTCAAACATATCTGAGTTCATCTCAGTTTGCCTACCATTCATAGTCTGCCCTTGTGCAGGTGCAATTGTGGCTGACACTGTGGATGTGTGACCCGCGCCAATCATTCCAACATTGTGCTGACGGTTTCTTACGGTGGTACTGTTCAATGTGACCAAACAGGCAATTGTCCTCCTGGAGCGGATGAGACGGCTGCCAAAGCTCGTAGTCGTCATCGTCACCCTGATTCTCGTCCAGTCTGCAGGATCTGTCCCGTAGCCCACTAAAATCGACATTGATCGTGGCAACTTTGTCCTTATCATCGGACTCTAACTCTCTTCCCCAGAGAAGGAAGTTCTTCGAAGTATCGGATGGGAGGGTGGAAATATCATCAATCCGCATGTCGACATCCGTGAACTGAAATTCTTCCCACGTGTCCCCTTCGTTGATACTGTAATATAGGACCTTGGTCGGCGTAGATTCCGGAACGATAACAATCACCGAGCCCGAATCCCCATACTCCCACATGTATCTACCCTTCTTGACGGACTTCCACGTAATGCCGCCGTCACAGGTGAGGAATGTATCTGAGTTGTCTCTGCCCTCCAGGAATTCACCAACGTTCCCGATGCCCATCATGAGCCCAATAGCAGAACCCGAAGAGAAAGTATCTCGGGGATCTCTGCGTTCTGTATACCCGTGAAGATGCAAAGAGCATTTATCGGTAGGTTTGCCGTTTCTGACGGAGCATCCGAAGTCCTTGCCTCCCACATCTTTCGCCGGAGGAGAAAGTAAAGTCCATTGAGCCCCATCGTTGTGGGTAATCATTGTTTTGAGCCTTTTGACTGCCCCCTTTTCCTCCATGCTCTCCACGTTGCCCACCACGTTTACAACCGCTACACCTTCGAGACCCTGCATCTTTTCGAAATCAACGAATCCATCATCATTCCGGTTCACTGCATTGAGACTGAGGGCATAGGACGTGCCGTTGCTGTTGCTCTTGATGAGTGACCCGTATGCAGAACCTTCCATATTGTTCACAGTAACGTGGAGAAACACAGCATGCGTCGAGCTATCCAGAACAGTATAGGCCTTCTGAATAGGCACATCAAGATTAATAGGAAACTCCGCATCAGCGAAAACCCTACCGTCAACGCTGGCACTGGCTTTCAGGGAGTTCTGATTTTCGCTGTCTCGAGAGGCCACGATGATGAATTCAGACATCGTGGCAAAATCGACAACATCCGTGAAATGCACATTACTATCGGCAAATAAGTTGCTGCTCGACAACAACTGCAAGGGATTGTCTCGGTTCTCCTTCTCAAACTGTTCACAGAACAAGAGCTCATCGCTTTCCTCCCGATCTTCCCTGCTCACAAATTCGCATTTCTGCACATACCGGAGAAGTAAATCCCAGTTCTTTCCCCGATTCTTGCTGATATAGGCCTCGGAGTGGCAGTCCCCAGTCCCGCAGTCTGCAGCACCAGTCCAAATGAGCCAGTCCTTGTACTTGGGGTGGAAGCCGAGAACTGAAATGTGCTCTTCGTTCTTCTGGGTGGGCGCCTCGAAGGGTTTTACCGTATACCCGCGATCGACGGTCCAGTAGCCCTTCTTGCCAGAAGTGAGGAAAAAGGCGCCATCACTGTAATAGGGATGGGGGATAATTTCAGTAATTTTCTCATCCTCAAGGGGCTGCTCCCAAGTCTTGCCATGGTCATGGGATATGTAAAGCTCATTGGATTTAGTGCGCATGACAACAGTCTCGTCATTTCCGTGATTGCTTGGTTGCCGTTCCAGATAGTAATATTCGCCGAAGGTCTTGGATTTGAAGAAGTTCTTTTTCACAGTAATCGAGCCATCTGCAGGCACATCAGGAGTCTCGCCACAGGGCCGGTCGATCTCCTTGTCGAGGTTCATGCCACCTTCCCGGATACAGGCATTTCCTGGGATCAGCCTCCAGCCGGATGGGCCCTTGTACGTATCGCTTGGATCCTGGCATTGTGATGGTGGATACGACAGAGGTATGGCGGGGGTACAGTTTTTCCCATCCTCAGTGCGAATGAAATTGTAGTCGCATTCAAAGTCTTCAACGGTACACTTGCACGGCTCGAAGATGGGTTGCGGGTCTATGAATTCTTCATCCACAAAGCAGTCGGCGTTGGCCTTCCGACGGGTATAGAATTGCTTGTGTCCCATCAGACAATCAGGCTCACCCTTCTCATCCAAGCGAGCCGGCCATTTTTCAAAATCATCCTTCCCACATTTTCGCTCATGGAGGCCGCTGAAGTCAATCGCATACACGATGCTTTCACTCTCATCACCATCATCAATGGCGCCAACGAGGAGGAATTTCAAACTAGTAGAGTCAGGTGTCGTTATAAGCATCTTCGCATGGATCTTATCTTTGAGATCTAAAGTTTCCCATTCCTTGCCGTGATCAATAGAGTATTTAATCTTGTCTGTCCTGGAATCATCCGGAACTGCCAAGATGACGGCGCCCTGATCACCAAACTCGTATTTATGGGGCCCCTCAAGGGCACGGCGCCAGGTGACACCTGCATCATCGGAGACGTAAAGATCGCCTTCTGAGTAATCCTTGAGATGCTTGCCTATGTTCCCCACGCCCATGACCAGGCCAGGTGCCGGACTTGAGAACACACGGCCCACATTGGCGAACGCAGTGACAGAGTGCAGGTGCAAATCCTTATCCCCAACCCTCAGCGGTTGAAAGGTCCTCCCATCATCGAAACTTATTTGACTGATAATTTTCTTGTCTCCGCTACCCATTTCCACTTCCTTCCAGTTATCCACAACATTGACCAGCACAATACCCTGGATGTTGGCGATCTTCTCAAAGTCCACCAGGCCGAGGTCGTTGCGGTTGGTATGCTCGATGTTGCGTGTGAAATAAGTACCGTTCGAATTCGAGGTGAAAAGTACGCCCATGCCAATTTCATAATCGGTTGTCAAAACGTCGACCTGAATGCTGTAGTTGGTACTTTCTAGAATGGTATAGGCGTCCTGTTCAATCTTGTGACCGCCAAACTCCGCTCGATGCCATATCTTCGCATCATCCGTAACGTAGAGGGCGAGCTCGTCCGTACCCTGGGATTTTGCCGCTGCCACCAGATACTTTTTAACCGTGGCGGTGCTAATGATACCGGTAACGGGCCGGCCGTGCTCCAATTGCACCTCAATCCCATCCTTGTCATCAAGGAAGAAATCATCTGAATATATGAGGCGATTGGCATATCCAAAGGGGACTTTCAAACCCGGGACAATGCACAAGATGCGGTCCTCAATCTCATCTGACACGTCCAAGTATTCTCCGAACTGAGGATGCCCGACCGCCCAGGTGCACCCGAGCACATTGTCTCGCAGAGGTAGTACGGTCTTGAAATCATCAGTCGTGTAGAATGTTCTGGTAAAACAACCGAAGCCCGTACAGTCCTGACCTTCAAAGATCACCCGTTTTGAGTCCCATCCATGGAAGGAAAGCGGAGGGCGAAACGGCGTAGGAATCGCGTCAATATCGGTGGGATCCCACGTCTTTCCCTGATCCTTTGTAATCCAGATCCTTCCAATTGTGCCTAGAGCATAGGCTCTGTGCTTATCATACGGATGGCGGTAAACAGCAGCGACTTGTCCGACCATGCTACCATCCTCGCCCTGGACGGCTTCCCAATGTTCACCTCCATCGAAGGAGCATTGAAGACTTGCTTCCTCCAGATCATGGAAGACAACGGTGTCCGAGTCTTCGAAATAGAACAGACCGAATGGTTCATTATTTACGCGCGTCGCTGTTACCTTGGGTCCATCTTTCTTCTTTGCAGCCGCTGGCTGTAAGATGAGCACCAGGAGCAGACAGCTTAAGAGCTGAAGCCACCGAGGGGTCATGTCCGCCGTTCATGGAACATTTAGGAAGTTTGTTGGACAGAAGAAAGCTTGCCTTCCTGGATGAACTTCGCGAAAGATACTCGCGCGGCGGTCCGGATCCGAGGCGTCCCAAGAAGATGAATGACAAGGTAATGACAAGGTAAACGGTGAAGTGTCTAAATGGCAACTTGGTAAATATATAAAAGAAGAAGGTCCGAATAGAGCCCTACCGGGGGGAGATCATTATTTACGTGTTAGAAGCACTGGAGGCTGGTTGAAGCCTAGCCCGACAGCTGTGGCTCCTGACGCAGATAATCACGTGATATAGTGCTTATCAAAGCATCTGGACTGATAAGGAAGACACTACAGCGGGTGAAATACAAGCAGCTCCAGCACCTATATGCACGAACTTAATGCAGTTTGAATGCAGTGGAAGTTTATATGCACAAGACCAGAGATCCCCAGTAAGATGTCCGGACTGCAAATACTGAAAAAAAAAAATACAGACAAATCGTGTCAGAACAGAACAACAAGAGGGACGTGATCGACCTGGATCAGCGGCCAGCTCAGACGTAGTTGCCCATATTTCAGGGAAAACCACAGAAACCGCCGTCAAAACTGCCGCAGCGGAAACATATACAGATATCGAAATTAGGGGGAGACGGGTGGAGCCACAGCATAAGCGTTTATTTCAGAGGAGCGAAGCGAGGCGATGAAGTGTCCCCAGAAGGTGGAAGGTGGAACGAGAAATTTACACGGAAAGGCAGGGATAAGAGACGATCATCGAGAACTTTGGCCTAGTTGTCTCCGAAGCTTGCGCCAAACTTTTTTCACCTTGCTCTGCTTCGGTTCCTCTTCCCAAATCCGAGAACTAGTATCGGCCGGATCTAACGCAGCCAGCTTCAAGGGATCTTCAGTTGATTGTGGGAAGACAGACAAGTCCGTCGTCCGCAGGTCCGGCCTTGTCAATGTCATCCTCAATGTCATTTCACGTTGACCCCGGTATCGCTGAGCACCAGGCTTAGCGGACGGCATATACGACTGCCTGCAGCTGTTAAAAGATGCAGTGACGCTGGGTGATTTCCGGTCATGGTAACTGTCGAGGATAGAAGGCAGCCGGGAGGCTGCAGACTGATCCTTCTCATCATTCTCACTACAGAAGGTTGACGAATCGTCATCCTTGAAAAATGTACCAGTCAATACATAAGTGCTCGGTTTGGAGTTTGCGGGGCGCTGATCTGCATCTAGTCTCTCGTTTTCAAGCGCTGGGAACCCAAACTCCACGGCCTCGTCGAACTTTTGTGGCGAGGCCAGGTAAACCCGCAACTTCAGACGTGCTTCCGGATCCTGGTAGTACTGTGCGTCAGGATCAATGCTCGAAGTAGAAGAACGAACACGATGACATGGCTGGTGACCCGCTAAAGATGTCCGAGAGGGTGAGTTCCTATGTAGACGGCTGGATGGGTGGGGCTGAACGTGATGTGAGGGAGGACTGGCCGGATTGTGCACACGATAATCGCTCAGTGACAAATCGAGATTTTCGTCATCATCAAGCCAGTGAAATGAGTCGAGAAATGAATCATTCATTTCTGTGTCAGAATCGTCGGAAATGTCTAAAAACGCAGAAGGGGGCCGAGGAGCGATGGTAGTGTCTGATGCAAAACTACTTCCCACCCAAGACAGGCGCCGGAGGGAGTTTTGATCCACCTGCCAAAGAGCCTGGTCGGCAGCGTCGACGATAAGGCTGTGGCAGCGCGCCTGGCGGAGAAGGAGTTGCTCTTCTTTAGAGAATTGAGTCTGCTGGATCTTCTGAGGGAGCGAACGGAACCACTGCGCATCCGCCGGGGACGTCAGATAAGTCAGTTGAAACGAATTGCGCTTGCACAGTCTTTGAGACGACCGGAATAGCTTTCTTCTCAACACACGGTGCGAGTCGGAGGAGTTTTCCAACGGCCATAATAATGTTTCATTTTGACAACTGAGACTGCGCAAGGGATCAGGGGTATTGCTATGCACTGGGCCATGATCGACCAGTGCTAACCGCATTCGAAAGCGTTCAAAATTCGAAAAAAGCTGAGAGAATTGAAAATCCGTGTTAGCAAGGTTGGACGAGCGCAGATAGACAGTTAGTGGGACGACCGCCAATCCCTTGATGGAGTCGATGCCCTTCGATCCACATCGTGCCGTTGTAATTAATGATAGTTCACGCGTTCACCGTGCGCTGTCCTATCACCGGAGATAAGGAAACTCTGCAGCAGCATCATTCAACGCACCTTTCGTCTCAATGCAGGGGGAAGGGATTGGAATTCCTCCAAGCTTGGTAGGACCTGCATGGTCTGTCTGTGCACTTCGTTTGCACCAGTTAAAACGACCAATTGACATGAACACGATAGGCAAGCTAAGAAGCAAACTAAGAAGCAAGCAAGAACCGGGGTACTGACTAAATGGGAAGGGAGTGAAGAGCGTATAGGCGAGAGGAGGTGCCAAGTAAAAGAGAAAAAAGAAGCAGGAAGACAGCACAAGGCAAGAGTAAAAAGGAAGTAATTAAAGTGACCATAGGGAGGATAATAATATCCAAGAGACCTGCGGTAGGACAATGCAGCAGTCTGCATCACAACAAGCATATTTTTACTTCGTAGCAAGCGCTTCTTCCAGAAACCAGCGGCAAGAATAAACGAGAACGCAAGCTTTGAGTCGAGACTCGAGCGCCAATACAGTCGATACTTGCCATAATAATAACCCTCAAGCTGCGCGCCAGAAGCCGCGGAACTTCGAGTCAGCGAACAAAGTATTTATTAGAGACTGCCCAGATTTATATACGCATCACCGACAGGCAGCCACAACGAGAGAAGGGGTTCCATTGATACCTTTTTCTCCCCCTGCTTCTCAAAGGCTGTGCGTCTGAGACAGGCATCACTCCTTGTAAGCAAGGAAGCCCGAGGATCCGGAGAAGGTGATCGATCCAATCCGATCTGTTCGCGTCGTCAGATTTGGGGGGATCTGCAGGTGCAACAGTCAGCCAGTTCACAGTGAAATCATTCTCCGTATTACTTTTGAAACTGGAGCGAATAATAATAATAATTATCATAACAGGCCGACATGTTTGCTTTGTCTGGATCCCGAGCATCCAGGGCGCTTCTGAAATTAGCACCAATAGTCACATCAACTATCACTGAAGATCCTCCTCCAAGCAATGCAATGTGAAGCAGCCTCAATCACAGTTCACACGAACTCTTCCGATTCCTGGGAGAGGCCGGTACCAATGGTTCTCTAGTTCCTGAGATAGAGGAAGTTTGTTTAGTGGATTCGTTCAATAGATGAGAGACACGAACCGGCCCCTTGTTCTCAAGCGTCAACTGAAAGTTGCGTTTCGGAATAGGTCACGATCCTTCCATCCACACCTCGCAGTGGACGCAGATATGAAGCAACAGCAAAGAGATACTGCATACAGCATGCACGAAGTGGAAATTACGGCAGCAAGTGATTCCTTGTTGACACGTTCTTTACAGCCCTTTCTCATGCATTGCTACCTTGGACGCAAGGCAAGGAGCTCTGGAACAGACCATCTGTCAATCTCGTACTGGTGGCTGGTCTAGTGTTTCAGCCTGCTTCTATTACAAGGGAACGGCCTACCTACGCTGCAGATAAAAGGCGTTCCTAAGAAGCAGTGGGAAAGCATGGCGTCACAGTACTTAATTACTATCACTTCATGCCATAGCCCAGTGGAAGTTCTGTCACTGCAGTCGTATCTCAATCCCTGCATTGGGTATTTGAATTGAGTTGGAGAAGTCTTCATATACCATACTATACATGATGCTCATACACAGTTATCTGGGACAGCGCTGTGCGAACAAGAGGAAAGAGGAAGAAGGAAGAGCGAAAAAAAAAAGGGAATGCCCCAGTGCTTTCCATGAAGCGCTGTTCTCGGCCAAAAACCTCGAACCGAGCCGAAGGTATATGCCAATAGGGTTGTTTCCATCGTAGTAATAAACCAAGTAATTGACTCAGCCCTCCACAACTCCCCATCGACGGTAACTCATAGGCAAGTGAGTACACTTTGCATGGCTGGAGTGTTTGAATCTTCTCTTCGGGAGACGTATGCCCGAACCTCTTGTACGCTCAGGCCAGCTTGGGGGCCAGAACTGGCCCCAGTATTATTCCTTGACCCCTTGCTATCGCCCGCCGTCGCTTTGACCCGGATCCTTTCTCTCAAAGCTTCTGGCCCGATGACAAAGAGGTTGCCAACTTCCAGCAAAACGTCCAGCGCTCCGCCAGCCCCCTTGATCTCTTCATCGATGCTCCACGATTTGAGAACGTCGGTATACTGTGTCATGTCCTTGGTGACCATGAGCCCTCCAGGCCCATTAATCACGAACCGTTTAAAATGCTCAAGAAGGAGGATGCGCGTCCCAAGGGCAACTTCGCCGAGCAACTGCCTGACATTAGAGCCGATCGATGGCAGCGACGTCACCGCGATGTTTTGCAGGCGGGTCAAGAAGGCGCAGATTGAAGAACATGTCTAACGAGACCATTAGCAAAAGATTCACAGCCTAGGAGCACCATCCAGCATATAAAGCGCACCTGCGTCTGCAGCTTTTCCAGCCAGGCGGTGCTGTCACCTTCTCGAGGCCGGAAATCGTTCTTTTTCTGCCCGGATAACAGTCTCCCAATCCAAGCAAGAGCCGCTTCGACCGTCTTCTGCTCAATCGTATTTATCTTCTCCTCAATACGCATCGTTGTCAGATGCGTCTTCTTCTCCATTTCTCGGCGAATCGTGATACTACCACTCGCGAGGGGGATAAGCACTTTATTGATACATGTCACCATTAGATTCGTGATGCTAACAGCGGTCCGGACCGTTGGTAGGTAGGAGAAGTCTGGCTCCGTCTTGCCTGATTCTTGTGATGTCGCTGCTTCCAAAGCAGCGTCGAGACTGACCTCCATATAATTCTCCCCTATCGTAGACAGGAGCAGATTCAACAGAACCGAGACGTCCTTGGGTGTTTCATTGCTGACACTAAGTTCCAAGCCTCGTCCGACTGCCTCAGCTAGCCATTTGAGCATTCGCTTGGTGTACGATATATTCAGAAGCCCATCCTCTTCGGTGAGCTTGATTTCTCGTGGCGAGTCAATTGACTCCCGCAGACCTGCTACCTGCAAGAGCATCTTCCTGTGCGTTGGAGCAAGCTCCGATGACTCCAGTCGGTTGACGTAGGCATCCCTGGCAGACGACAGAACCTCTGAGCCGGACTTAGCAAGGGAAGCCATGAAAGTTGTCGCCGCTCTCTTCCGCCGCGCATGATATGTTGTGAATTTGAATAGAATCGACGTGTACAGATCCTCTAGATTCTTCTTTTCTCTCTCAATATAGGATGATCCTACGAAGTAGGGAACAAATAGGTCTTCTAGTTGCTGATCCAAGACCAGGGCTGTCTGAGAAGAAATCGGATCTGGATGTTCTGTCAAGCCATGCGCTTTCAGAGCATCGACCAGTGCGCTAACGTAGCTTCGGGAGCTTTGGAGAGACCGTAGGAATGCAAGTGACGAGATCCCATTGGCTTTGTCCAATACCATTTCTAGCCTTTGCTGTATGGATTGCTGGAACACACGCTGTAAAAACTTCCCCAGCACCTGTTCGTAGTATGGGAATGCCCGCTTGATCATAGCTGACTCTTCTTGGACGACAACCTTGACCTCGTCAACTAGCGACTGGAGACTGTGCTCGACTCCCGGAGGGTCTGCATCGGGATCCGCCAGCTTCTCCCAAGATTCAGAGTCCCCGCTCACCTCCTCTGTTACTAGTTGACTCCGGTCGATGAAAAACTGATGTTGATTGACGAACAACGCAATGACGCTGGCTCCCCCGTTGAAATCATGAAGTACTGTTGCACAATCTTTCATACCCTCGAAATTTGCCTTGCGGTAGAAATCATCGAACTGCTTCAGGAGGTCTTTCTCCAGCGTTTCCGAGAACTTCTCAATAATCTCCCTAGTATTTCGCCGAACGACGTTGGGTTCATCGCCGTTTGTGCTCTCGTCCGTAGATGCAGCGCCATTCCCATACGCCCCGTTGGTCTTCCTGCCAGACTCATCCCAGCTCTTGGGATCCAATCTCTGACTGATCCGCAGCAATTGCCGTGCGATTTGTGCGGAGCGGACCTTGGCTTCTCCTGACCCTGACCTCCTCAAGTTCTCTAACAGAGTTAGATCTCCCCTGTTGCTAACTCCATCCCAGCACTGGATTAGAAAGTGTGCATCGAGAGCTCGACGTCTCTGTCGGTCAAGCTCCTCCAGTTTCCTTCCAGTCTCAATGGCCATATTCCCGGTGCCACCTGCCAGGTCGCCCGCCAAACCCGTGCCATTGAGCGACGTGTCCAATTGTTGGAATGACTCTATGGTCTCCCTGAGTTTCTTGCCGAGCGTGCTAGTATTCTGTGCATGCTGAGCTTCAGCTCTTCGGACTGCAGCGGATAGTTCATTCTCTCGAATCTCCAGATCACCAGAGAGCTCGTTCAGTCGTGCTTGCGCATACTCGAAAGTTCGGATGAGGGGCTTGGGATCGAACTCCTGGTTTACGCCAGTAGTTCCGCCGGCGGAGCGACGGGATGGAATGCCGCTATCGGAAAGAGTCTCAATGAATTCCTTAACAATGAAGTCGCGACTTGAGAAATCCTCTAAAGAGAAACTGGGACCTCTGGGGAATAACGAGCGGGAGGATTGCGAGAAGATCGATGCATTATCTGGCATGTTTGCGGCCGAGCTAGTCTCCTGGAAGCATGGATAACAAAGTCAAGTGGTACGTGGTGTTTTCACTGGGAATGACTGGCACCCCGCAATGGTGCCTGCATCCTCTTGTGTCGCCTTCGGAGAGTTAGTAGTTGATAGTTAATATCCTGGAAAGCTCATCCGTAGAAATGGAGTCCTAAGAGCTCTTTTTTCCACGACACATCGCCTAATTGCCACAGGAAAGCTTATCGTCCGCAGAGGTTCAGCATAAGGCGACATAAATATACTCCATGCGGACGAAAGCCAAGCAAAGCAGTCTATCACCAGATCTAATGGCAATGCCCGCCAAGAAACTTGTTATTTAAAGCCAGTAGTAACCATCATAGGGGTACAGCAAGTTAGACAAAGTAGGCAACGTCGACACTCGCGGCCGGGTTATGCCCTGTTCTCAGATCTTCGACCTAAAAATAACACCGTAGCGGGATTATGATCGCTCCACGGATAGCTCAACGGGAGAGAGAACGGCTGAGAGAGCAGGCCAGCAATATGAATCCCGCAGAGCGTGAAAGCATCCTGAAGCATCACCTCCCAGAACCTATTCCCTTGGCGGACATAAGGCACAGACGCAAGAAGCCGCTCCGAAAGACTCCAATCCGTACCTTTCTCAAGACACTGTTGTATCAATTTACCTACACGGTGATTCATATCTTCTTCGGAATCTTCATCCGTCTCAGTCAGACCTACCATGCCGTTGTGGACCGCATTTTTGCTATCGTCTATTACCATCATCGCGCACCGGAATTGATCCAGAAGGATGTCAAGGGTTTGGAGCGTCTACCGGAGCATCTGAGTGTTATACTGTCGTTACGAAGGGAGGATGATGCACTGACTGTGTTGATGGACGAGGTGGCTGAATTGGCTGCCTGGAGCACTTGTGCAGGGATTCCTGCGTTGACAGTTTATGAGAAGACCGGTATGTCTATTGTATAGGAAGTGCTGCAGCAGGAATATCTCATGACAGTGCATTTAATCCGCAGGAATCCTCAAGTCATACATTCCCGCTCTCTACCGAGCCATCACAACAAAGTTCTCTTCTTACTATGGCCCTTCGCAGAAACCGAATCTGCTACTCTTCGCGCCTCATCATCCCGTTTACAACCCCCCGCGAAATGAACCACTCCCGGATAGCAGAGCCTCCGGTTCGAAGTCCCTAGTGTTACTTATCCTCTCCGCCACCGATGGCCGAGAGACTTTTGTGGACTTGACAAAGACACTAGCAGAAATGTGTCAGAACGGCAAGCTATCGCCGAAGGACATCACCACGGAATTAGTCGATGCGGAAATTAGCGAGATCACTACGCAACCGTCCCAGCCTGCTCACAGTAACGGCGAGACGGAGGGTGCTGTTACTCCCTATATAAAGCCCGAGCCAGACCTTTTATTGGTTTTTGGCCCTTCTCTGATATTGGATGGATATCCTCCGTGGCATATCCGGCTCACCGAGATGTTCTGCACAGGGGCCAGGACCGGCGACATGTCAGGATACGGCGAGGCGGTCGAATATCAAGGATTTTTGCGGGGCTTGTGGCATTATGCTGGAGCTCAGATGAGATTTGGACGGTGATAGTGGGTGCTGGTAGTAATATTCTATCATCTATCATTGTCTTTCGTTTCCAAAACGAACCAAAAAAAAACCTTCATTTACTCTTCTTTCGATCTTGAGGAGGAATTCATGGCCACGGCAGCACTCAGTTAGCATCTTGTATCATAAATGTTGATTACTACAATGGGTAGTAGGGTCTATCAAGGGATCTTTTTAATTTCACGAACCCTTTGATTGAATGGTGGTTTTTGACCCTGCGCGGACATTACAAGAGATCTATGCAGAATTTGAAGCGCTCAGTACTCTAATAGTAATAGAAATCTGGATAGCAGCCTGTCACCTCTATAGCCGTTGACTTAAGTGTTGATGGACGAAAGGCCAGCTGAATTCACTAGGCACACTGTAACGGAAGTCACAGATATATACAGATAGATCGATAGCTGCTAGTGAATGCAAATAGACTGCTATTGTAAAATAGCATATTGAGAAAAATATAGATAAATAGTGCAATTAATATTGTGCCCCGAACCATCTGAAGAAATCCATGTTACTACACCGTAGGCTTTCGCAATTGACTGATTAAATGAGATGACCGCCAATTCCCAAAACAAAAAAGACCAATGAACCATAAAGACCACTCCGGACCGCCTCGAGGAATGATGTGACGACATCGTGGCGTGTTTCCATGTTGCCCGTTGCTCCTTCCCATCGTCCAGCGATTAGTGATGTGGCCTTGGGTCTACCCTGGAGAAGGCCCCTGAAAGAGAGATACTTAAGATCCTTAAGATCCACAGAGATATATGCCCGATAAAAACCCCAGAACCTTGTTTTATATCCTGTTTCGTACGGGAATGACTTGTCCAGGAGGTACACCTTGCCATTGGGATAGTTGATCTCGCACACAATCGAGACAACGCACCACCTCTAAGCCTGTATCAGTCACACCTTCTACAGCGCACCAAGAACAGACCTTTCGTTTTTGTCTACATCCTAGCCCATCTTCGCTGAGGCATTCCTGTGGTGTACCCAAATTGTCACCGGGATGAAAATTTCTGTCCTTGCCACCAACGGGATCCGCAGCACCACAGCAGTATATTGAATCGCATTGACGGAGACAGATATAGCAGGCTCGCTCTCCACATAAGTCGCAGTCGGCATAGGCGTCAAGGACCTCTCGCGTTGTAGGTCGACGATGGCAGATGTGACACGGGCGCAAGGCAGTCGCAGATGTGGATTGTTGCTGTTGCTGTTGCGGTTGATAAGAGATGGGAATAAGAGTCTTGGGGGAGACAGGAGGTGAGCAGAGGTCCCTGGATGTAGGGACAGATACATTGTGTGACAGAAACTTGCTCTGCGATGCAGTGGGGTTGGATGAGGCCCGTACACTTCCAGCGGATTGCTGGTATTGCTGATGGTGTAGGGACGGCTGTTGAAGCACACGTCGTTTTCGAGGAAGACATCTGGGGCGAAGAGAGAGTTCTTCCCCGACGCAAGAAGTGGTATATATTGGTGTAGGTAAGGAGAAGTTGTTATTGAGCTCAGGACAGTTTAGTCGGATTGCAGAATTGAAAGGTTGGCAAGAGGAAGGGGAAAAGACGGTTCTATCAAGACCACAAGAGGCAAATGTTAGCGCTGGCTGGAATAGATTTTTTCGAGGAAGATCTCGGATGCCTCGTCGCTCCCAGGGTTCTTGCTGCTCCTGTTTCAGGGAGAGACATCACAGCGGACGGATTCTCCACAGTCATACTTACGGATGGGCAAGATTGACAACTTCCTCTTGAACTGAATCTCTTTTCCTTTTCTTCAAGCTACTCATGGGAAGAAAGGGATCATGTTGCTCGGGAGACACGCCCGGCATGGTGTTAGGAACGGTGGTTGAGAAGAAGTCCGGCAAGACCATCAACGGAAAAAGTGAGATTAAGAAGAAAGAAGAGGATCCGATGGATGGAGGTTCTAACAAGATGAGGAGGAGTAAAACGAGCGTGGTTGGAGGATGAAGAGTGTCGGGAAACCATGGATGTCGTTGGAAGCGTTGACTGCCGGTGTTGATAACAGCAAGAGATGGGCCAGGAACAATACGGGAGCAACCATACAGAAAACAGTAACAAAGCTAACTGTTTTTGGTGAGAGGTGGGCCCGCTAAACAATCCGACCCGCTCCCGACCAGCCGGCCCTAACCTTATTTAGAACGTGGTAAATATCAGCATGATCAATACGGTACAATACAATGAAATACGGCTTGTCGTTTATTACCTAGGTATATTTAGAGCATGGGAAGGAATAGGTAGAATACGCCCTAGCAAATGCTCTCTAAACGCGCCTGAATCGTCTTCTCATCAAACCGCCCATTCTCTCCAACGTAGTTCCGCAGTACCTCCAGCGTCATCAACCGTCGCGGGGCCTTCCTCCCTGTCACTAACTCGAATACGGCGATGCCTTGCTCTGTTAGATGCTCTAATCCATCTACCAGAACCCACGGCCGGCCTGTTCTACTTCTCACGTGGTGCATCTGCCGTAGCAGGGGAGAATAAAGGGGCTTGTATGCCAGCTGTCGTCCTGGATTAGTAATCCACTGGTAGGAAGACAAAGGAAAAATAGAGAGCAGATTGTTGGAAAAAAAAAAAAAAAAAAAAAAAAAAGAGAAAGTTGAACTCACCTCAAGGACTACTCCGCCGGTTAGACTTCCCAGCCATTGTGTCGGCATCTCAAAATTGGCAGCAGGTTGGTCACCATCTGGATCGCACGGTACGCAAGATATTATGAGAGAGGGTGGACAGGCGTCGGACGGCCAGTCGACTTCTAATGACGGCAGAACTCGAACGACCCCGGTCAAATCAGCCTGTGATGAAGTCACCCAGGAGTTGAAGTGGTTTGCCACAGTCTCCGCTCGCGATACCGTCCTATTATAGATAAAGATCTTGCGACAGCCCAGCTGTAGCAAGGCGTAAATGGCGGCTCGTGCCATACCACCTGCCCCAACAACAAGTCCCGAAGTTTTCAACGGACTTATAGCGTTGCGCGGAGAAAGATTGCGGTTGATGCAAACCATCATGCCCACCCAGTCTGTATTCTCTCCATACCATGCCAAGACACGCCCTGCCTGGTTGCGACGACTGGCCTGTTCTTGCAGAGAAAATACGGTCCCGTCTGCTCGAGCCCGGAGCGGTATAATCGTATTGACCGCTCCTATCGCCTCGGCATGGCGACTTTTAGCCGCAAGCTGGTGATAAATGTGCTCCCTCCATGGCTGGATAATATTAGCACCGCCAAAGTGCGAATCCTGGCTCAGTCGATCTAACACCGAGATGTCAGGGGCTTCAACAGCGCTGAATGTGTGATTCATACCACAATGCTGGAAGGCCGCGTTGTGCATCACTGGGGATAGACTGTAGGACACTCTGGCGCCTATGACATAGAACTGGAGCGGGTCATACATGTAGCTGTGGAAAAGAGACCGAACTAGATCTCGCGCCGTAAGTTGAGGCTCCAATTCATTGCTCAGGTTGCGCTTGATGGCCGGATGTGTCACCCAAGTGAGTATTGGATTAAGCAATTGAGAAGTGCGGCCGAAAGGGCCAATATTGTAGGCAATGACAGGGGGATGTCTCCCCGGCAACAATACGATCCTGTGAACAAAATTTACGACCAAGATATTGTCCGCTCTGTCTGTCGCCACGCGGAGAATACGCACCAATTGGCAACCAAGCTTTTCAGCCTCAAGATAGAGAGCCATACATCCCTCATCTTCCCAGGATACGCGGGATGACTGCTCAAACACATAGTGTCCGATGATTTTAGTCGTGCCCTTGTTGCGGATAATGCGGTTGATTATTGCCTGGTCTTGTCTCAGGTCCACAGCTAGATACTCCACCGCAACCCGGAGACCATGCTCTAGAATGTCATGATAGAGGCTGGAATCATGTGCAGAGGATATACCATTATTCCCACATTCAATTGATGGCATGTCAACAGACATGATTAAAGGAATCCGAGAATTTCTACGGAGCAAAGCGACCTGTTTGCTCACGATGCTGGGCATGTTGGGGTCCCATCTGTCCACGCAGAGCTCAATGACGTCTCCACCCGACTCGAGCTCGATGAGATTGATGGCACCTTCAAGGAGATTAGAAAGACGAATAAAGATGGCATGGGTGGATGATCGGCATTCCGGAGGTGTCTCCAGGAGGACGAAGGGTGAGTCGTAGCTAGCACGGTTCGAATCCCCTCCAGTGATGAAACGTACGAAGCGAGTGAAATCTTCCTTGGCCTCCCTCAGCTTGAACGAGTAGGCTGCAGAGCCACGGTCTACCGTGTCATCTTCTATTTTGGACAGCACGCTGGAACCATCCTCGATGTTGTAGTACTCAAAATTGGAACACAGTCGGTGCATGGGATCACCATGCTGGAGAAATTGGAAGCATGGATCATCCAAGCCCAGAAAGCCTTGTATACGGTCCATATCCCGAAGCAGATAGACAACAGGATTTGTCAAGGAATATAGACGTAGGTGGTCTTGGACAGGTTGAGTAAGACTTCCCAGGCCGCATTCGATCACGCAGCGAGAGCGGTGGTTATCAAGCATCATCTTGAGGACTTCTATGTCCCGGCGCTGGAACTCTTGGCTCCCGAGCTGTCGGAGGTACTCATGCCGAGTAAGACCGGTCACCTCCTTAAAATAGTGGTCTTCAGTGATGAAGCGCCGTTTCAATGCTGCAGCCGCGACGAAGCCTAATGATCGCTTCCCGCAACCACGGATGCCCACCAGCACCAACGAGGCATCAGGGTCAAATTCGCGGTGATGGCCGGCATATGGTTGATAATGCATGGTGTTGTACGCATAGAATTGATTCAAATCCATCAGATTAACGAAGAACCGAAGAAGCTCCGTGCGTGCGAGAACCAGTTGGCGGGGCGATTTTTTAACAAGGTAGCTATAGTCGCAAATTCACAGATCCCATTGTAGAGAAAAGCGTACATCCGATTTATTCCTTGGAGGAATGACTTGGGCTTCTTTCTTCATGGCAGACAGCAGTCTGAACCCTGTAAGTATCGGTAAATGTGAGAGCCACGGGAAGTAAAATCGGGTATCAATGGACTGCTGCAACAGGCATCTATGATAAAATTAAATTTGGCACTGCAAGAAGCCACCGTATCCAGATCTAAATGCTACCGAACTCCGTCGGCCTTTGTACATCATCTAGTTTGATGCTGTCTGGATGTTAATAATTATAATTAGAATAGTTAGTCGAGGATGTTCAGAGCGGCAAAGATATTAACCGTACACGTGACACATACGCCTTGTAGCCTCAGACATACACGCCAGATCCAGACATCGAACTCGATGACGAAGAGGACGCGACGACGATGATGCGTCAAGCTACGGTGGCTGTCCTCTTCGGTTTCGAATAGATCAACCGTGGCTGTGTCTCTATGGATAGTGAATGGCGTGGGTGGATTTTGGCATTTTGAAAAGCTTCAGAAATATCTCCTTTACACAGGGTGGACGATGCAAGGCATATCCGCCCTGGAATCTTATCCGAAATAGGGTTGACGGGCAGTTCTCCTGCTATCGTCCTTCTCTTGGCAAACACGTTGGACGATCCGTCCTCGCCATAGTCACCATAGCCCGCTCCTTGTCGGTTCTGCCATTAGATTATTTATTCCATGAATAATCCTCCTCTCATGGCATTCTCCGTTTGTCATAGTCAATTGATCCTCCATGGACGAGGGTTCCCATTCCCAACTTCCTCGACGGAAGAGAGTTTCTAGAGCCTGCGACCGGTGTCGAAGCAAGAAGGTGGGTTCATTTTCCCTTCTCTCTTTCAAGACCAATGTGTTGGAATGACTATGCGGCATGTGCTGAACAGCGGACTCCTTCCAGGACAAATGCGATGGTCTCCGGCCAACTTGCTCCGCCTGCCAGACCGCCGGCCTGGCTTGTTCATACGACCCTCATTCGAAGAAGCGCGGTTTACCCGAGGGATATGTTCGAGGCCTGGAGAAGCTATGGGCTCTTACACTTTGCAACATCGAGGGATTGGAGGATACCGTTTTGGCAATGATAGGCGCTACTGCGGAATCCGCTGAACGTGCCCCCCGCGCGATGCAATTGTGGACCGACGACAGCACATCAGAGACTTTGCACAATTCCTGGAAGTCCAGTCGTCTCTTCGGTGCTCTTGAAAATGCGCTGTCCGGCACCACTACCTCGCAATCATTAGGTAAAAAAAGATTGCGAGATGACCTGGAGAACGTGTCTGATGGCGCAGAAGAGGAATGGGGATTCCGCGTGCGCAGAAGCTCAGTACCTCTAGGGTCCTATGCTCCACACGTAACCAAGCCTTCCGTTAGGCCCAGTGTCAAAAGGAATCGATTGTCGAAGTCACCAGATGGCCAAAGCTCGCAGTATTCTGCCAGTGATACGGACGATACGTTGCGACTACCGTCGCATACCTCTCAGCTGTTGGATGTCTATTTCGCAATCACGCATTCATGGCTGCCAATTGTGACAAAACACAACATCCTACGGGCCTCTTACCAGTATCCCATGTCCCGATTATGTGTTTCTAGTTCATCTCTTGGATCCGGCGACCATGCAGCACTTTGGGCCATCCTGAGCTACATCACTGTCCAGTCTACCTTACAGGACAGGTCGGAAGAAACGCTTCCCAAGGTGAAGGAATATTATTCAATATCTCGGAAACTAATCCCTTTGGAAACCGAAAAACACGAGCTGGGTCATGTCCAGGCACTGCTCCTGCTCACTCTGGTGAGCATTGGCCTTGAAGACTGGCCCGCTGCTTGGATGTTGAGTGGACAAGCGGTGCGCCTGGTCACCGGTATGGAAACGACTGACCTGCCCGATGAGAAAAAACAGTTTCGGGCAGTCTTCCTAGGATGTTTTGTCATCGACTCTCTTCTTTCTTTCCGCCTCTCTCGAAGTCCGTCTATGCGCCCCAAGGATCTGGCTAGCGTGGGACTGTTGGAAGAGGATGGTCTAGAGGAGTGGAGCTCCTGGGTTGATTTCCTATCCCCAATGGAGCCTGTGACAATGAAAAACCCGCCGCGTCGAGGACCTCTGCTTGGTCTGAGTTGCTTCAACCGACTCGTCGAGCTGGCCAGTGTTTTAAACAGAATCACCTGCGATTTCTCGATAGGATCTAATGCAACTACTTTTTCCCAGCAACTTTTGCTGGACCTGAGACAATGGGAAGGTCATATGCCACTGGGATGTCGGCTTGCTGGTTCGGAAAGTACCCCTCAAAAGTCAACTCCAGCTCTACTTCCTCACCAGAGCTACCTTTGCTTGACTTATATTTCCATCCTCTTATGGATTTACCTCAACATAGTCCCCCAGGGGCAGGATTTACCTTCGTCTTCACTGGAAGGCTCAAGGAAGGTGCTCTATAGGGTCTTGCCATTGATTTCGCAGCATTTGGAAAATTTCAAAATGTGCGGCCTACCGCCAATCTTCGAGTGCCCCCTCCGTGCCATTATTGAGAAAGCCTTTACACTACGGAACAAGGCCCATCCTGATTCGTTCCCTTTCGCGCAGTGGACGGAAGCCCTTATTCAGCGCATGAATGACCTTAGTCGTACATGGCCAGTTTATCACACATTAGGTAAAACGATCAACTCTTGGAATGGGTCTAAGAATTTACAGGAAAGACCGCCCTTTCCCTTTGAAAGCCGACCGATAGACGGAACTCAGATCCCTGGGGATCCTGGACGTACTGAGGAAATTATGACTGTGGAACATCGGTCAGAAGCTGTCGCGCCAATTTACTCGACAAGAATAATGGGTGGCTTGCCATCTGTCACTGCGGGTGCCGAAGATGTAAAACCCGCCATTGGCATCAATATTTTAACGAATGGAGGTTTTATAGCATCCAGAGATACAAGTCCTCCACTTCAACAAGCTCATGTTCGCCAGAATTTCACGAGCACACTGACATCTCGGCATCGCCCTGATGCACTGCTGCCATCTGTGAGCCATCCTCAGTCGCCAACGACAACGCCCGCTGTCTCAGTTGCGAACAACCCAAATAACTCCACGCTGGCTAGGAATGACATACTTCCCCATAGAAATGGTCATGACAATAATCCTGGCGTACCTCCAGGATCACGTTCGTCCAACGAGATTGATTCCATTTTCAAGGACCTGGCATATCTTGATACTACGGAATGGGCTACTAACCGCGAGGCGGGGTTAAGAGATTTCGGATTTATGGATGATACAACTTTCCAGGCGTTTTGCCATGACCCAGACCGTTTAGCTGGATCTCAGCCTTTGATATATCCGTCAAGTATTCAGGATATTTGGCCACCTCCGGGCTTCTTCCCAGATATGTTCCAGAAGAATGACGGATGAATAGACCAAGAAGTGGGATAGGCGGCATTTAAAGCTAGCATTGATCTATTCATGTCTGTGACAAGGGCATTGCGATCAAGGGGACAATACGCTAATGCTTATTCGCGTGCCCGGTTTACAATTTGGGAAAAACCTCTATCCCTGTCTTGCAAAGAAGGGCCATTCTAGGACTTGAACATTCGGGTTATCCCTCGCCGCCTTCTTATTGCCTCAGTGGCACCGACTACCTTCAAACCATACTCTTAGTGGTGAGTTCTGTTTCTATACATTGAAAATCTATCATTCTGACGTCTTGTTCAAACTCAAGCTGGATATGCACCCCCAACGTTCATAATAAAAAGACTTGTGGAAGTGTATGGTGACTGGAGAGGATGATCGCTGATTCAATGCAGCTCTCTTGATGTCCCCTTTTGTCTTTTGCGTGGAATGGCACCTGAAGCCCCATACGTGACATCTTTCTTTACTCGCAACGAAGGTGGGTTTAGATCAGGGCCTTTCCAGACACGGTATAGAACTTCACGCATCAGGTCATAACGTAAAGTCCAGGACGCAAAGTCAGATATTGTCCATAGATGTATGAGAGTATATGCTATTGGAAAGCGACACTTGCAACTGTAGTCTATGACTGCTACAAGAATAGCTAGAAGTAACAGTATGCTCTGGTCCTAACTTATATTTCCAAAATTTCCAATATCTTCCAAAGAACTTTCTTTCCATTATAGACGATCGCTGAAATAAACACCAGGAATGCGTCCTGACCTAGACCTGTAGTTGTTAGTAGCAAGAGAAATACGAAAGTACCATAAACCGGCACATACCGTTTTCTTTATAGCAAGCTACTGTTTTTTGTATTATGTCATTGACCTAGAAGGCTGCCTCCGTAAGCTCCGAAGGATGACTTGCTTTCTGATGCTGCGCCGTCGTTTCACGCATTCCATCGTCAATCGTATATACTAATCAGAACCAAAAAAAAGGCGAATAACGAGAAAAGCTGTCCGTTGTACTCCCATTTCCATCCAATTTATCCATCTATGCACCAATCCGTCGCTATGCACTGCATATCAACAGACCCAATAATAATATGTTCTAAGGCATGTACTTATCCTCTTTACAATGTCCCATGCTTTCGACCAGGGGCTGAATCCTGTCCATCATCCATCCCGACTCGATTCCGGAGCGGTCAACGCCCCTTAGCACGGAATTAGCGATGGAACAGTTCCCACCTTCGTACGAGAACTGGAGGCAGTCTTTATTCTCCGCGCATTTCTGTGCGCAGTCTGTAAAGGTGGGTGTGGGTGAAGTGGACATGAGGCGGGAGTTCTGCGAGAAGTTATCCCAGTCTTCTTTCTTTGCATATGGGAGTGCGGACGAGGAGGAGACTAGGGAGAGGAAGTTGTTGGTGAGGTTCTGGAAGATGTTTTCGTGGAGGATGGGGGTGAATTTGTTCTTTTTTTTTTTTTGAAATCTCTGTTAGTTTCCTGGATGGCCCCTTTTCAACTTGGTGGTTCTGTTCTGCCTACCTGCTGGAACCAATCTTGTTCAAATCTCCACATAGTCTTTATATCATCCGCATTCATATGGTGGAACGACACGACGGGATGGCACCATGGTCTCCGTCCATAGCCATCGGTGAATGGATCTATCTCCCACACTCGCGATGTCTGCATCATCGGCCATGCCCAGGTCAAGGGAACGTCTGCGTCCGCCAGCGCCTTCCCTAGAACGCAGTCGCCGGCCCAGTGCCCACGAGTGTAATCCTCCAATTCTTCCATCCGTTGAGCCCGATGCTGAGATACCTTCTTCATGGCGGGATTGGAGAGAACAATGCCAGAGCCTCCGTACGCGAAAATCACATTACCGATCTGCATCTGACTACCTAAGTAGAAAGGTTTGGAAGCATCCAGTCGCCCCAGCCATTGCCCCAAATTCTGCCAGATGATGTAGGTATCTGCCTCCATGAACACATACCACTTCGCTTCGGGACGAATGCGTAGCGCCTCATCGATCATCGGGAGGAATTTCCACTTATCGAGTTTCCAGCCTGGATTGTCTGGCTTGCCGAAAGCGGAGTTGACATTGTTCTTGTCATTGGCAGTATCCGTCGCTTGTAATCCGGCTCGTCCGCGCTCGTGTACACGATTGTATAGGTCGAAGTCCAGGTTGGACTGTTTGACTTCTTCACTGACGTTTCGCAGTACGTCGATCGAGCGGACTACTTGATGGGTCAGACCACTACTGCCGGCGGCCGGGATATCTTCCTCGTAATCGGAGAAAACGGCATAGTGTGGGATGCATCTGAGAGTGGTTCCAATATGCATGGGAATTTTGTCGAGAGCCTCCGTAACGCCGGTTTTGAGGATGACCAGGACATGTTCCAATTCAGGATGGTAGTGGCAGGAAGTCGTATCTGCAGCACCGAGCTGCGTATGTGGGGATGTCGCGCTGCCTGGTACCGGTAAGGCAAACGGGAAATGTGTGCGAGTCTCATTCTCCAGTAGATGATAAATCAACAACAGGCCCAGGATAGGCGAGACGATGCAGATGAAGATCCAGCGAGTGGAATAAACGCGCCAGGAGATCATGATGCACCAGGACGGACAATGCCGGCGTTGGATATCACATTCGGCTCGCGGATCCCTGCTTCAAGTTCTCTTTATTGACTGATATATTAAATATATGATTTACATACAGCGGAGCGGGGCTTCCAAGATAATAAAGTAAAATCAAGGGAAGGCAGACTGCCGTCGAGTCAGCGCATCGCGAGACAGAAGCCGCGAGAGGTAATGATGATGAATTAATGCATGGAAATCAACTTGTCTAAACAAGAGCTGGGAAAGCCAAAGAAAACCCACGAGATTTGAGAATCAAGATCCAGGCCACGGCCAAGACAATAGTTACGAGTCCAAGCTTCTGCAAAGTCGCCGAGCCTCGTCATCAATTTCGTTTTCGATCTCCGCACGGCCCGGCGGCTTTCCAATAATAACGAATTATTGCCTGATTGGGACAGAAGATGCATGTGCTGCCGGATAAATCCATATCAGGAAGAGTTAGGTCTAGGGCACAGGGTTAGGGCATAACCATCCATCATGAATCTGCGCTGACTCATCCATGCTCACTCCAGAACCCTCCGGATGAACCGAACCACCGCTTCAGGACGAGACAGAAACGGAGAATGGCTTGCATCCAACTCCTCAGTCTCTGTAATACCAGTGTTCTCCACAATTATCCTCTGAAACTCAATACCGATGGCCTGATCCTTCGTGCACAGGAGATATGCGGCGGGGATATCCCTGTAGGCAGCATAGGTCACAGGAGTGAAGAAGACCCTATACACAGATGAGTCCTCAGTCTTCCAGCTGTCAAAGATGAGAGTATGCATCCTTTTGGGAAGCCTTACTTCACAACCTGCCTTTGCAGCAGTCCAACATAATACTGAGCGAGGTCGGGGGGAAGATCATTATAGAAATCCCTCACTGGATGTTTCGGGGTTGTCGTACCATCCTACAACCAAGGTCAATGACTATCAAAACAAGATTATCGAGCTGAAATAGATAGCAGGAATAGTTCACTTCATGGAAAACCATCTCTGTCCCCGGATGATCCTCCCCTAGAGACTCTATGAAACCGTGCCCTTCAACCGGCACACCAGCCGAAATGTAAATCAACTTGACCACACCACCAGGCAGTCCCTGAGCTTCACGATAGTTCTTGGAAAGCCCCTTCATGGCCTCTGTAGTCGGACTTCCGCCATATGAATGTGACACGATGACAACGTCTCGTCCAAGTATCTCGACTAATCCACCTACCACGCTGCGAATGAGAGCGACATCTGGGTAAAAATCTTGAATTTCTGCCTTGCCACCGACACTGGCTAGGAAGACACCCGTAGTTTGATAACCCGCCTTATGCAGAGAAGGGAGAAGCAGATCAAAAGCGGATGGGGTGTGCCATGCTCCGGGGACGAAGACGATGACTGGTTTTGATATCATTTCTTATTCGATGCCACTTAATGGTGATTACACACTGCAAAATGATGAGAGCTGCTGAGCATGCGAGAAACGATTATTTCTGTCGTGGCATTGTTCCCATGAAGCATGAATTCATGCCTGCATTTATATCCTTGCTGTCTATCGGATTCCGTCGTCCTTGAAATGCAGGAACTCCGACGCAGCCAAACAATGGCGACAATTAATCGATTGTCTTTGATGATCTCTCCGATGCAGCGGATAAACTGGCACTTGTGTAGTGTAGTGTTATTATCTCACGGCTAGCATCTCAGAGCAGGCCAACTCAGATAATACCGATCCCGTCATGATTATCTGGAAAACTATATGAGATGTAAAATAATGCAAGGAAAAGTCCAGAAAATGTGTGCTGAAAGAGGCCGAACACGATTTGGAGCCTCGGACGGATTTGGATCTGGCCTCGCTCCACCGGACTTCGGAGGACGTTGGTCATAATCAGCATATTATTGTCATTCCAGATTGCCGATCACGGCAAATTTTCCACCCGCAAGAAGATTAAAGACATGATAATGGTAGCATTAGGGGTCAATATGCCCAAAGACTTCAGCACTTGCAGGTGAAATGAATCAGGGCAACTCTGCTGCTACTTAAGAATTATCCGAAGTCAAGTTTTGACTTTCCGAGATTTTCTTTCTTTGCGTCCTCATGGACATAGGCATATTCTCCTCAGGGGTGTACAAGAGCCACAGAGACAGATGTAATGCAATCAATTTGACTTTCCTGTCGTATTGTGGCTCAATGCCTCCAGGGAAGTTGATATTGTATGTAGGGAATATAGTGCTTGGGAGCTGGCTTTTTGCACCAAGGTACCATTCAGACAATAATTTCCTTACTGGGGTTATGGTTGATTCAACTTGATTGAGGAAAGGACTCCGGTTAGGTCAATCAGGTCCATATATGAGAACCCTAATTCGGACCAACGACGGCTTTCCCCAGTATGTAGATCATAAGATATCCAGGACTTGTTGGTTCATATACGCATGGCAAAGAACCCCAGGACTGACAGATTTATGGATTCCGACGACAGGCAGCCACAACTCGAAATTAAGGAAGGAGTTCGCATCGTCCGGGAGCAAAACGGTATATTCCCAGTTCAACCAGTAATGCTAGATTGCGAATCTAGATCCAAGTATGTGGACCCATCTTTCAAGCTTCATGGAATTACCGGTATATCCGTCATCGTGCGCTATTTGAATCAAGTAAAAGGAACATTCTCTAAGAGAAACCTTGTTGCGATAGAAGCCGGGTTATCTAGATCTTTGGGGTGGCTGAGGGGGGCTCTGACGCTTTCAGAACGCATATTGTGCCTGATAAATGGGAAACGCCAAAACCCACTGGCCGCTCTTCCTGGGATCCGGATGTTGCTCTTGGTTTAGGAATATCGTCTGTTTATATGTTAGCGCAGCCATTACAACACATGTTATTGTAGGTAAATTCCACTAGTGTCAAGAGGTCGATACAGTTGTTCTGTAAGCAGTCACAAATGGCCCAGGATACATTTCAATCATGCAATTCTGATGCTCCATCTGGCCATTTGTTGTCGGCTTGAAGGCCGTGTAATGATTGCCAGAAGTGAGATGTAGTTAAATGACCGCGGTCCAAGACTATTGACTGGGGAACCCCATATAGAGGCACCAGTAGATAAGCAATATATGTCGGAGATATCCAAATTTATACAGAGTTATTGACTTGAAGATCTGATAGCACTCCTTGCTATTCCCAGTGTAATAATGGTTATAGAGTCTTGTATATCCCTGGGCCAATATGATGGTGGTGGTGGTGGTCTGAGAACTCTCCATTAACCACTATGAATAGGAAGATCCCAAGATATCCGGCCTAAAACAGATGGCAGTGTCATGTCACCTTCTTTGATAAAGCCCTAAGTCATTGAGCCTCATGTTTTGGGAAACTGGAGGAACGCTGTTCAGCAATGCCATGTTAAAAATAGCTGGGATCTGGATGTGCACCTTAAGACTACACTTTTAATTTAAAACTCTGTATGTGTAATGACCCATTTAATACTTGCAACCTAATATCTATGAGATCCTTCCATTTGTTAGAGTGGAATTCGTTGTCTAAGACGATGTAGGCTGGTGCCATGAATCCTTGATTTTTAATCATAGTTATTACTACAACCTCATCTGTCTCTGATACCTTGACAGCATTTGTGCGAATAATGTAGTTCCCCTGGTTTGATGATTCCTAGAGATAAACAAAAATGCCGTTTGAATCTTGGCTGAGCAAAGACCCCAAATGTCATGGGATTCTCTGACATTCTTACCTACCAGTGGCAGTCGTCTTAAATGTTGGGGTCAAGACTGACATGACTTAATTAGGGCAAAACTACATTCCTGCTACTTATTTGTCGTACAGATTCAAGTATGGGTATTCTACTGGCCACTGTCCTAACACTAGCACAGAGGCCTTGCTACTCTTCTTCCTGTCCCAAATGTTTGACTATGAGAAATGCAGCAGCATCTCATTGAATTGTCCCTGTGTTCAGTGCCGTGGAGCGAAATGAGAGGAGCATTTTGAGAGTACTAAATCATATTTTGACATTGATCTCTTACAGGAAGTGGCTATTGAGGCATTGGGGGTTGTGGGAGAAAGCTGGCACTGCCTTTAGAGAATGTTTACAAGGGAACTATTTTTATTTTGCAATGAACATACATGGTATTTTTATGGCCATTCTCATTGTGGGATCGATATTTCAATGCAACTTCTGTTCCTTGAAGCCTTGACGATTTCATCGCCATTCCTCAGCCCGCCCATAGCTGCCGGAGAACCGTCTATGAGATCGTTCACAACGCGCGTGCGCATACTGTTTTTATCGAATCTGAACTGAAAAGTTGACATCTAACAGAATATGAATATATTAGAGTCCTGTCCAAGAAAAAGCCCCATAAAATCTATGACGCGAAGAATGCCCAGAAAACTCTCTCACTGGGAAATCGTTGGTCTCACCAAAGTATCTCTGGAGTTCCCAAGCCAGTGAGAGAAGCAAATAGTTTCCATCGCGCCTATACCTATCTGAGAGCTCTATCACAGCCTCATCCAAGGGGCCCGTTGCGGGCAATATCAAGTACGCCGGTCTGGCGGTGCAGGTAGCAGTCGATGAAGAGGAGATAGGCACAGTCATGCTTGCAGAAAATCCATTCAACATACCAATGCGAGGACATCCCGGATGATGCATCGCAGATATCCCTGTCGATGCGGGGACTGGTAAAGTAGGCATTGAGATGGGCGTTGATGTTCTTGCTATGATTCAGCTCCCCGTCCGAAGCAATAGGGGATGAGAGACGAATAAAGCCTGGCGATTCCTACACCAAAAACACAAAAGCACCTTGTTAGCAAATCTCAAAGAGACTCTACAGCGCAGTATAAGAATGCGGGTGAAAATAAACGTCAGGTTCAATTAGGGCAAAGCTATGCACCATTTCATGAGTAAAGAGCAGAGTAAATGAATCATCTCTTCCCTCGCTCATCTGTTCATCATATTCCAATATATAGCTACTCATGAATCCTGTGCCGTCGAGATCCAAGAGTGTCTTGTGGATGAAAATGCGGTATACTTCTCCCGTGACGTCGAAATAAGCAGCCATCTTGGGGCACAGCTGGGAATTATACGCTTCAAGACACTCAAGATTAGGAAGAAGATCCCCCAATCAATAACAGACAGCAGCTCCATCATGCCCTGCGGAGACGATGCGTGGATAGAACTGGACAGGTCTAACCATATGAATCGACTGCCAGATGGTATCGGAGCGGCCTACACGAATGATGCATCTGGGAACTTCCCCAAAACTCCAAATTTATCTTGTATATTCTGGTGTATTGGATGGAAAATCTCAGTCGACGATATTCGTATGGAGTTTGTCCGAGATGAATAGCGGCAAGAATCAGCGTTCAACGCCCTGTAGGACGCTCTGGTCACGGCGGAGATCTACTCGCGCTCCCAGGGGTGTCTTGATACTGACATGGCGAAATAAATGCTGAAGTACATGACCACGTCACCCCTGGTGGCTCCTTCGAAACACCAATGCTGCTGGGTGTTGCTGTCTCTGCTGAGAGGTCGCGAATCACCAGAGGCGGAAGAGAACCCTCATCGTCTACTACGTTGATGTCTGATTTCCGGAATGGAGGGCACATTGTCCATGAACTTGTCGAAAGGAACTTGGACTTACACCAGGCTCTGTGTACTCTCACGGTTACCGAGAGACTGCTCGCGCCAGCCGCATCAATGTGAGGCCCGAGACAGAAGTGAATTGCCGAATTGTCTGGAAGCTGTATTGGGAATATTAAGTAGTCATTAGATTTAAATAGAGAATTTTATGAAATGGAATGGCAGAAAGCACTCCGGAGAAATATTGATAGGACGAATCCTCAGGCAACAGCGTTTTGATTAAACCCCAACAGCTCGTAATTTCGTGTGATGACTGTGAGAAGCCATTGTCGTTATTATGGAAGAAGATATTGGCATATCTTGAAGGGAATTAGAATCTCCATTGACGTCGAAGAAGAATTCAAATCTAAAGCTAGCATCCTGAACCTTTTCCTCAGTTATATCAAGGACCTGAAATAGCGGGTTTTAGCCGAGCCCATATAGTACTAGAGGTGAGCTGACCGCAGTTTAATATTCTCCTATTCAGATTCAAAGGCACACTTCATCAATTCCATGAGAATTGATGGAATCATTGACGAGAAGCCGATTCTTGTAAATATTTCTATCACAAATCTCCGCGTCGGTCATAGCATTAAAGCATTAAAGCAGACGAAATGGCGGTGAGACACAGCAGTATTCCAGCTCATTTCTGAATTAGGCATCATACCATGATCACCTCCCAAAAAGAAAACATTGCCAGCTGGACTCCAGTCTGCACCCCAAAGAAAACAAACAAAATGGGGCCATATACATACCACTAACAGAACAAAGAAAAAAAGAGAGACCTGAAAGAAAGCGGACAGAGAGAAAATGCTCTACAATGCCCTCATTCGCACCCACCACATCACATCCCGCAAGAAAGTCTCCGCTCTGAAACGCGCAGCAGATACGTATCACTGCTCTGTTCTTCTCCGCTCTGGTGGTATACCGGGCATCATGTACGTTGAGGGACGGGAAAAGAATGATGTCGAGTCGTGGGTTGGTGTTGTGAAGGGGCTGAAATATAAAGATTTCCAACTTGTTGCGCGGCCCGGTCCTTTGGAGGCTGAGGATAAGGATAAGGATAAGAATGGGAACAGTGGTAGGAAAGACATAAAATCCGGAAAGAAGAAGGGGAATAGGGCTGCAGCCGGTACTGGTGATTCAACTGGGCAATCTATGGATGCCAAGATTGGCTTGGAGGAGGTGGAAAGTGTCAAGGATTTCGGCGGTTTGATGGCACAGAAGGGGGTTTGGAGATGGTGGAGGAGAGGCATGGGATACGAGAATACAGACGGTTGAACCTTGAGCCTGAGATGGGTTGCGCATCCTTATGCCTAATGAGTGCTGTGTGTGCATGTTGCGGCTTCAACCGCAACTAAAACCAGATCAAGGCCTATACAGCTGCTGCGCTGTTATTGAAAAGATAGTTTCAGTACTGATTCAGGACGGGATTCAGCGCATGAGGCGAATATCTTATGAGCAAGGATACAGAAAACGCGCTCGACTTCAGAGAGTCTGAGCCCTGGTTCCTTGCGGACAATCCACGGCAAGTCAAAACCTGGACGCAGCGAGATCATGAAACCCCAAACTAGATTATTATTAAACCCATAACCTTTGCTCGTCTCGTATATCCCGAAATTCAAACCAAAAAAACAACGCCACTATACGCCAACAAGAACGATACAAACCAGCCAGCCAAGCCCCAAGTAATAGACGCCAGAGATTAAACCCGAACCGCATCACCAAATTCCCCCAAAGTGGATCCGTACTGAGATCAAACTATATGATCACAGTATTCTACCTCGCTATAAACGAGACTCGCCTGTTCCCGCACTTGCTGAGCCTCCGCCTTGGCTTCCTTAGACCTCTGCCCAACAGATGCGGCCCATCTCACAGCGCGCCTGTGAGTGTCCTTCGCTTCCTCAATCTCTGCAATTGCAGCATCGGTTTTCTTCTTGGCATCGCTGAGCATCCTGTCTACAACAAAGGCCTTAGATTCGATCTTCTCGACCCTTCTCTTGGCTTTGCGGGACTTCTTTTCCGTTTTGGCGGACTCCTTGCATGCCTTTTTGGCATCTTTGCGGGCCTGTTTGATTTTCGTATTCAGTTTTATATCTCCGTCTTCGGTTTCGAGGAAGAAGACGATCCTTTTGAGGCGGAGATGCAGGATTTTCCTAGTGTCATTAGTTACTTCGTTCGCAGAGCGAAAGCAGTGTATATTGTTCTCTTCCGTGAAAGGACAAGCAAATCAAGAAACAAAAGGACAGGAAGAAAGTGAAGAACCTACATCAAAGCGCCACAATCTTCCTTATCGAGCTTCCTATTATTTACCACTCGCTTTAAAAATGCGGGAAGCGTCATGGTTGGCGACGGTTGCCGACCATCATTGGCGAAGCAACCGCAATTCACAACCCGAATTGCATCAGGGATCTCTCGATATGCCGGCAATGTGAGAGAAGCCGTCTGTTTTTCGGGAAGTTCGTATTCTATCATTGTTGAATTTTCAGACATATTGAATAGTCAATGGGATAGGATAGGAAAGCGTCGAACAACGTTGTCTCGACTAGGATATCCTGTCCTTTGACCAAGCCCGTCTTCCGGCAATGCGGCTGTCAACAGGTAAAAGGAGGAAAGAAGTGGTGTCGGTCAATTAAAAAGATAACAGCATGGTAGAAAGGAAAAATCTTCCTGTGAGGGGTAGGTATATGCAAACTATGGATAGCTAGTATTGTGATCTCATAGACCATCATATATTTTGATCCATCGAAGATAACAAAGACTTTCAATATAAGCGTCCAAGATGGATGCATGGGACAAACCAAAAATTGACGAATACAAGAAGGTCTAAAAGAGGAACCGGTGCGGGTACGTTGGCTTTTGCTCGCTTTGAGTACACCTTACCAGGGTGTCACCAAGAATTGAACCCTATCCAAAAATTCTATACGTACGGCGTCCGTTGAAAATGGCCCGTCCACAAATTAAATATCCAAGGTCCTTGGCTTTTGTACATGGTTTGGAGGTCGTAGAACTGGATTTATTGACCAGCATAATTGGGCTTTCCCCGCCATTCAGGAGCTGGATAACTGAGGAGTTTGCAGATGTCCTACCACACTAGTTAGTAATGTTAGACATAATATCTGCAGGGACCCGACAAAGGCAAACCTTTCTCTTCTTGCGAAAGTCTTCATATAGACCCTTCCAGATATCTCTATCTCGGCACACACCTGGCTTGTTGTTGCACTTAGGAATCATCTCAGCAAGCAGGCTACGTGGCCACATGATCCAAGGTTTGGGAAGTGGCCAGTCTGAAAAATGCACGAATTTGGCCTCGGCCAATGCTTTATCAGGATCCCAAGCTTCATCCTCAGCACCCAAAAAGCTTTTGTGGTCTGTAGAACGGAATTCTCCAGTCACTAGACCATACAGTCGATGTGGAAGCACCAAGGCAGAATCAGCATAGCGGCGGTTGAGCAATTCCATGTCATACCTGCGAGTTGAGTTATCGGGGTTAGTTTCTTCGCTCATAGCCGATTTCGCAGCATCCATGAGTGCCGAATAATCCTTGTGAGAGGGTTCAACAACTATCAGATGCGAGGCTAATTCTTTGGACTCTGGAAGCATGTCATATGCCCGAGCCATTGCGACTTTGGCCGCCGGCAGGAAGAAGAGTTCATCCATGTTTCCCAAAACGACTGAATCGGAATCAAGATGAATGACGCGGTCATATTGAGTTTGCCCAAAGGCCAGAAACTTCGCAATGCTGGTGTTCCATGACTGGTCGGCTCCTATCCCTCCCCTGATCACTTTATCATCAACTGCCACCAGCAATGCGTTATACTTGTCGCGAGCCAAGGCAAGCAACTGACTGTCTCTATCCGTGGACTCTTTTGAGCCAACGCCCCATCCATCCGGGTAAAACAGAACGCGTTCTGCCCGGCTCCCCACCCGCTGTAAGGAATCGAGTACCATGACGGCGTTGCAAAGATACGCCGTAGAAGTTGCATACTGGCTATATGCGAAACGGGACCAATCGATGCGGTCATACTGGATGGGAGACAACGCAGGAGAGGTCGAGGAATGCCGGTGATGGAGGAAGATCAGAAGGGAGAACAGGGCCAGCATTACCCAAGTCCGAAAGCGGCGCAACTGTCGCTTGACCATGGCGAGGCATGGCTCCTCAGCGATATCAAAGAAATCATCTTCGGAAGAAACAGAACCCCTGCGATGATAGGGTAATACAGTGATCTTCTTCACAGCCATATTGCAAGACAGTGGAGAATATAGGTGGCCATTTTCAGGTCAAGGATGTGCTGTTCTTTGACACAAGGATGCGTCGTGTTCTGCAGAGATCCGGGGAGATTTCCTGTTGGATCACGTGGGATTCTGCCGCATAGGTCCGCCCTCGCTGACCCTTTTCACCACGTAGGCCTATCTAGCTAGTAACCAACCAACAATACACCTCCATTAGGTTATGAGCCCGTTTCTTGCTCGGAAATATGAGCTATTTTAGGCCCGTATAAGTGGTCAATTTAAGCCCTCTGATTGGCTGAACCAAAATTCCATACCCCAGATTCCAAAAATTCCAGGATCCCAGATACGGTCCGAACCTGAGCATGTCAGGAGAACCTACTACGCCTCCCGCTACTGCTATACGACGATCACGTCGCCGAAATCTCCAAAACAGGTCCTCGAATATAGACGAGACCTCCTCATCAGTTGTCTCTGAAGAGATAGAGACCCCAACGCCTTCCGGAGCCAATCTGAGCTCTACCAATACCGCCAACATGGCTTCCACAAACGAACTTACCCCTGATCTTGCTGATATGATGCGACAAATGCTTGCTCGCCAGAATCAGATGGAACAAGATATGCGAGACCGTGAAGCTAGAATGGAGCTAAAACTGGCATCTATCATCCAGTCTAATACTCCACAAGCTTCCTTGCCTTCAAATACAACCCAAGATACTACACCAATGGATATCCAACCGCCTCTGCGTGATGCCTCAGACACAAATATCAGCAATGCTATTGCCCTTGTCCAAGCCGATGTCGATACGCTACTGCCTGACCGATGCCGTGTCATCTTGACACTGGATAATTACGATGCATGGAGCTCTGCCATACAAAAAGAAGCTGGTATTCTCAATGCTATTACAACTCTTCACCAGGACTCTCCTCCTGCTGGATCATCTCCACTTGATGCTGCAGTTTGGCACAGAAAAGCCATTGTCATGAGAGCCCGTATGCTCAATGCCATGACAACCCCTGCTTCCGATAAACTAGGCACCGTATATGACCTCTCTGCCCATGGTCTTTGGGACCGAGCTGCCACACTTTTTGGCAAATCCACCGGTGAAGAGCGAATGGCCCTTACCATGGAGCTCAAAGAGCTCTATATAAAGGATAACGATTATCTCACCTACCAGTCATCCTTTAATCGAATCTTTGACCGCCTACACGCTATTGGAGAAGAATCTCTTGAAAATCTCAAACATGACCTCTTCTTTATAGGTCTCCGGGACTGGAACCGCGCCTTTATCAAGAGTAAACTAGATGATGTCTACTCTACTGGCCGTGCTCCGGTTACCAACCTGGATCTTAAGGTTATCCAGACCCAATTATCTACTCGAACCGGCACTAAATTCCGTGATACTCATTCTCAAGACCGGTCAAACCAACAGAAAGAGAACTCCCAGAACCGCAGTTATTCAAAACAAGCATCTGGAACCAAATACACAATTCCTCAACGTTCCAATAACCAAGATAGATCTCGTCATACACTTATAGACTGTGATCACTGCGGAAATCGCCATGGACTTATATGCTATTTTAAACATCCTGAGAAAGCACCAGAGTATAGACGCAAGTTCTATACTACTATGGCTAATGCTCTCCGTGTTCAGCAACAATCTGAAGCAAACCCACAATCAAACCAGGATCACCCTGCTTCACAGGAACTTGTCTTGCATAAGAAACTCTCCAATGCCAAATCTGCCATTGTGAAGTCTGCAAAGACTCTCTCATTTTCCAATCAATGGTTTGTTGACAGCTGTGCCTCTTTCCATTCTACACCTGACCGTTCACTTTTTGCAACCTATAAGGCCTTGCAGAAGCATGATCTGGTGGAGACAGATTATATGGAAGGTGCTCAAGGCCATATCTCTATGCCTCAAGGCATTGGCACCGTGATTATAGATATTGGTTACGGATCTCTGATCCTAAGAGATGTCCGCCATGTTCCTTCCTTTACTTCCAACCTCATTTCAGAAGGCATGCTTGTACGACAAGGCTTTAGGCTTCAATATACACTAGATTGTGAAGTCAAGCTGATTACCACACCATCTGGAGCTGAATTCCAAGCCCAATTGTTCAAAAACAATGTTTACCTCCTTGAAGACTGTCTATCTCCTGGAGAAGAAGAAAATTCCTATGCCTTTGTCACCACCCGGTCTGGCAAAGAAGTTAACCGCCCAGAAGAGCCACCTGCAAAGGCTCCCACAATTAAGACACCAGCTGAGGCTCCTACTCCAAAAGAGACCCCGGTTCTAGGGAAGCCGCGAACTACTAAGATATCCCTACCTATCATGGCCTGGCACCGACGCCTATGCCATCTCAATCAAGCCGATCTCCTCCGCCTCGCCCGAGATCCTGAGTCTTGCATCGAAATCAAAGGCTCTAAAGAACTCCCATTTTGTGAAGTCTGTATACAGGCTAGACAGACACGCTATTATAGCAAGGTCCCTAGGTCCAGAGTTACCAAACCCCTTGCCCGAGTCCATCTAGATATCGCCGGCGGTGGACAAACTCTTGATTTTGACAACCCTAATGATGTTGTCACTGGCCGAATTGGGGCAAAATATGTCTTACTTATTACCGACGATGCCACACATTATCGATGGATCCTCTTCCTTGAGACAAAAAGTGCAGCCATTACCGCCTTCAAGAACTGGCTTCAAAATATGAAGAACCATGGCTTCACTGCTCCTGCCTACCTAGTCTCTGATAATGAATTCCGCTCCACTGAATGGATGGAAACCTACCGTCAGGAAGGCATAGAATGGCAACCAAGCTCGCCATATTCACCATGGCAAAATGCCGTTAGTGAACGTGGCATCCGGATCCTTTTGAACGGGCCCGAGCTATGATGCTTGATGCCCCATATATACCAGAACGCTTTTGGGTAGATGCTCTCCAATATGCCACAGATCTTACAAATCGGCTCCCTACATCTACCATCTTATACAATTCCCAAATTCCTGGGGGGGTGAATATCAACAAGGACATACACCCCAGCCCTTATCGCGCTCCGTTGGCAGCGTGGACTAATTCATCCATTTCTTCACTCCCCGGATATCGCCGTTGGGGGTGTCCAGCCTGGGTCCATCGGCATGGACCAGATAAACCTGGAAATAAGCTTGATTCACGTTCTCACTGCTGTTTCCTCATTGGCCAAATTAGTAGCCATCAATATCGTGTTTGGGACCCTAAAACTGACACCGTCTTTGTCACCAATGATGTTATATTTGATGAGGATTACAAAGATCCTACAACTACCACTCCCAAAGGTCCCAGCACCCCTACCGAAGAAAACCCAACTCAATTAGTTGAAGATGAACCTCTCAATGACCAAGATATATGGCTCCGACCTGCCAAAGGCATGTCCCTAGCTTACTTTGCCACTTCAACCATTCCTTCATCAGAAGACAACACGCCTACTTCTTATAAGCAGGCCATATCCCATCCTGATGCTGCTAAATGGCAAGCTGCCATGCAAAAGGAAGTCAACCAACTCAAAGAGAAAGGCTGCTGGCAACTCATTCGCCGTTCTGACCTACCACCAGGGGCCAAAGTCATCCCTGGCCGGTGGGTATACAAAAAGAAAGAAATCCCCGGCATACCTATCTCAGAGGATTATCAGGCTAAAGCCCGCTGGGTCATTCGTGGCAATCTACTTGATAAAGACTTCATGGAATCCTACGCACCAGTGGTAAATGAAAATACTACCAGAACCCTCACGGCACTGGCCACCCTGCTTGGCTGGCATACCCGAAAAGCTGATGCCACCCTTGCTTTCCTAAATGGGAAAATGCCCACGGACAAACGTGTCTTTATGACCCAAGTTCAGGGATTCAAAGAAGGTTCTGGAGATCTTGTCTGTGAACTCCTTCAATCCCTCTATGGATTGGTCCCATCTGCCCGCATCTGGTATGATACTCTGGGTGCTTTTCTACGCCAAATCAGCTTCAAATGCTCTGAATATGACTCTGGTCTATGGATCCACACTACCCGGACCCAACTCTATGTGACCACCCATGTGGATGACTTCAAAGTCTATGCTAAACATGAAAATGATGCCATCTGGTTTATGGAGACTCTCTCCGCCAAATTTGACATAAAAGAAGTTGGAAACTCTACCAAATACCTTGGCATGACCATCTCCCAGTCTGAGACTTCATCTTCTTTATCTCAAGCCGACTACACTGAAGATGTTGTTGCCTCTTTTGGTCAAGCCCAAGCACATCCTGTTAGGATTCCAATGGATCCTAGCCTAATAATTGATGATGAACCAGACCCTACAGTCAACACCAAAGAATATCAACGTGGTGTAGGCTGCCTTACCTGGCTAGCCACCAAAACCCGGCCAGATCTTAGCCAGACGGTTGGCATACTATCCCAATATAACGCCAAACCCACCCAAAAAGCATGGCGTGCCCTTATACACGCCATACGCTATCTTAAAGGCTCCATCAATCGGCAAATTACCTATCATAAACCCACGGAGTCCATTACATCTGACCTCCTCATGCCAAAATGTTATACCGACTCTGATTGGGGTGGCCAACTGACAGGCAACCGCCGGTCAGTTTCTGGATACATCTTTCTGCTTGCCGGAGCCCCAATTGCCTGGAAAAGCCGCAAGCAAACATCCGTTGCCCTTAGCTCCAACGAAGCTGAGTATATGGCTCTAAGCGAAGCCAGCCGTGATGCCCTCTGGCTCCGGAATCTCATCAACGAGCTTAATGTGCTCCCAACTGAATGCCCACCAATATCTCTTCATATCGATAATCAAGGTGCCCACGCCATGGCTGAAGCCGAGCTCACCACCAAGAGATCCAAACACATTGACATACGCTACCATTACGTTCGGGAGAAGGTCCGAGACGGCATTGTTAAACTTCAGACCTGCCCTACCAAAGAACAGGCAGCAGATGGCCTGACAAAACCTCTCCAAACTGAACGATTCAATCATTTCCTGGAACTCACCGGCATACATTAAGCGGCGCTTGTTCCCCCATTTTGGTTATACTTTCTATTCTGATTTACGGCTTCTGATTGGCCAAAGCGGAACCTCTCACTTCTCTGCTTAATTTTGCTTTTACTCTCTCATTTGGAGGCCTGAATAGAGGCCGATTTTTGTATTTAAATTCTTTAGATTAGTCTTTAGGCCAGCTCGTGCGTGGGGGGGTGTTGGATCACGTGGGATTCTGCCGCATAGGTCCGCCCTCGCTGACCCTTTTCACCACGTAGGCCTATCTAGCTAGTAACCAACCAACAATACACCTCCATTATTTCCCGATGGGACACCACGTGACCGTCCCTGGCGATCAGTTCTGGAATCTCTACGCTTTCGTCTCTACCTCGAGGCATATAACCCTTGATTTTGTCTGTCTGTTCATTACTATCGTATCTGTTAGGTGTGTGTTGTTGTCGTTGTCTACTATACAAGCCAGCCCCCTTAACGCCCATCCAGCATCATGCACGCCATAATCAGACGGGATAACTCGATAGACCCATCCATGCCTGACTTGTCCGGCCAGATACTCTCTAAGGAAGCCCCTGATCGCTGCAACAGCGTGCGAGGTATTTGCAGAATGGAACTGCTTGCTATCTCTAGCTTTGCCTTTTCGAACTCCTCGGCAGTACGGGCCTTCCAAAGGACATCGGGAGCAGGCAGAGCAATATTAAACACGAGATCATCGTCAAGTGGCTCGTAGAAATTCGAAGCCGCACTTTTTATCAACTGCGATAGCTTGTTGATCACATTGACCAAGTGAACGGTCCGTCGCAGAGTTTCTGCTAGTTGCCAGGTCTCCCAGTCCGCTTTGTCGTGATGATTAAACAGGAACGGCTGGTAATCTCTGCACATTTTCCGGGTCATCTGTCGAAATACAGTTAGTGACCAGAACATATCAAGCGGAATGGGGCATTCACTTTTAAGAAAAACGATTGATACAGCTGGGCTGAGGCGAGGCCTGTAGTCATTGATGAACGACTACACCCAGCTAATAACCCGGGAATCTGATAAATGCACATTGCGTGGATTTTTGTCAACATTTCCCCCAGTGATTGACATAAATGCTATTACTAGTCAACCGCGACATACTCTTGGACAAATAGGCATTTCCAGTGAAAGGAAAGAAGACGACTTACAAAGCTGTCCAGTAAACGAGCCCGCTCGTTGTCAATCATATTATTGAGGAACTGGACACTGCTCTCGAACCCGTTCAATCGCGCAGAAAGACAGCAGAGTGCAATGGCCACAGGCTCAGATACGCCTCCAGCAGAACAGCGGTAGAGTCTACTGTGGATAAACGGCGGCCAGTATTCGATATCCAGCATGCGCTGTGGATAATTTCGTGTAAACTCGATCAGATTATCCGCACTAGGATGAGATGGCAATTTAGATATGACAACTCCATATGCCACGATGTTGCGGTAGTTGGCTGGGACTTCAGCCATTCCAGGATGAAATGGTGATCTGAAATTAGGAAGATTTTCACTGTTTAAAGGATCTAGTGGATCTCTATCAAGAAACTGTGCTGATCCACTGCTTAACTGTGTATGGGTTAACTCTGAAAGAATGTTATCGTCCGGTTGAAGCGCAGCCAGTGACGAAATTTGATACGCATCTCCAACATCAAAGGGGTCTCTGTTGATGGAGACAAAAAAAAGTCCCGGAATGTCCTCAAAGGTAGGCGTTCCATAAATTCCATCTGAATACTTGGAGAAGTCCGCGGCAACATAGCCTTGCGACGTATTCTCCGAATAAGCGAACGCACCGTCCCCGTCCCCCAGGGGCAGTTCAGACTCTAATTGAGTGCTCCCTGTCGAAAGTGCTGACATTGAATTGGACGTGTCTGTCCCGATGGTATGGGGGTCATTCTCCACGACAGGAGAATTGCCTGAGACTCTTCCGGCCTTACGAGAGTCTGGAGGTTGGGGCTTCGACTCATATTCGCAAGTCCAGCCACGCAACAAGCACCGCTGGCAGGATGGATAATCCAGGCTACATTTCACCTTGGTGCGCGAACAGTTCGCACACGACCTCTTTTTTGAAACACGAGGCCTGCCAAATGTTCGAGAACACCTGCGGGTGTGTCTATCTCGCAGGTCGTCTGGCGATTACACAGGTTAGCGGGTCGCATATCAACAGCCTGGAAATGCCTACTCCTTCGAAATGTCTTGCCACAAAGTTCACAGGTATGGAGAACTCGACCAGACATCGACATTCTTCCTGACGTTTAATTCACGTCAGCACCGGAGACTATTATTCGAGTAAGGAATACTCGAAATCATGCAGGTTCAAAGACTTCAGATAATCTCACTCAACATTACTAATCATCACACTGCTTAGTAAAACGCCATGTTTTTGATGCTCGATTTAGCTTTGTCATGGTCTCCGTTGTCACGGTCACAGTGTCCTTCAGCTATTTATGATTTGTTATGTCGCTATGGCTTGCTTACACCTCGTCATCATTTTCTGGTGTCATCTTCCATATTGATCGTCTCTCATTGATCATCCTGCTGTCCTGTTCCCGTACGGGAAATGGTATCTTATTCCTGATGAGCCTTGTGCTGCAATAGAGCAAATGAGAGAAGTATGGAGGAGACGCACCGGCTTACCGACCACTGGTTCTATAGTTGTCTTATGTCTAGGTTCTAAGTTCATTATCGAGCTGTATTTATAAATTTAATTAGAAATCATTCCGATCCTTATTCCGCTCGGCCCTATCCATTAGTTTGAATGCTCCAAATGTTCTTTTGGGCATTATCTTGTGTCATGGTTTGGTCAAGGCAGTGTCCATGTTGGTGCCCTACAACTGGGGTAATATGAAACAGAACTTTTATCCCACAGTAAGAGAGAAGAAACAAGTAATGATGGTCTATCCTTTCTTCAAATCCGAATCGCAACGCGACCTTGAACACACCACACGGGCATTCTTTCGTCATCCCGCCACAGCAAGCGGAAAACACCACCGTCAAAAGACACGCTCCGCATAGGATGTATACGTTGATGTCAAAATAATCATGATTCTCCTCGTTTTTGTCCATTCTATGCAATTTCCGAGGTACGTGAGGTACGTGTCATAATGACCCCGTGATATGTAACGAGTCGGAGGGAATCCCAGAGCGCAGAAACGAAGATCTAGACCAAGCTACGAAGCTGCACTTGTCTTATAAGGGACGCTTGAAAAATGGACAGACTGGATTTTTTTTTTCTTTTCTTCCATGACAGTGTCATGTCGCGAAGAATCACTTCATTGTTCAGACCATTTTCTCCAACACCAGACGCCAATAAACCAGAACAGAACCTGGGCCAGAGTAGTATGTCTAAAGCAGACGAGGCACGGAAGTCGGTTGCGGAGGCTTCTGATGAGAATCTTGATACATGGGTGAGGGCGAAGAATTTTACCCATGAGCTTGAAGAGGTTTGTCTTCCTGCATTATCGCGACCGTGACTCTGTTGATTTAGTATCCCGCAGTCTCTTAGAGGTCACATCCATCAACAACTGACTACCTGGTTGTTCTACCGGAAACTCGCCGCTGACTGTGCCCGGGTTAATATCGGTCTCCATGGATTCTCCATGGATTCTCCATGTAGGCTTGCTCGAACCTCGAAGACAAAGCATACACGCTAATATGCATGCTTGCAGGCTCTGGCAAAGACGGGCTGAACAATGTCTTATCGACATGACCTGGCTGGAGAAATATCTCATTACCAGAGGAGGACGGTGCAAGCCGACGCCAATCGAGACAACGCATATTATTGACTGGCCCGACAACCCCGTCGAGCCCGTACATCCATGCAAGGAGGCATTGTCTCAAGAGAAGATACTTCTCGAGGACATGGAGCGGCTGTCCACGCTGGCTCTTAAGCAATTCGACATCTCCCTGGCGCATGCGATCCAGTCGCGTTTCATGCGCAAGGAGACCAAGATCGTCAAGGACTGGGGTGACTTGGTAAGACATATCGTCCGAGTGTCCAAGGTGCCCGGCTTGGGACTCCACGAGATGGACACGCAGCTTCGTATCAACAGAGGACAGCTGCCGTGGACCAACTACAATGACCCGGATCTGCACCTTAAAGAGATTGAGGATGTATCTCAGAATCTTCGGGAAGGGTTGGACCTCTCGGAGGCCATACGATGTTTGCCCCATAGATAATTGATGGGCAAGAACCCATGCACCACGTAGTCTTTCAGGAATGGGCTCTCCGGAATGCCCATAACTTTGGGGACGCACTCTATAGGGAAATTAAGAACACTCAGTCTACGTATGGTTGCTGGAATTTATGAGCAAAGAATCCAGGAGACAGTTGATCAGTAACCGTACAAGTCCAAATGCGAACAGAATGTAGCTTACCAGAAGCGAACCTAAATCTGAAAGCTCCCTGGCTTCAAATTTGGCCACCACTATATGGATTCCAGAATTCTAATCGTAGCTGCGAATGCTTATAAGATTGGAGTGGTGTAAAATGGTTAGTTCTGTTGTACTCCATAGCAGAAGTGAGATAGGAAGATGGATGTCTTGAGGCATGTAGAATGGAGAATGCAAATCAGTCTGATGCAGTGTATATACTAAGAAAAATAGTAGCCGTTAGTATCTACTGTTATGGTTACAAATTCATAGGAGTTTATAACATTTGATAGAGGATAATTGTGTCACAGATGAAGAAGTTAGGAAGGAGGATGAGAAACAGTTGGTGGCATTAAGGTTGTTCCCGGACGGGCTAGCGCTGTCAGCTGATCCGGGGGCCCTAACGTCGAACAACCCCATTAAGACAGGGCTCTACGTGATACAGTCCAGGATGTCGAAGTCCTAATTATTATGGCACCATCGTGTAGCTTTGTAGTTGTAATGATATATAGCACTGTCTGTATTGTATTTTGTTTAATATTCGCTTGTGGTACGACTAGCTTGCAATTGTATGATCATGGATCGATGGATAGTATCTATATAGAGTATACTGTATCTCTCCATCTCTGTAGAAAGCTCAAGGTTATTTAGAGCTATATTGTACTCTATAAGCTATCAAAAACTAAATGCTCTTGGATGGAATCTTGGCTGACTGAAGGAGACACTAAGCGAGATCACCTTCAGCATCACTCCTCTAGTATGGAATCATTCTTACCATGATCCTGGCCCCTCTTTCTTTGTCTTCCTAGTTAATGAGTGGACTTAGGGAAAAATAGTGAAGGATATATCAAGAGGTAAGCGAGCTCTCTCCTCTGCCAGTTCTGAGAGTCACGTTCTTCGTCTCCACAGGAAGCTATAAAAACCTCATCCATCCCCCTCCTTTCTTTTCCTCTTTCTCTTTTCAACAAATTTTCTTTGATTATCTACTTTGTCCCTCCTCTCTTGTCTTCTCCACTCTGTTTATCTCAACCATCCAAACCATACCAGGAGCCACAACTTCATCATGAAGCTGCTGTCTATCCTTCTTTTTGCCTTCATGGGCATTTCCGTGAGCCTCATCAACCCCGCTCATTCAAGTAAAGTTCTCAATTCTACTCTTCAACTTCCGAATATGAACGATAACCTCGCCGCTATTCATGAAGGCCCTTACCTTCAACATGGTGGAGGGTCTCTCCTCCCCCAACCCGTCATCTCCGAGCCGATATGCGCCCCAACACAGCTCAATTATCCATTCGTTGATCGCAGGAAAGCTGCTGATACTATCGAAGGCTTTTGCGACCAATTCGTCGGCCGTCCAGAATTCCTTCGCATGGTTCCCGAGAGCAGATACTACAACCGCACCTACAAGTTTGGAAAGGACAAGGATGTCGTCTTCAGTATTGACAACAGGTTGTGGTTGACCGCCACTCTAACCCACGGTTACTATGTAGATATCAGCAAGAAACTCTGCAAGGATGTCTTGTTCCAGGCTCTGGATGCCTGCCCGCCATACAAAATCGAGCCTAGCCGCAACCGATTGTTCAAGTATGGTGGCGGCGCAAGTATTACGGCTACTACGGGTACTGTGGATTTCCTGGTCGCCGTTATTCCAGAGGGAAAGAAGTTATGCCTTGATCTTATGTATCCTCCTCAGTTCTGCGACTACTGAGTGGAACAAGGCATGGCCTCTTTTGTTCTTTTTCATGTGCTCCCTGAGGGGTAGTTGAGACGTTCCTTTGCTTTCCGATATGGATCTCATTATGAGAATCTCGATGTTGTTCTTTTTTTAATGAGGTGGATCTCACTTATGTGAACCCTAATGATTGTTCTTCACATTTGCCTTTTCTGAAATGCATGTTCAATCTTGTCACTGTCAACTATGAGAGCGTTAACTGCATACTCATTATGGATGTAATGTCTCTTTCAAAGTTCTTTCCAAGATAGCTCCCTGTCTAAGCCATAGAGACAAGGAAGAAATTTATTCAGGTCTATCTAATATTTATTCTTCTCTCGTATGTCCATCACCTCCTTGACATCTCTAGAAACACCATCCCTCACCATCTCCTGTAGCCAATGCGGAAATGCACGCAGCATACTCAAGAACGAAACCCGAGATGGAACAACCACCTGCCCACTATTCTGACTCAGAATCTGATTCACTATCGCCTTGGAGATCTCTCTTGCATCTATCACCAACTGACGAAATGGTGTGCCTGTCTCAGTCACAACTTCAGTCATGGGCGTTCGTGCCCAGATAGGATGGATTACACTGGCCATAAGCATACATACATACATAGTACTCTCCAGAGAATAATGGATGACATACCTAGTCCGAACTTTAGGAGCCTTATACCAAAACTTCAACTCCTGTCTCAACGACTCGTGAAACGCAACCACACTTGCTTTCGTCCCGGCGTAATCAGCCATTTCACCCGCAGCAATGAAACCCGCTAGACTCGACACCGAGACGATGTGTCCGTGATTCTTGATGATCATATCCGGTAGGAATTCCTTGACAGTCCAGTAATGCGCGACGTTGTTCACCGCGAAGGTGGTGAGGATGTGCTCCTCCGGCTTGTCGAGGATGGTGGCCATGAAACTGACCCCTGCATTGTTGATGAGGATTGTAGGATGTGAATGCTCCTTTCGGAGTTTGGTGGCTGTTTCTCTGAGGATTTCTCGGGATGTGATGTCTGTTTTATAGAAGTATGTGTTGGGCGCTGTATAACCATCAGTCTCATTCAAACAGAATCTTTATCCGAACCAAACAGAATAGAAAAAGAACCAGAAAACACACGCAGATCATATTCCGGCTCCTGGATATCCAGAATCAAAATCTTGATACCCTTCGCGCGTCGAGCAAGATCTTGCACGACCAGTTTCCCAATTCCGCTGCTTCCGCCTGTGATCAGGACGACTTCATCTTCTGACTTGAACGGCGGTACGGATTGCCAGTTATTCAGCGACCACTGAGACAGAGTGCGGTTGATGTACCGCAGAACTGCGAAGATGAGGGCCATCTTAAAGCCCTTGATAGCCAATGGAAATTTCAGTGCATGATGGATGATGGGAAGGAGGGATGCGATTAATGTGTTGTTGAATTTGAGTCGAGAGAGGACTGCGGTTGATGTCATTGTTTTCCTATGAGTCTCTAAGTAGTATCTATGGCTTAAACATCCTGTCAGCACGTAACGAGATATTTTCAGCAGGATTGCGTACTCACTAGTTATTTAACTAAAATATAGCACTGGAGGTTGTTTGTATCTGGTGCGACAGAACATGCCACAAGAGTAACACGGATGATATATCAAGTACCTAGTGCTCCAACAGCGCTTATTTCTGCTATCTATCATGAAATTTTATGAACACCAGAAACGATAATTTATGAACATAGAAGCCAGCATAAATACAGTCTACAGATAACATCATGAATGACCTGCAGGATGAGCTATCGCCTTTATCACTTGGACATTGGCATCTTGGCATGAGCATGTAGATCTATTACAGGTCATCACTCGCCAAACAGCAAATGGAATATCATCTATTTCATCTACAACATTATCAAAATAAAGCCAAACAGCTGCGTTCGGTCTGGCCGGTGCTCCTGGTCGTTGAGACGCGAAGAAGATGTCTTGTCTTCCCCCCAAGAGCTATACTCCCTTACAGTGAGGATATCTTCTTCTACTTATTAAATATTTTCTGGCTGTATAGTAACGACTGGATACTTACTGGAGGTGCACCTACACCGTCAGAAGGAGAAAGAAGCAAGTCCATCACGGACGCGAAAGACCTGGAGACCAATATTGGAAACGCACTATTAAAAGCCGCGGCAGATGAGAAAGACATTACAGAAGTTTTCGAGAATAAGACAGGCGATTCTAATCTGGTCTAGTGGGACGGTGACGATGACCTGCAAATCCTATCAATTGGTCTCCAGTAAAGAAGTGGAGCACTATCGCGATTCTGTCCGTCGCGGCCTTAAGTCTTGTATGTTTTTTTCTTCTTGTCTTTGGTTTTCATCTTCAGAACCCCGTCAATGCCTTAGTCGCGGAGTCGATATGACTAGCGTGCACGCTGACCAGTCCTCTAGCATCCTCGATGCTTGCGCCCAGCTTAGAACAAGGACAGGACGGCATTGCTGGTGCCATCAGCTCCCTTGCTAGCCGGCAGTTTGTTCCGGTATGGCTGGGCCTCTCAGGTGCATATGAACCGGATCGTACCCAATATTGGCTCGGTCCTCATGGGCATAGGATTGGATATTATGTTCATGGCTATTCTAGCCTGTCTTATCGATGCCTTCACGGCATATGCAGATAGTGCTCTGGCAGCAAATAATATGCTCAGAAGTATTAGCGGTGCATTTCTGCCATTGGCAGGCAAGATATATGCAAGTTTGAAGTTCGGATGGGGGATATTCCTGCGCCCACGATTATGACGTCAAATGCAAATATGGTGAGTATTAGACTATTATTCTTGATGCTGATATTATTTCATTTCCATCCAATCAGACTCATCAATAGGTTCTCATCCTTTGCGCTTGCATCAACCTATATTGTAAGTTCATATGTCGGTGATGACACGGGCTGAAACTGGTATGCTAAAATCTCACGCGACGCTTGACAGGTCGAGTTGATCATCTGTGACCTTGGCAGGCTGTGAAGCTTAAATTTCAGAGCACAACGGGATAAGATGGACAGCAAGCAAGAAAAAAGTACAGCATTATTTATGTGGCGCAGGGCGTGTAACATGGCGTTTGTCCTGTGATCACGGCTTATTCTGCCAATCTGACTTGGGCTGGTTGTAGGACAGATAAATGATGCGTGTCACAGGCATATTCATGCGTTGCCCTGTTGAATACTGTGAGATGGGCCAATTTTGCAGATCCCAGTTCTGTGCCCGATAAGACGAAGGAAGGGCATGGCGGGCTATCAAGATCCCAATTAGCATTATAGGACCCGTGAGATAGGTATAGGAATATACCGATTTCTATCAAAGACTGACCGGATAATTTACCCTAACCCTCTCCCTTATGGAAACAGGAAACCCAAAGATGGCGTGAAAGCCAACACCAAAAAGCCAGGAGAGAATCCCGGTATGCACCGCATACCGTTTGCAAACTGAATTTCCCTCATATTCGTATGATATCCTCGAGGCTCGCTGTTTCTTGTAACTAATAATTTACCTGCATTCGGTCGTTGGCTGTTGTACCGTGCAGCGCTTGGACAGCTGCCTGAACATATCCCGCTGAGTCCACATTCACACCACGATACAACGCGTGGGACCAGCGACTTTGTCTCTGTCCCGATGGGGATTTCCACAAGAGTCTCCGCACAGGAAAAGCGGATGTAGTCACCGACACAACCCAGGACGTTACGAAGACAGGTCTGAAAATGCTGCTTGCAGGCGGCTGCGCAGTGTCTGTCGACGGGAAGCAGATCGGTCTCAGCACGAAGTACGTCTAGCGCTGCATCATGATTCAGGATGTGCCCAACTTGGCGTTCATCATCGGATACACCGCTAGGACTTGGACTCTCGGCGCAGATGTCATGGCGTTCACCCTTTGCTGGCTGTTGCGGCATATGGAGAAGCGGGGGAAGGCTGTCCCCATGCCTCACATGACGTACGCAGACACGGAAGGTCACGTTGATGGTTCCAATGGTTCAGCTCCTTCCTAGTTAGCATATCATAGACAACTAGTTAACTCCTAGCTAGATCAACCAACTCAGCGAGTTTGACCCCCGCCAACAGGTCATTCAACGGCCTCTGCTGAACCTGAGCTAGACATATGTCAAGGCGTGTGACGCCATTATGCCTCGTGCGGGGACCGGGGACTGTGGGTGCTGCGGGATTATTACCATGTCTTGGATCTGCGGTTTGCCAAGTATGGGGCGTTGAATTGCGAGGAAGATCCAGTCGAAGATGAATCCGTAACTGTGTTTATCTGATGAACAATCCAAGGCAGAGAACGCCCAGTGTATGATCGGACGTCGACCACGATGGCATAAATTAGATAGCTGCGTAATATATTAACCTGAAAACAGTCCGTCAATAGTCTCTTAATTTCGACACTACTTTGCCCTTTAGCGTCGGGCCAGTGCAGCTGCGTAAGCATAGTAAATAAAGTAAATAATTAATACCTAGGTATATCCCCGGGTTCTGGCCTGTGCGATGAGAACCACTTATCATACGCAACTACCCATATTTTGGAGCCATTTATTGACCGTTTACTGAATTCCAAATAAACGTATGGCGGTGTAAGTATATGCAATGCAATCAATCTGTTCCTCGCCCAATGGCCGCGTTCTCTGCGCCTAGAACGAGCGTGCCGGGATCGACGTCGATTCGTAAAATTTAGTTCCCTGCCATGTGCCTGGAGGCGCATTGTCAGCAATTGATGTTGGACTATTAGACCCCTCATGCAGCTATATGCTCACACGTGTAGACAAGGATGAAGCCGACAATTTGTATCTCATTCTTTTCCCTGCCTGTCCTCAGGCTTATATCCGTGGAGTCTCCAGGGAATTGTGAAATGGCTGTCAAATTCTAATAATAGGTAGGCACTATTATTATTTATTATTGCTTCTTCCCCGCACACGGGGTAAACTCATGGGGTAGCACGGGGATATATCTATTCTAGCTTAGTCTATGCCGAAATTGCGAATAGACCGTTTCTGAATCCGCACACTGGGGAAAACCCCGGAGAAGCGCGGGAGTGGTGGATGCAGGAAATGACCCTGCCCTTCAGCTGCGTCAGCATAACGCCGTTGGTGCTGAGTGATTCGATCTCTTATCCTAATATTGAATGATCCCTGTTGTGATTCTTCACATGGGCTGCTTGCCTTTTCTTCCCCTAAGATGTTGTTGAGCCGAGGGATCATGCACATTGAAAGGGTTCATGATCTTTTCAATCAAGGAGTCGATCTGGTATATAATAGTTGTCTTGTGGGTGAAAAAGCAGGGGTTTCACATCGCAGTCATTTTTTAGTCTGTTTTGAACCCCTGCTCTCTGTGACATAGCTAGGGCAAGTGTAACTGTCATGATGAATTTCCATTTGCTCTCTCTCCTCTCCCTGATCGCCCTGATAGGGGCATTGCCCTTCGATCTCTTTCCAAAGGTGAAGCTTCCTGACAACGGAGGGATCGTTATTGGAACCAGTTCCGGCAAGGTTGAAACGTTCAAGGGAATCCCCTTTGCCCAAGCGCCCACGGGCTCCTTGAGGCTTAAGCCCCCGCAGCCTCTCAAGTCGAGCCTCGGCATATTCGATGCAACGAAAAATCCGACTTCATGCCCTCAGTTCTTCTTCACCACTGATACTAGCGAGATCCCGGCCTCTGCGTTAGGTGTGCTCATGAACTCGCCATTTGTTCAGACAGTCACCAAGCAAGGTGAGGACTGTCTGAACCTCAACATCCAGAGACCTGCCGGGACGACCGCGGATTCAAAACTTCCTGTTTTGTTCTATATCTTCGGCGGTGGCTTCGAACTGGGATGGAGTAGCATGTACGATGGGACGTCCCTACTCGAGACTGGTATTGACACGGATCTGCCCTTCATCTTTGTGGCTGTAAGCTACCGCGTTGGTGGCTTTGGTTTCCTTCCTGGAAAGGAAATTCTGGATGATGGTTCTGCCAATCTGGGACTTTTAGATCAGAGACTTGGTCTTCAGTGGGTGGCAGATAACATTGAAGCCTTCGGTGGTGACCCTGACAAGGTAGTGATCTGGGGAGAGTCAGCTGGTGCCATTTCTGTATTCGACCAATTCGCTCTGTATGATGGAGACAACACCTACAACGGTAAGCCACTGTTCCGCGGTGGAATCATGGATTCTGGAAGCGTCATCCCTGCAGACCCCGTCGACTGCCCCAAAGGCCAACAGGTGTATGATACCGTGGTCACTGCTGCTGGATGCAGTTCAGCCAGCGATACCCTCGAATGCTTGAGGGGCGTTGAATACCACAAATTCCTGGACGCCACAAATTCCGTCCCGGGTATCCTAAGCTACCACTCCGTGGCATTGTCGTATGTCCCTCGCCCCGATGGAAAGACCTTGACAGCATCTCCCGATTCCCTCCTGCTATCAGGGAAGTATGCCAAAGTCCCCTTCATCATCGGTGACCAGGAAGACGAGGGCACGCTCTTCGCTCTCTTCCAGTCCAACATTTCCACCACGGAGCAAGTTTCCCAATACCTGTTGGACATCTTCTTCCACGACGCCACCCCGGAGGTGATCGATACCCTCGTCGCCTTGTACCCAAATATAAGCGACTATGGGTCTCCCTTCCGCACAGGGGACGAGAATAACTGGTATCCGCAGTACAAGCGTCTGGCTGCCATCCTCGGCGATCTTGTATTCACCCTCACCCGCCGTCTTTATCTCACAGGTGTGTCTCTATTGAGCCCAGATGTCAAATCTTGGTCCTACCTCGCGACGTACGACCACGGAACACCGTTGATGGGCACCTTCCATGGCAGCGACATCATCCAAGTCATTTTTGGCATTAAGGATAATTATGCCGCAAGGAGCATCCGCGAGTACTACTTCTCGTTCTTGCATTACCTCGATCCAAATGCGAGGGGGAAGTATCCCGAATGGCCCCAGTGGAGCCAGTGACAGACGTTGCTGAACATCACGGCAGATGCAGTTCAGCCTCTGAAGGATGACTTCAGACAGGATGTTTCAAACTTCCTTCTGGGGAATCTGAACTCTTTCCATATCTAATATTGCTGCATTGGGATGGATATTGTTGGTCTGGATGCATTATTCTGTCCGACTTGATGGAGTAACTGGTGTCATTTCTCCTATGTCGAAAATAATCATGTTAATCTCAACCGAAATAGTAGTGAATAGTAGTATATATAATTAATATGACACTGAAGTCACTTACTTTGCCATTGGTGGTTTCGCAACGGGTTCTCTGATGAGGACCTCGTTCTGTGCTTCTCTGTAGAAGTGACTGAGTCGTGGAACGGGTAGTCCCATGGCACGTGTCTGGAGTCGTTAACAGAGACAGAAAGGAAATCTTCTTCCAGCTATACATCTTTGCATTGATCTGTACATCTACACTATTAACACTGTCCCTATATCAAAAACACACCAGATTTTCCGTGCATCTACACCCACGTGTCCCACCTCAACCCATCACGGTAGAGCAGCGGGTGCTGCGGCCCTTCTGCATCCACGATATAACCAAGCTCGCATCGATCAAACGCCACTTTCGGCTGAGAACGATAGAACGCATCATACCGCAATTGCACAGAATCCCCAAGGTTTTTGACAGAACCGTCGGGATGCAAGATAACCCAGGGATCGATGCACGTGGTTCCCTTGCAGGATTTCAACACAAGGAGGACTGCATCAAGCCTTTCAAGGACCTGTGGAATGGGGCGTCCGAGGATCTTCGCGGAATTCATATCCTTTGCGTCGCTGGTTGGATAGAGATTATGAAGCTGGAAGGGGTCCGTCTGTACATTGCCGTGTCAAAAAATTCTGCGACAACCAATGCAGAGGAATAGGAAGAAGTGTACCTCAAGATCATACAGTTCGTGCTCGTTATTGCACCAGACAGAGTAGTATAGATTGTAACCCTCGCCAATGACACGAACGGATTTGTATGTATTGTTCAGAACAATTGACGAATGATCAGGTTCTAGGATGACAAATTAATTTCAACCGGTACTGTCGAGCTCACCACGCAACTTACCAAACAAACCATATTCGCCTTCGAGAACTGCAAAACCCCAATATTCCACCGTGACGTGTTCATGGCGTGTACCCACAGATTCAGATACGACAGGAATCGGCGTGCCATCAAAATCTTCGCGGAGAGGGATACCCGCCAATTCATAGATTGACGGAGCCAGATCAATATGCGTTGTGACAGCATCTTCTTCGCGGCCTTCAGGAACACCAGGTCCACGAATGAAAAGTGGGACACGAATATCTTCCTCATATCCGCACTCCTTTCCTGGATGCAGACGATGCTGGCCAATGTGGTAGCCGTTATCGGAGGTGTAGATGATATAAGTGTTGTCAGCCTGGTTACTCTCCTCCAGACGGGTAATGAGACCATCCACAAGCTCGTCAACAGACTGCAGGGCGCGAAGACGAGAGCGATAAAAGTGGTCATTGTAGTCGACAACTGTCTGATTCTGCTTTGGCAGTTTACGAATCCAGTTTGCTCCGCTGGGCTAAACACTGTCAGAAAGTCTCACAGGGACCGTATAGTAAATAGAAAATGTACTCACCTCATCCGGATTAAAGTGTTTGGTTCTGGGAACCTTGACTCCTTCAAAGAGATCCTTGTGTCTGTCTGCTGGGATGGGAGCTGTCATCTGAAGCGAACCATGTATACTCTCCGCGCCGAGGTTCGGATTGACGTTCGAATGCGGACCGATCGGTGCGGCGACTAGGAAGAACGGACGCTGCCCAGCTAAGGCATCTTTCAAGAAGCCAAAAGACTTGTTCGCAGTCACGTCGACCGAGTAATGGCCCTCATAGCTAACTGGTGCGTCATGATTGCGTTGGTAGGTCGAATTGAGATACGAATAGGTAAAAGGATCCAGCAGGAAATCAGAGCCATTAAAGCCAGAAACATAGGGGCTGTTGTAGTTATCAACCGTATGTGCATTAAAGAGTTTTCCGACATAATAGGTGTCGTATCCAGCCTGTTGTAGCCAAACAGGCAAGAAATTCTCATTGAACCCACGCTCTACGAACTTTGGATACCCGCCTAAGCAACAATCAGCGTCAGGCCAGTTTGACAATCCTCAATTTCATCAAATTGGGAGTTTACCATAAGGTGGAGACACATCAGTCACATTGGTATTGTGTGCCTGGCGCCCTGTCCACAAGCTGACTCTTGACGGACAGCACAATGCGGTCGTCACGAAGTGATTCTTGAAAAACGTCCCTTTCTGCTTGAGATGTTTCAATGTCAATGGTGTGTAATCAAGAGAATCCAAGTAGAGGTCCTGGTCATCGGTAAGGATGAAGATAAAATTGGGCCGTTTCTTATCTGCGGGCTGGGCGAGGACCTTCGGGGTATTTACTGTCGCTTCAGCAGCGGCGCTGAATGTCAGGGCCACACCCAGAAGAGTAGTGAATCTCATCCTGGAGCTTGAACCTGTACAGGACTAGAACAATATCCGTGAATCATGGTGTCGGATACGATATATAGCATAGCCGTCGGATAAATGAGCAAGCTGTGATGACGAGCAACATGTAGGTGATGATGCAATCCGTAATCCTCTCGGCTAACGTTCATCTCCTGGATTAAATCGTCTAAAACATGCTTGAAAGGCTGCTAAATAAGTTGCTCTAGGACCCTTGTGAGTTTCATACCACAATGGCTGTGGTGAGCTATGAGATCTCAAATGCATAGATGTTTGATGCGATTCGAACATTGTTCGAAATAGAGCAAATAGAACAAACACAGCGAAAAAGGCACTATTCCTCTTAAGGAATGGCGTCATCAGGGCCGGCTAAATTCAACTCCGAGACACGTTGCTTGTTCTGGGAAGCCTCTCTATCACGAGGACTACTTCAAGCGGGCTAGCAGCTCGGCACAGGTCGGAGAAACCTCGCCCCAGGTAGAGCCCGGAACGGAAGAAATGCTCGGCACAGGTAGATAGCGCGATTTAGTACTGGATAGGAAGGCGGTCATTTTTGGCGTTTTTAGCGCGTTTTTCAATTTGAAATACTTTTGAACCCCCAGCCCAGGTAGAGAGCTTAGTCAGAAATTCTCTACCTGGGGCGAGGTTTCTCCGGCCTGCGCCGAGCTGATTCCCGACTTCAAGCGAATATTCTATTGCCGACAGTCTTCATACCTTTGCATCTATCCAAGGAGGCCAGTAAGAATATTCCCGGAAAGGTACTATGTATTGTACACTAGTTCTACCCAACATTTGGTTGCTGAATTGACGATAGTTTTATTATCGAAGTACTTGGTTCACATGAAGATGGTACTATTCATTAATTTCAACCCATCTCTTCTATCCGGTGACGCTAGATATGTTCCATAACCGTCAGCTTCTTCTCTATGATTGTTGCTGCCTGGCGGCTGTGACGAATATTGTTAGAATAACGATATCGAGGCTTTGATCTTCTGCATTTCGAAGGCTAGTCAGGTCCTATGTGAGCAGGACCAGTGTTTTCTTTATGAAGGGACCACGTGGAATTGCCACAACGACTTAGTAGTCTTGGATATTCAAACATCGGAGCTCGTCTATGTGAGATAGCTTCTACCAAGTCCAGGATACAGGTCGGCTAAATTCTGAAAGGGTCAAGGACTGCTTTCCAATCTCGAAATAGCCATTGTAGACGGGCTGATATCAGATCAACTGGTTAGCAAACAATTGTCAACTAGTCAGAGGTTACTTACAAATTTATTCTTGTCTGCATTCAGGTGGTCAAGTTTATCAGATTTGTAATGAAATCAGTTAGTAGAAGAGCAAGGGCAAAGATCTTGGTGCGGAAGGTCGTGACACAAGTAGACAAAAGACAAAGTGAGGTGTATTAGTTAGTATCTTCTGCCAATATCACTCAGGCGACCTTAGCATAACCGGATTATTACTCGCTTACTCTCTATCTTCCCAACTCATCGTTTGAGTCCTTGAATACTTCCCGTATATCCGAAATGCAGTCATCATTGTACGGGTTATCGTTTGCATCAGACTAGGAAGGAAGCAGCTGGTCACATCACATAAGTATACCTGCATACATTGTGATGCAAGCAGAAATCAACCTGTGAGAGCCATTGTTATCCATATATCCATATATACCAAAATATCTGCGAAGATAAGGCCGTGCATTGAATTTCAGTCCTAGGGGCTTCCAATTGACGAATATCAAATATTCCCATGAGGAATGTATCCATGTTAAGTACTGCTGATTTCAAAGAGGAGCCCAACTGGGCAGGGATGGTCAGGACACAGGCGATTGAGAACATCGCTCAATTCGTCTATTTATTTCTGTGACTACTGACACTGGGCAGCTTATTGAAAATTCCACCCATAGTAATCCCCTAAAATCTCACCATCAACATCGAAGTACTTTCGCAGCCGTCTCCAGAATTTTGGACTTTTGTTATTTATCGCGGGGTTGAGCACTGTCTGACACCCAAGATGCAAAAAGACACTGAATCCAGCTGATCAGCTCCGTCTTGTCCCTTTCTGCGTGAATTATGTAGGATTCAGTAGAAATGTAAAACGACTGGAAATGACGCCCGCAAAATGCGTATAGTAGACTCTTATGTCTGATGGTATGGTGGAAATGGTCTAGGATAAGAATGACAAGAGGAGCGTGGGGGGAAGAGCCAAGTTGATCATACGAATATATATATATGCACATGAGCAATGCATAGGCCATTTTGCATTGCTTGTTTTGCTGGTTGTGCCATTTTCAAGTGTCTAGAACTAGCGAATGGATCAGTCAAAGGTAGATAAATACCATTTACTCGGTAGATGGTAGTTTGCATGTTATGGATAGTTAACCCGATTTCTTCCGACAATATCCTTGCATACGGAATCCATATATATAGACCTGCAATGTATGCTGCCAAACGCATCACTCCAACGGCTATGTCGAAAAAGGCCAACATTGAACCACTCCTCTCCCATCCCCATCCACTCCCAAGACAACACTGGCTCCATACTGGAGCGGATTCCCCTCGTAAACCACTATATCTGCCGGTTTTTTCAACCCCAGGATTTCCTCGAGATTGCTCGAAACCAGACTCACGGCTTGGTCATCTGAGAGACCGGCATATTGAGCAGCCCATGATGCCTCGTGGAGGAGATTGTGGATGAATGAGCCGCCTCCTACTGGTCCCATCACTGATTAGTTTTACTATTCCATTCCTCGAAGGGATCTGAAACATGTAAGGGATTGATTGACTTACCTTCACCATAGTTCGACAAAGCAAGCTTAACTCCAGCCTCGTCAAGGATTCTGACAAGTGATTTTGTGAGAGGCGGGCCGGATAAGGCGTCTCTCTTTTCGAATGAGTCTGGATGGCCCCGATGCGAGGTAACAATGACGGGGATCGAGTGTTTGGCTAATTCTTCTGCAACGAGATATGCGTCGGGGGCGCCGACAAGAACGAGATTCACTGATGGAAAATCTTTCTTGATCTTGATCATCTGGAGGATGTCATATTTGCTTTGGACGTCTACCAAAAGGGGTATCTTTCCTTTCGCAGCGAGGCCATAGATGTTGTCTTTATTCTTGTGATCCGTCAGGATCTTTCGCAATTTCGCGACTGCGGAGGAAATAGTCGACGTCGACGCCCGTGAGATCTGGCCAATGGAGAAATGCAAAGCGACGTCTTCTTGGAAGATTGCTTCGTCTAGGTTGGTGAAATTGCCGGCTGTTTTAAAACCAACGCTGACGCCATGCAAGAATCCCTTCTTCTTCAATGGGGCAGTGATGGCTCTTGTTACGCCACCGATTTTTGCTCTCTCGAATGATCGCCCGTCAAGGTGGATTCCGTACTTTGCATAGATGACATTATCAGGGTTCAGTGGGTCGATGGCCGCATCAACGTTGCCATCGCCTGTTTCTGATTCGTCTTCGATCTCAACGAGACCCAGTCCAGTTGTGTAGGCTGTGAGACCGGGAAGGATATGGCCGTCCTGGAGTTGAATTGTAGTGTCGTCGGTGTTGTAGGCATGTGCACATTCCTTGGAGCTTCCCAGACATGACACATTACCTGCTTCTAGAACAATCGTCATGTTATCGCTTGGTTCTGCCGTCTTCCAAGGCGAAGGAAGATACGATCTGGAAATGCCGGTGACAACCACTTTCTCGGCTTTATGCACCGCATTGCAGATCTCCTCCTGATGCTCCACGGTTGGCCGTATTTTCGGGACTTCCCTTGTAGGAACTTTCTTGGACAGGCTGTCTTTTACCTTGTCCGTATCTAATATCGCTCTCCCGTCAATGTACACCTGCAACGGCGTTGCGCCTAATGATAACGGATGAGAATCCCAAACCACCAGATCTGCATCATACCCAGCCTTCACGTAGCCGATCCGGTGATCCAGCTGCATCGACGCGGCCGGCACGCTCGTCACTGACTGTAATGCTAGATCTTCGGGAAGACCGAATGAATGCGCATTCGCAGCCTGGAGAAGTAGGTACTTGGCGCTGGTCCCCTCATGGACATGGTCCGACTTGTAGGCAACGGGAACACCATGCTCCGCTAAGATCTTTCCCGCGTAAAGGTTGGCATCGTAGGCTTCCTTCTTGTACAGACCAAAGTCCGAAAACGTGGCAATGGTGATATTCTGAGCGCTCGCCTTGATCAGTTCCGGGACCTTCCACGCGCTCAGTGCGTGATGGAAGGCAGATATCCGGAAGCCAAATTCCTCACTGTGACGGAGCATGTCTTCCAAATCCTCCACCTCGTAGCAGTGGATGTTGATGTTGATCTTTCCCCGGAGCATGGCAACGGTTGAGTCGAGTTCGAGATCTTCGGGAAAGCCTCCCTTGCCTGATATCCCCGGTAGAAGCTGTGAGATGGCTGCTCCATCGGCCGTGTCTCTTGCGGCAGCAGCGGAGAGACACCAGGAATCCTGCTGTTTCAGCAGATTCTGTGCTCGCTCCATATGCTGGCGAAATTTCCAGGCATTACCCATGCGGGTGTGATGATAGACTCGTCTGGGCTGGTCAGTCTTCTATCATGACTTACGCAAAAGGGTCTGTATCAACGTACGTCGGATTCTCCCCACAAGCCATCTTCAGATACCTCCGTCGGTCTTTTTTGGGAATGCCATACTCCAGAAGCATCTCCTCGATGACCTCCTCCCCATTCTCCCCAGGAGCTACTATATTCTTGACCGGATATGCCTCCCCGCCCATGATATTCGCCGAGCCAGGAAGAACAAGCGAGGACGTAACCCCGCCAGACGCAATCTGAGCCGTGGCTGTGTCGTACGGTTTCATCCCGTCCAACGAGCGCACGAACGGGGTCAACGGCCCCGTCTCCGGATGCACTTCATTATCATCAACTGTAGTCGCCAGACTGGGCCAACTAACTGAGAGATGATGGGAATGCATATCCACCAGACCGGGTGTGATATATTTGCCATGCAGATCGACCACGATTGCGTGCTGCGGTGTGACGGTAATATCTGAAGATGCAGACGCAGACACGGACGTGATGACGCCTTTGGTAAATACGATGTCGACTTTGTCAGATGCAAAAGTCTTGCCGTTGAACAGAGTCGCGTTTCGCAGCAGCACGGTTGCGTTCTGACCGCTGATGGGATTCCAGCGAGGGTTCTCCCTCGAGGGTGCTGTCAATGGGTAGTCGCGCAGGGAACTTTGTGCATCTCTGCATTTCTGGAGTCCTTTCTCGAGATCCCTGAGTTGGGCTTCAGATAGACGGACCACGCTCTCTGGCTGTTTGAAGAGGTGGCTGGGTAGATGAACTAGTTGCAGGTATAAGATGGCTGCGATGAGCCCGATAGAGACGAACAGCCGCGTTCGCGGTCGGGATTTCGCTTTTGCGGTTGGCGATGTTCCCAGCGATCCCATCTTCCGTTTCGTCGGAGTGTGTAGGTGAGAGAAAGAAAGTGCAGCGGAATGTTGCAGCCTATCTCGCAAGAGATAGTGCTCGACATGTGCGCTATTCCCATTGCAGCCTGCGATGCTACTGCAGAGTCAACGATTAAAGCAATTTAAACAAGCAATTAGACGCTCCTAGTATGCAAGGATGAATCGGAGGTCCGAGCCATCCATCCAGGATAATGAGAATAAAACATGTCAAGCAAATTCGTCCTGACCCAGTATCTGGGATGCTTCCCTGCTTCTTCCCATTTACCTTCTGCTCAATGTCGATGAAGGTTAGCTGGTGCATCAGCATCAGCATCTGTATATTATCTATCGTCAGTCTCTTGATTTGCTATAGTAGACAGAGATACATCCACTTTACCGCAAAGTCTTGTGTAGAGATCCGACGCAGCTCTTGCGGGAAGACGTCTATGCAGGATCATCACCGTGAAAGACAAGATTCATTCAGTTTATCGGGGATATCATTTCTATTCTACAGCCTCAAAAGCACGAACAATATAGCGTTCCCCTCCGACCATCACCTTCTCGCCCCTCACCCTCCACGGCCCCTGTCCCTCGCCTTCCAGCCCAGCTATCAACGAAGGCAGATTCCCTGCATCGGGGCCCAAAACATACCGTTCCCGCCATCCAGATGGCTGGGAAAGAGATGATGACGAAGAAGATGATGGAGAAGAGGAATTATGATATGAAGTAGAAATCAAACGAGAACGAACCCACTCCTCACGCCTCACACTCACATCGCCACCGGTCCGGTCGGAAATCACCCACTTGCCATCCTTGTTCTTGTACCGGGTATACCCCTGCTGCTGTCTAAGTGCGACGTAAACGCCCCAGATCCGTCCCAGGAAGGTCTTGGTTACCTGCACGCGTTCCTTTCCCTGGGTTCCGTTTCCGTTGCCGTTCTGTGCATGCGTATCCGTATGCGACACGGACGACTCTGACTCCAGAATCCACGAGATGCCTTGCATCCTCCCCTCGGGGCCCTCGGGGAACTTCAGAGTGCGCCAGACCTCCTCGTACTTCGCGAGTGGATTCCCCGGTACATCGGGGCGGGGCATAGTGCCCTTCTCCAAGTCGTCACCGTTGGGCAAGGTGGTGAACGTGCCACAGTCCGTCTCCTCGAAGGAGTCACGGGAATCAAGCTCATGAGTGAAAAGAACCCGGTCTGGAAAGATAAAGGGGAAAGACGAAAAAACAGATTGGTGTGGCCCTTGACCTTTAGTCTTGCTCCATTATCGCCAAAAAAAAAAAACAGTTTTATAAAAAGAATTATTTTCATATGATTCAACTTGACATACGTGGTTCTCGACTCTCAATGAGTCGTTGTCCGGCTATGGCCCAGTCGACGCTGGGGGTGCGGGGATTCGACCGGTCAACGCGCAGATCGACGTACCAATCCTTGACTGATAGGACGATGGTATCCGTGTTCTCGAAGGGGGGCGCTGGAGGCCATCGGAGCGAGATGCGTGTGGAGAGGCGCGATTCCGATTTCATGGCGAGGCAAGGCGAGGCTATTCTTTGCTCCAAGACACGCTGCGAGAAAAAGGGGAATTGAACTTCGAACTCGCGAAAAAGGTCACTTATCTGTTGATATTTTCATCCCTTCGCATTAGTACCGTCTATTTATAGCTACCTGCGCTCTCGCCCAGCCAACAGAACAGGGGCAAAAAGCGGGCTTCTTTTAAGAGGGCTGTAGAATCCTTCTGGATCCATGGACCATGGATTGTCTCTCTGAATCCTCCTGTCCAGGCTCTATCCACTGTGGTTATTGACGTCAATGGCTGTATAGGTCCAGCTGCTCCATCCAGCGTTGCACTGTAAGCCGCGTTTTGTGCACAATTCGGTCCGGATCAGTCAATCCGGCTTATCTACGGCTACGGCGGGGCCGGATTGAATAATCCTGGTAGCTGTTGGTTAAGCATGTCATTCAGAAGCATTTCGGATGAGAGATATGATTTATACGGAGCATATGGAGTACTTTTTAATTATATAAAGATCCAGCTCAAGCAGAATCAACAGCTGCAAATACAAGCTTGCACGTCTGATCCCTCGGCCGCGATGAGATGATCTGATCGTCAATCTCCATGCTCCCATGCATATCCGGAGCCACGCTCGTGCGGAACTTGGCATATACCTCTTGCAGAAGGATCTTCATTTCGACAATTGCCAGACTGTTCCACGCTGTTAGCGTCTCATTCTAAGCGGGTGCAAGGCCCTAAAAGGGAGACCTACTTCCTCCCTGTACACCCCCTCCCCCCAATGGCAAAAGCAAAAAACAATCGATTCCGCTCATTAGCCCCCTTCTCCTCCATCCAGCGCTCTGGATTGAATCTCTCCGGATCGGGGAATATTTCTTCATCGAACCTGTGCACCGTATACGGCTGAGAACTAACTATCGTCCCCTCAGGGATGAAGAACCCATCTATCTCCCTCCCGCCCACAGGAACATAGCGCGGTAGGGACATGGGAATCGGCGGCGTCAGGCGGAGGGCTTCTTTAATCACGGCGTCTAGATACGGTAAGCTGTCGATAGGCACGTTCGCGGGTGCTGATCTCAGTTCATTTCTGAGCCGGGTTTGGAAGGGTTCGTTCTCCGGCTGAGAGAGCTGCCACATTAGGAAGCAGAGGCCGTCGCCTGTTGTATCTATGCCTGCGGCCATGTGGTCCTTGCATTCTGCTGCGGCCTGGGAGGGGTGGAGCGGAGAGTCGGTTCTGGTGAGTTTCTCGATGAGGGTGTACGCGTTTGGGTTTTGTTGGGAGGCCATTTCGAGGACGTATTTGTTTGCCTTTGGGGAGCGGCGGGGATGGAGGAACGAGGGGAAATACGGAGCTAGAGATGGGAGGTAGTAGTGAAGGAGATTTTCTTTTTTTCTGTCAGTTTTTCCGCAGACAAAGGATAGATATAACCAGGCTTGACGTACTCTGCAGGCTTTGATGATAGGTGAGTTCCTCCATGATCTCGAAGTCTCGGGAGGAATCCAGAGTTTTGAGTCCCCTGGGACTGAACAGGAAATGCGTAACGCAGTCCAGGGCGTAGCAATGGAGCAGCACCTGTTAGGGACACCGTTGGAATTAGAAGTTTCGAACAATGCCAGGATACAAGGAATCATACATAAATATCAACACTATACGTCGCCGCAGCACATTTCGCCAGAAACGCCCTCGCTCGTTCCCGAATAGCACCCATCAGTTTCTCACGCATGATATTCGTCATGGCGTACCGATCTGCCAGGAGACGTTTACGCTGGGTATGCTTTTGATGGTCAGATTCAGGTTTATTTCCCCAGAAGGAGGTAGTCACTCCATAAGAAAGGGAGAACACACCTCCAGCTTCTCCAGCGTCGAAAACATAGTTCTAACAACAATCAACATCAGTACCACATCCTTAGTAAAGGAATCGAGGAGGAAGAAGAAGAAGAAGAAGAAGAAGAATACTTGATCCCAAACTGCCTAAACAAATCATAAAACTCCGTTTTGTCATACCCACTCCCCCCAGAAGCATATATCTCCCTCACACCCTGTAATCCAGCAAAGGAGACCTCATTCGGTGCTAGGCGCACGACAGGCCCATACATTTGATGAAGCCTATGCACGAAGACGCGTCGACTACCCGCGAACTCATGATATTTGATGCACATACCCGTGAAAGTTGTGTGCCATGGCCCTGGGATTCGGCGGAGGGGGGATGTGAGGTTGTTGTAGAGGGATATTGATAGAATTATGATTCCGAGGCAGAGGGAGAGCATTGTTGTTATTCTGGTTCTATGATTCCTGGTGGTAAACAGTATACTATTGCACTGAAGGCTGGATTGTATGGAGGCTATGATGCATACTTATAGCCCGATCAGCCCAGGATCTAACCGGCTGATCGCAAAAGGCAAGTCAAGGCGATGTTTAGATTATCTTGATAAGGATACTCGATACTGTGCCGATGTCTCGATGCGGGGAGATAACTATCAATGTAAAATTCGGAGACTGCATTACTAGAGTCAATTCCCTTATGGTCAGACGGATGTCACAGCGAGGATCCAATCTAAGAATATACCCGCTTGTAAGCAACAACCGTCGTTCCATCCTTCAACGCCCCATGCGTTGGAACAAGTCTATATCGGCCCAGCCACGGCGATATCTTCTGCCACACGGCCCAGTAGACAACCCCGAGTAGCAACACCACAATACCAACAAAAGCATGCAGCCAGTACGGCAACGATGTATCCCCCTTGGCCCCGGGCGGACGCATGAACGGCGCGACAAGCTGGAAAGCCTGACCAGCAGCGAAAAAGAAGGCCACGGGCCACCATACTTTGAACGGACGGGGAATGTCGGGAGAAGACCAACGCAGATATAAGAGGCCGATGGCTACGAGCAAGCTGATAATGCTGTTGGGGTAACCTGCTAGGTCTAGGATGAAGTTATATGCATCGCCGAAGGGGACTGCGATGAGAATGGTAAAGGAGAGCAGGAAGTGGAGGAAGAGCCCGGAAGATGGCGAGCCAAATGGCCAGCTAGCCGCCCAGAAGCGTGGAAAGGGTAGGACTCCCTCTTTGGCTAGTTCTTGGATGACGCGGGCTTGCGCGAAGGTCGTGGTCATGGCGTTTCCAAAGGCGGAGATTGCCACGAGGACGCTGGATTATATCAGATGCGTGCTCACAGGAGGGTCCCAAGGTGAAGCTTGACATGTTCAACAGGGCATACCTCAGGGCACGCTTGGCGGCGGCTCCAAAAACCCGCTCCATGAAGAACGAGGCCACTGTCACTCCACTATTGGCAATTTCATACGGCGTCCCAGCGGAATAGTACGACACGTTGGCCAGGATATAGAGAGTGCCACTGATGAGGAGCGCCGTGGGAGCGGCAATCTTCACTGTGTGGGTAGGATTTTTGATTTCGTTCATCACGTATGCCGCATTGGACCATCTGAAAAGCGTCAGCCGGCTTCTACATTAAGGCCTCTGTCGATCGCTGGCGACATACCCGGCAAATGATCCCGTCACTTTGAACAACGCGGCCGAATACTGGTTGCTCGATGTAGCCGATGCAGCGAACGGACGGCGAAAGCTCGTGTACGGGTCGGGAACGCTGGCAACAGCGCCTCCCAAGATAACCCAGCCAGTTACTACAATGAAGACAACTGTTGCAATTTTGATCACGCCAATAGCGTTCATGCTGCGAACACCAAAGCGTGGCGAAAAGGCGTGCAGCAGCGTGATAGATCCAACGACGGCGATGGCAATTGCACGTTCTTCCCATTCGGTTGCTTTGCGATTTGCCGCGATGACCACGTAGGAAGCAAAGACAATGCATGCGGAAGCTGCCAGACGTCAGAGAACTGCTGTGGCATAGATGCACCAACGACTCGCCTGTAAACCCCAGAGCCACTGCTTGCGCCGCAAAGATCACTGTGATCAGCAGCTTCGGTCGACGATAGACGGCCTCGAGATACACTTTTTCTCCGCCACTGCGCGGGATCATGCATCCAAACTCAAGCCAGACACATAAACCAGCACCGGCGAGGAGCAGTCCGAGGACCCAGAGAAGCAACGATGCACCGACACTTCCCACACTATCTGTGACGGAGGCGGGGGTAGAGAAGATGCCAGTTCCAATGATGCGGCCAACTCTGTTCTCTTGTTGGTATACTTCAGAGTACTCCGGGGGATAGCATACATCAAGCAGATTGTCGAAAAGACACCCAGATGGCGACCCAATCCGCCACTTGTGTATTCCTCAAATGTCAGCTCCCCAATGGCGGGAGGAGTATCGACCGCGTTGCTATTGAAGACGATGGACGACTTCTCCGTGGACGGCAGGGGTCCCGGAGCTGAATCGATGGTGACATCCTTAGCATCCGACATGATTTGATTCCGTCCTAAAAAGCAGCCATGGAGTTTCCTTCATGATGATGGCTCTATATAGCTGTGGACTTCTCTATGCCTTCGAAAATCACCGGGGCAAAGCAAACTTAGTCTGTAGCACAACGCCGTGCATTTGCCATGGTGCAACTAGACTGGGGATATGGTATATCCCGCTGTGAGGTCGTAGAAGAAGTAAAGGCCAAGCAATTGAGTGGTGGACCAGAGGTCTTCAGCATCAAGATTTACCTCCCTGTTCCTGTTCCTACCTCCCCTTCCTTGTCCTCTTCCATCATCACCAGCGTACATTTCATCAGCTCGTCACACCATTTCCATCAGAATATACCCGTTAACAAACACACGATCCATCACGTCCAGCTCAGGCAATGGCAAGGGCTTCACCTTCGTCGGGTCAACAGGTTGGGTATGTATTGTGCAGGGGCTCCTGAGGAAGGATTCTTGACCGCACAAGCAAGGCAGATACATTTTGCCTAACGTAACGTGATTAGGGAAAGCACTATTGCTCGCGGGACTACAGCTCCAGGGTGGTAGCAGCAACGCGTACCGCTACTCCAACAGGTGGGTCGCATCCCTGGCCTGACCGTTTTCAAAATCCCGGTGGACTGACGGGAGCCAGCAACGGCTCTTACTACTACTCCAATGGCAATGGCAGCACCTACTACAAACGGCAAGGGCAGCTCGTGGTATAACCCGAGCGGCAAGAAGTGATTTAAAGCTATTACTCCATTGTAGGATGATTCGTTATGAAATCAGAGGGATTGTTTACGCTGGAAAGGGAATAAGGGAGATTGATTAGATTAGATCGGGCTCGTCCCGATTGGGAAATCTCGGAGTTAACTATTCCGTGCATCGTTGTTAGAGGTCACGTGGGATCTGCCCAGTTAGACCGCCCTCGCCTGGCCTAGAACAGCTGGTTCAGTAAGCGCGCACCTGTTGTATTCCTAACTACAAGTTAACTACACCTCCAATAGTTACGTTTATGTAATATTATATAATCACACTAACCGTATAAAGCTAGCGGTAGGGCCTGTAGATCTCCTGAGGGTGCCCTAGCGGCAGTCCGGAGAGACCAAGTCCGCACAATGGAGTCCAAACACAAAGGAAAAAGACTCAGCGGAGACAAAGCGCATCGGCACCCTGCAATCCCCATCGTCTGATCTGGCGGACAGACCAGCGGCTGCATAGAGCCCTGGAGCGCGGACGATGACTTGTTGCCAAACACCGCTATTGCTGGCCACGGCCGATGCAACAGGCCAGCAGCCCAGTTGCAACGCCTGAGGGACTGCATACTTACAGTGCTGAGTGTACACCGCACTTTACCAATCTTCTGGTGCGCCAACTAGAGAGGCAGATCGAGAAAGGTACAAACGCAGAATTCGTGCATTTGGGCCACTCATCAGCCCACTGGAAGGTCTGGTAGGCCACTGGATCGACCCGCCGGTGGGACGAGGCCAGCTTAATTGGTAGCAGCGCTCAATCCCGGCGTGGGCAGTTGGAATCGGATGTTTTTCTGCTACAGCCATAATCATAATAATAATCTGCAGCTAATTTCAACCTGAAAAATGGCTGCGGATCGGCTGCTGCCCGGAAACCGCCATTCCGGGTAACTTGACTACGGCTTGTCTGCTACCGCCGACAACTGACAGTTTTGGCCTCATGTCCGCGTTGATTGCTGCTGCCTGTTTGGCTTCTACTTAACCTTCGCAGATCCCTCGTCGGGGTACTGCTTGAAGCTTCTCATCGTCGTCGTCGTTGTCGTCGTCGTGGTCTCTCAGCAACATGGAGTTCAACAGCACTGGTTTCAACGCTACCCTCTCCCATGCCGCCGGCATGGACAAGCCCTCCTATTCCAACTTCTACGCCCTGGCTGACCAGCAGTTCCCCGAGTACAATATGCTGGAGAAGCTCTGGTGGGCGCACTACGCCTACTGGGACAATACCATCATCGCCACCGGCATCATCACCTTCCTCTCCCACGAATTCGTCTACTTCGGTCGCTGCATCCCCTGGGCCATCATCGACGCCCTCCCCGGCCTGTTCCTCAAGTACAAGATCCAGGACCAGAAGATGCCGTCTGCTGCCGACCAGTGGAACTGCATCAAGTACATCCTCCTGATCCATTTCATCGTCGAGCTGCCCATGATCGTCCTCTTCCACCCCATGATGGAGCTCTTCGGTGTCAGCTTCGACGCTCCCTTCCCCAGTCTCCGCACGATGATCCCGCAGGTACTCCTCTGGTTCTTCATCGAGGACGCCTACCACTACTGGCTGCATCGTGCCATGCACTGGGGTCCGCTGTACCGCGCCGTGCACCGCGTCCACCATCAATACGCCGCCCCCTTCGGGCTCACTGCCGAATACGCCAGTCCCTGGGAAACCATGTTCCTGGGCTGTGGAACCATTGTGCCGCCTCTGATCCACGGGTGGATCACAGGCAATGTGCACCTCATGGCAGTCTTGGTCTGGGTGACCCTGCGCCAGTTCCAGGCGATTGACTCACATTCTGGCTACGATTTCCCGTGGAGCATGCGGCACTGGATGCCGCTGTGGGGCGGGGCCGATTTCCACGATGCTCATCATCATTATTTCTGGGGCAACTATGCTAGCTCGTTCAAGCATTGGGACAGTATGTTTTTTTCTCTCTCTTTCCTTCTCTTGCTCCTTGGATGATACTAAAATGTTACAGTCATCTTCGGTACTGTCGCCACTCCCGAGGCGAGACAGAAGCGGCGCGAAAAGAGACAGGCCGAGCTGGCCATGCGGGCATCGAAGAAGAACGAGTAGTGCTTCATGCATTGCATGCGTTGCATTCAATTCTTACTGTGTATCTTTAATAATACTTAATCATGACCGAGAACTCACTGGAGTATAGGGTAGAAAAATCGATGCATGATAATGGCACTTAATTCTGTGCTAGTAGTCTAGTCTCTATGGACTTCTCGTTAACCATGCTTTATTACAATAGTCTTTCGAAGAGCCATGCAGATAAGCTTTTCATGGATGCCTGGATTCAGAGGTTCAGGGCCTACTTATCGAGAAATAACTCGGTAGATTCGTAAATCCACATTAGTCACCATAAGCTATACACTAACTAACTAGTTGACTACCATTCTTAAAGCATACATCCGTAATACCCATCTGAACTTGTAAAAGCAACAATGCCAAACTACCGCCATTGCACAGCATGCTCAGTTGCCATCTTGTGATACATCGTAGCAGTGCGTCTACGAATTCTTTTCCCATATACGGCCATCAGGATAATCGTCATGCACACGCCAAGACTGATGAACCCACACGTGATGAACATGTTCTGGATTCCGTTAGTCTCCATCCACGGCGTGATGGCGAAGGGGATGCCGATGCAGAAGGCGTTGCGGATGAATGCTATTGCGGTGAAGGCGTCGCCAGTTATCTATCATCAGCAGCATTAGCATCAGCATGACTGTCAAATGGCATTGTGAGTCAAGAAACGGGGTCTTACGTCTCGGTAACTGTCAATGATCAGGGTCAACGACGCGTCTGAGATACTTCCTAGGCCGTAGCCGAAGAAAGCTCCGCCGACACTAATGATCATCCAGTGTTCGCCCTAAAGTGCATGTTAGACTATGGTGATCCGAGTGAAAGTGATACGTTTTATGGGATGGTACCGCACCTTTGCCATTGAAACACCATACATAATGATCCCCGCACAGATAAACAACGACGGCGGGAAGAGAATATACAGCCGCATCTCCGGCTCATAATATCCCTTATTCCTCTTAGCAAAGTATAGAATCGTCCGATCGCCAAGGAACCCTCCATATAGCGCCCCGATGATACTTCCCACGAACGGACCGGTGCACATGTATCCGATGTCTGCTGGGACGAACATGTACGGTGGTCCCGTCATGACAATGGACAGCACGGAGGACATGATACTGAGCCAGATCACGCCGGTTGCATACTGGAGAGATGTGAACATGACGTGTGGGAAGGACAGGAGGATAATCCACGGACGGTAGTAGTATGGCCAGATGGACTCGGATGAGGGCGTGACCAGGGCCAATCTCTTCCACCAGGGGTTCATGGGGATGGACCAATCGATTTCGTGGTGGAGCGCAGTGGCTTCTGTGGTGGTTTCGGGTGTTTTAAGATTGGTTTTACCGTTGCCACTGCTGGCTTCGGTGGTTTTGGTATCGATAGCTGTGTTCGGGCTGGACTCGTCTGGGGTTCGGACTCCATCAATCACGGGGACATATTTGGTCTCCTCGTAGCAGAATGTGAAGAGGACAAATAGGATAGCACAGAATATGCCCATGGTTATGTAGGATGCTCGCCAACTAGCTACTGTGGCTTGATAACCTGCTGCCATTGGGGTGAGAAAGCTCTAAAGATATAGTTAGAATAGTTCCATCGATAGTTGATGTTTGAGAATGGAATAAAGGACACACCCCAATCATGACCATTATCATATACAACGCATTCATTCCACCACGATGATGCACGAAGAAGAGATCGGATATCTACCATCGTCAGCGCGGTTACTTGCAAACACACGCCTCGCATAGACAACACCGCAAACATACCGTGATCTGGACAATTGCTTCATTGGTAGCCCCAGCCAGTCCTGAGAGGAGATTGGTAGCATAAAGGTCCGACAGAGTCTGTATCTTAGCCGACCAGAATGTCGTTGCCGTCATCAGCGCCATTGACACGATGTAGACGGGTCGTCGCCCGAATTTCTTCGCCACAGGAATGAACAGCCAGCAGCCCATGGCCAGACCGACATAGTTAACCGACATGGTTCGATTGAGAAGGGCGAAAGACAGGTGCAAGTCCTCGACCATCTGTTGCCAGAAGATGGCCTGGACGCTTAGACTGTAGTATTGTCAGAGATATCCATCCGTATAATGAAAAAGCCGGTATGGCACAAGCCTACGCTGTAAAGAAAAGACAGGTCGATGTCATAACAAGCGTGTAGTTGACTGTTTTCCGGAAGACGCTCCAGTTCTTCACTTGGTGTTAGCCTCTCCCGCTGCAATTGTCTACCCGATCCGTTCTTACCAGGGGGTCGTTGGGATCGTTGCTCGGTATCGGGCTGAGCTCGACGACCTTATAGTGATGAATTTCATCCTCGTCATCTGTAGACAAGAGGTTAGTCTGCCGTCAGCTTATGGGTCCAGCTACATCAGGAGAACTACCTACCTCGAATCAGTAGGAAGGTCCCCGGAGGCATGTCAAAATCCTCCGACGGCGGCAATGGTTCTGAGGCCATGTTGATCAGTTAAGACAGGATATATCAAAATGAAGCAAGAAATCATTAAACTGTCGTCCTCGTCGTTGTCGTCCCGTCGTGGTTGTTCAGGACCCTGATGCGTCCGAGCACGGCGATTCTAGGGGGTAACCACGCGGCCTATTTAAAAGAGACGTCGAAGTGAGCGCAGTTCCCAATCGAGCCTGTTCGTTCTATCAAGGGTTGCTTCTATCAATAAAGAACATGATGCGCAAAAGTGTCATGAAGCAGATAGCCGATCCTTGTGAACATTCTATTTTGAATACGAATATACCAGATATCTTCGGCCAGTCAGGAAGCGTCTGCCTGCCGGATGAAGCGCGTTGCAGCCAAACAGAAGTAAGATACAGCACTGACAATATCAATGATAACACGAAGCAACAAGGATAATGCGGGGATTGCTTCTTACCAACGCCTGAGGACAGGTCGACGGGATAACCACGGCTCACCGAACACACAGACACATAGACTTCACTCCCTGGCCGCATGGTGCAAACGCTTGATGGTCAGTCTTATCCAGGGATATCCGGCTCAACCTTCCTGCAACGGAAGGACGACGAGATACGTGTCGTATCTAGCCAAGGCGGATCGGCGGACCATAATATCTGAAGGGTTCGCCCATCTGAGATACATTCGTTCGAGGATCAATAGGATAGAACAGACGTATCTCGATATCGGCTCGAGTGAATAGCACGCAGAGCAAGTAATACATCGAGTGGTAACGCGACAATGATAATGGTCGCAGACTTAGGATGTCACCTTCTCATCGAGCGACGAGATAGAATATTAAACTCCGCTAGCTCTGTCGTGTGTCGTGTGCCGGTACCACCAAGCATGCTTCGTAGCTAACTCAGCACGGAAGGTCGACCATGGCCATATTCTCCGATCATGCTGGAGGTGCGATGCTGCCGTAATTGTTCACTGGACAGGATCCAGAATGTATCAGGCAAAGCGGTTGTCACCGCGCACGATGCTGGCTTGCTCGAGGGAGATTGATGAATACTTCGAGTCAGTCAGCCGTCTCGTCCATAATATGAGGCGGGCACAACCGTGTTGACATCGAATTTCCTCGAGGGAGACGTCGGCAGTGCTATCAACATATCCATCGATATTCCACGCAAATCTATAATACAGATCTCGATAGATCTCGCGCGCCTTCATGCAGTTATAGCGTACAGCCACCCGCCATGTCCGCATCCTTGAGAACGCCTCAACTCCGTCTCTTTCCCCTCAAAGACGGTCGGTATTCCATTATATCGTGATAAACAAACCCGTTTCTGCTCCCAACTGACCATTTAGAATTCAAATCAGTATACTCGACTGCCCAGACGGTTTCGCGCGCCTTCTCCCAGGACCCTCTCATCCGCTGGCTCCGTCCAAATGGTTCTCCTTGGAGCGAGCCCAGTGCGGAGGTAAGCAAATGGCAGTGTCGCCGGATACAACGCGCCGTAGTAGACGGATCAGTATTCCGCGCGGAGCCTGTCAGTCGGATAGAGAGGACATTTCCGCGACGGGGGGCTATTTCATCTTCTCCTTCATCGTCCACATCGATGGAGAAAGTAAAGGAGATAAAAGCAGAGATCAAAGAGGAAGAGGGGAGACAGTCTGCAGACGATTCTGGAGCTGTAGTCATCTTATTTCCGCCTCGCTCACAGAAGAAGTGGTCTCTGCAACGAATACTTCTGGCTTGTAAGCTCTGGTTCTTGGATCTCTTGGACGGGGTCCAAGACGGGGGAGCAAAGGAGAGTGTATGTGGAAAGACAGAAATTGGCCTTGTCATTACTTCGTACTGACCAGCAGCAGAGATTGGATAAACTTATGGAAGCCCATGATGCTTCCTTGTCCCGGCTTGGTAACCAAGTGAATCTTTGGTATCTTGAGGTCATTGCGGTGCATCCCGACCTGCAGTCTCGTGGACTCGGCGGAATGGTTATGCGATGGATTCTTGACCATGTAGGCGAGCAGCCTGTGTGTTTGGAGTGCACGCGTGAGGAGAATGTTGGGTTTTATGAGAAGTTCGGCTTTCATGTCGTGGAGAAGGTGGTGCTGGAGGATGGAGAGGATAAGGTGGTGTATTGGATGATGTTGAAGGAGTGAAATAGATCTCTTTTTACTACAATTTTTTTTACATCTCATGTCTTGCATTCTGTTATTATCATAAACATGCACGCAGATAGTACATGCTACTCCGGGTATATCTACAAGATCCTACCTAGAATAGACCTAACTCCACGCCTCTCCTAACGGCCAATTCATTCACGTCCACCCCATCCCCTGCCATCCATACCTCCTCCAGTAACTCCGTCACTAATCGGTTCTGTTCCCCAGCTTCCTGGCGGTACCGATCAGCAAAGCATTCCTTGATTGCTTTCTTCCATTCCGGATTGCGGTTCACCAGATCCGCTTCCAAGCCCGCAATAAACACGGGATACTCGATAGCATTGAGGATCAGCGTGCCTTTATCTCTCTCGGTGGGATCTGCGCATGCTCGTCGCAGTGCGTCTAGCGAGGCCAGGATCCGGGCTACAAGGATTTCGGACCGGGGAAGACGCACCTGGCGCGACGAGAGAGAACTCGACGGCGTCGCCGGACTGGATGTGTCCATCTCCTGTCCCAGGCTGTGTCGTCGCCATTGCCGCTGTTGCTGTCGACAGGCCAGGATACCAGCTAATCGAAATGCTTCCCATAAATGACATTGTAGAAAGTTGCCTGGTTCACCCGGCCAATCCCAGAATGTTTCCTCTATGGTCCCCGCACCAATGCACGAGAAGATATCGAGTAGTGACCGCGGGAGACCACTAACCTGTTCCACGTCTTCCCCCCGTGCGCCACTGCTGCGACAGTATTTGCGCCAGACCCCGATGCTCGGGTTCTGTCGCCCAACGGTGAATGTGGGCAGATCCATGACTCCCATGACTTCGATGAGATGTGTTCGGAAAGGCGTACGGTGGATCGCGAGGCTATCCAGGCCATGACTCTGTAGAATACTGTGCATGCCTTCTAGGTGCATGGTCCAGGGGAGGCCGTGGACAATCTGGAAGCATGGTGATCAGTATCTTCTATCACCTCCTACCTCTTGCACGCTCTCATCACTTACTCCTATGCTGCATAGAAGTAACCCTGCAGCAAGAGTTCCGTCTTCGAGGCTTGTCAAACTCGTGGCCAGTTCAGACCGGAACCGGTTCAACGCCGCATCGAAGTACTCAAAAAAGCGTGGTCGCATTTCTGGTGTTAGCGTCACCTGGAACGCCAAGCAAATAGCATAGAGCGCTTTCGACTGTTCGCATAGCTGCGGGAGAAGAGGGAGGAGCACACTATCGTTAACCGTGGTGGAATGAAGCACGTTGATCCCGGAAGTGAGGACTAAACAGAACGAGTTGGTCAGAAAAGCAGCTGTCGCAGCAGGAATCGAATACGACGTACATTCCTGGAACAGAATCTCATCTTGCGACCACGACAGAGGCCAGGGTCTCGCCAGGGAAGTCGGAAGTACGTCTGTGCCTGTACGGCATTAACATAACACCCAGGGGCAAAACATACGCAGGCGATGGGTTGTAATGAGAACAGGCCTACTGCAGTACCTACAACCTGCCCCATTCCGTGTCCTTGCGCCTGGCTCTGTTCCTGGTCGGGCAACTCCTGTTTACGTTTCCTTTCCAAATCTCTGCGTCTCCCCTTGGGTCGGGGAGGAATCGACTCTTCCAACGGCTTATCTGCGCCCGTGAAGCGGCCACGCGACGCGATGCCAGTACCCCAACGAAGTCGCACCTCGTAGCCCTCGCATTGCAGACCCAAGCGCTTGCAGTTCTGGCATTCCGGTCGGGTATTGTCGCAACGGCGGCGTTTCTGTTTACAGGTCCAACAGCCGTGGTGAGATCGCCTGCGTGGTTGCGACTGTGGTTGGGGTGACTCGGTTGCCGATGGAGGAGCAGAAGTAGGGGTCGACATGCCAGTTGGAGGAGAGAGCCGGGGCTATGAAGTCATCCAGCTGTCGTGGACAGATCCGATGGATAATAGCGATTCATTCTAATCCTAGCGAAGCAAAGCTAGGCAGCGAAGGGGATGGGTTCGCGTCGACGGATATAGCGCAGCGGGGCTTCCACCGGGCTTATCTGTGCATATGTTGTAATGGCTGCACTGTCGAGTCATTGCGCGCGTATTATCTTCCCCTATCTTTCGCTAATCGACTGCGGAGTTGCTGGGCAGCGAGGATGGAGATAGAGCAGCTTCCAGGGACCGCGAGTCGACTTGCCTGTTTCAGCCGGCCTTCTCCATCGCCTTCAAGGTCTCTACAGCATCTCCAGGGCTTCCTTTTTATCTACCTGCATGCCCGGCAAGATGGATAAAATAACGGATAACTGCGCGTGCATTATACGCGTATGCAGCTACGATTCAGGCGGCTGGCACCATGTCTTTCCAAACCCCGTCCTCCAAATGCTCAACCTACATTGCTGGTCTCGGTCGCCTTGATGGTTACCAGTACGCCAATGGCGTTCAGCAATACTGTGGAATTCCATATGCGCGTCTCCCGAAGCGATGGACGAGGTCGGTTCTCAATACGGAGTGGGAAGGGGGCTATCACGATGGGACAAAGATGGGGTCAGTGAGAGCCAGTTCGAATGGTTAGGGAACAATGCTGATAACTTGCTCTTCTGCAGAAATGATTGTCCCCATCCTCTGAGCGATGGGGATGATGCTGATGACCTCGTTCCTGTTCCTCCACCACCGCACTTCTCGGAGCCTCGGAAGATGGATGAGTTCTCCGGCCTGGTCATGAACATCGTTCTCCCTGCGGCCCCTGTGGAAGGTCGGAAATATCCTGTATTCCTCTACGTTCATGGTGGGTCACTGCTATACGGAGGTGCGAATCTGCCCATCTTTGACGGGGTCAATCTCGTATCGCACAGTCTCGCCATTAATCGACCCGTTGTCTGTGTGAATTTCAACTACCGCGTGGGCTTGGGGGGTTTTCTGGCGTCGCAGGCAATCAAGGACGAGCTTCGTGCGGATGGATACGAGGGCTGCGGCAATTTTGGTTTCACAGATCAGCATGTCGCGTTCGACTGGGTCCAGAAATACATCGGGCAGTTGGGCGGAGATCCGAACGAAGTCACTGCTATCGGGGAATCGGCCGGAGGTATTTCGATCTCGAATCAACTGGTTGCTGCAAAACCGCCCGTGTTTCATCGCGCAGTCTGCATGTCAGGTCTGGCTGCGGGCATTCCTCCCTGGACTATGGAGCAGCACGAAGAGCTGTTTCAGGCGGTATGTCGGCATTTCAACATCGATCCGTCTACCGCGGACGTGTTGGATCAGTTGCGTGCTATTCCGCAGCAAGTCCTAGCTAACGCGACGCCTGCCATCCAAGGCGTGCTTGCGGGGACCGGAAACCCCTGTATGGATGGGTGGTTTTATGCAGAAGGGATTGATCCAAGGGAGGTCCAACCCCCTCCGCAATGGCTCCGATCATTCATGCTCGGCGACGTGTACCATGAGGGAATCATCTTCCATATCAACCTTCTTGAGGACAGCTATGACTTGATCCGAAACACCCTGCTGGAGTACGTCAAGGATCAAGACGAGCTCGACACGATCCTGAAAGCATACAACGTCACCCCTGAGCTCGACCATAATCTGCTCTTGGAGAGAGTAGAGCACATGGTCGGCGACGCAGTCTTCAAGGTCATCAATTACGCAACGATGCTTGTGTCCAAAGAGTTCCGCGAACAGAACAAGCTGTGGACATACCACTTCGACCAACGAAGTCGCGTTAAAAACTCATTCGAGGGAACCGCTTACCACGCGCATGAGCTGCTATATCTCTTTGGGAACTTGGACAACGAGCTGAATGAAGCTGAAAGACATATGGCACGGGATTTTGCCGCAGCTTGGATCCGGTTCGTTTATGGGGAAGCGCCATGGGAGGCCGAGCAGGTGCCTGAGGAAGGATGGAAGTGGAAGGTATGGGGGCCGGACAGTGCGCAGGCTGTCAAAACCGAGGAAGAGGATGAGACGGCCAGATCGTACACACGAATTAAGAAATTGCTTTCCATGGGCAATGGGGAGACATGGAAACGATGGTTCAAAGGATCAGATGCACTGGTTAACAAACGGATGAGAATGGGCAAGGGGATATCTCCCACTGCATAGATGTAATAAACATGGCCTCTTTAGAAGAATTTACGCCTTACATCTATACGCTAAATTCAATTGCAAAGATAAAATCAATAATATCAATCCAGAAAATATACATAGAGCCAATCAAACACCGTGGTATAATAGCCAACCCGGAAGAAAATATCAACCAACTTCCGGACTTATACGGTCCAGTTCATCGAATAAGCATCGTAATAATAATATAACTAACCCAAGGTGTCTATTGAGTCATAGGAAATCCATCAGTAACATTTCTATAGGGTACATCCACATCAGTTCCGAACACTTCCTACCAATATACAGGGAGAAGCGTACATCAACCCACTAAGAACGATATATCTACCGAAACGACACGTGCCGACTCTGCTCTTCGATAGCCTTGTGAAAACCTCGGATGGTGTCAAGGGGCCGTTCGAACCGATGACGGGTTGGGTTGGAGAGATCCGGGTCCGCTGGTTAACCGTCAGCATGGATAGATATTTATCTGGACAAATTCAGTCAATTTCCGTAAGTGTATACTCACTGATGATATTGCCCTCCCGGTCCTTATGTTGCATCGACCGCAAGGAGAATGTATTCGAAGAGGATCTACTCATAAGTGCCACTAGGGCTATCAGCACATGATCGTCAGGGTCGGCATGGAAGCGGAGAATGGAATATACCTGGCTGGTCTTCGTAGAGGGCGATGTTGGGATCGGCTTTGAGCATTCGTGACTTGGGTTCATTATAATTTGGAGCAGCAGTTTTGTGATCTCCCCCGGAAGATGTACTCGGGGAACTCTCGTGGGAGATTCCTTGGGAGCCTTGGGAGTATCCCTGAGAGTAGTATCCTTGAGAACCACGAGAGTATGTTTGGGAGTACGACATGATAGCGGTTTATCGTATCAATAGAACTGTACAGTGATGGAGGAATACAAGGACGGGGATTCTGACCTGGAAGATGACAGCCATGATATATGATTCCTGCCAAGGGGGGGCATAGGATTGATTTACAACGTGCACATGTCTCTACTTCGGATGGACATGTCTATCATCCCCGGAATAGGTATTGTTGACGCAACGCAACGCGACAGGTCGCACATCTTGCTGAAAATTGACTGCATCAGCCGGGACAAATCAGAGGAAGGATTACGACAGTGACTCGGGTGAAACCATGATGTTGCTCGATCCACATACGGCCGGGCATATCGAATCCCATCGATCGTGCTGCGAACAAGCTTTTCCCCGATTCTCGCCCCCGATATCATTCGTAACAGGCGCAGATCCATCAAATTGAATTGGCCAGAACGGTTATTACCCGTCCAGGTTCCTGACATGCACATGACAGGGCCACGCAAGCTGGCGGTCTTGTCCACTGACGATTGAGCCGTTCCTGGATGGCATAGGGCTTAGGGTCTGGAATATGTATCCAGTATATTTATTCACATGCACAGCCTCAGTTCCATCCCGTGTTTCAGTTAGCACACTGAGAAAAGATATATGCCTTCACAACCTCGATAAAAGAATCAGGAAAAGACTTGCTAAAAATAACCTCCGTCTAGAATCCTCTCGGCCACGCGTCTCTCTGCTTTCCAAGAACCTTGAGATATCGCACTTTCTTACGCCTTTGACTCGGCTGGGGACAGCCAAGGAGAGCATAGTCCAGTCAGTCAAATGAGCTTGCTGAGCACGCGATAAAATGCTGCCCGGTCATTATCAGATGGTAGGAGCAACCGGGAAGCCTATTGAGTGGTCTGTTAGTGCTTCTCCGAGTCCCGGGGATATACCTTGGCGAAATTCCAACCAGGTTCCAGTATTGTGCTTGGGTAATCTGAAAGAAGCTATTTGGAATTCAAAGAATTCCTAGTCCACCCTCATTTCCCCCCCCTTTCACTGTAGATTTGGTGCAGGCCTTCATCGATATGCCTGTGCTTTAGGTGAACAGCGAACATTATACCAATTCCTTCCCATCTTGCGTCTGGTTCGACGTCATTGCTGGCTGGATGATCAGGAACACAACAATTCCAAACAGCCACTCTATCCTTCAATAGAAACACCCGTATAATGAAATGGATATTTTATCACCACGCTTTCTAGCCTCGCGAGAAAAAAACCAGTTCGTTGAGATGCGATATTTTTTGTGCTCAGTGGAGTGGTCGGTGGAGCTTTTGCACGGAAAGTGATTCAAATCTATACAGGAGGTAGGCTGAATATCAGTGGTACAATTGGTTTTATCACATCAAGGCGAAAAGATGAACCATATATCCAAGATAGAGATCTCGTTATGTGATGGCAAATGAATGCAGTGTCTGTCGATAGAGCACGTTATACATAGTTGGAGGTCGAATTTGTCCTTGTCAAGTGTAGGTCACGTTGGCAGTCAACTCCCATCGAAGTCCCCACCCCATCCTATATCTTTTTCCCACTCTCTCTGCGTCTATTGAGACAGCCTTTTGGATAACCAACTTTCTAGACAAGTCAATGCTGGACTGGCTAGCTATGCTCTATTTGTTCCTTCCTGCTTTTGCCTCGGTCTTGGAACCTTGAAAGAGGGTTCGCTGCAGGCATTTTCTATATCTGCAAGAATCTGGTTATGGATATATGAATGGTAAAGTTCCCTGTTTCTGCTTGTATAGGGCCCTTACTGATTCTTTTAATATAACATTTGCAGGACGCTTATTGCCATATATGAGACACCTACTATTATTTGACCGGCTACCGAACGACCTTCTCGGAAATTAAGCTTCTACTATATCTATTATAGTACGTTCCATCTTGCTCTATATTTCGCTCTTTGCTAGTCAACTGAAATTATCATACAGTGTCCCACACTCTAGCGCTTGAAGCATTGGGCACCTCCACGAGGTCGCATTGCCGGACCATGGAACCCAATCCGGAAGGCAGGTTCGCCTGACTTTAATGTCACCAGGCTCAGTCAAGATAGACCCTGGAGGTATTGTTTCTTGGTGTCCAATGGGTAAAGAGAAACCTGGTTGCTGGCGTAGGCTCTTCTTTTTGCGGCATGGAAGGTAATATGAACGTGTATATTCCACCAACACCGAGCAGAATTGCCAAACAAAAGACTCCTATGCGTATCAATTTCTGGAGGAATACACAGGCTTGAGCCTTGAACATATGTGTGTGTGATATGAGTGAGAGGATCACGGCTGTCTCTGATTCTTCAGATTGCTACTTGTGGCAATGTCCCCGAGATTCTGTTACAAATTAGCCCTGCAGCAGTCGGACAACACTGGCCATTTTGCCGGGAGCTAATAATAACGCAGCATGAGAAATGCTTCGTGATATATGTGTTCTTACCCATTTTGTACACTCTGCTTGTGGTTATCCTGCAAGATGACCGACCCCCATGCTAACGAGCCTCTGGAGGTAGCTGTGAGTGCTACCAATAGTAATGCAACTGGGAGGCTCTAGAGTGTACCCTGCTAACACAATCTTTTGTTAGGAAAACAACGATGCCGATTCAGCCTATGCGAAGTCGTGCGCGTAGCCCTTTCTTGCCAGCCGGAGCATACCTGACCACTACCGCACAGAGGGAGAGCGATGCGAGCTGCACCAGCTCGATAGCATCAAGCGTCTTCAACTACAGGTATACGAACACATTATATGACACAAAGGATGAAACTCGAATTACATAATTTTCCTAATCTAGATACCAAAACGGTTGCCGCACCACTCATTTCACGAGGGCGAATACTTCCTAGTAGGCTTCGACACTATTTCCCCGTTTAGCTATTGTATCTGACTTGCATCAAAGGCCAAATGATGAGCAAGAACGAGAATGTGATAACAATCGTCGGCATTTGGGCTGACGTTGGCAGAAACCATCGTGTATATCTATTGCTGCTGGGAGGTGACTTGCAGTTTGCGCCTATAAGACCCCAAAAGAGTCTTAGATCTTGGCACTGGAACGGTGATTTGGGCTATTGATTTCGCAGGGTAAGTTTGCTGCTTTTGCTGTAGCCAACATGGCTGTTAACAATGCCCAGTGAACATCCCGACGCCGAAGTTATCGGGATTAATCTGATTTCTGTACAACCGTCTTGGTATTTATTATGTTCTTGGAAGTGATTTTGATACATGGTCTTCTAACCGGTCTCAGTAGGATTCCACGAATTGCAAATTTGAAATCGATGACTATCAGCGAGACTGGCAGTATTCCCGGCCCCTTGACTATATCCATGGTTGAGAGCTAGAAGGCAGTATCCGAGACCATTGTAAGCTCTTCGGACAGGCCTTCAAAAATTAACGCCTGGTGAATATTTGAGATGTCTTCTATTGAAATTACAACCCAGTCTGATGACGGCACCCATCTGAAGGCCAGAATCTTCTACGAAAACGGGAAGATTATACGCGAAGCCACTCGAAAGTTCGGGGAAGTACATGTTTACTTCACCAACATGGTAAGAGAAGATGATACAGGCTGGATTGGAGGATTTTCATAAGCAGAGTTTACCGATAAGTTCTCACTAACTAGTTGTTCACAAGTATGCTAGACTCATATACATATGCTCTCTATACCAATGTGCTTGGTTGGCAAATGGTACAAATTGAGGTCTTCCTCCCTGCCATGCGCCAGGAGATCAAGGACCTATCAAATCATCTTTACACTCACGTTCACTTTGTGTATGGACGTAAGCCGCAGAAATAATAGCGAGCTTATGAATTTTACATTTTGGTTTCCTTCGTTGATGATCGCGTATGCACTTGGGTAAACAACGGGATACCCAGTCCAAGGATAGAGTATTCTCTTGCCAGGATCCAAATAACTAAATAGCTTATGCCAATAGTACCAATCACACCCTCAACTCACTCAAAACCTCCTCCCACATCTGACAAATCCTATCATCCACCCCAGCCCGATGCCACGCAGCAACATACCAATCACCTAACCTACCATCTCTCACACATTCCCCCGCCATTGAAACCTCCGTATCCAACTCGGGGACCGTCAAGACAGGCCTCATCCTCAACCCAGACAGAATCCCCCTCAGATGCTCCGCAGCCTTCCCCCCCCCCGCGCCCACCATAGGAAACAATCCCAGCCGGTTTCCCCGTCCACTCGTGAAAGAGATAGTCGAGCGCATTCTTCAAACTCGCTGGAATACTCCAGTTATACTGCGGTGTGATGAAGATGAACGCGTCGTACCGCCTGACTTTGCTCGACCAGACGCGGGAGTACTCGTTGACGTAATGCGGGGTTGGATCTGACTCCGGGAGATGGGCGGGGATGGCGGGTTCGTTCGTGGACAGGGGGAGGTGCTGATCAGCGATATCTAGGACTTCCAGGAACGTTGGGGGTCCGTTGAGGATGGTGCTGATTGTTTTTTCACTGTTAGTCTTATTGTTGTTGTTGTTGTTGTTGTTGCTGCTGCTGTTGTATCTAGTTAGAATCTGGTGGACGTAGTCTGTGATGAAGGGATTTAGGCGTGGATTGCGGATACTGCAGGTAACTAGGGCAATCGTCTTTGGAGAATTATCCATAACTGTAAAAGTGCATTGATAAAATATAATTATTAACTGCTAGAAGACAAGAAAGAATGGGATTTATGAAGTGGTTGTGACTTTTGTTTTGCAAGGTTATGTCTTATTTAATTTTATTGGTCCACTATGTAGGGTTGGGTGTGATGAGCCCTACATCGACTGTGCTATGCCTGAGAACTCGCATCGACAGGATAATTTTCTTAATGTTTTCAACAACCTAGACAATTCTTTTATTGCATACAATAGATAATACATAAACGGCGATATTTAGAAGACAAACTGTAACCAGACAGAATCATTTAAAATAATCAACAACCTCCGGCACATTCTGGCTTTCCAAGAAATCACCTCAATCCATTCAAGCAATAGAAAAGAGGGGTATCTGCCCTCAAAAGTTAACATAATGGCCAAGATTGCCACAAATATTCATATCCTCATAGTTAAGCCCAAATCCATGGACCTCAGGAATCGGGTATCAGTACATAAGGCGCTGACGGTTCTGAGTCTCCAATATGCCAATATAGTCGCTAATGCCAATACTTTTCAACCTTACACAACCAGCTTTGCGTAGTGTCCTCGCCCAGCCGCATTAAAGCCCCAGGATTCATTCTATTTGGCTCGAAGTTTGTATATGACAGCTTCCAGCTGGGGTTAGGCTTGGCTTTGTCAAGCTTTCCAATATTCGCAAGAGCAGTTTCGGCATTCGCACCGGGGATGCCAAGATGGAAGATGAGCCAAGGACAGATAGTCCCATAAGGATAACAATCTTGGAGAACAGAATGATGGCAAATGTCTCAAAGCTTTCAGCGTAGTCGAAGCTGAAGTATGATTGCCTCGGTAGAGTAAGGTTATGAGATAGGTCGGAGTCAGGAGAGGATGATTGTAAGAGATTAGTCCTTGGAGATTGAAGAGCATAACAGAGCAAGATTGACTGAGAATAAAGCTCTATTTATCTATTTCAGCGGATCCTCGATAACAGGGATTCTCATGTACAGGGCTGTATTGAGCGTCAAATCTGCCACGAGAATGTTCCCGCTTGGACGACAACAGCTCCATTATGCACAGGGTCATCCATGACGAGGTAGGTTCCAATGCTGAGATTGTTTGTAAGGAGTAGAGGCACTTATTTATTATCTGTTCTGTATGTTGACAGATGCGAAGCTTGTCCAAGACAAGACCCAGATGCTGGACATCAACTTCACGATATCCCCATGAGAAACAGACAGAACACTCCGACTCCGGAGTTAAAAATAAAAAGCTATACTCCATATCTAACGTCTGAGGATAAAATTGCGATCATCGGTTATGTTTGGAGCGACGGGGATGCTTAGGCACCGCGGGGAATACGGTGGGTGCATTTAATCTCGGATCTCAATAGAATTGACCTATTAGGCTAGTCAGGGTGCAATATCTAGACATGATATTTGTATTGCAACATTAGGATGCATCGTATATTTGTATAATCCGTGTAGAACATGCCTGTGGTGGGAGAGAAGCTTCGGTGTTGCTTAGCCCCATCAGCAGTCACAGTTATGTGATCTATCGATTTGCGTGTTAGATAAAGATGAGACCCGGTTAGACATGAATTTTCCTATATTAACCAGTTTTTCAGACGATGCCTCTTTATGTTTTCCAATTCCAACTACTAGTAGCTGCAATGGACTGAGCCCTGTTGAGTAGTCACGTGATCTCCATTAGATAGATAGGGACCGACTCCGCTGACCCCTTTATGAATACAACGACGTCCAACCCGTCAAGCCCTTCATGGGTTGAATCTGCATGGGGATGTGTAGTCATATATTGATATGGAAAGGTCACGTGGTATGGCGGCTTGGCTCCCTCTCTGACCCCTGAGAATCTGAGCCCCTGATTATATGTAGAGAGAGACACGGAAGAGAATGGCATCTGTTCCTTAGTAGGCTACGTACGTGTAGTCCATACAGCTTCATCTGCCCTTCTTCCCTGAGCTACATGCATATCCCACAACAATAGTGAAAGAGAGTGACTAGACTCCAATGCCCTGAATACAACTAACATCATAGGATCTAAGACTAACTAGCATATTGGGCATTGCGTTCTGCATCAGAAATGACCAGTGTGATCCAGAAGATGTGCATACTTCTGTTGGGAAGCCCGTGCCAGGCCCATTTTGGTCTAGCGGAACCTGCATAAGGTCGGCCCTAACCCAGTTGGGAAACAATGAGGGCTGCCAGACGCAAACCCCGCTTCCTTATATACGTGTTGGTCTTCTTCTTGTCTCTCCCCCGGCTTCCCCTTACCTTATCAGAAGTCAGATGTCGCCATGGTGTCCATCGAAAAGTGGTATTCCACGCAGACTGCCCAAGTCCTCGACTTGGTAGGTGACTATGCTGGACGGGAGCTGTTTCTTCTCGATGGAGATGCCCTAGTCTTGGACTGCGTCGATGACATTGCACTGGATTTTGATGGTGGGCTATCCTTTAACAGAGTTACAGTTTCAGAACTAACAAGAGTATCAAGATGGGATTCAGCTACTCCACGCTGTGTGGAATGTCGAGAGATTTCTCTCTCGATTGAACCACTCCAAGTGTGTCTTTCACATTGCCTTCTTCAATGGTATTCTGACATTATTGCCCCCTATCCTAGTGGTGTAGAAGGCTAATAGCTGTAGAAAATCGTGGGATAGTTGCAGCTGCTGCGCCAAAGGATATCCACCGTTCGAAGTACGCTCTGGCCAGAGCAGTCATCCTTCTGCATTTGAAACGACAGGTGCATGTAAAGCATCCCGACATCGAGGTTCACCAGTTTCAGTCAATGACCTCCTCTGACTTCCGAAAATATCTGCAATCCAACAATGTCTACTTCGTCATGTCCCACAATGGTGCACTGAGGCGTAGAGACGTCTCTGTCCGAGATTGCTTGTTTGTGGTACGGCAGGCCCTGTCTCTGGGGTTGGGAGTTGCCATCATTAACGAGATCGAATGGCGGGATAGCAAGGTCAGTCTCATTTGCCTCATTGTCTGTATGCCAGTATATCTTATAGAGCTATATTCCACAGATAATAACAAGAGTTATCCAAGCAAATCCACCCTATCTTGAATTGGGGGATAGCCGACGAGAGATGGAAAGCATTACTCCAGCCGGAGACCCGGGCTGCATAAAATACTTCAAAGAAATAGTCAGGCTTCATCCACTCAGTGGTGACCGGGATCTAACACCCAGAGACCGGCTTACACTTTCCGTCTTGTCCGTTATGCTCAGGAAACGGGAAGGCACTCCAATGCATTTGATGGCTGCTGCATTTTTACTTCACTCAGTATGTCTTAGAAATTTGTCCCTGTCAGAGAGAAGGCTTCCAGTTCAGCATATTATAGATCAAGAGTCCTATAACGCCATCCTTGATGAATTTTGCAAGAATACAAATACCCTCATCGAAACTGCAGATTTTGAGAACTGTCTTTGGGAATCCAAGGAACCAGATAGCCATGATCTCATTGACGGCAGACTTCTACGACCTTGCACGAATTTACTCCAAAGTCAGCAGGTTTCGGAGCTGGAAAGCAACATACAATACCGCTACAATACCCTGCTTGAATGTCTGGAGACAGTCTCGCGCGTACCAATTCAATATAATAAAATCAGCAACACGCTACCGGAGGTCAATATCCAACCCTCTGGCCAGGCTCCCATGGAGAAGACAGCACTACTGCCATTTCAGCATAAAGTCTTTGACTATCATCTTTCAAGTATCCATGTGACTGTGGAGTCGTTTGACCGTAAGCAGACAAGAATTCCCCAACGCAGTGTCATAGATATGACGCATTGGCATAATCGGAGACTCCTTGATTCAAAACCCAGGACAAAGTGGCGCAATCCTGAAAGATCAAAACAGTTACAGATGAGAAACATGGAGGTATATGCCGCAAGCCTCACTGACACGAAAGGTAGAGCCTTCACTCCAACGAGAATCATCTCCCCGGAGATCAGGGGCAAGAATCAATCCAAGTCAACGGCGAAGAAACAGTCGTTAAAGGCCCAACAAATAATAAAACAAAACAAGAAAGAAAAGTTAAAAGAAGAATCATCCTGGCAAAATTCTTGGAAGAGAAAGCTCTCCGAGATAAGCACAATGGAACCTGGTCGCAAAGCACAGGAGTGTCTGGACTTCCTGGGCAATCTTGATGACAAAAAGAGGGCCTATCTTGAACCAGAGATTCGGCTATTTATCCTAATACAGCATATTCTTCACCGTCAAGGGCTCAGCGTGGCTAAAGATAACGTACCTGAGTCCTTGATGCGAGATATATGGGATCAGGTGCGAATTCTCCGACACTGTATTTCTCAAATGCCACCAACTGGCTATGAGTTGTTTCAGAATATATGTCGAAAACTTCAACTACCGGAATGCTCCAATGTCACTCCTGTTCCAAAGCGTCAACTATCATTTACCTTCGACAGCAATTTAATTCAAGAAGCGTCTCCATGGGGGTCATTAACTATCCGGGATTTTGAACTCCTGCATTGCGGTCCATATTTGGAACGCTCAACTGGATCCAAACCTGACTCTCGAGTTGATTTTGAACCAGACAAATGGCAAAGAGAGGTCTTGGACGAACTTGATGCAGATCACAGCGTTTTTGTCGTAGCACCGACAAGTGCTGGAAAGACCTTCATTAGCTTCTATGCCATGTCTAAAATCCTCAGGGAAAGTGACGATGGTGTCTTGGTTTATGTAGCACCGACTAAGGCACTAGTTAATCAAATAGCTGCTGAAATTCATGCTCGCTTACGCAAGACCTATCCACCAGGATCAGACAAGACCCTATGGGCAATCTATACGCGAGATGTCCGAGTCAATGACCCCGTGAAGAGCCAAATTCTTGTGACAGTCCCACATCTGCTTCAAATTGTAGGTACAACATTATGCGTTTGGGGAGCAATTACCTGACTTCAATTAATGCAGATGCTACTCTCCGCACACTATGCCACGTCCTGGGCTTCCCGCGTCAAATGCATCATATTTGATGAGATTCATTCCATCGGTCAAACAGACGATGGCTTAGTATGGGAACAACTGCTACTGCTGGCTCCGTGTCGTATTATTGGGCTCTCTGCCACAGTTGGGAACCCGGAAGCGTTCACTGAATGGCTTTCCTCGACCCAGAGAAATTTGAATATACCACTGAAACTCATCAGACATAACCAGCGATACTCAGACCTTCGAAAATTTACCTATGTCCCTCCGGAAAAATATTCCTTCAAAGGCCTGCGCCCGAGCCATCACCAGAAAGTCATGTTAGACCCAGGGTCTATTGATGGCCTGACTTTTGTGCATCCAATTGCTAGTCTTGTCAACTCTCAGAGACAGATGCCAGAAGATTTCTCCCTTGAGCCAAGAGATTGCTATCTGCTATGGAAGTCAATGATACAACATGCGTCTTCTCAATTTCCAGTCCCAGAGGAACTGAGCCCTGACCACGCCCTTCCTCCTTTCATTAGACGAGCTGATGTGTTCCAATGGGAAACCGGTTTGAAAAAGGTTCTATGGAGCTGGATGACTAACGCCGATTCCCCATATCAGCTTGTTCGCAACGATCTTGAGAACCTGTCAGCATCTCCTGACTACAAAAATGCGATAGAAGATGGCATCGGTGATAATGAGGATGGAGATGGAGATGGCAAGCTCAATGGGGTCATCAGTTTCAAGCAGAAGAGCAGCCAACTATGCGCTTCTATATTTCCTTTACTTGTGAATCTTCACGAGAAAAGCGCAATGCCTGCACTTATTTTCAGCTATGACCGCAACATCTGCGAGTTTCTTGCAGTTACTACTCTCAGGAAATTAAAGCTGGCCGAAAATGAATATAAGATGGGGCCCACATGGAAAAGGAAGTTAAAGGAATATGAGAAGTATCTTGCAGAGGTGGAAATGCAAAAGCGTGCAGATGAAAAAAGCAAGAAGGTGAATCGACGCAAGAGCCAGTCCAAAGAGGAGTCGATACCTGACAACCCGTACCGGGAAAGTCATCGATTCAAAGGATTTGATCCTGACAAGCCCCTGGAACAGTTCAGCTTTGCTGACTCTCATAAATTTGACTGGGCGGAACTCGAAAAGGAAATCAACGGAATGAAGAGATCCAAGAAAGTCAACACTGACCTTCTCGAGGCTCTCCGTCGAGGTATCGGCGTACACCATGGGGGCTTAAATGGGCGATACCGGCATTTGTAAGCCATACCCTATAGTTATAATGATTAACGCAGTTATCATCTAACGTGTATCCTCAATCATACAGTGTAGAACGATTGTTTCGTGCTGGATTTTTGCGTGTTGTCGTCGCCACTGGCACTCTAGCGCTCGGGATCAACATGCCAGCTCCTACTGTCATATTCTGCGGTGATAGTGTCTATTTGACTGCATTGAACTTTCGTCAGGCTGCTGGCAGAGCAGGCCGTCGAGGCTTTGATCTGCTGGGAAATGTGATATTCCATGGAGTTCCTCGACATAAAGTCTACCAGCTCATAAGCTCTCGGTTGCCTGATCTCACAGGCCATTTTCCTATAACCACGAGCCTGGTGCTCCGTCTTTTTATCTTGCTGGACAACTCAAAGCAATCAGATTATGCTGTACGAGCAATAAACTCGCTGCTGTCCCAACCTCGTCTGTTCCTTGGTGGTGAGGACTCACGGAACAAAATCCTTCATCATCTTCGTTTCTCTATCGAATACCTAAGGCGTCAGCATCTCCTTGGCGCCCATGGGGAACCACTCGACTTGGCTTGTATTGTGGCACATCTCTATCACGCAGAGCGAAGTGCGTTCGCGTTTCACGCCCTTGTGCGCGCTGGGTATTTCCGGGAACTTTGTGAGGCAGACCACACAAACACGGGGCAGAATCAGAGGACGATCATCATTGTCTTGGCCCATTTATTTGGCCGGATGTCTCTTGGAACCAGAAGCAATGAATTTCTTGAACGGAGGAAGATAATCAAGTCGCCGTCTGTGGTACGTCTCCCAGATATGCCATCAAAGGCCCTCGAAGTGCTCCGAGAACATAATTTGGATGTTCTTAGAACATACTCTGCATATGTCAATACTTTTGCCAAGCAGCACCTACAGGAACCTGAAAAGGAACTGCCCCTTAGCGGAGCCTTGGTTGGGGGCACAGGAGATCCGGAGACCAGCCGACTGTTAGGAGCATTGGAAGCAACGCGGTCTCGATCAGCATTTGTTGGTCTTTCTGGACACGGTGATGATTTCACAAGCATTAAGGATCTCTGTAATACGGTTCGGTCTGGGATATTCCTGGAGCAGAGCGTCATCCCGCACCTTGACATTTATCCAGACGAGGGCATGGCTCCATTGAACGCATATCTGTACGACTTTTTCTGCCACGGCAGTCTCCAACCACTTGAAGCGGCGAATCAAATTTCCCCCAACGATTGTTGGCACAAGTTGAACGACTTCTCGATGGTATTGGCAACGATCGTGGTGGCATTGGCGAACTACCTCGACCCAAATATGAATGGGGAGGAATTTTTTGCAGACGATACTGATACAGACGATATGGCGTCGATAACAGGCAGTGAACCAGATGAATCAACCGAACCCACTAAGCCATCCACAGCAGGTTCTGGCCGTGCATCCATGCTTCCTAGGACAACTCCTACTCAGCCAATGGCATGGGACGATGACGATAGTGATGAAAGTTCAATACCGGATGACTGGGAGGATAATATCAGTCAGCTCTCTGCTTCAAGGGACAAGGAGACACTGGTGAGACCCGGAGGCGAGGCGAGCAATGTGCCGGAGCGGCTGGTTGTCTCCCGTCAGGTTCTGGAGATGTTCTGTGAGGTGAAGAAGGAATTTGACGAAAAGTTCCATAAGATCTTTGCTTAATTTGAAATTTCTGGAAAATATATAATAGCTATTATCTTGGTAAGACTGAATATGGAAAATTGGAGGTGTATCTATGCACGACAAATTGGTAATCTAGTTTACATTCTTCGCTCCGGATACTAGCGGTACGTTGAAGACCAGCTTGAAACCCTAATAGCCTTAGTCTTTTATAACCGACTGCAGCATCTCGACTTGAATTATTATCTGGAGTCCATTATTCACGTACAAACTATGAAACAGCATATGAAAACGTTATATAGCTATATATATTGACATTTGAATCCAGACCTATCTGTGATCACCCGGTGCTCTCTCAGCATGCTCGGTGGTAGCCTCTTCATTCTTCTCATTATGCTGTATCCCGTTTCGAAGATGCTGACCAACATGGCTCGTCAATCTCGAGGAAAGCCATATTACGAGCATATTAGCGCTTTCTCCTCTTTTTATAACCGAGAGTATCAGTGCAGTTAACTTACATCCTTCGTCCCCAACGCACAAAGAAACGCCAACCCCCGAAAGCAATCGAAGAAAGCCAAACGTATCTAAAACTCTTAATATATGCCTTCTTCAACGCCGTATCAGCAACACCCAGTATTACCGGCGTGATTCCAGGAATATCCATCGGATTCTTGTCCGTGACGGTCCCGTGAGAAGACCCAGGAGCTCGGGGAGAGACGATTGCGGTAATCCAGCGGTAATGGCTGCTTTCCCTAAGTACTCCGGGACAAGGATTTTGGCTTTTCTGGAGTAGATGGCTGTGTAGATTGCTGTGCCTGTTGATCCGCCCACGGAGCGGAGGAGGCCTAGGGTCCCTGTTGCGAAGCCGATCCATGGTGAAGATTTGACCGGAGATTTACATCTAGCAATGGGTTTCCTGTCCGAGAATAGGGCAGAGTATTATACCAACTTCCACGGAAGTACGGAATCAATGACTGCAGTCCGAGTCGTAATAGCTTGCCAGAATCCCTGCAGCTCGTGAAATGGACTTTGTATCCGAGCACCATCACAGCTACTAGCTTTGAATAAGCCGGGGAAGCTGTTGGGGCTTTACGTGCTATAGTATAGTAAAGTAGGTTATCCAACAAAGCAGTGTCCATCTTCCTCTCAAACTGCACCGTCTCAGGACCCAAAAGACACCCCACGAACGCATCTCTACTACGGCAATATGCCTGCTGAATAGCCCCCGATTATCCAGCGTGCCCCATTTCACCGAGATGACGCTGCCCTGGATTTCCCGCTCAGAGGTCAGGGTGTTCTGCAATCACCGCAGAATCGACGGCAGGCCCTTGGTGTACTTTCACCGGTGCTGTCCATGAAGGCCTTGGGTTCGCCGCGAGCAAACTCGTGAAACTGCAGATGCATGACGATTTTCGAGAACGAGGAGCCGGAATTCTTCTTGCAGTATATGCAGTGGCATATAACAAACTGTTTTGTTAGTATAATCTCGGCTTTCTTAAATTCATTCAGTCATTCAGCTCTAACCAGATATGCCTTGGGCAGTGGCTCATCGGGTTCATCGGCAGGCAAACGAATCAGATCCCTGATTCTGCAGCAGACACATCCCCCTGTATACAAAGCTAAGGGTACATTGGATTTTGCTCGTATTGTTTGGGGCACTGAGGGACTGATTTCTAGCTCTTTGATTATCAGTAAAGGGTAAGCCCGTGCAACCCCGGCATTTAATTCGGAATGCGGGTTGTTAGGGTTATCAAAGCGCAGTTGATCGTCGTAGGTAACGACGTGACCATTATATTAAGTTGATCGTATATATATAATTGGTTTGAATATATTAATTGAGTTATCGGCCAGTTTAGAACCTTGACGACGTGCAGCGCTGTTTGGGTTAGGGCTAGGAGCATCCAGACCCTTGCTTCTGGTAATGGGGCTAATCATGGGTTTAACACAATAGCTTATAATTAGTAGCTGTGTATGCTTCTCTGGCAATACTGAAGTTGAATGACAGCTGCATATCAGTCTAGGTGCATGTCACCATGAGCCTGTCTCGACCGTGGTAGATATTAGTATTGTGCTGAGCGTATATACATATATACAGAGAGCGTCTTAGATCAACACCTACTGGTCTTGGAATACTAAGTGCTGAGGAGTTCACTAAGCCCTAGCCGTGGCCTGAAGCATCAATCTTGCAACAGATGCACAAACACATTAATCCATAATATCATTGACACTTATCCCAGAAGAACTAGACAACCTCTGCATGGGCCGTATCAGCCCCCTTCTTCTCCCCAGCCTCAAGCTGTACCCTAAACTCCTCCAGCCGATCCTTCAACTTCCCCGTCTCCCATGGCTTCAGATCCGTGTTGAACACAATATCCATCTCCTCGAGCGTCCTCCTCGCTGTCTCGGGGTACATGAAGAAGACGTGGAAGGTCATCACGGTGCAGAACACGCCGAAGATGATGTATGTTTTCCACTGGATGTTCGTGAACGCCGGCGCGACGAAGTAGGCCAGGGCGAAGTTGAAGATCCAGTTTGTTGCGGCGGAGATGCCGACGCCTTTGGCGCGGTATTTTAGGGGGAAGACTTCGGAGCAGTAGATCCATCCTGTTGGGGCCTGCATCACATTATCAGTGTTTACGGTTCTCGTCGATGGTTCTCGGATAGATAATAGGGATGGATATACCCATGTGAACCCGTAGATTCCAGTGAAAATGTACGAGCAAGCAATCACGCCCTTGGCGGGTGCGCCATGGATTTCCCATCGGAGGTTCCTGTTCCCTTGGACTTCATCGACATAGTGGCCGTGCGAGGCCATGAGGCCGGCTATAGTGTAGTGCAGGATCATGCATAACACAGAGCCGATGAGGAGGATGGGACGTCTTCCCACACGATCGATCCACGGAAGCATGACGCCTGTAGTTGCGAGGAAGATGACATATTGGATGATCGAAGAGACGAGACTGGAGTCTCCGGTCTATAAGCCCTTAGCATTGACAGCACAGCATACCAGAAGAAGAACATACCATGCCAGCCATCTTAAAAATATACACAACATAGTACATGGCCACATTCCCACCAAGCAACTGCTGCCACATCTGCACCGACATCCCGCAGATAGTCCTCTTGAGCAGCTTGGGCGTGAACAGCGAGAGAATCGATACATCCCTCGCTTCGTGCGCAATCCTCGCGGCCTCCTGCACCTCCTCGAATTCTACCTGGACGATGGGATTATTCCGATCCCCCTTCCCATGCAGCGCAGCAAGGACATCAAGACACTCCTCCCACCGCTCCTTACCCGCCAGCCACCGCGGAGACTCGGGGAAAAAGAACAGCGCCGCGAGAAGAATCAATCCAGGAACACCCTGGATACCCCAGCAGATCCTGAACGAAGCGGACGAATGCACGCCCTTGATACATCCGTACGCGATCAGGTACATGATGAGAATACCCCATTCGATCGCCCATTGCTGGATCCCCACGATCCGGCCGCGGATGCGCGCTGGCGCGAGCTCAGCCAGATAAACACATACTTGCGACGAGGTGATCCCAACAGCGAGGCCGCTAATTACTCGCCCGGCGACGAGGTGTGCGACGTTTTGCGCGCTGCATTGGATCGCTGCGCCGATTACCCAGATCAGACATGAGACTTGTAGTGCGCCGCGTCGGCCGAGGATGTCGGAGAGGAATCCGGCTGCGATGGCGCCTGCGAAGGAGCCGGCGGACATGGAGGCAGTTATCTGGATTGTTAGTCTCTGGGATATATGTAATGGGGAAATATGAAGGTGCATACTCCACCCTGCAGGTCGGAATCTGGAGAATTGAAGTAGTCCATGTACTGGTCCGCACCGATCCAGGCACTCATGGAGCTGATTCCTTCATTAGTATGGTATATATATATATATATATTGTCCAGGTAATAGTATACATGCCTCACATCAAACCCGAACAGGGCACCTCCGATGGTGCCAAAGGCAGCCAGCACTACACACCACCACCATTAGCATTAGAACAGACAGAACATATCAACGAAAAGGGGAAGCAAGTACCGTAGATATTCGTGATAATAAACATATTGTTCTCCTGCTCTGGACCAGAAACAGTTGAATACAATAAGTCACTACCGTGAAGAAAACAGGAACACCATGCTCTCTATATATTAATCAACCTATCCCACATCCCCACGATCTCCGCAAAAACCCCGACATAGCTACTGAATACTACCCCCATAATTTCAAATAACCGTCCGCTCTCCGCAGTAGACAGCTACGGGGTATGGATGCCTTAAACCAACCATGAGAGCTCTGTACTGTGACCCCGTTCAAATCGGGGTGCTTTAACCCGGTGCTATGACCTCAGTCTCAGTGGAGTGAAACATTACTGCCATTCGCAAAGACAGCAGATGCAGTATAGCGATTGGAGGACGGAGAAGCCGAGAGAATGCTTTGGCCGCAGAAGAGCAAAACCTTCTGCCCAGTCGTAGCGAGATGAATTTAACCGATGCGCACATGGAACATAGATCTGCGAGGAAAGGAATTAGCCTATTTGCAGTTGTCTTTATGGCTCAGATCAGGCCATGGGGCTTATTATTGCTCGGTTTATTTAGCCGTTGCGACTTGCCAGCAGTGCTTTGCATGTGATGGAGTGCTTGGAGTACTGACTCCTAAGACAGAATGTAACCTTGACTGTAGCACTCATCATTCGTATATCTACATACAGTATCTACCAACTAAATGACTCCTCTATATACCGTATCCCAATGTATCCCTGCCTCATCGTCGAATGCACCGCCGCCCGAGCCTCGTCTGCCATCCCCATCGGCCCACAGACCAAGACGGCCGTCGTGCAGCCGTCTGCCGCGGCACTCTGCGCGTGGTTCAGGATAAGTAGTCGGAGATCTGGTCGGCCGGGCTCAACATGCAATTGGAGGCTGTCACCCTCTGTAGGATTGACTATGATCTCAGCTGCAGTTGAATTTCTCGCAGTTGTATAAAAGGATGTGCGGAAATCCTCACGAACCAACGCTTGCCTTAGTTCATTCGTCGCGATGTCGCGGATAAATTCTACCTGCCGACAAGACCATACTAGATGTATGTTCTGGATGCGACTGGAAGACTTCCCGGACGACATGGACCGGAGAAGGTGCTCTTGAACATAAGGTATTGCGGAGGCGATACCTGTTCCGCCCGCGATAAGAAGCACCGATTCGTAGTCCCACAGCGGGAACTGGTCCCCATACGGCCCTTCCAGGAGGATGGTTGTATTAGTGGTTTTATTTGCGGACCGCAGGCATTGGTCCCGGAGGGATCGGGTCCAGCCGTCAAATGGCCGGACCCAGAATATCAGTTCCTGGGACTGTTCGCTTGTAGTGATGGGTGTTTCTGATTCGTACTTCAAGGGGACAGAAGCGAATTCAGTGCCATACGAGGACTCTGAGAGCAGAGGCATCTGCGATACATCTCCTGGTTGACGGGACTGAGTGGATAGAGGTCGCAGATCTGCATCAAGTGTCCAAGCCCCAAGGGTGAATGGATGACTCTCCCATCCCCTGAACCGGAAAGGCTGGTAGAGATAATAGTACTGACCAGGCGCCGGCTGGAGAAGAGAATTCCCAGGGATGACCACTAGACGGATTACGTCTGATGCCTTATCGTACATTGCTGTGCTCCGGGTACATTGGATGCTCTTCCCACGGCCGACGCGAACGTGCATATTGCAGTATATCAAACGCACGAGGCGTAGAAATCGATCGCAGACCCATATCCAGACAACTGGCCAGAGATAGTCCCAGTATTCATGGCCTTCGAATATACCAGTGTGACTAAAATATCGAGGTAAGTAAGAACCATACAGACATTTGAAGACACGTACTAGAAACAGCCTACGACAGCTATGATGGAGAAAAGGATGTGGATCAAGAGAAATACTTCGTATGATCGGCGTCGCATCCAGTCCACGGCAGACGGCAAGACAAGAACCATTGCTAGCGTTGCCTATACGAGGGTGAGTAGGTGCTAAAACGAAGCAAACAAGAGAAAGCACTCACGGCTGTCCCCCAGAGAATGTAGGCCTTCGTAAGTTGTTTGGCGACATCTTTCTTTGCTGCACCCAAATCAGATATCATGATTATTTAATCAGTATACGGGATAGATACCTGCTAAAAACAATATGAGGTATGCAACCGTATGTACAACTGCCTGCAGGGTTGCAATCCACGCTATATGTCTATGAAAAATGTTAAATGTCGAGAAGCTCCACCCAGTCGCCCAGATGAAGATGTTATTCCGTCCAGCGAATAGCCAGAGGAGAGGCAGGTTCGCAAACGAAATAATTCCCGTCCTGTCAGCCACATATCGCAACATTTGTACAGAGACATCGGGCCAACTAAGCCAGAGTCAGTAATCTCTTTATTGCGACGAGGACGAATTAACACCCACTATATGTTCTGCGGGAAGATGCGATAGCTGACACAACAGAAAACTGTGCTCAGAATCCAAAAAAGTATGACGATGAGCGCTTGGATACGAGTAGGAAACGTAAAACATAGCAGATAGCGCCCTTTTGATTGCAACGGACTAGGGACGACCAGATGCGTCTCAATGAACGAATGAACGGCTTTGAATGGGACGAGAAATGTAGACATTGTGGGTGAGAAGCGTCGACCGGATTGTACTCCATTATGATATAGATGTTCACAAAACCGGTAGGACATTCCCACTAGGAGGATTAACGCCCAATATACGTATCCAAGATATCTTCAGCCTTCAAGTTTAGCATCCATTATTTAAATAGCACACAGATGGCAACAGTGTCCATACCCATAAATATGATGTGTCCACACCTCAAACTGCCAAGTATTCTATCTCATCCTGTCAGCATTTTTTCCTTGTCTGACGACCAGAAAATCACCCACAAGAGTCCTCGAAACACGATCATAATATGACCGAGAAATGAGCACCGGAGTCCCCACAGCCTCCATCCGCGGAATCTCAAGGTACTCGACAACTCGCATATTCCGCACCGCTTCTTCAGTAAGATTCACCGCGAACTGCTCGCGAGGAAGCAACTCAACATGACCGAATTCACGACAGGAGTCCTCCAAGTCCGCTAGGCCCGAAAGTCTTTCCTCCTCATCATCACAATAAATGTCGGAAGCCGCGTATATGGAGATCGCTTTCAGTGGATTCTGGCATCTTGTCTCCCAGAGTCCCGTTCCGGGAGTACCAGTAAAGGAAATGTAGTTGAGTGCTGTGAAAATGGACGTGACACATCCTTCTGTCTTTGGAATGAGTTTGGCGACGGTGAGCTGGCTAAACAACAACGAAATGAGTAATTTTGGAAAGGACATGTTGTCTCACTGCAAAATGCAGCGGTTTTGTATTAAATAGAGGGCGGAGGAGGGGGATTGGAGTGGAGATCAAGGACTCATCGCATTGCAGAAAGTCAAATCCACAGGCAGAAATAGCCAATTGGACCAGGAGGGTTGCAACTATAACGATGAATCTGTATTATAGATGCACGTCTTCTGACACCGGCACAGAGCAGGCACAGGTGATGGAGAAATTGCATGTCTTGAGTTGTGGGAGGTTTTTGGTTTTCCAGGAAGAGCGAAGACGGAGCACGTGCGCCGGCGGGTGGGTCGGACGGCGTTTCGGAAGAAAACGGGAGATCGATAAGCTGATCTTATCTAATCTGATCATCAGATAACTATGATGTCATTATTCGTTATCTCATCCTATTGTACTAGTTAATATATTTCTCATCCAGACACCATCCTTCAGTTGTTCCTCAATACTCCTAAAATTTCCACAGCCTTGATTCCAACTCCATACATTCCCTTTATCGCTCTGGGCTACTCTCTCCATAAGGTGGCATACTCTCCAACATGTCTTCAACCTCCTTCATCTTACTCTCGTGTGCCTCGGCCGTCTCAGGACTCTTCTTCTTCTAGCTGGAATCCAAGGCTGATGCCCTTGAGTTTGAACTATGGGAAGATGTGATGTAGCAAACGAGCCTGTAGAAACTCGGGTCTTCACGGTATATAAGTCTGGTTATGTGGGGGTGACTTGAGAATGGCTGTAGCCTCCTCATGCCATGTCCATTTTCGCTTGCAGAGGCGTCATCAGACAATATGGAATCTATAAGACCCATCAACAGCTTAGACCCTGGAGCTTGATACGACTTATCTGCCATGGCACTGGAGCCAGATCATCACTGTACATATTGAAGGAAGAGAAAATAGAAGAGTGTTACTTGGAGTCAGATAGATTTACAACAAGAAGTTGTTGTCAGCTATTCCACGTGATGGGGCGGTCTTCTCGCCGGAATTAGAGAAGACTGCATACGTAGTATGCGTGTTATACTTCAGTAATGAGAGAAGGATGTCGATTTCAATTCTATAAATTGGCCCAGTAATCTGGGGAATGAAAGATACATCTAATTCTAAACCCCCTTCCACAATCTAGCTAACAAAAATGTCTTTTTCTCAGGATCACATCGCTCAATTCCTGTTAGAATCCCGAGGATCCCTCTCCCTCACCTCGTCCTGCACAACACCCCCATTGGTCGTCCCATCAACAACATTCTGCGTCTTCCCCAGATAATAATTCGGCATAAGCAAACTGCTAAACAACGGAATAACAGCCAGGCAAAGCGCAGCCAGAAACATGGGCCGAATGGTATTAGTAAAGGCACGAATACCCGCCTCGCGCTGCGGCGTGCCCCATGCATACCGCGTGCGTGCCTTGGTGCCACTCGCGTAGAATACGGCGGCTTCCTTTGCCGTCAGACCTTCTGCGAGTAACTTGTCCCTGTAGGTGAGGCAATTGCAGAGCCGACAGACGACCCTAGTTTCGTCCAGAGGGAGAGTTGGGAGATGATTGCTGCGAGGTCTTGGTGTGGAACAGATGCCTGGGAGGCGACGCGGGTGCCGACGACGGAGCAGGCGCCGCCCATTGCGTTCAGGATCTGAGACATCACTAGTGCCGCGGTGTTGGCGTGTGATCCTACGGCCCAATAGGTTATTCCCAACGCGAGGATGCGAAGGGACAGGCCGAAGACTTGTAGGATCTTGTACCGATGGAAGGCCCGGTGGTATAATCCGGCCAGGATACCGAAGAGAGTGAGTGCTACAGTTGTGATGGCGACGAAGTTGCCCCAGTCGTAGTTGCTCCAAGGCTTTATCACGTAGACCCAGGTTGTGTAGTAGGTTGAGCGCACGTTTCCGCTGATCATGTAGAAGATGTCGATGGTAATGGCGCAGACGAAGGTCTTGTTGTGCCAGACACGTCTGTTCAAGAGCGGGAAATGAGCGAGCTTGACGTCCCAGATGATGAAGAAGGCGAGGACCACGAAGCCGCAGACGATCATGGCAATCATAGATGGATTTGACCATCCACCGTCTGCATCCCTGGCAAGACTGAATGGGAGTGAAATAAGGGCAAAGGCAAGACCCAGGAGCATGAGGCCGATGATATCGATTTCGTCCAGCAGTCTCCAAAACACACTGAATCGGTCCTTCACGCTGTCACGCTTGATCCTCATCATACCGGCTTCAACGGCACGGCGAGTCTCAAGTCGACTAGATGCAAAGGACAGTTCGCCGGCCTTCTTCGGGCGGTGGTCGGCGCAGGTGAGGGTGAGAATAATGGGCGTCACGAGAGCCGGCGCAATGATGCAGAACATGCCGTATCCCCAACGCCAGCAGTCCTCGCTATTACCAGTGCAGAGACTGGCCTGGATCTTGGAGCCGACAAAGGGCAAGAAGAGATAAGGGAAGGATGTCATTGCGCTGGTGAAACCACGCTATTGGAGAGGACTCAGATCGCCGACAATGATGTCCGTGACAAGATCAAAGCCTGCCTGCCCGGTCGCGGAGATGACTCTCCCTACGCAGAGGGCGACTGCATTCGGTGCGGCCGCGACAACGATGTATCCGAGCACATACGAGACCAAAATCATAATATACGAAGTCTGGCTGGAGAATACGTCGCAGATCTTCGCGATGAAGGGCTTCGAAACGGCGATGATGATAGCCTGGGCAATGTCAATCGTCCCGATGTACGACTGGCGGTTAAAGGCTCCCGTGGCGTAAACATCGTATGCTGTAGTGGTCGACTCGTCCAGGCAAAAGGAAATAGAAATGGCCAGAATACAGGCATAGAGAGTAATGGCAACAGGATGACGACGACCGAAAAGACGCGAGAACGCTTCGATGCGGCGCACTCCATCCTGCTGGATATCGTGAACATGGGCATATTCTGCAGCGCGAAAATCAGCATTCTTTTTGCTTAGACTCTGGCTTTCGACAACAGCCAGGTCGCTATCACTCTGCACCGCAACCTCAGGAGCCGTCGAATGCTCTTTTCTCTGTTCTGAATCCATGAAAGGATTGATTGCACAGGAGCAAAGGCGTTGAACGGCGGATCTTGGCCCTGTATGACAGAGAGCCAGCGAGATCTTCACCATTCATTCTCTATTTATGTCCCGTCCACCAAGTTTGTCTCAACACAGGAAATGGGATCGGGCATGTTCCGAAGCAGACTTTTCAAACGTCAGGCCATGGCAAACCGCGGGACCGCACTTATATTCCCGTTGTAGCATCCCAAAGACCAATGAGTGAACTCGGGGGCCGCGAAGGAGAGGGAAGAAAACCCGCGGAACTCAGATCCAACAAGGAGAGACGTCCATTCGTTCCCGGCCGATGGAGAAAAGTTATCAGATCCGATCAGAATACGCCGGGCCTGCTTGGCGTCCAGGGCCAAGGAATTGGGCCAAGACGACCGCCCCGGTCTGTCGACTGGAATACGTAAACATGGGCTAGGTGAGCCATGGGACAGGTTGTATGATACGAGAAATAGAGCTTCTAGGAGGAGGTAAGGCATCGTCTCTTATCGTTGTAGTGTCACCGGCGGACTGGAAGGACTGGTTACTGGAATCGGGTGAATTCACAAAGACCGGGAGTTCAAGTGGAGTAAACTAATTGCCATCAGATAAGTCAGTTCAATTTTAATTGTTCAGTTGCATCTTAATTATTTGGTAAAAGGAGTCGTACATCAGACATGCCTTCAATTAGGGCAAGCCTGCCACGGACGACACCGAGTGGAACCAGGAGAATTTCCATTTTATGGATATCTGACATAAACTATTAGTAGATGTTCTGATTTCGTTCCTCACACCAGTGCAGCACGCGATAGTACCATAAAACTTTCGAACTCTGGCCGCTAGACTTTTTTCACTCTGTTCTGTCTGCTTCCAGTTTCTGCAAGCGTGCCTCTTTTGCTCTGCAATTGACAGTGGAGTTCTGCCATGGCGCCAAACTGTGCCGGTGCGTCCCTAGAGCACTTTGGGACCTTATTTGCAAGTTCCAAGACGGCAGATAAATCGCCAACGCCGTATCCGAAGCTCCTTTTGCCGATTCATGACCGATGAATATGGAATCGGGGTAAAGAAAAGGAGCAGCGGGGAGTGGGGATATTTGATTGTTTTCAATTATCCCACGAAAGAAAAAGCGAGATGGTCAACTACCGGAAATGATGGCGAGTAGGAACTCTCCAGCCCCCTATATAAACCGGTCGCGGTATCGTTATTTCGTGAACGGTGGGATTTCTGGGCTGAATCGGTTCATGGACAGACTCGGGGTCACGGATGAACACGATACGGCTTTTTTCGAATAATTTCGTCTTACACAGTGGACAATATGAATATGTCCGACGAATGGCGAGCCAGGGGTCAATACAAACACAGTGGAATACATGTCCGCAGGGAAGAACACGGACATGGTCGTCTTGATGAAATCCATCCAGGCAAATGGCACATATTATGGGGTCTTCAACACGTTCTGCAGCCCTAGGTCGGGCAACTGCACTCCCAGGGGAAAGGTCGTCACTCATCTGATGCTTATTGTATTGCTGTCCAGGTAAAGGGATGAAGTGCTCCTTCTCGGAAAGATCAACCACTCTAGTAGGTGATGTTAGCCCTCCCTGACGGGTTGGGGTTTTCTCCAGAGAACTGGTACCTGACGTATGGAAACCGTCCATGGATGAACCGTCCTGTCATAGTCAGTCCCTCCAGACGGTTAGATGGCGGAATATTCGGAGTTTCTTCATCTTGTCGTTGAAGCCCGTTTCTCCTGCATCGCATCCGGTAAAGCAGGCTCGCCATGGAACTATCATCCAGAGACTGTATATAAGCCGCTGTCAAACACGATGTTAGAACTCAATCGGGAGGTGGACTCCATACACCGTGAACAGGAAGAACGAGAAAACTGCGAAAGGAGCAATGAAAGCAGCTACAGAAGGAGACCCATCTCCTTTTCTCGGGCTGTTTTCCATATTTTCAATGGTCTCGAGGAAGATCCGAAATAAACTGACGCTTCCTCTGATGACCAAGGAAATGACCTTATATCACGAGCCGACGAAGCCAAGGAACTCCGCCAAGTTACGAGCCAAGGAATTCCGCCCAACCTGACCGTTCAGAGTTGGCCTGGGCGGAGCGGATACGAGCGCATAAATATAACATCATGAGATGGAGACGCCTTGGCAGGCTATTTGACAACGTCAGCCCAGCAGAGCTCTTTGCACATGAACACAGCCATCACTAACCAGCGTTGAGAGATTCTTCACGTGCGCTTGGGCGACATCGCATGTCATGGCGATGGAAGAAGTACCAGTGGAACAGTTTATTGGCATTGGGGTGACCTGCAATGGCCAGAATGTTGTCAGGGCACCTTCTGGATGCATCCTTTGACTTGGCAGAGGCGAAGTAGCTGGGCAGACGTAATTGTCTCGATGTCGATGAGGCTGTCCGCTGGGGCGTATAACGTGACGGGATGAACTGGCCTACTTGGTTGACCTGGCTAGAATCCCATCAATGGGACAAAATTAACTGGTTACAAAGGGCTGACAGAACAGGACCATATAACTAGCTTAACTAGCGAACGTTATGTCATCGCTCCATTCTTTTTGTCTATTTGCTTCTACCATGGTGCACCCGTGAAAGCAACTCAACCGAATCCCGTATAAACTCCCGACTCTTACTCAACCCCCGCTGAGGGTGATTATACTGCGCGAATGCATGCGGCACCCCCTTGTATCTCTTCACGCTAACCTGGTTCCCAGCCTGTCTAAGCAGATCCGCATAATACTCCCCCTCATCCCTCTCCACGTCGAACTCCGCCGTGACTACATGCGCCGGCGCAAGCCCTCGCAAACAGGGAGCGAGAACGGGCGTCATGCGCCAATCGGCGAGGATCCGCGATCGCTCTTCCGGCTCCGTACCGATATAGTAGTTGAGGAACCAGGATTCGCGTGCGAGCGGGGACCAGGGGAGGTCAGAACAGAATCTCGCGCTTTCATATGCGCAGTTTTCAGTGGTCAACGGTTCGGCATCGTGGATGGATACGGGTACATAGCGCATATCCGTCGCGGGGACGATCATCAATTGCAGTTTCAACGCCAGTGGCGGGGAACAGTCTCGCGCGAAATGTGCGATGACGGCGGTCATTTGTCCTCCGGAAGAAAGCCCGCCGATGGACATCGAGCGAGAGTCCAGGTTGAGGAGATCTGCATTGTCGCGGGCCCATTGTACGGCGGCCCAGCAGTCATAGAGCGCGACGGGGAACGGGAACTCGGGAGCAAGACGGTAGTCCACGTCGATAACGATGATGGCGGCATTGTTGCAGATACTGCGACACCAGGCTGCTTCCGACTGCAGACCTCCCAGCGTCCAGCCGCCGCCGTGGAAGTTGAGATGGACCGGGAATGGTCCTGGCCCGGAGGGTGTGTAGACGCGACAGGTGATTGTCCCCGTCGGCTTGGAGACGGGGACCGCGTAATCCTTGACTTGGTGCACTTCCGGTCCTGTGTAGAGAAGGCATGAGAAATCTGCGTGCGGTGGGATATCGTGTCGAATCATACCTGTCCATATTGGATATGTGAAGCTGTACTTCTCTGGGCTCTTCCGGAACTCTTCAATCGTCACCAGATGAGCCCCTACCAGATTTTGCCCGTATTTGGACCACGTATCTCTCCATTCCGGGTCCAGGCCATTGAGATATTTCTGTGGTATTGTTGCTGGGGAAAGCCCTATTACCTGTTCCTGTGTAATTGTCGCCATATTGCTGAACGAACAACTCGAGATGCGAACAAGAAAAAAACAAAACGCCCAAAGAAACTCTTCTTCACTCCTTACCGATAACTAATCATCAACCCGTTTACCAAAAGAAATGACTCTCCGATAGCAACATGCCGATATACAGCAATTCCACCGTCGGCATCACGTATCATTGGCGGCATCCATAGGGCTATGCCGATCTGCCAGAAGAGGTAATTTTGGCGCTTTCAACCGTGGCCCGTCGGCGTCGTCGTCGTCGTGGATATCTTCATTTCTTTCCCCGCCTTATCGTCGGTGGAGATGTAGGGCTCGAGCTCAAGATAACGGCGCCATCCATATAAACATGCCATGCTCCGTGGGCTGCTGGTGTTTTCAAGTTCCGTGTCGAACCACCCTCGAAGTCAGTCTGGCCACACATTACTACCGAGGAACAGTAGTAGTATTACCAGGATGTCGGAGAAAGTAGAAGGTCAGAAAAGACCCAGTGTCACTGTCGCAGTGGAGAAGCCTCCGATGCAGGGCTTCGAGCCTGGATTGCGTCGTGTGCCTGATCGCATTCCCTGGGTGGTGCTGCTCATCATCGTTGTGGAACTGGGGGAGCGGTTTACGTACTTTGGACTTAGTGGGCCGCTGCAGAATTACATCAAGTATGTTTGGTTATCTCGGGGATTCTGTGGGCTCATGGTTACCTACTGACTTCTCTAGAAACCCTTATGCCCCCGGTTCAGACCTCCCTGGCGCCCTCGGCAGGGGACAGGCTGTTGCGTCGGCCCTGGGGAACTTTTTCAAGTTCTGGGCATATGCGTCGACAGTGATCGGTGCTGTAGTCGCTGGTATGAGTATTCTCCATTGCTGATAGACAAGCATACTAATTATCGTTTGCATTAGACCAGTACATCGGCAAGTTCAAGGCGATCATCGTCGCGTCCGGCATCTACATCGTCGGCTTGACCGTGCTCGTGGCAACTGCCACACCGGCAGCAATCAAGCAAGGCTCAGCATTTGGCGGCCTTGTTGCTGCCATGGTTATCATCGGACTGGGGACAGGAGGGATCAAGGCGAATGTCACCCCGTTCTGCGCGGAGCAATACAAGAAAGTCGATGCGTACGTGAAGAGCCTTAAATCTGGCGAGCGAGTCATCGTGGATCCCGAGCTCACGGTCGAGAGAATGTTCATGTGGTATGTCTTCTCGAAATATCTGAAAAAGGAAGATATGTGCTTATGCGAGAATTGCAGGTTCTACTGGGCTGTCAACGTTGGTGCGCTGTCACCACTCATCACCGTGAACGTCGAGGCCAAAGTGTCTTTCTGGCTGGCCTTTTTGATTCCTTTAATGTCCGTACACCTATTAGTATGCCCCAACAGTTGAGCTGGTACTCACAGAATGTAGTGTTATCGTTCTCGCTGCTATGATTTTCATAGTCAGCAGCAGGCTATTCCTCAAAGCCAAGCCAGAAGGATCCCCCATCGTCGACGCAGCCAGAACAGTCCATGTAGCGATTGCAGAGAAAGGCTTTGACAATGCGAAGCCCAGTATTCTTCGAGAGCACGGTCGTCTTGACAGATACTCCATCACTTCGAGTGACAAGTACACAGATCAAAGCGTTATGAAAGTGAAATCGGGCCTCACGGCATGCAAGGCAGGCAAACCCATTTACCCCCAGTGATTTCTTTGAGAGCCATGGCTGACCATGGTTATAGCTATTTCTCCTCTTTCCATTCTACTTCATCTGCTGGACTCAGATCTGGAATAATCTCATCTCGCAAGCCGGCCAGATGGCCCTGCACGGAACACCGAACGATCTCCTGCAGAACCTCGACCCGATTGCCTTGATTATCTTTATCCCTCTGTTGGATTGTAAGTTCCATCCTCGCCCAGTTGAAGTAGACTGGTCAATTTTTAACAGAGCGCAGTCGGCGTTTACCCACTCCTCCGCCACTACAAGATCAATTTCCGACCAGAACTAAAGATCACTGCCGGATTCCTAATGGCGTCCATGTCTATGGTCTACGCAAGTGTACTCCAGCATTATATTTACATCTCTCCTCCGGAGAGTATCCACGTCTGGATCCAGGCACCGGCTTATGTGCTAGTGGCGTTTTCTGAGGCCTTCGTGGTGATAACAGGTTTGGAAATAGCCTTTACAAAGGCACCTGAAAGGTTCGTTCGCAATAGCCTCCTGGGTTCATTATCCTTCACGATAGTTGATTGATCCAAGTGCTGACGATAAACAGTCTGCGCTCACTGGTCTCCGCCCTATTCTGGCTTACGATCGGAATAGCCGCTGCCATCTGTATTGCTCTTGCGCCGGTTTCGCAGGATCCGTATCTGGTTTGGATGTACGGATCCCTGGCCATCGTCGGTTTCGTAGCGGGGATTGTGTTCTATGTTCTCTTTGGCAGATCCTTCGGGGAGGTGCAAATCTTGGAATCGGTGGAAACTATAGTCACTCACAGGGACGAGGAGACAGCGCTAAACGCGAAGAATGCGAGCGAGGCGGGTAAAGATGTATGATATTCGTTATAATTGTTTCTATCTATTTCATGACCATAGTGTTGCTGTCTCCAGTGTGTCAAAGATTCCCGCCGAAGTCAGAGATTTCAGGATAACCTTATTATGATCGATATCCGGAGACACTCCGAATGCCTATCTATCTATTAAACTTTGCTAGTATTTATTACCCTGATAATAATCTATAAATTAGTAAAATCAATCAGTCGCTCCGAAGCGAATGCCGCCAATCAGAATATGTCGATGACGATGGATTTTGACGCGAGGGCGAAGCTGCGATCTTCGCATATATAATGCATGGACAACCGACGTCAAGAGCAAGCAGTTTTCAACCCGCCATTATCAAACCACTGGCCTTCAGCATGGCGCGTGACGATCTTATTGTCCTAGGGTGAGATACGGACGGGAATACCGCTGCTACAGTCAATTAAATGTGTGCTAATTAATCGTTTTAGGGCTGGAATCATCGGCCTAAATGTCGCGCTGGAATTGTCCAAGCGCGGCTACGGACAACATGTCACAATAATCGCAGAGAATTTCCCGGGGGATACATCTATCGATTACACATCTCCATGGTATGTGGACAGGCGAGGATCAGTAGTAATTGGGAGAGCCAATGTTCTGACTCGACCAGGGCCGGTGCGAACTTCTCTGGTATCTCAGGATCCGACCCGAATGCCCTACGTTGGGACCGACTGGGATATTCGACTATGATGGATCTGATCGAAAAGGAGTCCGAAGAAGCAGAGTATCTGCATAAAACTCAATCAATCGAATACTGGGACGAGATGCCGTCCGAAGATAAAATCAAGAGCATTGCTGAATACCTGCGAGATGTAAATGATTTCATCCGGCACCATCTTGAGAGAATACGCACATGCTGACCGGAATACTCCTCTAGTTTACTATAATTCCCTCGTCCGAACTACCAAAAGGTGTAGCATTCGGCATCAAGTTCACGACAATCACGCTCAACGCGCCCGCTCACTGCCAACACCTGAAGAACCTCCTATCCCAACCACGCTACGGCAATGTACCGATGATCCGTCGCAAAGTAGGACATCTAAACGAAGCTTTCCTCTCCAAAAATACAAAGATAGTATTCAACTGCATTGGAAACGCAGCCATCTCCCTCCCGGGGGTCAAAGATGCCAAATGCTATCCCACGCGAGGGCAGATCATCCTCGTCAAAGCGCCGTCGGTGCAAGTCAACATGATGCGTCACGGAAAAGACTACGAAACATATATTATCCCGCGGCCCAAATCAGATAGTACGGTGATCCTGGGTGGATATTTGCAGAAACACAACTGGTTCAGTGGGATCAAGGCGGAAGAGACGGAGTCGATCCTGAAGAGGACCGGGGATCTGCTTCCGATTCTCAGAAACGGAGAAACTCAGATCATTCGACCTGCGGTAGGTCTCAGGCCCTCGAGAGAGGGAGGAGCGCGAGTCGAGCTGGAGAGGGCATCTAATGGGAAGATGGTGGTGCACAACTATGGAGCTGGAGGGACCGGATTCCAGGCTGGGATGGGGATGGCGCAGGATGCAGTGGAGTTGGCGACGGAGGCATTGAAGGGGTTAACTACTGTGAGCAGGCTATGAGGATGCATGATGTTTCTTTAAATGACATCTGTATACTCCGTATTCGTGGACCAGTTGAACCAGAAGCTCGCAGTATAGGCATGAATAGACATGACGACTTCTGAGCAACCCTTGCAGTCTCATATCGCGCTAGTCCTGGATTGAACAGCATCAAATGCCTTCCACTTCCACACCAGATACAGAATTTGTACGGCCATGCTATTAAGTTAGTTCTGTTCCCAAATTGGTTTCTGCATTGTAGCCCATGAAATACTCGCCCGTACTCCCAGCCAGTAAATCCCATCAATATGGAGATTGCCAAAACAAAGGAAGTGAGGGAGAGATGTGTTGATCATAGATGACTGTTTACTGTCAGTCTAAGCGTGGGGGTCATAAAGACCCTTACCCTAAGCCCTGTGCCCTGAGAACAGCTGCAGCAGATTCCAATCAGTATGCTAATTGGCTGAGTCTATACTCTTATCAGCAGTCCACGTGTTGCTTAGTAATGTTTCCTATTTGGGTAATCAACGACTTTCGAGCCATCTCCCTGCTCTTCGTTCCTTGTTCCCTGTCAACCAACGGCGGGATCCATAAAAATGATAAGCCCACACGCGGATGCTCACTCACGACCCACCGGCGCTCGGAGATACATGAGCAAAGGCCAGCGCGCATGCGACTTTTGCCGATCTCGAAAGTCCGCCTGTCGTATTGACGTTGCTCCACCCTGCCGTCTATGCAGTGCTCGCGGTCTGCCCTGTGAGTTCACGAACCGGGTAGTTCGCAAAAAGCCTGCAGCCCATGTCCAGAGATCGTCTGCCTCATTGAATTCGAGCGATGAAGAGCGGATCCAAGAGCCTAGATCAAGACTGTCATCGGAACTTGTGCAGCGGAATATGGCGTTTATGCCAATGACGGGGAGTCCTGTTCCTCTTATGTCGCCTGGAATGGGCGACTTTTTAACCCATGTCGATTTGGAACAGGGGCTTGGTGGTGATAGCCGTGACATGGATACCTCTGAACAGCAGCATCCTTCTTCCGTTCCTAGTGAGGGTGAGAGAGCTATTATGGATGAACTGATGCTGAGCATTTACGAGACGCAGGGTCTCTCCCATATAGAATCTAATTCCACCCCTGGTCGGATCTCTCTTGACTATCATGCGTCGCTACCGTATCAGTTGTGTGGGCTGACGGGTGATATGGACCCTTACGTGCTTCAACATTATCGATTCAATGAGCGGTCCGAGTTTGCTTTTTCTAAACTTAGGATTCGCAATGTTTCAGGTCCGGAAATACCAGTGCAGTTTATGCTATCAAATCGTCCTTGCAACCAAGAGTCAACCAGAAAGCAGGGAGCCACGGAAGAGGCAGCTGAACTGTCACAAATCGTGCCCCCGGAGATAGGAGAGCGCCTGATTCACCTGTGAGTGGTCTAACTGGTTACATGCTTATTCGCTTTGTGCTGATGAAAAATGAGGTTCTATCGATTCATCAATGGGCAGTTTCCTATTCTATCTGAAGCTGGCCCACCAGTTGCTTCGAAGGCGCCGGCGCATCTCCTAGCAGCAATCTACTTGATCACGCAGCCTTTTACGACATTTGATGATTTCCTTTGTATTGAGCTTGTATACAATCCTCCATCACCGGATGTATTACTTGATGTCGCATGGAAAGCGCTGAACGATGCGCTCAGTGAGCCCACAATAGCGTCTCTCCAGGCAATTCTTATTCTTCTCCTGCAGCCACCCGCAGACACATTTCTTCTTGATAGCACATTCAAGTGGGTGCTGTTAGGAATGGCTGTTTCAATAGCACAAACGCTCGGATTGCATCTTGATCCCAGTCAATGGAATTTACCCGTTGAAGAAATTCGAACCCGAAGACGATTATCCTGGCTTACTTATGCAGTTGACAAGTGGCTAGCCTGCAGTTTCGGTCGCCCAAATCATATTTCAAGGAATAATTGGCTAGTCACGGAGCTGGACGTGGAGGATATTCACCCGGAAAATGGTGATAATGGTCAATTATATCCTTTCGAATTCTCAAAACTAACCGCCATTTTGGATAAAGTCTTAACAGATCTTTAGTAAGTAGTATAAATCACCAGAAATGCGACAGAAGCTGATATGCTACAAGTTCCCTACGTTCAGTGTCCGCCCTGGCAAAGGATTTCCGCTTAACTGTCTCTATGGCACGTCCGCTTTTGGAGGATCTTGCAACTTGGCACAGCAACCTCCCACCATGCTTAGCTATTGAGCCGACGCCAGAGCATCGAAGTGTATCCTCAGACTCATCAGCATCTCTTCATATAGCGTACCAGTGCGTGAAGATACTTGTCTTCCGTGCCCTATTGCGGCCCTTTAACAACCTAACTCATGACACAACGAAAACTGATGATTCGGAAGAATGGAACGCAGCAAAATGTCATATCCAGAATGCAGCACGGGCTGAAGCAGAAAGTGCAATAAACTTGGTGTCTACATTTAGACCAGCGCATTACCAGGCCTTTTGGGCACCTTGTACGTGCCTAGTATTCTTTCCTCGTTTTAGATAAAGTTGCATCTCACATTTAGTGACAGGGTGTAAAACGTCGTTTGCCTTAATTACGCATCTCCTGTTTGTTCTGGCTCTTATCGCTCACCGCGACCATCAGGATCTAGCGGAGAATTCTGAGATGGCTGACCCGACATGTTCGACTCGGAATGCATCAGACAATGAATATACACAATGCAGAAGAGCCCTTGATCACGCGCGGACGGTCTTTAGACTGCATTCCAAGAGCCTCGATATGATTCGCTTTGCCCTGTTACGCATCGATGCTGTATTCTGGATTGGATGGGAAAGGCTTCTGGGATACAAGTAAGATATCATACATTCTGAAAAGGTTAGCTGTTTCTATTATTTATGGTGAATACGCTCTGGGAACCAACATGTTGTCAGAACGCGATAGCCTCCTAATGTGATATTGTTATTGACCTGTGTGTTAAGCTGCTTCGTCCATATTCAAGCATTCTCACATTCTCATCCGCGGACAGGAGGATTATTCGGAATCCGCTGGTTTCAGGGTCTTCGACGGTCTATTCAAAGCACGCGTACCTAGGTACTGGCAACATTGACGATTGTGGGTTGGAGAAACTTCTAAGCATAGTCCAGGACGACTGACACTTCCTTGGGTTAGCTATGCATCCTTGCGGCATTTCCGAAACGGACGTTTTACTCTCCTCCATGGAAAAGGAAGAATAAAGGAAACCTCGGGGCATCATACCAGAATCTTGCACTATTGGACTTACTGCACAGTAGCTTGCCATAGGCATTGCAAGGCTACCGGAAGCTGACCACGGCGGATCTATCATAGTTAATATTTCCATCGTCTGCCGGGGGCCGGAAGCAGTCCCGCGCGAGAACTACTGAAACAACAAGTATGAGCTACACTTGCTATACCTTTATCGGTATGCTGCGGTCAGGAAAAAGCAACCGACCATGATGTCGAATTATCCAACATATTACCGTCTGTCCTTGCACCCTGCAGCCTACCGTCCTTCAACGTGATAAGGCTGTGTACGCGGTTAAGATTAGTGGATGAAGAAATGACAAGGTTCCCTTGCCAAACAATGCGGGTATCTTGGAGGACCTCTACAACGTCAGCCAAAAAATGCAGAACGAAAGACCGGGTCATGGACAAGCTCTGGGGTCGAGCAGCCTGTTATCTGGCCAACTGACAGGTCAACGCCTTCGATCTCTATTCGTATGATATTTTCCAGGCCGTCAGTCGTCAGTCGTCAGAATACTTTTCCATGACCTTCCTGCGTGCACTCCTAGACTAGTTGGATAATCGAGATATATATGTATGACGCAGCTTAGCGCGCCATGGTAATAGGGTTTGAGAAACTGTGAGAGAGTAGGGTAGTGTATTAGGGATCTGAGGACTTGGAGCAGTCCATTCGGGATAAATAAACCCGAGGCTTCTTCTCTTTGAAGAAGAATGGAAGATTCCCGGTACCGGCGAAGACAGCGGGGGAACCGAAGAACCCAGACGGAACCGGCCTGTCTTTACATCCACGCTCGACGTCCCATTTCATCTTCGCACGTCTGAACATGGCCAGTAAAATCAGCATCAGATTCAAATAAAAATGGGAACAACAGTCCTCCTAGTCATGGACATCCAAAACGGCATCATCGACCGCCTCGAACCCACAAAAACAAGACCCTACCTCACCCGTCTAGCACCAGTTATCCAATCCGCCCGCAACGCAGGCCTCAAAATCATCTACATCACCACAGCCTTCAGACCAGGCTACCCGGAATTATCCCCCCGAAACACAATCACAACCAGAGTATCCACGAGTGGCGCATTCACGGAAGGCGACGCATCAACCGAGATCCATCCCGCCGTCGCCCCAGTGCACGGCCGCGACGTGAGCATCACGAAACGGCGCGTTTCTGCCTTTCATGGAACGGATCTTGATATCGTATTGCGCAGCTTTGATGCAGAGACGTTGGTTCTGACGGGGTTGACGACTAGTGGGGTTGTGCTGTCGACGCTTCGGCAGGCGGCCGATTTGGATTATCGGGTGCTTGTTTTGGACGATCTTTGTTTGGATCGGGAGGAGGAGGTGCATGAGCTGCTTGTTACGAGGGTTTTTTCGAAGCAGGCGAGGATTATGGGGTCGAGAGAGTGGGTGGATTCGTTTAAGGATGAGTAGTTCTCACATCTTTCATCCGTCTGCAGGCGTTGTTTCGAGGATTTCTCGAGGTTGTATTGCGGAGAGGAAATATGCTGTCTTCAAGTTCGGAGTGAGTGGTTTATGGCTGTTCTTGTGCAACCAGTCTGCGTTTCTCTATGAGAAACCTGGGACGCTCCAGAGATATGGCCCAATGCAGCACGGAGACTCCAAAATATCCTCTGCCCTGATCATATTGTCTACCAAAAATGGTTCAATATTAAGAAAGATAAGTGGTACACCCCAGGCCTTCATGGATGCTGCTCCCTAGAAGTAACTACACTACTTGCTCTGTTCTCTCAATCACTAAGCAATCATATTCACCATATCATGCTTCCTAGCCAAAGAAAAAAGGCCACTTCAATCAAGTTATCATCCATCCGATTCTCAGGATAAGAAGGTACCCCTTCAGAACGTTGATTACACCATGCTAAATACGTTCCAAGGTCATTCTCTGAATCATGAGCTGGATTCTTTCCTGTTCTCCCGAAGAGAAGACGGAGAGTGGCGCTGCTGCTGTGAAGAATGGTGTACCAAAGTTGCCTGCACATTTCAACCTCGTCGGCGTCCTTCATGAGACAAAGGGCTTTTGGATATGCCGATGACATCGGCTCACTAACTGATTGAAATGCAGGAAACGTGGGCCTTTTGTCCTAGAACGGCGGGGGGGCATTCCTCCAACAAGTCTTGCCTGGACGTGGGAGAAAGCCTCCCCCACCATGTCCGATTCACCGGTATATCGAATCTGAGTCTGAACCAGGTTATTAAAAATAGGGTGACACTAATTGCTGACACCAGATACGCTATCCAAGAGTGGCTTTGATGGTGCATGGGGACTGCGTGCTTTCAGCGTTCGGCTTGCTGGTATTCGGTCTGATCTTCAGCAGAGTCTGTCGGGGGAAGACAAGGAGGTCATGGTATCTGATCTGAAGGTTGCGGCGCAGTGGAAGAGTCCTGACGAATTGCCATCCTCACAAACTTCTCAACATCAGCTCCAAACGGACAAAAGATGCTCGGGAGCCGAGCAAGACTCATCCACGCCTCAAATGCGACGGCCGGATTAAAAGTGCGCGCAGTGGGCCACATCAAGGCTGGGTATACCAATTAATGCATACGAAGACTGCATACTGTTTCATGTTGGGGTTAATTAACCTGAGTGGCATATAGGAACCAAAGCACAGGATTTCGGATTTGCTTTCCCTTTGGCAATGGTAGTCATTCCAGTCCCCGAGGAGCATCATGAACTATTGGTAAAGATGATTTGGAATTCGCGTCATAGTAGCATACGAGCAGTAGAGCACCGGTTCCCAGCGTTAATGAACTCACTCCACTATTCTGGATACTCATAGAGTTATTGAACCTTAATATATTAATTAGTGGCTCCAACTTCCAGGCATTTCCCGCTGAGGCTTATTTATAGCCGGGGCTACGGTTACGGTTACACGATCACCGTTTCCCTAATCTGGATGTAACGGCTCGCAGTCTACTTGCGAGCGTAGCAATTCTCAGCGTATGGGAATAAAACAAGGTGCCCGGCTTGCTTGGATGTGACTACCAGGCTCTTCTGTACGGATCTGAACAGTCCAAGGAACGGCAAGACCAGAGCTAATAATCCAATTCTACGAATAACAAAACCCATGCTAATCCACCCCCCTCTTCCCCCCAGAAAGTATCGTCTCCTGGCTCCCATTATCCTCAATCTGAACAGTGATATGATCATGCCGCATCACCTGCCACGACTGCTGCGTCCAGTGTGCTCTCTTGTCGAGCGGGTACTCCTGTGCCCGGCGCTCAGTGGATTTCTCGTCTCCTTTAGTCCTACTCCGACTCCAGCTGCCGGATATGAGGAATCTCGAGGCTTGTTGGATGAGTCGGTATAGTGTTGGTATGGAGCCGATGATGAGGCCGATGTTGAATTCGACGTTCATCCAGATTAGAGATTTAGCTGCTTTGTCTAGCTGATTGTTAGTGTGCTGTAGTCCACGGGGATATTAAGACTGGGCTCACAGGTGTAATCCGAGGGATCCTTTTGGTAGACCAGCGTCGGGAGTCGAATTAGGGCTGCGATGCATGCCAGGCCTCCTAGTTTCAGTCAGCTAGGATGCCCTATTGCGTTGTCTCAGGTAGAATGATAGCCCACCAGGACAAAACATCGACACAATCAGAATCCGCTTCCGAGTAGGCATCTGCAGCTGCCAGATACTCGGCATGGGAAGGATAATAATCACAACGTCGACCAGGAACATGAGCACGCCCTGATACATATTAATCCCGAAGAGTGTGTCTTGCGAAAAACACTTATAATGCTCCATGCTTTTATCGTAGGCTGCCTGGATGGGAGTGCACTGGAATATGAGCGCGAACTCGCCCGAGATGGTGAACACGGCGAGGAACGCAATGATCCCCATGCCAATGTGCTGGACGTATCGCTGGGGAAATATTCGCATGATAAAAACGGTCAGGCTCAGTTTCACTGCTGTGGCGACGAATAGGTATGTGCATAGTGAGGCGTAGACGATCTGTCGGTTCTCTTCACATCAGCGCGGCCGCAGATGGTTATCCGGTGGAGACGCACCTTTTGCATAGTAGGAAAGTCTTCCGGCGCAACGGTATCCTGGTGCTGTCCGATGCCGTAGAATGTGATGATAATGGATAGGACTGCGAAGCCTATTACCAGGATCTGTCCGTCCTAGTGAGCCGCGTCCGTCATGGTTATCCGGGGGAGGTAGGGCACATACAAGGGCAACGATGACCAGGTAATCATCCAGTCCGAAGGAGCGAAGGACAAACTTGCGCAGATACAGCTGTATTCTGATTAGCCAGGCTCCTTAACAAGAGCCATAAAACCAAGGAAACATACTCGGGAGCAGCAAACGAGTATCGACAGCAGTCCCACCACCGACACTACAGCCCTAACAGTAGTCACCATGGCAGGAGTTCCCTCGTGTCGCGGCTCAAGACGCCGCTCTAAGACGTCCATTCGCTCCATAGTCATGGGTCAGACCAGCCAAAAGTGAAGGGAAAAGCGGCCAACATGCACATGGCAAAAGGGTCCAGGACCCTTCCCCGGAAACCCTTATATTCATTGCCTGCCCTGTGGCACGGGTGGCAGCAACTTACTGGAAAAGGAATGTGTGCGCTGGTTTCATACTAATACTAAAAGCCCCTCTAGTTTTTTCCTTTCCGCAGCCCGATTGGAATCCTCCGCCGATCTGTCTCCATCGTCCATGAGGGATAATTAACGCCAGTCCACACGATTGGAAGGTTGACATCCACTGCGCGACATAACTAGCTAAGGAATGAAGTGGCCCGCAGGGTTCATGTTAATGTAACATCGACCGTCTGTTTGTCTGCGCGTGCCGGGGCCCTCGGAGTCCCTGTTGCCCTGTGCTGTTCCTTTTATTAGCGAGGGGGTCTTGTACCTGAAAAGAGTGGGAGACCAAAAAAAACAAAACTCCGTATGGACACTGAGAACCTCCTTGCCATTTTAGACCTCCCGGCGGCTGCATCGCAGGAGATCCGTTCGATCCTGACGGACTTTACTGCCCTGTCGCCGGCTGACAGGAATAATACCCGTACTCGGATCGTCGACAAAATCTTCCCGCTTGTCTTCGGTGATGATGCAGCCACCAGCGAGACAGCGGCGTATGAAACTCTCCGGAAGTCCCCCTGGTGAGTATAACAATAATAATACCCACCCATGGCAGGCATGCTCTAACCAAACGACAGGTCGACAAACTGCTACCTTTCCCCGCATGCAATCGTGACGCCCTCGAGCGCCGCCGGCGTTGCCAAGGTCCTAGCCCTATGCCGATTCCTCAACGTCCAGTTCTCCATCCGGAGCGGAGGACATCTGCAGAATCCCGGCTTCACGAGCAATGAAGGCGGCGTCGTCATTAGCATGAGTAAATTGACGGATCTCACTCTCTCCAAGGATGGGAAGACGGCGGATATCGGTCTGGGGCTGAGGTGGTTGGACGTATACAAAGGACTGGAGGAGCAGTATGGGGTTACCGTGACGGGAGGACGGGTGCCAACTGTCGGTGTTGGTGGCCTGCTTCTCGGAGGAGGGCTGTCGTTCCAGAATAGCGAGCATGGCCTTAGTTGTATGGGAGTTGAGGAATATGAAGTAAGAAGAAACATGCCTGACAACGTGGTGCTTGTGCGCTGACTCTATCCAGGTGGTCCTCGCCGATTCCACTATGGTCAAAGCCAACCGCGTCACCAACTCCGACTTATTCTGGGCCTTGAAGGGAGGAGGGCCGAATTTTGGTGCAAACCACTTCCCCAGATAGCTAATAAGCAACCCCAATCTGACAATTCCACAGGCATCGTAACCAAAGCCAAAATGGCCACCGTCTCCAGCAAAGTCTGGGCCGAAGGACGCGTCTACTCACCCGACGTAAACGGACGACTCCTAGATGCACTGATGAAATACCACGAAGCCTCAGAAACAGACAAAAAGGCCAGTCTGGTGTTCCAATCCGTCAACGAGGCCACCGTTGTCGTATTCTTCTACTGCGCACCCATGGACAACCCGCCCGTTTTCCAGTGTTTCCACGACGTCCCCTTCCTGGCTCGTCTGGTGCCGCCTGGCTGCCGATCTGTCTATGACGTTGTACAGGGATTTGCGAGCTTGAATCCTGTGAATCCGAAGTGGTATGTCCATTCCGGTATTGGTTGGGTGGCCGGCTAATTGACATGCGAAGCCATGAGATGAGAACAATGTCCAGTCTTCCAGACCTGGAAGTCTACCAAGCTGCCGAGCAATGTCGACTGAAACAGGTGGAGGCAATAAAAGAGGTTCCCGGGGCTCTTCTGACAATGGTGATCCAACCGCTGTCCACGAGCACGATGGACGCCTGTAATGCAAAGGGAGGGACGCCGTTGGGTCTAAACGCACAGAACCATCAGTGTAGGACATCACTCACCTCCTTCTCCTCATATATGACCATGCTCTAACGTGAACAGGGCTCCTCCTCATGGCCGACTGGTCCGATCCCTCCGACGAGCCGATCATGCGAGAAGCATGTCGTGCCGTGATCGAAGAGGCAGAGAACGTCGCCAAACGAAACGGAACATATCTCCCGTTTGTCTACTCCAACTATGCATCGCGCGACCAGGATCCGCTGGCTAGCTATGGTGCGGAGAATGTGAAGAAGCTGAAGGAGATTGCACAGAAATATGATCCTGATGGTGTTTTTCAGAGGTTGCAGTATGATGGGTGGTTGTTGTCGAGGAGCCTGGCTTGATTGAAGCATGGATTTCTATTTACCGTCTCGATTCCATGCACCCGGCTGTGCAGATATGTATGCAGGCATTAAAATTGAGAGAGACTAATCTATATACCCGGAACAGTCCAAAAGAGGTATCACATTATCATAAGACATCAATCCATCCCATCAAAGTACCAACCCGAACAAGCCCAGCAAAGCAAAAGACACCCAGAACCCATGCAACGATGAATAAACCCTCCCACTAGAGCCATGCCGTAACTGCGTCCCGGAACTAGTACTATTCCTCACCACCACCGAAGACGAAGCGGCAGCAGAAGTAGAATTGGTACCATTCTCGCTCGTCGAGCTGTGACTACTAAAACTCGACCCCATGGCCGGCGCCGCGTTATAAAACGCCCGAATAATATCACTGGCCTGCTCAGCCAGTCCGTACGTCGACGCCATCAGATGCGTCGACAACGCAATGGGTGGGACGCTTGCGTCTGCGACGCGGACGTTTGCAAGGCCGTAGACGCGGAGGTTTGCGTCGACCACGCCGCCCTGTTCGCGGGGGAGCATGGCGCAGGAAGAGGAGGGGTGGAATTCCGTGCTCGCTTGTGAGGCGATCCAGGTGTCCCAGTCATCATCGGATTGGACGGAGGGACCTGGGGAGGTTTCGGCCGTGAGGCTATCTTTTAGGGGGGACGTCTGGCCGAGGCGGCGGGCGAGTTTGAGGCCGTCGCGGAGGATTTCGAGGTCTGTTCTCGCTTGCATTAGTGGATGGTCGTTGTTCTGTGTCAGTAGGAGCGTGGCGGAAACGTACCGGCTGGGTTCGAGAGATAGTTCGGGTCGATCACAGGGTAGTCCAGTGGATTGGACGAGTTGATGTAAATCCGCCCGTGGCTGTAGGGATGCTGCAGGGCGGCGGTGATGCCGATGTCGCCGTTCGAGTCGCTGTTCATGAACAGCAGCTCAATCTGCCCGATCGGGCTGTCCCAGATGCTGGTTGCGGTCGTGTTGTAGATGGCGTGGTAGCCGGCGATGACGCCCGAGTCGTACGTCGTCTTGGGTGCGTACTGGTTGACGTTGGAGAGGATGCTGCGCTGAAGCTGTTGGAGACCGGTGCCGTACATCCCTGTCGAGTTGACGTACGCGATGGCCGAGTCGATGTAGGAGAGGTAGAGAGTGTTGTTCTGCGTTCGTTAGAACCGGCCGGCTTGATCCGGATGGCACACATACCTTGTCCGGGCCATTGTCGTAGTATATAGAGCCTGCAGTAGCGTCATTCGTGCTGAAGGTAACAGTCGCGAGCTATTGAGGTTAGGGCATGGTGGATTTACGCTGCATGGAATGCCTAGAAACTCACCAGATGATCCTGCAGATGCTGCCCAACGCCAGGAAGTTCCGAGATCAGTTCAACGCCGGCCGCAGACAAAACATCCCTGGGCCCAACACCGCTGTACAGCAGAATAGACGGACTATTCACGCTGCCAGCGGCGAGAATGACTTCCTTGTTAACCCCGACTGTCAACTTTGTCTGCCCGCCATCGAGGGTGTACTCAACCGCGTCCGCGGTCAAGTTATCCGCCGGCGAAGAACTATTAAAAAGAAGGCGAGTGACATAGGCATTTGCCAGGACGTCGTAATTTCCATTGTCCGGCAGTGGATCGAGGTAGCCCGTCTTGCTGTATGATCTCGTCCAGTTGGTAGGGTTGATGCTGGATGTTGAGACTTCGGCGCCCCAGTTCTGGCCGCCGTACATCTGGTCGGAGACGGGGATTCCCATATTCTGCAACGAGGCGGACCATTGGCCGACTTGGGGGAATGTGCTGGGCATCGGTTAGCTGTGTGGCACGGAGGAGGGAGAAAGAATCCACGTACTACCCAGGGTACGAGGCATGAATCGGGCCCGAGGTGCCATGCGTCGAGGCATCCCAGGTGATACCCGCCTCTTGGATGACAGAATCAATGGGAGGGGTAAACGTCTCGCTCTTCTTCATGGCAGCGTACAGCGACTGCCATGACCAGTGATCGGCACCGTCCATGGTTCCCAGCATGTCTCTCCAAGCGTTGATCTCATCCTCGCCGGGGCGGGTCAGATAGAGCCCATTGATAGCAGAACTGCCTGTCCCTGTGTCAACTTCCGTTCCCTCCGGTTATAGATGCAGTGCAAGCAGGCACGAACCTCCGAGTGTCTTGCCCCGGGGCCAGAAAATCTCCCGATTATCCGCATTGGGCTGAGGAACGGTATTGAAGGCCCAGTTCAGCGGCGTAGTCCAGAGGGAATCAAAGTAGGAGTATGCAGGGGTATCTTCGGGGTGTTAGTACAGCGTCTCTGCTTTCTCCCAACTGGAAAGAATCCGCACCTATACGCTGTCGATACGCATCGCCAGTGTCTCCGGCCTCCAGCACGAGCACAGTGTGATTCCTGTCTTCCGAGAGTCTCCCGCCGAGGACCAGGCCCGCTTGACCACCGCCGACAATGACAAAGTCGTACGAGTCCGCGATCTGCGTGCGGGGAGCCAATGCGTGCACAAACGGAAGGGCGACAGCGAGGCCCGCGATGGCCTGGGGGGGTCGCATTGTGATGGTATACGCCGGCTCGGATACGATGTGATATGCCGATGACTGATCGGGCCTCAGAGAGCGAAGTCGTCTAGGGTCGACGGCCTGTAAATAAGCAAAGCATGAAGCACTCGCGGAGAAGGGCAACCAAGCGAGTCGAGAGGGAAAATTCGAAAACCGGCGTTGCTCAGCGCCTTGTTTAGTATTATTATATGTAATGATAATCAACAGCAACACAGGCACCATAACTAATGACCCGCCCCTGGCTATGGATCAGGCACGCAGAAAGCTTATCGTGCGCCGGCACGGCGAATTACTCGTCGCCACGATCCAACCCCTCCTGCAGCCGGTGGCTGGCTGTGTTACAGCTGGCGTGCGTGGCGAGGGAAGAAGAAGATCTCTACCGCATCGACAGAGCAGACGCAGGTTCCGATGGTAGATCGCATGGTCTGCTCCACACGGAACCAGAGCACGGCCAGATACATGGCCGGTCCTCGAATGACGCCGCATGAGGGAAATTAAATGCTGACGCCGTCGTGCTAGGCGAGCAAATTCCGCATCCTTATTTGCACTATTGCGTCTGGCCCGGGCTTTTCTTTTCTTGCCAGGGCCGAAGAGATAAGCATAAAGTACCTAGGCAGTAGGTACAGGCAGATATTCTTTCGGTCCGCACTAACCATTATTTTCTGTAACATTTGTGAGCTCGATCGACTGGAACCCCCCCCGATTGGCCGTGGCTTCGTATATAACGAGTTTGCATATTCCGGAGGCTGGTTAGGACAGCTGTCTCCTAAGCCCTGGATTTATACCTGTCAAATCCCGTTGCAAGACTTCCCGTTGACTGCGGCGAGTCGTCCTGCCTCCAAGATCAAGATCGGGTGCGCTCCTTGCTGGCCCGGCCGATTCAGCGGGATCTTTGGTAATTCGGTAACTTGTTCGCGTGTTATTGTAGATCTCGTGGCGAGGCTTACGCATGTCTTGCTGGGCTCAGATCGCTACCGGACCCGGTGCGGCTCGACTCACAAATCTACCCTGTTGCTGGCCTAGGACTCGATGATACCCTGTACCTTGATCTACATCGAGTCGTTCCGGGGACATCCAGAAATGGATATGGGGATGTACCTTGCACCATCTTTTACTCCTCTCCGCCGTGCAGAGACAAATGGGGGAAATGCCTCAGTGTCCTATTTTTGATATGCTCTGTTCCTGTTTGCCCGATTGTAGCGAGACTCTTCGGCGAGTGCGGGGGGATATGGTGTGTCTCTGATCGTCTGCTGCTGTTATTCAGAATTAGTCTAATATCGCCCATATTCCAAGCGTGCTATCAGTCCGATGGCACGTACGTGCAGGTTGTCTCAGTCGCACGCCCGGCTCTTGAGAAGAGAACCGGACGAACAGATGCCAGAGGATCCGCGGAGTCTGTTGACTGGCCCAGGCCGGCCTGGGCCGTTTCTCTCCAGAGGAATCATTGTCCGTTGACTGGTCATGGCTCTTCGGATCGTGATTATTGGCAATATGTGCCACACTGCTGTGCGGTGTACACTCTGTCCTACTCCAGACAGTGGCAAGGACAGGGCCGCAACTTCGGGCACGGATTAACGCAGAACAAGGAGCAGCTGGACGGACTTCTGGTCTCGTTACAGGAGCATAATGGGCCTACGCTGTGGAATAGAAGGACGGAGGGAATCGATAGCACTTAGCCCGCAACGGCGCAAACTTCTCCAAAATCCCGTAAGTGGGGTTTGTAGCCCATTCATTCCATTTCACCAGGCCACACTCTCTGTACTTCACGGATCAAATCGGCAGAAACATGCAACAGAAGATGTATGTCGGTGGCCACCGAACGCCCCAGATTGGCCGTCGCTGCTTTATTCAGCCATCTTCAGGTCGATTCGGGGGCGCTGTCAGCGTCCTGAGCGGACCTAAAATGTGCTGCGCTACGGGACGTGCTGACCGGGTATAAGACTGATTCTCATTTTTCACCTGTCAGAATCTGTATCTCCTATCCTCCACATCTGCGCTCTTCTCTCTGTGCAGTGAGGTATACTGCTAGTATGGCGGTGAAACGAGTACGCTCAAAAGTCTATCAGCAAGTCAACCTCGACGACCATGACAACTCAGAACGAAAGCCCAAAGGACTGGTCGGACAGAGGACGGGTATGATAAGACTTTAAGCCTTTTTGACGAGTGAGAAAACCTCCTCTTTCTAGGCGAGTGTACTACTCACGGAATCTAGCTTTCTTGAGCTACATCCCAAAGCCTCATATCCACCCGATGCACGGACTTACAAAGGATTCATGGAATCTGTGAGCAAAAATACACGAGGTCGGCTGGGGGAATATCCTACACCTGAAACAATGTATACTGTTTTACATCAGCGAGACTGGGGAGGTGCACGAATGTACAGCTCGTCGAGAACTGTCACGGAAGAAGACGGGCTTGAGTTCAAGTCATGGTGATGATGCTGGTGATCTTGAAGCTCGTGTTCTAGCAGCATGTTATAAGGGATTTCTTCCTCACCAAGACTTCATCTTATAGACTGAAGAAATGGGAATGCACCGACACCCACAGCTTTGGCAGTCGCTCCCCGCCAAGGCAGAGTTCGAGTTTCAGGAGCGACCGGACATCCTTGATCTTGATCGACAGATGCAATGTCTCGCTGACGAGCTGAGCGAGCTTCAAAATCCCGTTAGGAAGAAGGAAGTGCAGGTAGAACAACATCGGATATACAACGAGAAACGGAGACTTTATATATACAGGAACTCCGAGCCTTGCAGCGAGCACAGAGGAGAACGTTGGTTATACAGCCAACTAGTATCCGCAGCAGCGCCGTGACAGAGCCCCTGATTATATGTAGAGAGAAAAGAGACATAGAGATAGAACAGAATATCATCCGTTCCTTAGTAGGCTACGTGCGTGTAGTCGATACAGCTTCATTCTGCCCTTCTTCCCTGAGCTACATGCATATTCCACAACAATAAAGGGGTCGGCGGAGTCGGTCCCTATCTAGCTAATGGAGATCATGACTACTAAGTGAACACATATTTCCTTTCTGTTTCCATCGGACAGCAGACTGGCGTACTTTGTTCTCTATGCACAGTATCTACCATGTCCACAAGAGTCCACTCTCCCACACACTGTAGTGTGTTAGCCGGTGCCTGCAATTCTGTTCTGCCGCCCTTGCGACAGACGAAGTGAGAATCTCTGTAACTGTCTCTGAGTTTTAAAGATATCCTGGCAATATAACGGTCTTCGAAACAATTGTGAAACCTTGAGGCTATGTAGTCTAGCTACTTTGTCTCATAGCTAGTAAGAAATTGGTGAGCCTCTTCTTTCCACTGATCCATACTTGCATATTCACCGCGCCAACACTTCCTAATTATTCTTCCAAATAAAACATCATCAACATTTGGGAGTGAGTCAGCATCAGGCCAACAGAGATCAGGGTTCTCGGGGCCGAAGAAATGATATTTATGAACATGCCAGGATGAAATTGAGTATAGGATCCAGCCAAGATGAAGTATCTCAATCTGGGCATTCATATCATTTTCCTTGGCAGAAGTGATATCAATATCGAGGGGTAATAGAATGGACTGGCCAAAATCCGCAAGTTTGAGCTGTTCGTCCATGATCAAGATATTGCGGAGAGCAATAGCATCCACAAATATCTTGCAGGAGTGAACATAAGAGAATGTCTCAATAAGACTTGACATCCAGGCAATCTTTAAAGAGTCCTCACGCTCCGGGTAGGTTTCTAGGTAGGATTCAAGATCTCCTTGTGCAAGGGCTAGCTCAATCCCGTACTGGGATGTACGAAAGCATGAGATGATCCCTTTATACCTGCCCAGACGTTCAAAGACTTGGATCTCATTTTCCAGAATTTGCTGGTTCATTCCGTTGACATATTCCGTATCCTCGCGGTCCTGGAGGGGCTGAGGCTCGTATTGCTTAGCTTTCTTAACAGCGCGGTCTGCTCCTAGTTGGAAAATAATCCCAGTCATGCCAGTCCCAATTATTGGAAGACCAACATAAGGGTCATGAAGAAATGCAGATGACTGAGGGTTGTAGGATTGTCTAGACATATTCACTTGCTCCTTCTTATCCGATTGAGAATCAGCAATGGGACACTGTCCGTCGAATCGAGGACAACGAGAATCCGAGGATGAGTCGAGACCTGCTTCGTTTCGAAGGAGTTGTGTCTGGGGATCCTGAAGCTGTAATCTCATGATGTCTCAGAATGGCTTAGCAAGGAGAGACGAAGGGAACAACCAAGCCCACCTTTGACTCTTGGGTTGTAGAAGACCAAATGGCATAAAGCCAGGAACGTAGTTTGAAGAGTATCATGGTTTGACAGCGAGCTCAAGATAATTGTGTGAAAACTAACAGGAAACAGAAAGATGAACAGCTTTAGGCAAAGCAACTGGGTGTTCCGCCTGATCTACTCTCTCATTTCTCCCTGTGTACGGTCCAAAGTGCCCATATTGCTTTTGTGCTCATCACACCGTCGACTGTTACGAACCCCTGCTAGTCGATCGGCTAGTGAGGCGGACACGCCAGGCGAAATGGCCAATAACGGCAACGCGGTATCAGTAGGAAGTTCTTATGCAGCAGAATGGGCTTTAAAGCTGTCTAAAGTTTTAGCAGCTTTCGAGTCAGCGTCCGTGTCCTGTCTCTAGTTAACTACTTAGTATGTTGTTAGTCAACACACAGAGATGCGCCTAGGCCTAACGCCAATAAGACAAGCGAGCTTAATTTTAGCATAAGCAGTAACGAACACTGATCGCTGCATCAGCCTGTCGGAGCATATTGGCAGGCGGTAACGGAGGGCAGTATGTTCCGACACAACACAGGACAAGCGGCTGACGCCCTTCCTTCCCTGACGCCCGTCCTTCCTTCCTTGATGCTCGTCGTTCCTTCCTTGACGCTCGTCGTTCCTTCCTTGACGCCCGTCGTTCCTTCCTTGATGCCCGTCGTTCCTTCCTTGACGCCCATCGTGATCTGGCACCCATCGTGATCTGACACCCATCGTAATCTGACGCCTGTCCTTCCTTCTGGATCGAGCACTGGTAGGGACCGTCCCAGTTATCTCAAGCTATTGCTTCCCCTTTCCAACAAATCGATGGCCGACAATAGCACCCCGGATTACAAAAGTCTCTTCCTGCAGGCAGAGGAGAGACGGAAACAGGCAGAGGAGAGACAGAAGCAGGCAGAGGAGAGACAGAAGCAGGCAGAGGAGAGACAGAAGCAGGCAGAGGAGAGACAGAAGCAGGCAGAGGAGAGACAGAAGCAGGAAGAGGAGAGATGGAAGCAGGCAGAGGAGAGACGCGAGCAGGCAGAGGAGAGACGCGAGCAAGCTGAAGAGCGCACCCGACAGACAACTTTCATGGAACTCATGCGCTATTCCCACAACTTGCTCTCCCGAACGCTGAGAGTCGAAACACCATCTCGCTCGACTAGCGGGAGAATACCACTTCCCACCGGCAAATACTGCCCGACACGCTTGGAGTATTGGAACGACTGCTCAACACAACTATCAGAACTGTATAGGTCGGTCTGCAGGTATTTTACTGTGGAATCAGGGGACACGCCACGACTCTTTCCACCTTTGCTTGAATTAGAAGGACTACGCCGACGACTTAACACACCACTTAGCAGCGAGCAAGAACTCGAGCGCTATGAGCGGCTTGCCGTGGAAGACCATGTTCGTGACATCATTACCGAGTTGTGCAAACTACCCGCTGCTCGTGACGAGTTCAGTCTCGGCGATGGAATCCAGTTCAGCAATCATACGAATTCCTTGAACAAGAACGAACCTATTGAAATGGATACGAGCCAACCATCAAGTATACACCAGCCAAGACCTGACCAGTTCTGCATCCATCGTGTCGATGGCAACACTACCAGTCTCCTCACGACTGTCGAGTATAAACCACCTCACAAGCTTCCTGTCACAACCCTTCGTATGGGGCTCCGACCAATGGACTTATGGAAGGATATGGTCAAATCAAACAAAATACCAACCAACCAGGAAGCGAAGTTAAGGTATAATGCAGAACGACTTACCTGCTCTGCTATTGTCCAGGAATATCATGTAATGATCCAAGACAGACTTGAATATTCCTATGTGACAAATGGGATTGCGCGTGTCCTACTCCGTGTTCCGCAGGACAATCCCAGCACGCTTTACTACTTCTTCTGTGATCCTAACAGCGAAGTGGATCCAGAAGTTGACTATAATTCTCAGTTATTGAGGACTTCTGTTGCCAGAACACTATGTCTATGTTTATTGGCCTTCCGCTCATCTCAGCGTAGCCAGGAATGGCTAAATTCTATACGAAACAAGCTTAAAATTTGGACGACCAGTTTTGACCACACTTACTCTCAGATTCCCGAAGCAGAACGGCAGCAGCAGCATGCCATTCCTCACTCTGATAGCACAACCCTGGAATTCCCAAGCCCGGAATTAGGTTCACTATATGAACTGCCATCGTCTCCTCCAGATTCGCCAACAGCAGGCGGCCGTCGAGTGGCCACAAGGTCCCAAGCAAGCTGTGCACCTCCGGGGGCGCAACGCCGCTCGCAGTCACCAGATTCATCCGGCTCTGATACAAACCACGCAACGGGGCGGAAGCGGAATTTCAGCCAAGTCACATCCTCATCCTCACCCTCTGCCCAAGCAGCGGCCCGTCAACGCGAGGCCAATAACAATCAAGGCAATCAGTCCCGACGTCGCGATGCGCAATTTTGCACGCAGCGATGTTTACTCGGGCTGCAGACTGGAGGTATCCTAGACGACTGTTGCCCCAACGTGATGCTCCATCGCCAGAGTAATAATGACCTCCAACATCCCACTACCTCGGAAGGTTTAGTGGATTCACTAAAAGCACAATTGGACGAAAACATTGACCGATGCATACCCCTTGGAAGTTGTGGAGCATACGGTGCCCCGTTCAAACTTACTTGTGCTACATATGGCTATACCGTCATCGGTAAAGGAACCACGTCAGGGCTGTGGAAAGAAGTCTCGCGCGAAGCGCAAGTATACCAAGTTCTGCGGAAGGCGCAAGGGTCTGCTGTGCCTGTATTCCTTGGAACAATCGATTTAGCGAAGATTTATTTTCTTCATGGAGCTGGCGAAATTCGTCACATGCTAGTTATGGGCTGGGGGGGCGAAAGCACAGCAATGATGGAGCTAGAGCCATGGCTTTGCCAGGAGATTCGCAGATCGAAGAAGGAAATAAAAGCCCTGGGAATCATCCACAAAGATCTTCGGCGTGATAATATCCTTTGGAATGAAGAGCTTGGACGGGCGTTGATCATTGACTTTCACCGCTCTGCTTTGAGATCTCAGCCAATTTTACAGACGCAAAAAACAGCAAAGAGACGGCCCTGTGGGGTAGAGTCAGGAGGTGTTAAACATTTACGCGTTCTATGAAAGAGGCTGCTTAGTTTTACGGCATTGATTTAGCGTTCGCGTTATGCGTGATAATGGGGCGTTCCTGCAACTAGCACTGTGTGCATTGAACCGGTCCGCTAGAATATCTTCTATAATGCTATTACTCGACGCGCGTTAGCCGGAGTCAGCTCCGTAGTAACTCACTGAACTTTGACGTATCCTTCGCATCACCTTCGCTTCGTCCGCATTGCGCATGATCTTAGTGAGAAACAAATCCCACCGCTCTCTCGGCAAATGACGAGGACCAAGCGGAACAAGAGCATCAAAACTATAACGACTCTCCGACTAACAGGTGCCCTCTGATGATCTTTGCCGGCAATCGTCTCGGCTTGAAGATCCCATTCTCTGGATATGCGCTTCCATGGATTTGCTGCATAGCTAATGTTGAACGGACCGAGAAGAAGCGATTGGCCATAATAAAGTGGCGATAAATACTTTATGTCAATGGCCCTCTTGATACCCTCATCCACCATCATTTCGTCAGCACTGACACTTCCGCCTCTTTTGCAGTCCCATATAGCCCATTTCAGTTAAAGGAAAAGTACATGCGACCACAGGGTGTGGAAAACAGGGCTTCCCGTCCGCTCAGCCGTACTTAAGCCACACGCCGGCCGGTTAGTAGTTGGGTGGGTGACCACCAGCGAATCCCGGCTGTTGCATGTTTTTTTGGTTTTTATGTTTTTATTTTTGCTCTTTCTCTTGTCATCGTTCAGATGGGAAGTTGTTTCCTTTAGCAAATCAAGAAAGTAATGTAGAATATGGGGGGTTAGAAGTAGGATATAGTAATAACCCCCCGGGCCCCAATGAGATCTCCATCTGCACCAAAGCTGTCGGCCTGAACAGCCTGAACTGCAAGAACCGTGCTTTTGGCATCATGATCCAGGTGTGGCGCGCTGTCCCTGGTATCGATGCCGCTGGTGTCATCCACGCCGTCAGCGACGAGGTCCTCAGCCTTTCCGGCATGGAGCCGCAGACCGGCGCGTTTCCAGGGGACTCCACCGTTCCGGCCTACATGGTTGCGAAGAAAACTTTCGTAATGATGTTCAAGGAGGCTGCATCACTTCCGTAAGTCGATGGAGCAAGCACATTAGCTGCCCTTTTAACCGCGAGGCGATCCAGCCGGCTTTGGGGAGGTTGATGAGGGTGGCGTGAGTGGTAGCAAGTTCGTTGTCAATGTGTGAATAGTGCTTTCACCCACACATATAGGGTGGGTAGACTGCAGTCCAGTCCCATATGGTTAGAATGACTGGCAGCAATCCCTTCAAGTCGCGTCCAATTGTTCATGTCAGTCTCAAACCTGCCACTTCAAATCACATCTCAACCCACTTTCCAGGGACACGACGTTACACAGCTGCAGCCCGTTCGTGGTGCTGCAGTTTACCTCCTGCGTATGATCCTGCATGGTTGGCCCGATGTTGAAGCAATTGCAATCCTGCAGCAGACGGAAATCACAGTTGGGGAATGTGGTTCAGCCCGTTTGGTGGTGACATGTCTGTGTTGGAAGCTGAGGCTGGTCTACTTTGGAGAGAGCAGCGTGCATATTTTCCATATTCTGATGTACTGGCTAGTAACTCTGGATCTCATATAGATACGGCAAAAGGGAGAATACACCTCAGCTCTTGAATGGAAACGCATTCATGTCATATGATCCAGTCTATACCCTAAGTAAATAATTCACCTGGCAACAGGAGGCTTGCCATTCGCAGCAGCCACATAATGTCCCCAACTGATCAACTCCTTACTGCAATCATCGCGATCAATATCACACTCGATCAGCGTCGGCCCCTGTTTATTCTTCTTCGCCGCCTCAATGGCCCTATGCATCTCCCCCGCCGTGGTGACACGATACCCCTTCCCATGTCCCTCCTTGGCATTGAACGACTCGACGAACGCGCCGTAATCCCAGTTCTTGATGTTGTTGTAGATGCCATCGTGGATCTCGACTTCGATCGTGTAGCCGTCGTTGTTGATCAGGAAGATGATAATCGGTAGCCCCAATCGAGTCATATTTGACACCTCGTGGCCCGTCATCTGGAACGATCCATCGCCTACCATGACGACTATCTGTCGCTCGGGGTTTGCGGCGGCCAGACCCAGCGCCGCTGGAATGGACCATCCGATGTGTCCCCATTGCATCTCGACCTCGAATCTCGCTCCGTCCGGAAGGTTCATCTGCATCCCGTTGAACCACGAGTCGCCCGTGTCCACAACGACCGTCGTGTCGCGCGTCAGGAACTGGCTGATCTGGTACTGCATTTCTCGCCGGCTCAGTCGTTGATCCGGCGGAGATGGCGTGTGAACGAGGGGGTCTGGCTGCAGACGGTTATATTCGACGAGCGTCAGGGGGTTCTTCTTCACCAGCTTCGCCAGTCCTGCCACGAACTCCAGCATATGGATCTGGTTGTAATCGGATCCAGGGAAACTGACATGGTCCAAGTCAATGGTCAGACTGGCAGCTCCGGGTAGCCCCGTCCATCCAACGGTGCTGTAGTCGGTGTAAACTGTCCCCACGCAAACAAGGGTATCGGACCAGTCGACGATAGCATTCGCGCCCTTCGTGCTCACTTCGCCCCAGTATACACCCACGAACTGCGGATGTGTCTCCGGGAAGAACGATTTGGCACTGGGTAACACGGCCACCGCGCACCCCAGGGCTTGAGCAAGATGGATCACGGCATGTTCAGCGCCTGCTGCGCGGACCGTAGGGCCAACCAGCAAGGACACCTTGTTCCGGGTAGAGAGGAAATCGTTGGCTGCCTTCAGCGCTTCCGCAAGAGTATCAATATCACTCGTATCCGGCTTGAGAATCCCGGACGCCGGCCCGGGCAGGGAACACGGCTGACCCGCGAGGTTCGTAGGGATCTCGATATACGCTGGTTTCCGCGCCCTAAGCGCATTGCGAATAGCCTCGTCAATCAACCGCGGCGCATCCGAGGCACGGCGAATCGCAACAGCACAGCAGGTGATATTTTTCGCCATCTCAAGCTGATAGTCAAAATTATGCGTACCGAGCGTATGGTGCAGCAGATGCGATGACCCAAGATCGTTGGTATTAGGGGAACCGGAGATGAGGATGACAGGGAGATTCTCGCCGTATGCGCTGCCGATGCCGTTGAATGCGGAGAATGCGCCGACGCTGAACGTCACGACGCAGGCGGCTACGCCTTTTGCGCGAGCATAGCCTTCTGCAGCCATGGAGCAGTTTAGTTCATTTGTGCAGTTGATTTCGTCGAGTTTGGGGTGCTGTTGGAGTTTGTCGAGGAGGAGGAGGTTGTAGTCGCCTGGGACGACGAAGTGGCGCTCGATGCCGATTTGAGAGAGCCTTTCCGCGAGGTAGCTTCCGACGGTGGTCATTTTAGTTGTTTATGAGTGAGGTTTGTTTTCTTGGGTGTTGTAGGAATCCAATCTTGCGAATCACAGTATGGTTAATATACCTACTGCCCATGTAGGCTACGGATAGAGACTCTTGTCAGGGGACCATTGTGACATCATGGATCCCATGCTATTATTGTCTGATGCGCCGAATATTGTTTCCTTGCTCCATTCTGCATAACATTCTTGTTTGTCTGCGGTGGAGAGCGTTGGAGGACGTCATTGAGTTTGGAGTTTCTGTTCCCCAAGCCCTAAGACCGAGCTGGTCCAACAATCATGCCACCGCGAGAATCCTGTTTGCCTCAACCATGTATATACAACACCAGGAATTATATTGGCACCTGATGCTGTTGAGCTAACGGCAGCCATTCGTTGTAGCCATCCGACCCCTTCTAACTGTGGGGTAAACAGCCTGGCCTCAGTCAACCATCCCCACGAGACATAGTCAGGCTGTTGATCCTGGACGAGGCCTAGGGTCCTGAATTGGGCACGACGTAGTTATGATCACTTAGACACGCTGGTGGTTGTTTTTGTTCTGGTGAAGGGATAGCATCATCGAATGTCTGGACCTGGTGAGCTGCATATAAAGTCGTCGATGTAGACGTCGTCTGAATAGCCAGATACATATACATATCATCCTACGAAAGAACAAGCACTCTAGTCATATCGACTCAAAAATGCCGGCCACAACCTCTCCGAAGCAGACCTCCAAGAGGCCCATCGTCCGCGGCGACCTGATGGTTAGTACCCCTAACGAAGTGTGTTGTTAACCCTCTTTGGAAGCAGACTGACATGAATGCACCAAACAGCCCGTCAAGATCATAGTCGTCGGCGCCGGCCACGTCGGAGCCACGACAGCCTACGCCTTGCTGCTCAGCGGCCTCGCAGCGGAGATCGTCCTCATCGACATCGACAAGAAAAAAGCCGAAGGCGAAGTCATGGACCTGAATCACGCCGTGCCCCTCTCTCACCAGACCCGGATCAGACTGGGCGACTATCCGGACTGCAGCGAAGCAGCCATAATCATCTTCACTGCAGGCCACAACCAGAAACCCGGCCAGACGCGCATGGACCTGGCCCGCGTCAATGCGGACATCGTTCGGCAGACCGTCCCGCAATTGGTGAAATACGCCCCGGACACCATCGTCCTCATGGCCGCGAACCCGGTCGATGTCCTGACCTACGTCGCGTACAAGGTATCGAGTCTTCCTCGGTCACAGGTCATCGGCTCCGGAACCGTGCTTGACACGGCCCGTCTGCGGTACGCGCTGGGGAAGAAGTTGGGCATCGACCCGGCAAACATCCACGCGGACATCATCGGTGAGCACGGCGATACCGAACTCCCCGTGTGGTCGCATTCGAATATTTCCGGTGTCGGCCTGGCCGAGTACTGTCTCCAGGCAGGATCGTACGTGGATCTCGCACAGCTGAGGGAGGATTGCTTTGACGAGACCCGGCGTGCGGCCTACAACATCATCAAGATGAAGGGGGTGACGGACTACGGGATTGCGTCGGGTTTGGTGCAGATCGTCGAGGCTATTCTCAGAGATGAGAACACCCTTCTGACTGTGTCTACTGTGGGCTCATACGGTGGCGTGGACGACGTGGCATTGAGTATTCCGATGAAAGTCAACCGGAGCGGAGCGCATCCAGCGCTGAAGCTCTTGTTGAGTGAAGAGGAGGACCGGGAACTGGCCCAGTCAGCTAATACGCTCAAGACCAGCATTCAATCGCTCAGCGCGTAGTTACTTGAGTCGAGAATGGAATCAACCGAGTCATGTCGTGCAATCGTTCGTCATGTATGGTAGCAGTCAAAAAACATCAGTACAAAAACCAGATGATAATAGCGACCAAGCCAATCCATACCAGCAATTGGCAAGCCTTGGCCTTTCAACCGAACGTATGATATGCAGAGGGAAAGTCGTTTCGTCAATGAACCGACATTCTAACCGTCCGAGTCCCGCTGAATCCCCACAATATCCGCATTTTAATCTCCATGTACCTCCATGTTTCCTCCACATAATCGATGACGATGGTCATGGTATGTCTCCGTTCTGTTTTCGTGGCCTGATGGATGTTAATCTATCCGGCAGAGGGTGTAGCAGGGGAGAATAGAACAATCCGACGGCATAGAATGGCATTGCGTCACGGATGCTGTGTTTAGAAATAGAATACATCTCCAACAAGAACTACCAACAACATCTATGGCATTGCCTCATGACAATGTGACACCGCCGTACAATCCTGATGCAACGAAACCTGCCGACATATCAACCACTGCCCACACGGCCGCGAACCCGGGCCCGAACCCGACTCCTCCTGGTCCCGCATGGTGGTATTCACAACCGAATCAGTCGAGCTGCGGCCGGCGCTGCTCGTAATCTGGCTGGTCTGCTGACCAGGCGTGTAGCAGGATGGATTCCAGCTAGAGCCGGAGTTGATATATCTTGCTTCCTCCTGCGGATGAAAAGGAGACCGGTTTCTGCGTTTCCGCAGGGTGAATGCGCTGAAGGTTGGGATGCAGGCGCAGATTATGCCAATTCCTCCTTCGGCATTCTGACCACGGTATCTGCCATGAGGATATCCCGTCGACTCATGCAGGTCCCTCCGGATCTATCCCCCGGGGCCCAGTATGCAGACGGTGGACGACAGGTGAACGCTTTTATGAAGACGATGATGATGTAGTAGAGGACGTTCAGGGCGATGAGGACGTAGGTGGCTATTATGCGTCGCAAGGGCCAGAAGATCTTGATTAGAATGTATAGGAGGGATATTCTGGCCGCGAGGACGTGGGGGCAGGAGAGGATTGAGGCTATGTAGGAGATCTGCTAACGGTCAGCACAGCACAGCACAGCTCCCGTGGGAAGACCTCTTTCTAAGATACCTACCTTCAGGATAGCCAGGGAGTCGTTGGACGGTAAAGTGGACAGGTCCCTCCCACGGAAACATATGCATCTGTACCTATCCTGTAAGCCGGGGCGTAGATGAAACTGGGTTGTTTGGCATACATGTAAGACCGCACGCACAGTATCCCATCAAGAAGACCTATGAGCTTCATTAGACCTAATCCAGTTTCATTATACAGATGTCATACCCAAGCAAGAAAACAAGACACTGCCCATATTAGCTCCGACTCTGCATAACGGCCGAAGATGGATGCACACATACCATCGCTAACGTCGAACCAACCGCTGCCTCAGCCACCTTCGCACGAGAGCCTTGGAGAATACCAGCGGCTTTATGAGCACAATGCAGCTGGTCTGTATGGATATGTTGGTAGAGTTCAAGATGTGCAAGGTATCTTCCGAGTGCCTCGTTGGTTCCCTTCCATGATAGTTGATAGTATCCATGCAACAGGCTATTGTAACGACGGCAGGAGTGCAATTCTAGAATTAGAAATACTCCGCCCTGTATCTGGAGCTTTATATCTATGAAATAGCAGAAGGCAATATCCTGTAATCTGCATCTTACAGATCTTGATTAGTAGTCGTGATGTCAACCGAATACACATCCCAGCCGATACGCCATTGCAAACCCATTCATAAACTTCGAACCATAAGCCTCCTCCGTTCGAGATTCTGCAGAGATAATGGACGGTATGCATGCATTACGTTCGTATCTGGAGAATCAAATCCAAAGAAATAACTACAAACAATGATCTGGATTCCCAGCCGGATTCCCCCACCAAGTCGGAAACGGATGCGACTGCCCACTCGCCCCAAAGACGGCAAAGGAAAAGATGAAGATAATAATCTGCGACCCCCCATCCAATGCGGCCCCGATCAGATAGTTATACTTGTTGTAAATCCCCGGCAGTCTACGTCGGAGCCAGACCTGCGAAAAGATACCCACAGCAATCGACGACCACAGCCATGAGGTGTTCCCGTAGTATTTCAGTCCCGCGTAGGAAATAATAATGGCGGTGTTAATGGGCCATTTTTTCAGACGGGGGAACAGCTTTATCAGACCCCAGTGGATGACGGGTAAGGCGAGGCCGATTACCAGGCCCAAGGGCACGATGAGGTATTGGCCCCTTGGTCCGTAGACTTCCTTTGCCAGAGCCCAGGTTACGGCTTGAGCGTTGAGGCTTTGCATTGTCGAGCCGCTCCAGACGTTGTTTCCGATTGGATCTAGGAGGATCTCGCGCTGGTTTGTGACGATGGTGGTCATGACAGCGTAGTTCAGGCCGGCGCCTAGCAGGGTACCGTAGATCTGTGTGCCGAACATGACGCGGTGCGGGACTTTGATGTACTGGCCGATCTTGAGCCAGTTCGCCAGGTTGACGGCGAGGAGAATGACCTGGTGCGACCAGCTGGCGAAGTAGAGATTGGCGAGTGGACGGCCCGGGTGCGAGACGCCGGCGATGATCTTCGAGATTTGCCTGGTGTCCACGCCGGTTCCGTAGAGGCCGTACAGGATGCAGGAAAACGGGGCGATGAAGGCACCCAGCAGGAGCGAGACGATGTATCCCCATACCGGGAGTGTGGTCTCGCCTTTGATATTCACGATCAGCCCCGCGATGAAACTCAGCAAGAAGAGTACCAGATACCACCACATCGGGACTTCCTTGTACTTGAGCATGCCCTGGTAGTGTCTGTCGCGGAGGGTTTTGTTGCGCGCCTGTTTCAGCGAGAGGTACATGTCCTTGCTGTAGAAGATGAAGACGTGCGCGATCAACGCGCCGATGGCCAGGTTGGCCGTGAAGTAGCCCCAGGCCGTGCTGGAGGACATGGATGGGATGCCCACTTCCTTGAGCTTCTGGAAGTCGACCGTGCCGTGGTCGTTCAGAATGGATGTTGTGGAGAACTTGGTGCCGTTGCTATGGAAGAGGGATGTCGACATGAAGGGGAACTTCTTAGCATCCCACGCATTGCCGTAGTACAATCCCAGCATGACGGCGTACCAGATCACATAGCCGATCCAGGTATTCAGCTGCTGCTTCAAGGGCAGAGAGAGGTATGTGCTCTGGATGTACTGCCAGTCGAGGGAGAAGTTCAGCAGACCCATGCCCTCATTCGACGATGCACCTCCGAAGATCGTAGTAAAGATGGTCCGGGTGTGTTTAGGAGCATGCATCGACGCAAGACAGAAGATAGAGATGCCCCCGAACCAAGTCATGATGTACGAGGGAAAGATTTCCCAGATGGCAGCAAACACCAGCGCCCAGCCAAACTTGATGAGCCGGTCCTTGTTGGCACGCTGGTCGAAGTGCAGATTCTGGAAGAGCACTGCTTGCGGCAACGTCGACCAGTATACCATTTCGGCGGGATAGACAATCAGGGGCCGTAACACCCCTGCCAGGACAAACCCGCAGAGCGCCATGGAGAAGGTCCCCAGAACAGCAGTGGTCGCAGAGACACTTCTGTCGTAGAACAGTCTCTCTGCAGCGTAGACTTCCACTCCGTTCAGACCGTTGTTGCCGGAGGAGGCGATGAGCGCGGCAATGACATGTTCTTTGATACGGAAAGGCTGTCCGAAATTAAGGAAACGAAGCGTATTCTGCAGCCATTTGCATTTAAATCGTTCCGGACGGGGAGTGAACAGGGCCCATGCTTGGCCGAAGATGTAGACAAGAACTGGTGGGTGTCAGTACATAGCACCAGCGAATTCCACACGGGTGGAAACATACGCTGTAGGAAGATCGCAGACACCTGCATCTGGGTAGGTTTGAATGTATAGAGCATGGTGATGACGCTGGACAGAGCAGTGAAGACAGTGCCCAGGGCGATCGAGCGAAAGGTCAACGCCGGGTCCCCGTCATCTCGGTCGGAGATGATGAAGTTGGAAACATCAGCACCTGTCTGGAGTTAGCTCTGAAGCGCAAAGTGAGGCTAATATGAAGCAGTGCGTTTACCATTCCGAATGATGGGATGCCCCTTGACGTATTCCGGTTCGTCCTCCTCCTGGGATTCGACTGACACTGCACCCTCTTTCTCGTTTGACACTGTCGCCGTTTTCTCATCGATCCCTCGGTGTGATTCCTCTGGTTCCTTTCTATGCGCCGGACGAATCTCCAAGGCCTCTTTCCCACCTGCCGGAGCCTCGACGTCTCCGGACATGTTGCAATGGCCAACGCAGGATGCAGTAATGCTTAGCGGGAATGATCAAGAATGTTGGAAAGAAGGTAGATCGGCGAAGATCGACGAGCGAGCCATAATTTATGCAAGGGAGCGTCCCCTTCTTTCCCAGAATTTATCTCATTGCCCGTCATCTTCATTTACTGCTAGAGCATCAAGAAGTTACATTGAGTGGAATGATGCCATCTGCGACGCCAATGGTGCGTACAATATGGTCCCTCGTCGTAGCTCATATTAGCCCTTCCTTTAAACTCCTGGTTGGGTCTCCGAAGTGGATGTCTCCATGGGACAGTGGAACGGACTCCGCAGGGAGACATCCCGTACCGTTAAACTGGCTCCTCGTAGTTAGCGGCGTGCATAGGGTCTCTGCCCTATGCTCCATCGCCAATGCGAAAATATCCTCGGCGGCATGCCGCATGTCGCCTCGAGCCTAATGCAACGCAACTCCAGGATTAAACATACGCATGCAAGACGACATTTTAGCTTCAGGTTGCTCATCGTGGATCTGGTCAGTGCGTGTAATCATTGAATCATATCGTGGACTTGTGGATTATGGATTTGCCGCCAAGCTGCGCCAAGAATGTCCAGCTCTATGCAAAGGTGGCATGCTCCTGAATGACTTGGAGTGATATTTCTTGACACCGGCAGTCCTTAGAACCGGTGGGAAACGATCTGAAAAGCTCAGATGGATCATTTACGTAAAACCAGATTTAAGGAGCAGTTATCCCACGCAGTCCCGCTCTCTGGGGTCTATATAACTCCTTCTCTTGAACAGCCTAGTACATGCGACCACAGGGTGTGGAAAACAGGGCTTCCCGTCCGCTCAGCCGTACTTAAGCCACACGCCGGCCGGTTAGTAGTTGGGTGGGTGACCACCAGCGAATCCCGGCTGTTGCATGTTTTTTCGGTTCCTTTTTTTTGGCCCCAGATGATCGATCTATGTATGGGTTCAATGACTGATAGATAGATACTCTTGATGACGCTGTCTATGCATGCCCTTATCCTCGATGGTCTGTGTGCCTCAGGTCAGCGAAGTAACATTTCTCCGGTTCACGTGACTGAGGGTGCCGGGGCCCTGATCTTGAACTGATGAGGATGGTTGGACACCTCTACATTGGACAGCCGTAAGAGGTCTTGAAGAAGTATCAAAGCCACGCCTTGACAAGGGCATCGATCTTGATCTCTGATGATAGAAGCATCCAACCGACATTTGATGAAGATGCTACCAAGACGCCCCTGTATCTGTTGGAATCCCCCCATCTTGTTCCGAGTCTATATCGGATATCTATGTGATTATGATGGGGAGTGTTTTGTTGAGGCAAACTTGAACGGTATTCGCGATCGCGAAGGTTGGAGAGGTTGGAGCCGGCCCGGAACCTTTTTTGCCTCGCTGCACCAATGATGTAGAGAAACGACCGATAGATGCTGCCATATCATCGATATGGAATGATGAACCGCAAGCTAAAATATGAAGCGTGCGTCTCATCAGTTCACTTATTCCAGCGCATTACGCCCTTTTTTCTTTTTTAAAAAAAAGAAGAAATAGAATCAAGCGTACGCCGTCGGGATAGCTCAGGACGAGTATACCGTGTGCGAGCCGAGCCGCAGAGAGGGATGGCGATGATGGGACTGCTTTGACTGTCGTCCTCGCGGTGGAGACCCTTTGCACATGGAAGAAATTTGACTTGTTCTTGGAGCTCTTACAAAAAAGTTGCCCCTGCCAGTGCCCCGCCCCGATAACACAATTGGTTAGTGTGTTCGGCTTTTAATTCCTCCTACTGGTGGAAGCTTGGGAGACCGAAAAGTTCTGGGTTCGAGTCCCAGTCGGGGCGACGTTTTTTTAATGCTTTTTTTTGCAACCACTTCTTTTTCCGTGCAGGACAGAGTCGACATTCCCGCTCAACACACTCACTCACTCGTTAAAGCCACTAGAATGTCGGGGCCACTACGGAGTATATCCTCATCCAATGATTCTGAAGTGATCGCATGAATTGGGGGAAGGGTCGGATTATCCGTACACGACCGTGTTCGATAAAAGAGGCAACAGAGAGAAAGCTAACTGATGAGATTATATTGGATTCATTGTTCTTTTTGGCTTATGTTCTTCGATGCTACTCGTACACGACAGCAGGGGTAAACAGGAGTTCTGCCGGAACATCTAACGTCCGCTCCGCTCACATGATCCACTTCGGATTCTATGGGGAATATGATGTAACGTAATCAGCAAGAGATCCCTTTTCGCTACTGCCACCACAATCCTTTCAATTGACCACCTCTATAGATAATATGGAGTCAGATCCATGCCGTCCAGTACTGACCGTGCCCACCCAGTTCCCTCAAAGCCCTCGTTTGGAGGGAACGCAGTGAAAACGATGAATGGGCGCGAGGCTGGTTTCGAATTTGTACAATCTCTCCACCAGTTGACGGTATGTAGATATGGGAGGATAGTGGTCCTCGGGGGCATTGTGTCTGGTCTGTCGCATATACCCCACGATCCGACTCGGAGTACAGGTAGACGATGAATCGTCATCCTTTGAAGTCTCATAACCGACAGAACTACTATTTGCTAGGGAGCCCTGACACATGGCATCCTGGAGGCAATGCCAATGGTGACCCATGTCCTGGGTGCTTTACAACCTGTTCCCGAGCTAGCGTAAATTCAAATGCGCATGAGGTTTATCATACCAGCAATATCGCCGAGAACTAGCAAATAAAGAGATTGTAGGATCTTCAAACTTGGCTTTCCATCTGTGCGCTGGCTGAATCGCAACATCTCTCGCGGAGCGAACGTAGAATTCAATCGCAACAGGTTTCCTGTCTTGGAAAGTTCATGGTTCTAGAAATGAAGCACAATGGACAGGCAGTTATATAGCAGAAACTGCGGGAAATGTATTTGGATCCGTCCCGCAGTATCTTTCTGCGCGTACGAACACCGTGGTTCAGCAGCCGGCCGGGGAACATACGGGCAGTTGCCCACCACACTTCGACTTTCATGTATCTATAGGTGCAACTTACCGGCATGGCTCGCAAGCTTGACGGGTCCGCGATTGGTGAGGCATGGAAATTCATCCGTCTTGCCGAGTCTGCACGGAAGCGGAAGCCAGACTGCTCAAAAATGCTGCGTGCATAAATCATGCTGGAAACATGCACACTTGCCCAGCCTGCGTGTCAGCAATGCTGCTTAACCACTGCTCTGGATCCTCCTCTTCACCTTCACCTCTTCATCCGCCTCGGCCTGCCGGTACGCGGAAATGTTTAACGCCTGCCCATGTAGCCCAATCTGGGTCTCCCGTTTCAATACCTCACTGAACCGGGGGACGTCCATTCACGACCACATGCATCGTGGCCCCGCATCTGTGCCTGGACAGACTGGCGTGCTTGGGGGTCTGGCGATTGATCTGAGCTACCCTGATCACTATTCTGGCTTGGCTGCCATGCGGACGTCGGCAGCGCAGGATGTTTTTATTTTGAACTGGGTCTCCGCTTGCTTAATCATAGATTTTTATTACCTGGCTGCTGCAATTCGACAGCTATAGATAGAATGGAGGATCTTGGTTGAGCCAACTGGAAAGCTTGGCCTGGATTTCGTATCCGCATTGATATCTGGCTGAACCCCCTGCTACAGGCACGGAAGTATTATCCAAGCAGAATCATATAATCTAATCACGCCCATCCATGGCGTTCGTTGTTCCTGCTCAGTTTGCATCACTTCCAGCTCTGTATTATTTGAAGCAGAATACCTGCCACTTCCTTCATACCTTCTGCATTCGGATGCAGGGGCACGATACCTCTTAAAAGTAACCCGATCCCGAACCCTGTCACCCACGGAGTCCTACTACCAAGCGCATGTTTCTCGCTAAGCTCATGAATGGGAACCCGCTGACACCAATTACCGCGAGTTTGTGTTGCCAGTACGTAAGCACGTTGCAACTCGGACGCCCGCTGGACATGGTAATTTATCTTGTCCTGCCCAAAGGGAATGTCCCGGCCAGGCCGAGTAGTGCCCGGGGATAAAAGAGCGAGGTATTCCACCAGAAGAATACGGGCCTTTGGTGCCTTGCGATGAATGGCATCGAGTACCTCGCCCATTCGAGTTGCGAGTTCTTCCGTTGTCAGGGAGGTGGAGGTGGGCCTCTCTTTTTTCCTTCGCCATCTGAGCACCGAGAGACACGTCTGTAGAACCTGGATTATTGACCCTATTATCCTTCCTGGGATGGTAGCATTCCAGGCGTCGAGCATCATTCCCCCGACGTAGCCGACATCGTTGCCGCCCGCAGTGATGGTTACAATGTCCGAGTCTTCGGGGACATGCGTGATTTGCGGTGGAAATGTTCGAGAAATGAACGGCACTGACTGTGGCTCCGAGATGATGTTTAACAGTGTCGCTCCAGAGACCGATAGATCGGTTAGTTTGACATTCAAGGACTGCGCGAGGATGTGGGCATAATTTGCGCCTGAACGTCCTGCGCCGCGCGGACCAGTTACGGGACGTATTCCAGGGCCAGCGGCGAAAGAACTGCCCAGAGACACGATATGTAGAGTGGCGTTGCCGTTGTCCATTGGGTTGATGAAAAAGAGCAAAGTTGGGAATGATCCTTGATGAAGGATGCAAGTACAATGGAAGACCGAGGCATGTGATTGCTATTCTTGCCCGCAGCAGTGGAATATAGCATCGCGACACCAAAATAGCACAGAATAATGCACGCAGTCTCCCTCAAACCATGCTCCGCTTCAATATTCAAACCATAGATCATGATGGGATCGACTCAGACGTTTCCGCTGGTGAACTTGTCGGGTATTTTTGTGGCGCTGAAGGATGGTTGGCTGTTGCGTGATGGGCGGAATATTGTTTTTTAGGGTTGTCTGGGGGTATTTCTAGTGGCAACTTGATGGTTTTCATCTTTTCAGCTGGATTTGTCTGAATTCAACGGGGATTTTGAAAGTAAACTTACTAATACTCCCAGACGCAGAATCCAAGTTAATAAATACCTTTTCACCGTTATGCAAAGCGGAATTAAAAAGCGGGGAGAAAAAATGTCGTGGAGAGCGACAATACTTCTGACTCGTTCCTGTCTCCAAAGATAATCTGTTCTACTGTATCTAGCTCATAAACTACTACTCGGTAGTCGTCTCTGAAAGATTCGCTCTAAGAAAGATTCGCTCTAAGAGCTAGCATTCCTACTTGCGATGTCCCACCATGGTCAAACGGACAGCGCAGGTATCGTCGGGATCAGTAACAGACATGGGCGCCCAGGAAGCATCTAGCTTACATTTGTACCTGGAAGGCTCCGATAATAAGTGCATTCTAGGCGTATTCTTACAAAGAATCCGCACAGTAGTAATTGAACGATGCTCTGTTAACTCCATACATCGAGCGACGACCGGAATGCCCGGTTCAATGATGCACTTACAGCACAGTTCCGGCAAAGTTAAAGAGTTAATATATAGCCACCAGTTACTGGATCTTCCATGAACGGCACATTTGGTGGCGTCATGGGCAGCTGTTGGTTGGCATGAATCTGTGTTCTCCTTCAAGTCATAGCATGTGCATGGTTTCCTATTTTGTCAAAATGTTTCCACGCAGCGTCTCATGATAGTGGTGGTGTAGTTCCGCAGACGATATCCTCAGGGGTCTTCTCGTGTTTACCTGGATGTAATTTGCCATAAGGAACAAGAGTATATCAAGCATGAAAGATCCATCTTGCGTACAGATTAACTTGCCGTTTTGAACCGGCATAGTATGGCAGCGTAGAGCAGAAATATGCCGTAACAAAGCCGGCAAGAGAATGGTGGAGCAGCCAAGAATGCGAATTTAAGCATATGCAAGTTAACTCGCCTAAAGTTCGTGACATCAATCTGACCACTTACTTCCGTGCTGAAATAGACGCGAATATTACGCGTCTGCATGATTCCATTGCAATTGACAGCTCTACGAGAATCGATGGACCAGCACAGATTCTCGCTGTAGACAGACTGGACAGGCTTGTAAAACCGTAGTAAGTTGCGAGATCAACAATATGAAATGTCCGCATCTCCGGATGCAACCCTCACTTTCCGTTTTGGGTAATTCAACGACGTCAACAACAACATCACATGACGATCCGTGTTCCCACGCGTTTCAGAGTGGAAACCGGCTTGTGCTTATTTATTATTAGCACTGACTCCGGCCGCAGGTGACATTGAGGAGAAATCTTAATTAATCTTGCTCAATCCATGATAAGATAGCTGGCCGAGGGAAATAATAATAGTAACCTCATCCACGACCCTTGCGGTCGTCCGTTGTCAGCCTTCAGGCCGGGTTGGCTGCGAAGATTTATGTGACGGATTCACTCGTCAAGCTATCGCGGGGGCAAAATGTCCTGCCATTACTCGAGCCGTCATCTCTGTCATCTGCTTCTGTGGCTCTTTTTTGTCGCTTCTGTCTGGTGTCAAACAGGTCAGGCGCTGGACTACGACCGTACCGAGTTGTCTGCCATTGAGGGTGGATGCGGACGAATTGGTGATGGTCAAATCGCAGGCGATTTAAGTTTTGAAAAGCGCACATGTCCGCGACTGGAAGAACAGTCTGCACGCGAGGAAGAGCTACACCAGAGAGATCTCGTACCTGAGAATACAGCTACCCCCAGCGCATATGTCGAGTCTCCTACCTATGCCCTGGACACATCCACCATTGCTGTGAGCGCATCACCCGCGCCCGCCGGGTCGAGGACAGGGCCTCCCCGCGACATCGAGCTGCGTATTCTGCCCGTGGGAGATTCGATCACGGTTGGTTATCGAAGCAGTCATAGTAACGGCTATAGGAAGCAGCTTTACAATGACCTTCACAAAGGTGAGACTCGGGTATCTACCTTATTATTTGGCGTTTTTCGATGACCTCCTAATGGACTGTAGATTACAAGAATATCACCTTTGCCGGTACCGTGTCTGAAGGCGATAAAGCGTACAGCTGGTTCGCGGCTTGGACAGGCGAGACCATCCAAGCGATCGAAGACCGAGTTGGACCCGCCCTCCAACAAAGACCGAATATCATCCTCATCCATGCTGGGACAAATGATATGAGCAGTAACCCGAGTGTCTCTCAGCAGGGAAACGATCCAACCGCCGCCGCGGAACGGCTAGGGAGTCTGATCGGCAAATGTGTCACTGCGTGTCCTGATGCGACTATCCTCGTGGCTCAGATTATCTATACGTGTCTCGACGATGGACAGCAACAACGGACGCTGGTGTACAATAGTCTGGTCCCAGGAGTGGTGGATAAATATGCATCGTCCGGTCATCGTGTAATGGTAACCAACATGCAGGGAGGGTTCCCGGTTACCCAACTTCACTCTGACGACTGCATCCATCCAACAAACAGGGGCTATAAGACTCTGGGCAATCTCTGGAATCGCGCTATTCGAGCGATTCCCGAAAATTGGGTTAAACCTCCGGTTGGCCCTGATCCAGCGGGACACGATGGAGGTTCTGAGCGGAAGATTCCCGGTCGAACTTTGATGCTGGGGTGGATAGTCATATCGTACTTTATTCTAACACGGAGGCAATGGTGATGGTGTCCTTTGAGCCCGCCCAGGAATTGGTGGCAGTTCAGGTAGACCCGTTGGACGCATATTCTTTAGAGTGTATAGAGGTTATACAAGAATCGTAGATGCTCAGTTTAGGCAATGTAATTCCACATGACGTTCCATGAGGACTCAGCTTGAGAGGTATAGCAGTTCAATTTCCAAGTCTGGGAAACTCCATGAGCATTCACTCGCAAACTCAAATAGAAATGGCCAGCTGTTCCACTCTGCTGCCTGACTGGTGAAGGAGGCCAAGTGAAGTCTCTGGGGTGAATGATGTCCGCATGAAGAATCTCACAGAGGGATATAAGTCTCGACGCCCTTCATATCTGTATTCTTACCTTCCCACTCATTCAATATTCAGAGCTTTCAGCATCCCCTGCACTCCAAATGCGCATATACTCAGGAACTCAATGAAATGCTTTCACTACTCACCAATTGATTCGTATATTCTCATATCCCCTTAGCCTTCCCAGTGCCCTGCTGGTAAGGAGTGCGGGACTAGACCCCTTCGCGTGGTGCATCTCCAGGGGAATAGGGCAGAAGTGCAACAGCTGCCTGTACTGCGCACATCTCCACTGCTCTTCCCAGCATCAGCAGTAGTCTACGGCAACTATGAATGCATATTGGTATGTCCACTGGCCTCTCCAGCGGCAGCAGAAGCGCCTTTTGTCCGGCTTTGGCCGCTATAGCTCTTATTAGCTCTTGGGGGGATTCTTATGCGGGTCTCGTTGGGATCACTCATTGAACTACTTCTGCTGAGCCGGACATGTTGACGGAATGTATTATTCGACTTATATGGGAACTGGAATCCTCCACGACAGTGGATTTTGAATAGGGTTGCTACGTTGAAGAGAGGAAGACTATGGTGACGATAAGCAATGCTGGAGATGTCAGGGAAGAGGTATGTGGCTTGGTTGATACTCTTAACCTCACGCCTCTTCTGAAAGCCGTCAGTCAGTCAGGATCACCTAGTTAATGGACTTCATGTTGGTGGTCTTCTGGATATCATGTCGTTTTTTTTTGGCCGACTCGCTAACAAACAATACTACGCCCAGGGTTATGTTTTCTCCAACTGACTCGTTCTGTACATTCTGGAATAGCCAGCATCAGGTTAATCACCTCAAAGATGTCATGAAGCCCAATGAGTTCGACGATCCAGAGCGGGCTGAGCTGATTGACCGGATCTATTATCCGCTGAAGATAAATGCCTCTGAGAGCCCGTCGTCTCGGCCTGTCTATGGCTCAGCGATGTGGATGTGCCTGCGGTCGAATCCTGTTTCTCGAACAGCCTCACCTTCCAGGCGCAAGCGACTGGTAACGCAAGCCATGCTGGAAGAGCCTAAGTTGACCTGAGCAGCATATGAACGTTGCTTATGTGTCATGACCTCTTTCAATTCGTTTGCCTATGGCCGAAGCTAGCCTTCTTTCTACTTTCAAAATGCTGGATACGGTAAGTGTTCCAATTCCCATTCCTAGATTTGCAGCCCGTGTTGACAAAATAAAGCGACCTGCACCAGGACAAGCAGTCGTGTTCCACTCGACTCATTGTCGATTTGGAATCCACTAAAAGAGTCACATTGGAGAAAAGCAATCTTGTCAATGTGACGGAGGAGATACACGATATCCTCTGGTCCTGTTGTGACATTGCCCGTAAACGATCATTATCTGTTGCCGGGAGCCAAGCCTCCTCTTTCCCTCTTCAATCGGGATGGGTAATCCAGTTGGATTCAAAGCAGATGGATGGATGGCATAGCCGGCGAGGCACCAGCTCTCAGGAAATCCCGGGAGATGGTGGTGAAGAAGACAAAAGATCCGGAAGCTGCAATTGTTGACTTGAGCAACATGCTCGAGCCTACTAGGTATCATGACATTATTTTTAGGTCAATAGCAATACACATTCTGAGGAGCCGGTCTTCGCTTCGGAGGACCTCCGGGTTTGTTAGCGGGGTTAATAAAATGCCATCGTTAACATTTACACTCTCTGTCTCCCATGTAGCATTGCGTCGTTCCTGAGTCCATATTATTTGACGAGTGAAATTTCTGAGGCGATGCAGACGAGCAACCCAAAGCCAAAGTCATCCGGGGACCGACCCGGCAGCCCATTCCCCGTGACCGTGATAATTGTCGGCGCAGGCATATTCGGTCTTTCGACTGCACTGGCCATTGCAAAGCGATATCCGTCTACGTCGGTGACTGTAGTAGATCGACTGACGCCCCCCGTCATCGATGGAAGCAGCGTCGACACGACGCGTTGCATCCGAGCCGGTGAGTTTGCTTGACGCTTGACGTCTGACGATGAGCCACCCATGAACGAGAAACAATTGCCTGATGAACTGCAGACTACGCGGATCCCATATACGCGCGTCTGGCGAAAGAGGCTCAGACGAGGATCGAGAATGATCCCGAGCTCAACCGGTACATGTTCAAGCAGGGGATGACGTTCGTCTGCGACGGGGAGGACAGTCGGTTCACGGACCTCTGGAAGACACAGCGGGAATTAGCGAAAGGGACACACCATCCAGATGAGATTGTGGATATGATGAGTCGCGAGGCTGTTTTCCAGCGTATCCATGGTGCTAGTGCCCAACCGCCTCCGGTTGATACATTAGCTGGCGGGAAGTCGAGGTGGAATATGGCCTACTGCAATCTACAAGATGCTTTTATTGATGCTGAGGCATGCGTTGATGTGTATTACCAGCGTTGTCTGAAGGAGCCATCTATTACTTTCAAGTGCGGTTCCACAGTTGAACGGATTTGCGTCGAAGAGGGCATTGCCAAGGGAGTCGAGCTGGAGGACGGTACAATCCTACCGGCTGATCTCATTCTTGTCGCGGCTGGTGCTTGGTCGAATCGACTCGTATATCTTGAGCAGAGAATTAACCCGATTGCTATCGAGGTTGCTTGGGTCAAGGTCACCCCAGAGGAAGAAGGACACTGGAAGCACATGGCTATCACGACGAACCTCAGTACCGGTCTGAACTTATTCCCTCCTTACCGTGGGGAGATCAAGATCCTCCGTCGCTCGCCGGGGTATAAGAATACCGTGGAAGTTGAGCATCCAGAAGATACCTCGAAGACTGTTCAGATCTCATACCCGCGAACCATCGTCACGAATCCATCCGATATCATCCCCCGCACGGCCGAAGATGCACTGAGGGAGAACCTGCGAGAGATCATGCCTGAGCTGGCGGATAGACCATTTGACAGGACCAAGCTGTGTTGGTACGTTACGTATATTTTCTTGTCATGTTCTGAGTACATACTGACAATAATATGGTAGGCTTTGTACAACGCCCACAGCAGATTTCCTGATTGCTCCTCACCCACGCATCCGGGGTATACACCTCGCCACTGGCGGTTCAGCTCATGCCTGGAAATTCCTGCCCATTATCGGCGATCTCGTGGTGGACTCGATGGACACCGTGTTGGCGCCAGAGCTGGTCACGAAATGGGCATATGAAAGGGGCAGAGAAGGCAGCGATCATAATGCTCCACGGATGGATGGGGAACCGGAAGAGCTGCGAGATGTCGTTCGTTCTGCTCAAGGACTAGCAGGTATTCCTGCCGGCGTGGACGACGAGATATAAGGCAGCACTCTGCTGCAGCTGGAACTGTCATTCAGCTGACGTTCAGCAATTCCTCCACCTTATATTAAGTCTCCGAGAGACGTCCCCGAACACCTATATAAAAGCATCTTATAGAGCAATCAAGAGTCCAACATTGCATCTACTTCGAAATAGATCGGACACCTCAATTCATATCCTGGTAGGAATAGAACAATGTCCACCCCAAAACCCTTCACCATCTCAATCTCCGACTCCCTCCTCTAATTCATCAACCAACGTGTATCTACAGCGCATCCCGCCTGCTTTCCTTGCTTTCGAATTTTCCCCCCTCAGAAGAATGGAGGAACTCCAACAATACTGGATCCACCAGTGCGATTGGCGAGCAGTGGAGCGGTGTCTCAATAGCAAGTTGAGGATGTACATGCTACCCATTCATTACCCATGCTGGAGAAGAGCTTGAGATGCATCTCGTGTGGCACAGGAGCGATGGTGAGGACTCTATCCCGTTGTTGATACAGCATGGTTGGCCGGGGAATTTCCTGGAGGTATTATTTAACCATCCATCCATCATGAGGTTAACAATACTGTTTAATCTAACCAACTCGAACAGGTTAAAAATATCATCAACAACCTCACATCCCCCGCAGACCCGACAAAACACACAGATACGTGCTACGCGCCTCGGTAGTAGGCGGCTGCTACTGTTGCGAGAAATATCGTCTTCTGGAGGGAGCATGCGAAAGGAGGACATTTTGCTTCGCTTGAGAAACCGGTAGCGTTGGTGCAGGATATCCGCACTGCGAGAAAAGTGAAACTAGCGGCAAGTTGAAAGTCGAAGAAATGGGCACTTAGGGAACCCCCTGGTTATTAGTTACGTGGAATGAACGAAGTATAAAAGTATTGGAGAATTAAGTAGCTACCCTTCGCATCATTGACTGAACATCCCAATCATCTGAATATTTATCCATGTACAAACCAGATAAAGTGGCAGCTATGCCAATAATAAAAGCAATTCCTACACGATTGAACCTACACCCTCTTCTCGGCGACGTCACCCTCCTCCTCAGCAGCCTGCTGCTGCTGACTGAAATGGCTCTGCGGCAGATTGTTCAACTTATCCTCCTCCCGATCGAGCTTGTAGTTGGTAAGCCAGAACCCGATACAGCCCACAAAGGCCAGAATAGCGGTCACCGCGTAATTCCACACCAGCAACGGATCCTCCGACAAGCTGACCATCGCCTGTCCGATGGCAGAGGAGAAGGCGTTCATGAACAATGCCACGGCCTGGATGAGGGAGCGCATGTTAATGGGCGCCTTGGTGAACGCGTATTCGAGCGAGGTGATAGAGGCGAAGATCTCAGAAATGCCACCAAGCACATAGGTCACGGCCTGCACCCAGACGGAGATGTCGCTGTATTTTCCATACTCTTCCACGCACAAGTTGGCTTCCTTGCCGCACGGTCCTTTCTTGTAGATATAGTGCTGCGTTACGGTAGCGGAGATCATAGAGCAGCCGGCAACGAAGAAGCCGGCGGTGATCCGTTTGATGGGCGTGAAGTGGATTCCCATCCTGCGGAGCCAAGGGTATATGAGCCGATCCATGATAGGGATGGAGATGATGAGGGCAAATGGGTTTAGGTTGTTGATGATGTCGTTGGGGACGCCGCCGAGGTGCATGGTGGCTGCTTGTGAGGTCAGGTTGTTCAACATCTGGTTGTAGGCGAGCCCTATTTCAGCTGTATTAGTACGCGTGTGAGTAGACCATTCTTGGGGGAATAACATACAGAATAGAGGATACCACAGGAAAACCTTGCAGGCAGACAGGCCGCGATGGACTTCATCGACCCATTGGTCGTCGAAAGTCATCCATTTGGGTTTATTATCACCCAACTTGCTGGGCTTGATGCGCTCCCAAGCTTCAGTCGATTCACTCTGCTTGAACCTATCTGTTGTTAGCCAGGAATGCAAGTATGCCAGGGAAAAGAGAAAAAAAATCATACAGTTTAGCGGGTCTGGACCAGCGGCCACTCAGGGCCATCTTCCAGATCCGGAGCGCATGCAAATATACAGATCCCGTTGGTTTGGCCACCTTGTACCTCTTGCGGCAGAAGAATAGGACCAAGGGACAGAAGCAGTACATGATAGTCGGCAGTAGGAAAGCCAGCCAGAACCCAATATATCGCTCTGCATAAACCATGCTGATTTGACCGGTGAGAGACCCGATGTTGATCATTAGATAGAAGTAGAGGTAGATCCGTGACACGGTCTCGGCCGGATCAACGATGACTCGTTTGCCATTTTCCAGAGTTTTTATGTACGGTCGGTCTTCTTGATATTGCTCTGCAATCAGGACTGAGATGTTTGACCTGTTGTCGTTAGATACGGACATATCGATCAATCAGATGGGACGGGCACGACTTACTTGAAACCACCAGTCCCAATGCCCATGATGACCAAGCCAATTGAAAAGCATGCAATTGAGCCTCCAGGGTGTGCGATTACACTTGGAATGGCAGATATGATCAGGATAACGTGCCCAAGGAGTGCAAATGCGTTGGACCACATGATGGTCTTCAGTCGACCCAGATGCTCATCTGCTATGTACGCTCCGATGAGCGGCGTGACATAACACCAGAATTGGTTGACTAGGTAAGTTAGAAAATGTTTAATAAACTGCTGAACTGTCCGTTTCACTCACATAACGTCAATCCAGTTGATGCGCGTTGTCCCATCCCCAAGGCTCCAGGAACGAATTCGTCTTTACCGGCACCTGCGCTTGAATTTGCGGGTAGAGGTCTTTGGATGAAGTTCACAACTACAAGGGAACGTCAGCAGCAGGACTTTTACGAGTTCAAAGACGAAAGCAGAGAGGGACGCATACAAACGGCAGTGGTCCCATAGTATGAGAAACGCTCACACAGCTCCACAAAGGCGACTGTGAAGGCCACCCATGGCACCTTCCCAGTCACTCGAGGCAGCGTATGCATTTCCTCTTCAGTGGGGTATATTTTGCCCACGAACGCGCCTTCATAGTCCACAGAAGGGCTTTTCTCTGATGAGATGGCCTTGATGTCGGACTCCGATTTGCTCGCGCCTGGGACCTCGTCGATTCCAACATCATACGATGCTGCCTTGGATTTGGCAGCGTCCATGGCTTCTGTCGTGACCGATGGCTGGCTCCCTGAAACGAAGCAGCAGAATCAAGTGAATTGGGTATGATGGAGAAGAGCAGTGGGGTAAGTTCATGCAAAGAAGAGAACTCGACTCAGATCCTGGTGCGGCTGACAGTCCAGCTTTAATACTCTGGCGCCAGACGGGAAAGAACAACGTCGGAATTCACGTGGAACAGCGGTATTCCTTGGCTGTAAGCCATCCAGAAAGCAGCTAATTGTCATGGCGACATCTGGGCTCTCAATGAGCGTTCCTGGAACACAGAATAAAGATCCTCTATAAGCCCCTCCGACGGAGAATGCCATTCACTCCAATCTCAATGCTGCCACAGTAGCTCGCGGGATGCTTGGCTCATGCCTCCGCCGTTCTTGGCCGGCAAGTTCCATTGTAACCCCAGAGCCTTGGCACATTAGCATCGGTGGTCTGAATCTTCGCATTGACTGAAATCAACTGGCGGAGATTGAATCCCAGATAACGCATACTAGAACCGGCTAATAAGAGAAAATGTATCTATCTGACTATGCAGAGTGGGCATTCACAGCGCATATTCCAAGCATTGTTAATGCTACCCTGGAGGAGTTATCATCCCCGCCAAGGCACAGATGTCTTGAACAGGGAGGAGAATCGGGAGTCCCGCTCTTCACCTTCGAGAGCGGACCGCAACTGGCCGTCGTCCAGATAAAGGATATTGAAGGTTGGATACAGCGGTTGATACGATCGGGAGGAAGAAAGTCATGTAACCATCTTCTGGTTCAGGACCGTTGGTAGCCGATCTATCCTTGCGATCGCGTCTTTCTGGAATATGAGCATGATCAATCCGTCCACGCGGTCAGTAGATGTACTTCTACAGCGCTGTACAACATTCTACCGAATGATAGACTGTCCGCACGTGGATCATGATATATGAGCGAATACAAACATCGGTTCAGAGCATGAATATACCGCCGTGTAGCACAGTTGGCAGACACCAATACAATAAAAGAGGGAAGAAACGACTGAAGCCAGTATCAAGAGAGATCAAACATGAGATAAAAAAAGGGGTTCCATCATCCAAAACAGCCCATTCACGGGTATTCTCCGGCATTAAACTCGACGCTGTCCCTCACTAATAAACCATAATATATGACTTAGCGTCTGCCAAGCAGGTGCGCAGCGACAGCGGATCCAATGGCCAGCAATCTCGAACAATCCGCTGCTTCTAGAACAGAAATGGAGACTCGCGAATGCAACGTTGATAATAGGCTTTTGCTAGATATGACTGTGGAAGCCACAGATTGATGTTATTATTTCTATTGATCCTGGGGAAAGAAAAGAGTTAGTTGAGGGGGCTGATATATTAGATGTCACGTGCATTCTGCCATAGTAGACCGCCCTCGCTTGGCATGACACACTAAAATAGCTAGACCAACCTAGATACATACAATACAAAGTTGGATCCAACATGATATCCTGGGGTGACTAATCATAATACAAACCACGTGAGCATATGTCTATTAATACGTGACGCTAGTCCATAAATAGAATGCAATATAGGTCTTAGGGTTAATCGGATATGACGAGTTCTGCAGCTTTCTACCTGCTGGAATTTCATCATCGCTCTAACAGCTGCGGAAAAGACCTCATCCAGCCTTCCAAGGAACCGACGGACAGATTCAGATTGACCAGTCATGAATATGCAATGCTACAACGGGTGATTATCGGGCCGTCCTCGCAAAACATGGTCCCCAGACCGAAGATATATAACCGTCGGGATCAGCGCTTAGTTTGATGCGATAACTCGGAAGAATTAATCTGCGTTTCCTCATCTGGATTCCTGGATAACCCAAGTGAAAAAGATAAACAATCATGCCGGATCCTCTGTCCCTATTACGTGCTGTCTCAGCGGCTACGGGAATCGTGGATGTGTCAAGCAGGGTCCTTTCCGGTGCCATAAAGTCCTATAAATCAGGTCCAGGAGCTTCTGAGGAGCAGATTGAAATAGAATCTATTACGTCTCAAATGAAGGAAACCGCGAGCAAACTTGACAATACTCTTAACAGCGACACTTAACCGGGCTAAGCACGAGCCATCAGAAAGAGCCACGACCGTTATGCAACGAATCGAAAAGAACGGCAGAAGAGCTGCTCGATATTTTGAAACAGCTGCAAGTTCAGATGAACACCGTTTTGTCAAAAGCATCGTGGTTTCGATCAGATTTCTCGCAAAGGACAGTCGGGTTCAGAAACTCCGCAGGAAACTTGGAGATATCCAGAGGTGATCTTCGAGGATGCTCATTGTTATACTCAAGTACGCTGGAATTGTCCTATTTTATCAATGCCATACTGCTGATTGTTCATATAGTGACAAGCAGTTTCGATTGTCAGCAGAGATAGCCAAACTATTGCGACGACTAACAGAAATGGACATTGCTTTATAGTCCTCTATGCGTCTACTACGAAATGATGTATTGACCTCAGCATGAAAGACCCAGGATTCTATCGCATTTGGTCTTGAGAAGACCCACCACCGGGTCTCCGAAATGAAGACCAGAAAACTTCAAGTGAAGATTACCAAGAGCCTTCGGTACACTGGTATGCAACAACAATATATTATGCTCCATGACGCGATGTCATACACATTCAAGCGGATCTTTACGCAAAAGAAACCAAAGATCGACCACAAGTCAGATTTTTTTCCCTAGTCAGAGTCAGAAGAAGGCATTTATTGGATATCAGGGCATCCTGGGTCTGGGAAATCGACTCTGATAAAGTTAATGTATGACCATCCCCAAACCCGGAGAGGACTTGAAAATTGGGCTGGGTATAAATGCTTAGTTATGGCCAGTTACTTCCTCTGGATTCAAGGGAATGCCATACAGAAGTCACAGGAAGGTCTCCTTTCTGCTCTGCTCGAGAATATCCTTACTGAATGTTCCAAGTTTGTTCTCATTGTAGCACCGGTCTGGAGTGAGTCAACTCTATGGTCCTTCAAGGAATTAGACGTTGCGTTCCTGCTGAGAATCGATAATTCTAAATTCCCTGTCAAATTTTGCTTTTCATTGATGCACAAGACGAATATGAAGGCGATCACAACGGCTTGGTTCGCATTATGAAGTTTCTCTCTGATAGCCCACATATCAAGATTTGTGTTTCCAGTTGTGCGTGGAACGCGTTTATCTATCACTTTGGTGGTCTGCACCAAGGCCAAAAATCAGACTCCAGGGCATACCCAAGAGCATATCTTAAGGTATATTCGATCAACATTGGAGAGTGACCGGCGATTCAAGGACATTTAAATGTTCACCAAGCAAAACCAAAATGGTACCACGTATTCCCTGTTCGTCCCTTTTCAATGAGGTTTCAAGTAGCTGATTATTTTAAAATGGGGCAGACAAGACATATTCCAAGGAGAACCTTACTCCTGACATCTGTAATGTCGCTGAGGACGTCTTCCTATGGGTATACTTGGTTTGTATTGGGTTAATCAAAGGCCTTGCCAACAAGGATACGTTGGACCTACTAAGGCCAGGCTGTTCGAGATAACTTTATGCGGATGCTCAAAAGGACCAACCGAGTTTACTACCATAAGGAGCTCCCAAATTGATAACCATAACCATTATATACAGACCTCGGAACACTGGACCCTGAAAAAGCGCAGAGTTGCCTTGTTGCATCGGACAGTCCGCGACTTCCTTCCGAGAAAGGACCTGAGGGCATTTTTTCTAGAACAACTACAGGGACACTCTGATCCTATTGCGTATCTTTCCAATGCCATTGTGGCGTTTTTAAAAACTGTGCCATGGACAGATATTCAGAATCGAGCCCCGCTAGGTGGTTTGCTGGATGCCTTTATTTGGTACGCTTGCCAGGCGGAGTTGCAGGGTCAGCATCTAAATAACGCTCTCCTTGATGAGACGGAGAAGGCTTTTTATAATATCGCGAACAAAGACAACCTCTCCGACTATATTTCCGCCAGATACACACTCCAGCAGCCTACTATCACTCATTTTCTCTCATAATTTCATCTTAGTAGGTTGCCGGGTACTTTTAGGGCATGGAGTTTTGCTATTAAGGAGCCTCTAATACCATGATCGAGTTTTAACTTTTTCAATATCGACTCATTGCAGGATCTTTTCTGCTTGGTAGGGGCAGAAGGCAATCGATTAGAGCCTTTGAGAAACAGATCGAGGCAGGCCTTCACGCCGAAACGTATAAAAAGGGCTTGATTAACCTTCTCAATACCCTCCCGCGCCTCCGTACATTCGTCGTATTCAACCCTTCCTGAAAGTACTTTTTTTTTTTTTCTTTTTGACTTTCTCCTACAGTGTTGACACACGTTTAGGCCCAGATATCCAGTGGAAAATGCGGGTCCTTCTACATCTGCGTGATGTTCCTCCCATTCTCCCATTGCCTTTATGGGTCAGTGTCAGAGAGGCGTTGATCATGTACACAGGACTGGGCACATTCGCATTGACCTTTGGCAGCCGGATACGCCTGTATTAATCCCTCTGATCCCTCTCTCCAACGTCTCTTCCTTGCCCTGGCTAAATGGAAACGTGGGGTTCCTTCTCCCGACAAATTAGCTACAAACACCACACACACAAGGCACTGGGTGATAGCTGGTTGCCTCGGTGCCTTTAGAAGCAGCATTGAACACTAGAACATTAAGGGGTCTTCTATATTGCCCACTACCACGGTTGAACTCTCTGTCTGCTTCGGTATTCATCCGTTGTGTCGATCCGACCCATGGGGGGCGAACTCACAGTGGAATTGTTAAGTAGAACCCACTCTGATAGTTACCATAAGAAGCAATATATATAGCTTAATTTACTTCAATATGTAGATAATTGTACTAATGTACTTGTGCAAAGCGGCCTTGTGTATTAGGGAGACGAGACAACATGTTCGTTCACGAGATATTCCCCTCTTCAGGGACCTCCAGTTAGAATACCCACATGGATAGAAACACTGGCGATGGTATCTCCGTTAATCTGAGCCTTTGAGATGGGCCCAGAAGCTCACTAATACCAATCGATAACCCTGCAGCGCCGATCGTCGAGCCGGTAATCATGGCCGCCGTCGGAGCACCGCACTGTTGTATACAATCTAATCAGCTTTCCCAGCGGAATGGGCGGCGTAGAATAATCTACTCGTCTATTTCTAATCCACGCTGTTATTTAATGAACAAGGAGAGAAGTATTCTATCCTCGCCTTATCTCTCCCTATCTAATATCCATGATGCGCTGCATGGGGAGCGATCCGCCGTTGTGTCGGGAAGCTTAACTGGAGGGCTGTTCTTCATAAGACGTGCTAGGATACCAGGTTCCTGAAGAGTCCGTCTTTATGGTAGTGTCTGTTGCTGCTGTTTTCTTTCTTCGTGAATCCAGCTCAACTCATATTGACAATGGGGAACGAATTCACCCAACATCCCCCATTCCTGGAATTAACCCCGACGAATCGAGGACCGGCTCTGTCTGTCTTCACCTTCATCTGTCTCTCTACCTCGTTCATTCTGGTTTCTGCGCAGCTGATGCTGTCGGTGTATATTTCCCGGCACCAGATCTCTTTGAATATCCCGCTATGGATTGCCAAGGTGGCGCCGGAATCACTCATGGAAGCAATGATTCATAACGAATGGTACGCAGTTCATAATCATTCTCCAAAGCATCCTCGTGCAGTACTCGGTCCACTATGGCCTAGGACAGCATAGAGACACCATCTCCTCCCACAGTTATCGTCAGTACAGCAAATTCTCGTACGCCGCGGACCTGTTTGTCATTCCGGTTTTGGCGCTCTCCAAACTCTCCACGACGCTGCTCACCCTGCGGATCGCGCCGCCGCATGGACGTATGCAGCTTGCCTGCAAGATGCTCATGATGGTCGTGGCTGGCTGGACTGTGTTTTCGATCTTTGCCATTTCGCTCGAATGCAAGACGCCCGACCCATGGCTTTTCACGCCGGACAGATGCGGTGCTCAGGTGCGTAACGACGGTCCTGCGAGGTTGCCGTTGGATTTCTTGATGGGACTGACATGAGTCCGCAGAAACCTCTTCGAAGCATCGTTGGCGCCTTCGACATCTTGACCGACCTGTTCCTGATCGGTATCCCGTGTATCATTCTCTCCACGGTCCAGATACCGTTGGAGAAGCGAGTGACGACCATTGCCGCATTCGCGGCCCGGATTATGTATGTTGTCCTGGTAGAATGTGCCTAGGTGGTTGTATAGGTCTGATCGACCGGTCTCATCCAGATTGCCCATGTTGCATATCATGGAACTCAGCTATCGCACTGACTATTGGCATTCCAATGATCCTACCTGTATGAAGTACCCCCCGTTTTCCTCCTGTTGGAGACGGAGCTAACCGTGCCAGGGACGACTGTTGACCCTTCCATATGCCGGCAGTGAGCTACCCATAGACATTCCTGTTCAATATCCAGGCCTAACCTTATACAGATTTCTAATGAACTACAGCGTCGTCGTCGCCTGCATGCCCACGCTGTATCATATCTTCTCCAGCTTCAACTCCGGGCTCTCCACTCTCTACATTGGCGACGGCATAGCACCAAATGGACGACGACTGAGCAGGCGGAGCCCTTACGGCGACGGTTACTCTACCTCTTGGGCCCAGGACAAGGTTATGCGCACGGCCAGTGTTGTGGGTCGTGAGGCGCACCTGCACCCGTTTCAGCAAATGCCGAATAACAATGAGAGCTCGAGTTCGAGTAAGAACTACGGGAACCGCATCGATGTGAGAGCCGACGATGTTGACAGCTTACGATGTGCACGGCACTCGACCGGCGATGACCATGTGCTGCAGCGCATTGATGTTTACGTGGAAGTGGAGGATCGACAGGAGCTGATCTGATCATGATTTCTGTGTTTTGGATTACGAATCATGTATACTTGCTTCTTTTTTTATGGTTCAGTGAACAATATCTATTGAACGTTATCATAATCGGGATAAATTAAAGTAGTCCGTCCATTGCAAAGATAACGGCTCATGCTGCTGTTTCTTGTCCTGATGATCGCCGTCTTGGTAGCTCCTAAATGATCCTTTTCTGCCGCAAGCAATGCCATGGCCTCATGAACCTTGGCCAGATTAATCCAGAATTGATTGAACACATAAACACGCACTTCACGATCACGGCATTCACAGCGTCGTATGCAAACCTCCGTGCGCAGCGCAATTCCAACGTGGATGTGGATACTACCTAGGCGCTGTTTAGTGCATTCGTGCATTAGGAGATGCCAAGAGTTGGCTATGATGCCCAACGCCGAAGATGGAATATTGGAATCTAACTAGGGATGATGCAAGATAACGAATGAAACGCTAATTCGGATTGATTCTCTGGACGCGGATTGTGTTGTTGTATACCGAGTACTCGTAGCCCCCTGTTATCAGTGCCCTAAGGCTTACGCCGCTGTCTGTGTCTGTGTTCGATCGGCGTACTCCGTAGACCATAGCTGTCACAATCTTGGCTCATGGGTCTTGGTCTGGCTGGACAGTTCAAAATAGCCTGTTCTATCGCCGTTCTTCACCTGTTTACCCAGGCTCTCATGATCGACTGGTCAGCTCATCGCCCTTGCTGATCGGCAGGAGCACTACGGTGACTCGGAAGCTTGCCGACGATCCCTGGAATCCGACTCTGCAGGGCGTTCAGAAGCTGGAATCTAGAGTTTAGGGGTAATTACCTAGGCAGGTACCATCTGCCGTTCATTTGTCCAAATAAGTGCGTGGACTGCCTCGCTGGATAGATTAATACTGATCGTCTCCGTCCCCAATGTCGTCCAACTCCATTCGGCCTTGCGTGAATCCCTATACCCCTGGCCATGGATCTCTTATAGAGCTGGGCAGTCTCACTTGGTGTCTTCTCCGCTGAATGCAGTCCCAGACGTAATTTCATCCTCAGTATCCGTCGGAGATGATGGGAGACGATATCGAGTTGACCGGTGTGGCCAGGTCTGCCCATGCCCGCGTCAAGACCAAAACCTTCGACACGGAACAGGCCGGGTCATCGGGGAAAGACCATGGCTATTACTATCGTAGGCCGCGCTTGGAGGTGAGGGCCGCAAGGAATTCGTCTTGTCCATTCTATGGATCTATCTAACCCTCGCTAGCGCTACCTCAGCACCCTGTCCACCGTCGCCTTTTCCGTCACCACGTTGGTGTCCTGGGAAGGGCTTGCTGCGAGTCTAGCAGGGACACTCGTCAATGGCGGCCCGGTGTCTGTGGTGTACGGCATGATGCTTGCGTCGGTGGGTGCGCTCGCTGTCGCGGCATCCTTGGGAGAGCTGGCTTCTATGTGGGCGTCCTTTCGCACGGCTTCCGTTTTGATAGGATTGACCTTTACTGACTAGCTTCGACTGCAGCAATCCAACGGCCGGCGCGCAGTACCACTGGACCTTTGAACTGGCCCCGGTAGCGCCTCGTTTTCTCAGTTTCATACAGGGTATGCATGCCATTGTTGAAAACCATACGGACCATCTCTGCTGACTTCGGATTTAGGGTGGATCACGGTGAGAGTCCTTCGACTCTTTCCCCCTTCATCCGGCTGATCCTAACGTGCATGTGAATAGGTCTTCGCGTGGATTGCGACAACCGTTTCTATCCCTTTCCTGATCGGGAGTATCATCGAGATGCTGGTAGCCATGCACCATCCCACGTACGTGCCCCAGCAGTGGCACGGTATGCTGTTTATGTGGGCCATCCTGGTCATTCCCATCTCGGTCAATGTCTTTGCTCGCAAGCTGCTGCCGACCTTTGAGGTCTTCGGTGGCACATTGCATATCCTCGTCTTCCCGGCGATGATTATCACTCTGGTTCTCCTGGCGCCTCGGAACACTTCGGAGCTTGCGTGGACCTACTTTTTTAGCGGTCTAACCGGCTGGGAGAATCGAGGTGTGATCTGGTCTGTTGGGATGCTCAGCCAGATTTCCACCATGAATGGTATGCACCCGTCAGCCGGAACAGAAGGGCAAGCAAGCTAACGACGGCAGGCATCGACAGCGTCCTCCACATGAGTGAAGAGGTCGAAGACGCCAAGCGCGTCGTCCCCAGAGCCATGATCGCCGGTGTCAGCATCAACGCCGTCCTAGCCATCGCCTTCGCCATCACCATCGTCTACACCATGGGCAACATCGCGCCAATTATCCTCGCACAGTCTCCGTACCCGATGCTGAACATATTCCTCAGCATCACGAAATCCAAACCGGCAACCAGCGCCATTGGCCTCGCTGATCCTCATCACCGTCGGCGTGGCCGTCTTCAACAACCTCGCCTCGGCAACGCGTCTGACCTGGGCCTTCGCCAGAGACAACGGCCTTCCGTTTTCTCGCTTCTTCCGACGAGTCTCCCCCAAGCATAGGATCCCGGTCAACAGCCTGCTGCTGGTGTCTTTGGTTATGATCCTGATCACGCTGCTCAATCTCATCAATACAGCCGCCTTCATGGCCGTGCTCTCCCTCAGCGCCGTGGCCCTCTACACCTCCTACGCCATCCCCATCATCCTTCTGGTTGTCAAGAGAGTGTATCTCCCGGCGGAGATCCGGTGGGGTCCGTTCTGTCTTGGTCGGTGGGGGTTGCCCATTAACCTTTTCGCTATTGTTTACTCCGTCTACGTTGTTATTTTTGTCACTTTCCCCACCATGTTGCCCATTACGGCTTCGAATATGAATTATGCCGCGCCCGTCTTGGTTGCGGTTCTGATATTTGCCGTCCTTGATTGGGTTTTTCGGGGTCGGTTCGTCTGGAACGGTCCGATATCTAAGACTACCGGGGTTGAAAGATGAATAAACCGTATGAGCTGTGGGTGATTGCCTAGGGTTTGGTTTTCTGGGTTGTTTTTTCGGTTTTTTTTTTTTTTTTTTTTTTTTTTGTTTTTTGTATGAGAGATTAACTTGTATTTGCATTATCGAAACGATGCGATGTTTTAGATTCACGATTAATTCGTCTAAAACTCTGAACACGAGGTTCCTATCTCGCTACCAGAAGAACACGCAATACCGTCACATCCATTCTGAGCCTGCAGGATCAAGCATCCCTGCAGGTGCAGATGTAGTTACATGTGGCGTTTATCACGGAGCTCCGAGCGCGGCGCTGTCCATCCTGGAGCTTATCTCCTATGGACGTGTCACCCTAAAGCTTGACTCGCTTGATCGTAAGGAAATTCCCAATTGACGTCTGGGCATGCTTCCATACAGCCCTGCCTCTGTTCCGGGAATAATCCTTCTATGTTCCGTTTGATGAGAAAGGAAGGGACGGCTACGGAGATGTCTGGTGAAGAATGAATAGGTAGACATCCTTGGCAGCGAGGCATTTGCGCGCTATATAGACTGTTGGCTGTGAGGCCCGTATAACCATTATTATCGAGCACTGTCTGGAAGGTACGACGTCTCATTCTGCCCAGCGGGGGTTCAATAAGCTGATATTACTGTACCAGGTGGTAGCTTAAACCAGCTTGTCATCTCCCTCATCAGCCGTGGTGAACCCGCTGTCACTCTCATCACCGAAAATCCTCTGCACCGACTTCTCGATCAAAAAACCAACCAGGGCCCGATTCTCCCTGTCGCTGTTCACAGTTGCCATCCTGAGCTCCTCCTCTTTCCTGTCGAGTTCCTCCCGTTGGAGCTGTATGGCTTTGAGCGCCGAAATGAGATGTTCCTCAAGGGCATTCTGGCTCAACTCCATCGCCTTGATTTTCCCTTGAATGTCGAGGTGGAGATCCTCTAATTGCGATATCCGTGCCCCATCCTGTAGAACCTCTGCGAGTCTCATGGCGGAGAGAGCCAGTTCACCGATTCCCCGTGCCGTGGTTCGCAGCCGATGAACGGCTGTATGGCGAATCTTCCGGATTGTATAGAGAAGCGTATCTAATTCCGAGCCGTGCAATTGCAAACACTCCTCCGGTAGTTTTGCGGACCATTTTGGTAGCAGTCTTGTCCATTTAGTGAGCTCCACAGCGGTGGCGCAGTCCCATCCATTGCGTTCGATTTCTGCGGGCATCCATTTGTTCGTGAAATCGAAGAAGCATTCTTCTAGCACCCGTTGGATGGTACAGAGGATGGAGTGTTGCGTATGGTAGGGGAAGTATAAGGGGTATAGCGAGGGGACTGGTAGATCGGGCTCTTTTGCTGGCTTATCCCCTATATGAAGTGAGCAACGAGCAGCCGACTGGAAGCTGTATGCATACCGGGAGCAGTTCCTTGATCCGCCGGGATCTCTGGCTCGGCATGAGCCTCTTCCTGCAACGGTATGTCTTCTTCCCTATTCTCGTCGTCTCCTTCGTACACCGACGCAATTTCACTCAGCGCCTCCGCCGTGGAACGGGCTGCTTCGATCTCAAAGGTATCACGCCATATTTCTCTTGAAGACGACGACACGAATAGATCAGGAAACTCCTTCTTCGCTTTGACGTCCGATTCAAACACCCTCTTCTCCAAAAGGTACTTGGCGATAACTGCAACTCGATTGGCAGCAAAGCCCGGGATCAGGGTATGAAGCGAGGACTGATGAAGATTGATCTGTTTCTGGACATTCTTTAACTTTCGCAGCGATGCATTGCTTCCTGTGAAGATTGGTTTACAGGCTAGGTAGACCTGGCGTCTCTCTGCGTCGGTGCCGGCCATGTGGAATTATGATGCGGTTCGGGTCTCTTCAAGGACTTCACTTGGTGCATTTAGAAGACATGGATATCAATGCAGAAGTCCCATGCTTTATAAAGACGAGGCGTGCTGTATGCCCGCCTAATAGCGAGAAATACGCCTTGTGTCGTTCTGCATGGCGCGTAGGAGCCAGTGGCTGTATTTGTCTAAAGCAGCTGCGCCTATGTTGTACTTTTGCTCAGTGGAAGGACTGACTACATTCCTAGAAGATGCCGCGCGTACTGCATGCATGTGTGCCTGATGCCAACTGTCAGTCGGCCATATCCTGCCCAACACGGGGATCACATAGATGCTCTAGTAGAGTATTAGAGGGCAGTAGATCTACTGAACACTGCGCTTCAGGCACCAGTTGACCATGCACCACTTGCGTTCAACGTACAAGGCAAATCGTTCAATGATACCTATAAAATTTGCTGCGCCTAAGGAATCATTCGGCCTACATCATGGCCGCATGAATCAGTGTTTTGTTTTATACTGATTGGATCTGCAATCTCGAAGCGCAAGCGCCGGAGTCAGTTGCCCCATTTACAGTACCACAAAGGCTGAATCCCAGTCGTGAATCCTGCCTGATACATATTCCTCGGATTGACAAGGATAATGCAAGTATGCAGGCAGCCTGGCTCCTTCGACTGGAAGCTGTAGCGAAATCTCGCTTCTTTCATCCTCCTTCCTCACACTAGTAAGCACTGCACTCGAGTCGGCTCCTCGCTGGCAGGACGTCGGTAGATGGCAAGCCTACCACATTCACGTTTTCGGCATTTGATGTATTCTCTCTTCGCCGCCTATGGCAACTAGTCTCCGCGGGGCATCCCTTCAGGATGTGACAAACGTGCAAGACGTCGACGCACCGGATAGTCTCCAAGTGACTTGGCTTGACTCCAGTTCCAGTATCTGAGTTCCAGCAGGGCCAGCGGTACCACATCTTGCCAGCATATATGTAAGATGGCACTATACATTCCCAGATATTCCAAGGCTCAGCTAACTCCGCTGTCTTTGAAGATTTTGTTGAGCAGCCGCTCCATCATCGCAGTAGATAGCCGGCACCTAAGTCAGTGCAGGTTATGGATAATACATCCTTTCATCATACTGACTGAATCGAACAGATGTGCAAAGAAGCAGGGGTGAAATTGCTATATTTGCCACCATACTCACCTGACCTAAATCAATCAAGGAGTTTTTCTCTGAGCTGAAGGGCTTTATCAAGCGGAGCTGGAGGTCATACGTGGAGAACCGGGGCCAAACCGTCCATTCATTCCTGGAACGATGTGTTTGGAGTGTTGGTCAGCGGGAGGAAAGTGCAAAAAGGACATTTCCACAATGCAGGCGTGACCATTGCGGAGATATAAATTGTCGGTTTCTGGAATAACTGGGGATTGCGGCTAATGCCGGGTGTCCTCAAAATCATCTGATACACAAGTCTTGTCCATTTCTCATAGTCGCAGGGATCTCAGGCGTTGATCCAATAGCCCTTATAGCCTTTTGAACAGGCTCCTCCGGCCATGTTCGAACCGAGCGAGGACTTAGGGTAGACTTCCTATCGGCTGTCTTGCCCTTTACTGGGAGCGGATATCAGGTACACGGCGACCTTAAAGCTCCCAGGAGGACCTCACATAACCTGTGTTCCCACGTCGCATCTAGAGTCCAAGAGAGCCGTTGTAATATTGATTCTTTGATGTGCACTCCGTAGCTTCGTTTAATGCATTTTTCGGACAGCTAGACAGTTGGTGGTTTCTGACTATCCTCATATTCAAACGAGATAGAAAACTAACTATATAATTTACATGTTGTTGACGTAAGGCGTACACGTCGCAGGTCTCACTCACGCAAAATCTTGTGATGGAAGAAACCAAGAATACCCTCCCGGAAGACCTCATAGGACCCCGCATGCACCGATAAAATACCAAACATTAAGGGTGTAACGTCGATACCTATCTTCCGAAAGTCAGAAACAAAGCTCATCATGGCCTCAATGTAGTCACCCGTCCTCGCGTGCTCGAGGCTGCGGTCAACGACCCATTTCTCCTGTTCGCTCAGAAGGGTGTAGATTTGGTTCTGTTCGTTCTTGGCTGGGGTTCAAAAGGTTAGCAGGGATTGCCTTGTAGGGTTACTTTGTTGTACTTACTCAGAGGCATATTGGTAGATCGGAAGAACTGGATCTGTAGGGGTGAGAGCATTTTAATTCGATGATGTTGCAGAGATAGATAAGTAGGAGATGGTGTGTAGAAGAGACAGCAATGCTAGAAAAGACACGGGGATTTATATCCATGGTGGACTCGATATAGTGGATGAGAACCCATGCTGGGACAAAGAGGAGAAAGGATGGAAGAACAATTTGTTAGAATAAACAATCCTGTACTGTGCCGGCCCTGTAAAGAACATTGAGATTCAAAGACTATAATCAGCTGTATTTCCTTGGAAGTTATCGTTGGTTATGAGTTCATTGTGTGCTAACCACCTTAGCAATCAGGATACCATGATGTATCGACAGCGGAGTCCTGGAACCCACAGCCAGGGACTTAATATAGAGTCCGATAAAGAAACCGTTGAGCCTCGCGCTGCCCGAAACGGCAATGGATCGTAGCCGTGCTTTCTAGTACCTATATATAGCCTTCTACAACAAAGTCTTTGACATTCGCTCAATTTGGATCTGAACATGCCCTGGTGCAGTCCATTCCGCATGGCTCCAATGAAGCTGAGTACATGGCTCTAAGTGAAGCCAGCCGCAATGCCCTCTGGCTCCAGAACCTTATTAACGAGCTCAATGTGCTCCAGACTGAGTGCCCACCGGTTACTCTTCATCTTGACAATCAAGGAGCTCATGCCATGGCCGAGGCCGAGCTCACCACCAAGCAATCCAAGCACGTCGACATATGTTATCACTACGCTCGCGAGAAGATACAAGACAGGGTCATCAAGTCCAAGCATGCCCTACAAAAGACCGGGCAGCTGACAGCCTTACAAAACCACTTTGTACCGAGCAATTCAATCGTTTTCTGAAGCTTACTGGCGTGTCATGATTTGAGCCAGTCCGCCTGCTTTTGGTTATTTTCTATTCTGATTCACGGCTTCTGATTGGCTGAAGCGGAACCTCCCATTTCTCTGCCAATTTTGGCTTTATTCTCTTCATCTGAAGGCCCGAAGAGAGGCCGATTTTTTGATTTGGATTCTTTAGATTACACAGTAGTTCTTGATGTGGATCAGGGGTGCGACGTCCGGATATCAAATGCTAAAAGGAAACCATAGAATTCGTGGTGAGCGCTCTATACCGATATACTACCATACCTAGTACATCGTGAAGCTCTTAATTGACATGCCTAACGCTTAAAGCATCTCACGATATGCGCAGGTGTAGGCACCTTTCCTCCCGTGCTGGATTATTAGATAATCTTCCAGTCCGAAATCGGTTGTTAAAGAGGATATAAGTGGCGCCGACGTTCAAAGCGGGTCCGCCGCATTCGGCGGGAAACAATATAATGCGGTTGTGGCGGACCCACCTTTTTTATGACAGGAAAAAATACTTTGCGGCTTTGTAATCGTTTCGTTCGACAATCGGAAAAATGCGGCCCGAACTTTTGTGGCGGATCCATTTCGACCAGCTCATGGGGGTGTTAGGTCACGTGCGGTTCTGCCGCTTAGGTCCGCGCTCGTTCCCCTTACCATCACGTCTTTTTGATTTTGATTTGATTTGATTACTATTTAACGTCACTCGGCGGATCACGTGGCACACGTGACCCGCGGCCTCCCAAGGGGCATCCGGACGTGCTACCTAAGCAAAGACTCACTAAAATAAATACATGCTTGAAGCAACAAAGCTGGACACTATGTGTTGGAAAAGAGTGGAAGAAGCACCAGGCGCTACCCTGGCCTGGACTTCTAAAGGTGAGGAACCTGCTTTGGCTACCTTCAGTCGAGCAGGGGTGCCTTTCCCATTCGTCCAGGTAGAAGTGTAGACTGTTGCACTATTCAGTGCTTGAGCAGGCCCAGTTTGGGCATATATCCTTGAAAAAGGATGAATCTTGCACAATGCAGCTGAACTCTTCTGCCCCAGCAGCTGTACCTAGTAGCCAGTCAATTGTACTTGACAGGCTGCCTCTCTTGCATTTCCATCTATCCTTCCAGTGCTTCCTGGTGGGTGGGCAGAAGAAGAAATGGACAGGGGACTTCTGTCTCTTGCAGGAGCAGGTTGCTAGGTAGTCTGCATGTTGAAATCTTTCATGATATGCTGCAAAATCCCCGTGACCTGTACAGGCGGCTATGAGCCTGCCCAGGACCCAGCGGGGGAGCTTATGTTCTTGGTCACGACTGCTTTTTGTATGAGGTCTGATACCCAGGTCACGGTAGGCCTGAGGTGCGCCTCTAAAATATGCCGCGTGTGTATCTGCGCAGATCCGCTGTTTTGCCTCCTGTCTGAGGAATGAGGGAGAAGGGGGGATATCAGGACTGGCTAATGAAGCTCCCTTCTTTGCCAGCTTATCTGCGAGCTCATTCCCTGTGACCCCAGAGTGGCCTGGAACCCAACAGACCCCTATAGGTTTGCAAGGTAGAGATAAAAGTGAAGGCAAGCTGTCCCACTGAGCGGAGAGTTGGTGGAAAGTATCAGTAAGTCTTCATCTATGGGGGGCTGGCCTGCCATCTGCTAGCAGGCTGGCTGCGGCTAGATTATCAAGGAGGATGTTGATTTGGGTAGTGAACTTGGTGCAGTCTTGGCTAACTGCAGCACGGAGCCCTTCTACTGCACCCATAATTTCTGCGTCATAAACCTCTGTCCGCGCGCCAGCAGGGCCGAATCCCTGGGTAAGCAGGATAGGGCCATAGTATATTGCATAGCCGTACCCAGCGCCCTGGTCTGTACGGGAGCCATCTGAATAGACTGTTACTTCCAATGGGGAAGGAAGGTGCTTACCCCAGTCAGTGGGGAGCATGCGCAGTGATGGGAGGGGTGGTTCTATATGCATGCCTTACCATCACGTCGGCCTACCTAGCTAGTTACCAACATGTTGAGTAGTCACGTGATCTCTATTAGATAGATAGGGACCGACTCCGCTGACCCCTTTATGAATACAACCAGGTCTAACCCGTCAGTTATGAGCCCGGATATCTCAATTTGAGGGTCAACACGTATCAGAATAAGCTCAAAAGAAGTGTCAAAAGACGGTATTTGATTGGCTGAACCAAAATTTCTAATCCGATAGTTCTGGACCATCTTCCAGCGGACCAAAATACTCAGCCTACCGCAACGACGCTCCGAAGCTTCAACCAACGCGGTTGTCCTCCTACCCCCAGAGCATCTAGCTAGACAACATGGCTAATGCTAACATCGTCAACAACATCAGACTCAATAAGGATTCTGATTGGAAGGCGTGGTTCACCAAAGCCTGTACCGAGGCCTCAGCCTTACGAATATGGGATATCATCAACCCAGATCTATTGGATCCTACAGATCCTCCTATACCTACAGACACATACACAGCAAGCTTTGAAACTATAGCTGCTACAGACACCAAGAAAACAGCTCAAAGACCTCTCCCTAAGCCTCTGCTGCCCTGGAGAGCGAATTACCCAAAAACTGAAGAATACGATGATGCCAAATTTGAATATCAATATGATTACCAAGCATGGAGAGATGAGCAGCATGCAATTGACTTATTTACCTGCTGGTTTATCTCATCCATTTCTGATCAACATACACGAATTGCCGGATTTGGTAGTGGGCAGACCCCATCTATCTGACAAGCTCTCAAAAAACTCAAGGATACGGTTGCTCCAACTACAGATGACTGTATAGCTGACATACTATGGAAGTATGACCAGCTTAAGCTCAAACCAACTGGATCCATTCAAAACTGGATCAACCAATGGCAGGATCTTGCCCCTGACCTCTATGAGCTCAAACTTAATCAAGCTCACCAGCTCTATTCTGACTTTATATGAGCAAACACCCAAATTGATGAATCATACGCATCCTCTGCAGAGAATAATCTACGGCAAGAGTGCTGGTTACCCCCAGAACACCGTACTACATTTGATCAGCTCCTAGATGACTTCTCAGAGCACTACCGGCTCCATGGGAAGGAAACAGTCCGCTGAACAGCTGCATATGCCACTGTGCCTACCTCAAATAGCAAACCTGCAGATACTGGAGACCAATTTACTAGCTCCAAAAGAACACCACCAACCTGTATCTGCGGCCAACGGCATTGGTGGGGACTCTGCTAATATCTTGTCCCAGCTGTACGGACCCGTGGTTGGGTTAAGGACCCCAAAATCCGTGCTATATTTGAGGAGAAAAGGAAGGATCCCAAGCTCCGTGAACAGATGGACCGATCCATTGCTCGGCATGCCAGACGTGCCAAGAAGCAGTCAGAAGCAGCCAACCTCACAGTCCATGAGCTTGAAGATGATGAGCTGCAGGTCCCAGCAATAGCAGCTGCATCCTTTGCCACCTGTGGTCCAAATTCTAAGGCTACATTAAGCTTATTTGGACAGCATTCCACCAATTCATTAATAGCCATGAGTGCTCATGCTGATACTGAATTCAAGAATAGTTGGGTGCTTGATACTGCCACTACATGCCATGTATCTAATAACAAGTCCTGGTTTACAGAATTCACCATGATCACTGGCAGCATGAAGGTGGGAGACACACAATCTATATATGAAGGAATTGGAATGACCTATGTGCTTGCCCATCATCCAGTCACCAATCAGATTACCTGAATTGACCTCAAAAACACGCTCTACTGCCCTGGATTCCATACTAATCTATTTTCCATGCCCCAAGCTGATGCAGCTAATGCTCACTGGGACAGCCGAAATCAGATTTTATACAGCTCTACTGGTCAGCCGCTAGCAGCAACACCTCAAATCAGCCCCTTCTGGGTTCTAGAACACTGGAAGTCTGTGCCCATGGCGCTAGCTACTGCCATGATGACAAAATGACAATATCCTCACATTTCTAAGCTTCCCCGTGAGAACCCTGCAACGCTAGATATCTGGCACCTACGATTAGGCCACCCTAGCCACAAGGTTCTGGATAAGCTTACTGACTTGCATGGTGTTAAGATCATTGACCAATCAACTCAAGTTCCAAAGCTCTGCTCTGCTTGCTTACAAGGGAAATCAACCTGCCAGATATCATGGATTCCTAGAGAACGTTCCACCTACCCATTCCATCGGATCCACGTTGATAGCATCCAGGATGAATCTGTAATAAATGGATCAAGGTGGACCGCCCATGCTGTTGATGATTATCTACGGCTTCACCTATTCTATGATAGTTTTAGAAAAGACACCTTGAGCAAAGCTATACCAATATTTGTCAATCAAATCAAACGCCAGTTTGGATACGATGTTGCTATCATCTTTACAGATATGGAACACCTCAAAATTGCAACCAAAATGCAGCTAGAGCAAGCTGGCATTAAGTTTGAGAACTCATCAGAATACCTCCATGGTCAAAACGGCATTGCTGAGCGTGCTGGACGTGTTATAATAGATAAAGCCAGGACTATGTGGATCCATGCTAACCTACCCACTAAGCTTTGGGTTGAAACAGAACAAGCTGCTGTATATCTTCTAAACTGGACCCCAACTGCAGCTCTTAACTGGTTGTCTCCAATGCAATTGCTTCAGAAACACTTGATTGAGGATAACAAACCATACCAGATCCCAGAATCAGCAATTACTTTTCAGCATACCATCGCCTACAGCTGCCAAGCCTATGTCCATGTTGAACCTGAACGTGATAAGGTTGGCAAAATTCCAAAGCTTCAACCGCGAGCCTTTGTAGGCTATTTAGTTGGATATGAATCTACCAACGTCTACTGGATTTGGGTCCCGAATCGGGCTAATCAGATCATCCGAACAAGAGATGTTAAATTTGACGAGACCAGCTTCTATACTGAGCCACTTAACGAGCCAATCAGAATCACTGAATCAGAATTACCAGATATCACGATTTCTGACACTGAAGACCTGACTGCCCCAATGCCAATGACTGAACCTACTCCAGATGCTATGGTTGAACCAATCATAGATGACACCATCATCTCAAAATCCTCTGCACCATTAGCCTGGCCTACTCCTAATCCCACGCCTGAGCCAGTTCCGGAACAGGATATTGAATCCATGCCCCAGGGACAGGATACTAGGCACTCTACACCAGATATAGTGCCTGAACCAGCCCCTGCTGATATAGCAACTGCTGTCCCATTACCAGAGCCTGTACCAGATAAGGATCTCCCATCTCATCAACTAGTTGAGGACCTCAATCCACTCCTTATTGAGACTCACCCACGCCAGCGTGAAGATCCTACTACAACATCACTAGCTCACGATACTAGTGCGGTATCTGTTGAGAATATTATAACAACTAAATGGGTTCGGAAACTGTCTGCCCGTGCCCAAGCTCATCTCACCATGGTCAACCAATCTCCGGAATATCTACAAGGCATATTTGCTGGGTTTAGTGCCGCGTCATTCGCCACCCGGCCTGACACAGATAGTTTGGTTAAGCTTAATGATGATAAGCTTAGACCAACCTCTCAGCTTCACCGTGACCAATTACCACCTGCACCAAAGAACTGGGCAGCTCTACTACACCATCCACACTATGAGGACTTTCTCCGTGCAGCTAAACTTGAATGGACTACCATCCATAAGAATGGCACGTATGAGCTGATGCCTAGACCTACTGGAAAGCCAGTAATACCACTGCGATGGGTATTTACCTACAAATTTGATGATGACAGCTATCTCACCAAGTTCAAAGCCTGAATCTGTGTATGGGGTGATCTACAGCCATTCAATGGTCTAGATACTCGAGCCACTACCCTGGCTGCACGCACGTTCCGCTTCCTAATGGCGATAATGGCTCATTTTGACCTTGACTCCACTCAATTAGATGGTGTTAATGCTTTTTGCCAGAGTCCAATGGACGAAGAGGTCTACTGTGAACTGCCTGACAGATTTATGGAATTTCTTGAGCTCCAGGTGCCTGCCCATTCTGATTTAACCAATCAGAAGCCATGCCTGCGCCTAAGAAAAGCTCTCTATGGCTTACGTCGCTCACCTCTGCTTTGGCAACGCGAATTTACCAGTGCCTGCCTAGAATATGGTCTGTCTCCCATCCTGGAAGACCAATGCCTGTTTGCCCATCAGGACCTACTTCTTTTTATATATGTTGATGACATTGTCATCCTTTCATGAAAAGATCACCAAAGCCGCGAGCTACGCCGCAAATTGATTTATTACCTCTGCACCCGCTTTGAAATGCGTGTTCTTGGTGATATACGTTGGTTCCTCAACATCCGCGTTTTATGGGATCGAACCAATCGAACTGTATGGCTCTGCCAAGATGCCTATATTGATAAAATGGCCCATGACTACAATATAAACCCGTTGAGGAAGGTCCATACACCTCTCTCCGGCTCTACCATTGGACCATTTGATGGCAAAGCAACACCCATGTCTATATATGGCTACCAACGCCATATAGGATCCCTCATTTATATTGCGGTTGCAACCTGTCCTGATATTGCTGCTTCAGTCAGCATCTTAGCACGTCACCTTACCAACCCATCAGAAGCTCACCTTGCTGAAGCTGACCACATCATCACATACCTGAATACTACTAAGGGACATGCTATACAGTATGGGCCCGGCTCCATGGGATCAGAATCCAATCCACGGATCCATATCCTAGAAGCCTCTAGTGATGCCTCCTATGCTGATGCTCCTGGCCGGACCTCTACAGAAGGTTATATATTCTCCCTATTTGGTGGCCCAATCGATTGGCGCTCCAATCGGCAGTGAACTGTCACCAAGTCCACTACGGAAGCTGAACTACTATCCCTTTCCCGCGCAGCCAGTGAGGCCTGCTGGTGGGAACGATTCTTTACGCAAGTCAGATTCAACCCTGGACATCAGATAACTTTAAAGTGTGATAATCAGCAAACTGTCGCTCTTATTAGCAAATCTGCACCTATGCTTAATACTAAGCTTAAACATGTGGATATCCACCAACATTGGCTCCGCCAACGAGCTCAACGTGGTGAGATTCACATTCAGTGGATTCCTACCAGTCAAATGCCGGCTGATGGCTTGACTAAGAAGCTTACACGCCAAAAACATGAGAACTTCATGAGGCTTCTTAACCTCACGGATATTAGCCCACAGCTGACAGCTTCAAATGTCGGGGGGTGTATACCCTGACATAGTGCTTCAGCCTCGTTCACACCTTATCTGAGCTTATTTTCCTTTTATTTGGGCTCTAATTTGCTATATCTTGCCCTGCCTGCTTTCCTATTTGCTTATCTCCTATTAAGGTAACTGCTTTTGCTTCAATTCTGTATATAGCTCGTACAAAGGTACGATCTAGGGGGGTGTGTTGAGTAGTCACGTGATCTCCATTAGATAGATAGGGACCGACTCCGCTGACCCCTTTATGAATACAACCAGGTCTAACCCGTCACAACAATATACACTTCCATTAGAAGGTGAAATTAGCAGTGTTTGTTTTCACGTGAGATGGTGTAAAGGTGGCGTGGAAAGACCAAATTGAATACTCAAGTCCAAGAGGTGCCTTGAAGAACACATCCAGGAGCAAGAGATGACATGGTTCTTAAAAATACTTCCCCACAGCAGAGATACTTGGATAGATTACTGAATTCATTATGGCAGATTCAAGAACAATTTGATGAAGGTGCTGGGATAGCTGTATGCGTGCCTATCTTCGAAGCATAAGGTGGCAAGCCGGACACTGAACGCGCAATGCCTGACGTACAGGTAGTGATATCACCAGTGTCTCTATCACATCGACATTCTTCCAGTTGCTGGAAAATCCAGACAAATTACGCAAACTCGCCAGGAACTCGATGACGCAGCAGAGGTAGGCATGACAAGTCGTCTCATTACCTTTGCAGAGAGTCAGAAGCTGCCCTACCTCCAAGCCGTGATTAAAGGGGTCTCTGTGTGGGATATCTAGGTCAATGCGTTGGCCAAGGCTCCTTCCTCTATGGAGGAAGAGAAGAATGTATCCCCAGTCCAGACTGATATTGTTAACTCTTGATTGGCAATAACATGATCGGAAATTACAGATGATAGCAATAAGACTTATTCACTACACCCCAGGCATTAAATTTGCTCAATATAAATGCACCTCAACCCTCATCTCCATGGCAAACTTGTCTGCAATATGAAGAGACTCGTACAAATGCTCAGTTCGCCGTCCCCATGTCTCTAGCAGAATATCCCACGCCAAAGAGTACCGGCTATTCCCATCTGCCATGAGCTCCTGAAAGCACTCCGTGACAAACTCCTTGTCCCGGGAGTCTTCGTCTACGTACAGTCCTGCTGTGAATAGGGGAAACAAAACGGTGGTTTTGAGAGGCTGCTTGAACGGGTCCCGTTTCATCTGCCAGAGTGCCTCCACGCTGGCTAGGATCTTCATTAGGATGACTGGCGTGTCTAGGAAGTTGTTTCGAGGGGTCATGAGGGCTCGATTGTTCAAGATGGCAGAATATCGAAATGCCTCCCAGAGGAAATGGTGTGCGTAGTCTTCTCCCCTTTCTCCCGGCCATGAGAGCAGGCTGTGTTCTACATCCTTCGATCCGAGGAGACTGACAATGTTCAGTAAGGATCTGGGCAGTCCTGACGTCGGTTCGATTCCTGATGTTTGACTGGGCGTTACGAAGCGTGCCCAGAGTTTCCGTTTGGAGTGGATTCGACCGATAGTAACTGTGGGTAAATCGAAGAGACCGACGACTTCGACTAGATTGGCAATGGGTGGGGGACGGTTGTAGGGGTCCATCGAGCCCCGTTGGATTAGTATTGCCTCAAGACCGTCGAGATGCATCGTCCACTGCATATTTCCAGCAATCTGGTATACAATATGAGCGTATGCAATAAACCATGTAATCATGAAACCAATCTTACTCCGACACTGCACAGCAGGATTCCTGTGATGAGCGTTGCATCATGGACCAGCCTTTCCGGATCCCGTAGGTAAGTCTGGTAAATCTCCAGAGCCTGGTTCAGGTACACCGCGGACAAGTTCCGATAGTCCAGATCCAGATGCGCCTGGTACGCCAGCACGACGTATCTGAGCGCTGGCCAAGAGGAACACAGTGATAGGATTTGGTTCATGGACTCGTCTTCTCTCGCGGTCCTGCCGGCAAGAGTGTACTGTCCGGAACGTCTGACTATAATCTAATAAGCCTCATATCCGACGTCGGGAAATACCCCGTAGCGGTACTTGATTTATCAAGTACTTACACTTCTCAAACAGCAGTGCCTCCACATCGGGACCACTCCGCGGGGACCCCGCACACCAAGGATCAGAAGGCGACGTTGTCTCCGACGAACTGCATCCTGAAGCATCCAGATCCAATGCAATTTCAGGAGTCCGGGTCTTTGCTCGACGCGTCACCCGCCGTGGCTTCAGCCAGGTCAGACGCTGACCATACCCACCGCATGTCCGCCCTGCTTTCTGACAGCGGAAGCATTCTGGCTTCTCCTCGTCGCATTTCTTGTGTCTATCGCGGCATGTCCAGCAGCCCTTCCGCGACCGTAGAGGAACACGTGAGCCCATTCTCGGTGTAACTGTAGGATCTAGGTAGTGCTTTTGTTGAGTGTCTGATCAGATGGTAAGATCATTGACTACTCGTTCGCTCTGGCATTCTTAATTGAGCATTCAGAGTCGCCGATAAGGGCGAGACATGCGGAGAGAGACAGGCGGCTCGACCTTCTGTTCTGGATCTAGCCCTGAAGTTAATTTACAAACGTATCTTGCCCCAGTATAATATGAGTAGCCTGCATCAACTAGTCTTCATCGCAGAAACCTATCAAGAAAAGGGTAAGCCAATTCCTAACCCTGATCTGAACACGTGATCTAGACCTGGTTGTTTTGGCTAGGAGTTAGCTAGTTATCTACACTATGCTAACTAGGAATGAGCTGAAAAGTCGAAGATAGCTGTCGAATTCCACAGGGGGGTTGAGAAAGTTGATTTTTCCGATATTACTCTCCTGCGAGGGACTATCCCTGGGACAGCCGATGCGTGCCATATCCCAATAACTGCCTGAATCCGGCCATGAAAGAAGGGTATAAACAGTGCATCATTCGGCGATTCTTCCTGAACAGAAAGACTCATGTACTCTGTCACTACATCTGTCGAAGTTGCCATTCGCAGTTCGCAGCAGCCAGCAATGTGGTTCTGTTGGCTTCTCTGCCAATGACCCCTATGACATCGGAAATGCCCTTGACGGTGGATGCAACGTTTTCATACCGAGAAGTTAGATTCGACGCCGTGGAGTGGATAACTTGATCATCATGGTGGCGGGCTTTGGTGGATGCAAATCAGCACCGTGAAATTAATTGAGATCCAGAAGCATGAGCCTGAAGCAGTAAATTAGAACATTAGAACTAGATACGGAGCTATTGAGTGCTCATTATTATTATCTGATAGCTACTGGATTTTCCGCTCAAGTAGAATCTGGCTACCGGGGGAGTACTAGAGCCCCATAACAGCCATCTTAAGAAAGTAGATAGATAAGAGAAAGTTGCTCTGGAGAAAACTGGTTTTCTCCGGTTTGAGCCCTCCATCTCATACATCATCTATGAATAGGAAGCAAACACGAAGCGATGATATAAAGCCCCCCCGCAGCAATAGCCATGATATAAATCTTGTCAATAGAATTGACAATGACATCCAGCGCCTTTGCCTTCAAATCCGGCGGAAGCTCCTCCAGCAGCGTACTCCGCGCACCAGCGATAGCGCTCTGAATATCCGCCTCTGAATACCCCTTATCCGCCAGGAGGGCATTAAGGCCATTAGAAGTCTGGCTCTGGAAGATCGCGCTGGCAATTGCCAACCCGAGCAGCTGGCTTTGGCCCTGTCCAATGTTCATGAATTGAATGCATTCCGGGATGCGTTTGGGGTCGGCAATCTTAGGACCCACTGAGTATGCAGCCTGGGTTGTTGTCATTCCGATTCCAAGGAGGATGGAGTAGCCGTATATATTAGCCGGTTTGGTATCGTAATGCACGGTGTACATCAACGCTGCTCCGACGAGGATGAAGATTCCGCTGACTAGGTACCAGACCATGTAGTAACCCGTCCGGGGCATGAAGTAACCACACAGGAGGATAGTGACGACGTAAAAGCACATGAAGGGCAGAAGACGCACGGCGGACATGGTTCCAGAATCTCCTTGGACAAACTGGAAGTAAAGCGGGATGTAATACATGGCGACGAAGAGGGAGGCACCCCCAGCCGCCATCAAGATGTAAAGCAGCACCATGGCGCGGTCACGAAGAAAATCCGCGGGGAAGATCCGGCCTTCCTTGGTCGTAAGGACAGTGTAGTACTGCGTGATGAGAAACAAGACAAGGGTGACGCCGAAGACAACGTAAAGGGCGACGTTGCGACCATCTCCCCATGGCCACTCGACGCCACCGAAAACGAGGAATAGAGTGAGGGAGGTGTGCATTCCACCGGATAGGATCATGCCAATCCAGTCGAGGCTCCGGAGCTTCTGCAGAAACGTACGGTCTTGGTACATCGGGCGTGGCAATGAGGGGAGGAGAAACAGGTAGACGGGCGCCATGATACCGAAAACGATCAGGTTGATATAGAACCCCTACATGGCCGTTAGCGATATCGTATAGATGCTCCTGTAGAAAAACAGGGCCACTTACCCATCTCCAGGTGGCAGAGCTATCGGTAAATGCACCCCCGATTATAGGACCGAGGATACAACCCACCCCGTATATCAAACTCGCTATACCAATGAAGACCGGCTGTTCCTTGGGCGTCGTGAGAGTAGTAATGAGGTTCAGATCCCTGCAGGTCTACAATCAGAAACATAGCTCCTCCTACTTCGATCACGAACGTACCCGAGATACATCCCAGCCCCACCAGCACCCGCCCATACACGGCCGACAATAATAGCAGACATGTTTGGAGCTCCACCGCACAACGCACTCCCGGCGGCAAACATGGAGACACAGCTGATGAAAAGCCATTTCGTATTGAAGACCGCATACGCTTTGCCTAGTGGCAAGATGAGCACGACAGAGCCCAATGTGAACCCGACTCCGAGCCAGCCCAGCTGGGTATATTCATCGAACGTCTCTGCGATAGATCCTTGAATATCGGCCACAATGGTATTATCCAAGCCGTAGAGAAGATCCGCCGAGAAGATGGCAATACAGACAAGGAACCAGCGGAGTCCTCGTAGTGAGCGTTTAGGTTCATTCCTATTTTCGGTCCGGTCTGCCGAGACGGGCTGCTCGATGTTGACCGGAATAGGACTGCGGGTATCTTTCTCGGATACACTTCCAGCCATGTTATGTGGCTGTTACGTGCATTCTACTGTTATCTGTGGTGGTAAGTGTTGTTAATGGTGGCGGTGGTGAACCCCTGAACAAGTAGTGGTAGTAATGGAACCGGCTTGAATTGAGAATGGAAAAAAAGAAAGAACTAAGAATGAACGAGCTAACTAATGCCTATTTAATATCGTCATCCGGAGTTCTTACTGATCTAGAAATTGGCTATGCATAAACCCTCGTACGGCGGACTAAATATACATAAGTGTCATAACTCATTTTATTACAGCGGTTACCAAATGCCACAATTTCAATTTCTAGTTTCTGACTAAGCACCTTTCTGATTGACTGAGCAACGCTGCTACGGCTGTATCTGCTGATAATGAGTTGAACTATTTCAAACAGCCAGGGTACTCATAACTAGTCATTATCAGGCGCAGGCTCTGAACAAGCTGCTGTCAGGGCCCTTGCCATGTAGACCAGGACGAGCACGTGAGCTTCCTTACTTGGATTAGCGTGGCGCGTGGATAGGAGTACGTCCCAGCTTCACGTAGATCTCTTCCTTTTTTCCTTCCTCTCCATGCTTGAAGTTCTTGTCGATAGCTGCCTAGATAGCTGAATAGCATCCTATTCATTGTCTAGTTGAGTTCCGTGACATAACTTCAAGCATCCACCTTATCCTTTTTGTCGCCTGGGCTGGAGTCTGATTCTTGCCAACCACTGACTCACCCAGAGCTGAACTGACAGAGTCAACGAATTCAAATAAAATGAATCCCTGAACCTAAGAATAGAATGACTGATCAAATTGCCAAATGGCAAGACCCTCTGATACAGCTAGCACTGAACCAGCTGGAATAACCCCAAGTCTAAATATGGAAGAACTGAATTGATGTGACTCCATTGTGTTTAACAACCATAGGGAACTTGATTATATTAGCTTAAATAAATTTTGCAGATGAATGATTGCTGATCCAGAAGCCTTATTTGAAGATATTCAGTCCAGATACTGGGATTATGAAGAAACAATTGAAGATCAGAAGGTCCAGATTACAGAGGCTATTATAAATGATTCTCTGTCTGCTGCGAGGCAGAACCGTATCTACCCACTCATGATAAAAATTCCTTCCAAGTGCCGTCTTCATGTGCGTGAATTGACAGTACCTTGTTCCCTTTTGGGTATGATATCCAACAGTCACAACGTCTTTTTTATCAGTCTTATCTCTGCTCAAGGGATGAGGCTTTGTGCCCCTTCGCAATTCAGCTTCCACATTCCAGTTGTAAAAGCATACTTGTCAAAATTCGGCAAGTGGGAGGGGGGTTTGGGGATGAGGAGCTTGCAGGGCTGAGAGAATGAACACGTACTGGATTTTTGCTTCCACGACAGCCGGATACTACAAATGTTAATTTTTAATACGATGCGCTCTCGAAGCGAAGTAGAAGAAAGGAAGATACGTATGCTTATTAATTCTTACCCTTTTTTCAATGGCCATACCCGCTGCCTTGACTGTGTTGCTATATCCGGTCCCAGCTTCCTTGGCCAACGTCTCTAGGGAAATCCCCTTGTATGTAACTCCCAAAGCTCTGGTAGCGTTGAACATGGCGCAGGAGAGGATCAAGTGCAGAGTATGGAGAAATTATATTGTTAACCGGGAACCAACAGCTTCGAATCAAAACGCGTTGATAACATATTCGAAAAAGGTAGATGGGAAGGTGGGTTATATATACATTTCTCTTCTCAATCTACTGTACGCTATATTCCAAGAGAATCGCAATACAGTGAGAACTGATAGGTAGGACTCTCATGGGCTATGTGCGGGGCTAGATTCTGGATGGCTATTCAGGCGTGGTTCACAACTTTTTAGTTAGCAGAATATTTATCCATTTAAATCCAGTTGGGTCCAAAGTTATCCAATAAGTTCCAATAGAGGTATTTTAGATTAGAAACAATCCATAACCCTTGAATTGGATTAATATTAATCCAGCTCTGCAGAGGGCGGAGGATTCTCCGCCAATTATCGCCAAGCTGAATTGCTAGGCTCGTAACAACATCGTTGCCCTTGTTCTTTAAAAGGGGGAATGTCCCATTTACTTCGAGCTTCCGCCTCCTAACTGTAGCGATGTTCCGTTTGAACCTTCAAAGATCCAACTTGTGGTTCAAGCATTCAGTTGAAGGCTGCGTTGTATCTCGCTTGCGTTGTCCTCAAGCAAGAAGAATGGCTTCCTCGCAAAGGGCTCCTCCACGACAGTCTCCTTTCGGATACGTGGAAGTGGATCCCTTGCAAAGTATTGAAGAAGAGGAGCTTCCTCTGTATAAGCCAGAGAATTACTATCCTGTTTATATTGGCGAAGTGTTTCTCTCCAGATACCAGGTAGTTTCGAAGCTTGGATATGGCATGTCTTCCACGGTTTGGCTCTGCAAAGATCTCAAGTAAGTGTTCAAAGGATCTTGGATGCAGATACCTGATACTTTACAGAGAAAAATGCTACCATACGCTCAAAGTATGTGTTAGGGGACAAAGGCCTGATCAGGAAGTTGCGATCTCAGAACATTTGAAGAAATCCAGTGACGTTCACCGGAAGAAATTGGTCCGCCTCATCCTCGACTCCTTTGAGATTGTTGGTCCGCGTGGGAAACATGTCTGCCTGGTTTACCAGCCACTTGGCATGAGTTTTTCTGAGTTCCAAGATTTGCTCCCTGACAAGAAGTTTCCGAAGGACCTCATTCAAAGGAGTACTCAGCTCACTTTGATAGCATTGGCCTTCATACACGAGAATAATGTTATTCATACAGGTAAGTGTATAGCACAAGGCGCAAATGGTCATGCTAAAAGAAAGATAGATATCTCACCGAACAACATACTACAAGGGATAGAGGAAACTTCTATCTTATCGAGAATGGAAAAAGATGAGGTGGCCCGACCGGTAGCTAGAAAGGTTCTGGCAGACCGAACTATCTATTGCTCACGCCCAATGCCTCTTTGCACGGGACCACCTGTGCTCTCTGATCTAGGGGAGGCCAGGCTAGGACCTAAAAAACACAGCAGCGATATCATGCCTGGTATTTATCGTGCACCAGAAGTCATCCTAGAAATGGACTGGGACCAAAAGGTTGATATTTGGTCAGTGGGCAACATGGTGCGTTGTTTCAGATTTGCAATTCTTGATCACTACCTGCAGCGCGCACTGACATATTATCCAAGGTTTGGGATCTAGTGGAAGGCCATCATCTGTTTTTCGCCAAGCAAAACGGTTCTCTTAGTGATGAGCAACACCTAGCTGAAATGATTTCTCTTATGGGTCCCCCTCCTCCGGAATTCTTGAAAAGGAGTGAAAAGTGTCAAACATTCTGGGATAGCAACGGTATTTCGTTACTATTGAAACTACTGTTGTGTTATGCATTAACGTTGGTACACAGGTAACTGGAAAGGTTCCACATGCATTCCCGAGCAGTCTTTCGAGGATAGAGAGCTGCAATTTTTTGGCGAAGACAAAAGGCTTTTCCTTGAGTTCTTGCGCAGAATTTTTCGATGGCTGCCAGATGAGCGGCCGACTGCGGAGGAGCTGGTATACGACGCTTTTTTGATGCAGCCGATAGTAGCATCGGAAGGATGATCTTCCTGAATGTGTTGAGCAGAGAAGATACCCTTACAGATGACAATTACTCATTAATATATGTAGTCGTATGCATGGCAGCCCCATTGCACAGTATCTCGTCTAAAGTATGTCCTTTGTAAATGTTCTCGCGGCCAAAAGTAGCCCGTCAGAACATATTCTGGCGCCGACATTTCACGTTGAAGCTTCTGCACGGAAGAGTAGTAAATCCGTTTCCGGGACACCAACGGCTCACCAGTCATATGATGCGATAGGCTGGGCGGCGGATGAATAACACCGGACAGGGAATGGGGCCCCACTCGGCTGCGGTTTGAGACGTATACAGTTAATGATAAATATCATCGCCGTTGCTCTAGTTCCAGTCCGCTGAGAGACATATTTGATTGCAATTTGCCTTCACCATGCAGACGGCTCTATTCACCGAAGAGGAACTCCGACTGGCAACGGAGCGGCGCCTGAAATACCTTGGAACCGCGAAAGTTCCTATCAATCAAATTCAATTTGATCCTCCATTGCCCAGGGACCTGGATCCCAAGAATTTGAACCGGCTTCGGGAGATCTTCCGTAAAAACCGCTGTCGTCGCCTGGATATTGACAACCATGTCCCAGCCATTGTGTCTCAGCAGGATCTTAGTCTTGCCCTCCAGAAAAAGCGAATGTCCCGCGTCGGTCGTTGCTGACTAATGATCCACAACACTTTCCCCTTTTGGGATTCATTGCTGGGCAGTTGCGGGCCCTACATGGTCGTCACCGAGTGCAGGCGGGCGCCGAGATTCTGCCACCAGCGGACCGTTGGTGGACGGTAGATCTCTACTCGGACGGTACGGCGTCTCTCACATATCCTCCTTGCATGTAGCTGATTATCCAAATAGACCTCGGTGAGGGCCTGAAGACCTCGTTGGTAGAGGAGTATGCCAACCAAAAGAAACCAACGGACGGCAAAATATATCGTAAGATTCGGCAATATGAACTGGAGGACAATGAGGCCTTCCGACAGCGCTGGTTCGTCCGATTATCACCGAGCAACCAAGATCGTCTGGACCAACTGGATAATAGAAAGAACCGCCGTCTCCGACGTGCCTTTGATCGATTATTGGCTATCCCGGGACTATGTCTTCATGGGATGAGAATCAGCATGCTTCATCGGTTGATTGCGACCAGTTGCGTGGAAGTAAGCTGCGAACTCCCTCCGCTTACATTAGTGGCCGTGCTGATCGCATCTTTACAGGAGATCCTCACGTATCTTGGCCAATTGGCCAGGTGGACTCTTTTCACATTGTTGATTGGCCCAGTGGAGTTCGGGCTACAGATACCAACCCGAAAGGAGACTTAGAGCTTGCTGCGATCCAGGTGCCAGCTCCGGGTATCAGTGAGAATTTCATGGCTCCCGTAAATGGTGTATGCTCTTCCAAACTCCTCCGTTACTGATGAGTTGCTCACGTTTGGGTTGGCACAGACAACGAACAAAAGATGTCAGGAGTGGACCATGGAATACGTTCGTCACCTGGTTTCGAAGGGATATATTGGGGCACAAGCCATACAGATTGTCCAGTCGAAGCGGGACCCTCCGACTCATGGTATTGGTTTGCGTCGAAGGGCTGCATAGCCTAACAGTGTGTGACTTGGTAGAAAGGGTGGCGATTCAGGGATAGGGCCTTTGATACGAATTTAGGTCGGAGAGGTCAACCCAGCAAGTGTATGCAGTCCAACTGGCCGGATATATTCGAATGGAGCGCTTTCATGCTTATTGTGACTGGAAGTTTCCCAAGTTAGAAGCATGAGTGGCCATACCATATGACAATAAATGCTAGGACTATCTTACTCTTGCGTGAACAGAAAAAGTAGGATAGCTTCTTGGAGATTCCGTGCTGCAGGCCTCAGACGAAGCCGGGCCGGTGGGGTTCAAAGTCAGACAGCACCCATGGCCATAGTGTACTCAGAAAACACAAAGTACACTTCCGTCTGAGGCTGCAAAAATTTATCGATGTAATCTCTCCGCCACTCATCCTCATACCAGCAAGTGAAGACAGCTTTGCAATACTCCCAATAATCCGGATACCATCCTGATTGCTGCCAGTCCACAATGACAACCCGAATGGGACTTGTAGAAGCGACGATGATATTACGTCGATTCAGGTCCCCATGAGTCAGCTTAATTTCTCCAGAATCCGGCAGTAAAGGTCGGTTGGGGTCGTCGTATTTGTGCCCAAGACGTAGTTGATGTAACGATGCAAACCAGTCATTGAAGTCCCTTACACTCAAGAACGGGCCCGTTTTCGGCTGGTCAATGAACACGTAGTCTAATAGATGCCCACGGTTTATTGATCCTGAACAAGCGTCAGCAATCCAGTCTGGTGCTCCAAGAGGCGCATTTAATCGTACCAATGAATCGCTCCGAGGGATCCTGCGCGAGGTTGCGTAGCTTTCCCATGATTTGGCAGAGCTGGTCATTGATGGCTCCTTTCTCTCTAATATCAAGAGCATCCCAGCACTCTTCAAGAGTCGGACCCCCAATCAGCTCCATATATATGAAAGTATACCCGTCTTTATCAACGCGCCAGCCAAACACCTCCGGGACGGGAACGTCATCGCCGAAAACCTTCTTGATCGTCCAAAGATTCAGTGCCTCGACGGTTGTAATGTGAGGGCCAAACTTCACAAGTAGGCCAAGCTCCTCATATATGACCGGTGTGGGTTGCGCACGTGTACTGATATCTTTGGACAAGGCTCTCACCTGAGTTGGCGTAGGAAGTTGTCGTTCTGCACCGGCCGCGAAAAAAGACGTGTCGACAAAATCTATCTCCCTTTGCTCGAAATCAGGTAATGAAAGCGAGATGCGCCTATCGCCGACCGAATATAGGACCATCTGGTAAGAGTAAGCCTTGCGAATATGATAGTCGATGATTCCTCGGCAAGCTGGAGAAGGTATTAGGAGAAATATTGCGAGTTTACAAGACCAGGCGTAATGCGGTGAGCACGTCCCGAAATCCAAAATTTAATAAAACTGAAATGGTCGGGCTGTTGCAAATGTATGCCCGTCGTCTTGCGATATTCAAGAAATATGTCAAGAAATATGTCCTCTGACAGGGACCTCGCACTCGGTGATAACTGAAGAGTTTACGCTAACCATATTTGTTAGGCGGTATTTACGTGCAAAAATGACCACTCTACATCTCGTACATGAGTTGGCCAAGCCTTCACAATATCCATCCCTCTCCCAGCGCGGAGCATAGCCGTTCCTCTCCAACTGGATCGAGTAGAATGCTGTCAATGCATATTTCATTTGCGTGGCTGTCAGAATTGGGTGTGCGTTGATCCTGCCAATTATATGGTTCTCATAACCCAAGCGCGACGAAGCGGAGTGGTGCAAGGGCACTTGGGTTCTTACACTAATCCTTGCCATTTTTCGTGCGTGTCGTCTTGCCTTGGGCAAAAAGAGCGACTTGTAATACTACGACGGCCGGAAACAATGAGATTGAAGATCGTTACCTTTCTGCTGCGACTCTCGATGAACGATGTCATGAATGGCTGCTGCGGTATAGTGTTGTACACTCCGGTGTGCTCTGCGGTGCTCTGCGGTACCGGACCCACCAGCCAAGAGGGAAAACGTCATGTGTATCTTCCTCTAAGGCCATCATGGTAACAGAAATATCCAATCAGGACCGCCGCGGTCATATTCCTTTACATGGGTGGACCGACAGTTAGTTTGGCCCGGCGAAGCAACGGGTGGCTGCGGTGCCTTGGGGTGGGTACCCACACCCCACAGTCGCATACTTCGATTGTTGGCTGCGGTGCCCTGGGGTTGCACTGCGGTGGGGATCTGGCATTCCGCAGTCGCTTTACTTCAAATGTACTAGTCTGGGCCACAATGAACTTGAACCCCACTCGCTGCCTCCAGCACGCGTCATAATCACCAGATTGACCACAGCTCACTTTGGGGTGTCTCCATATATCTCCCCACCCAAAGGCCCCCAGTAAGGAGATCCGCTATCCTCGTTTCTACAAAAGTGACCACATCTTCAGCAGCTTGCTTGAGCAAAGGTTTCATGCGTTCCTTCCACACAGCCTTCCTGAAGTTGGTGCAAGAAGGGAGAGTGCTGAGGGCCGTTGCTAACAACCAGGCTTAACGATAGAGAGAGTGGACATATGACACAGGGGACAAGCTATATTGAGTGAAGAATCTAGAATAATGGGACAACGCAATATTTCCAGTCTCATAGGCCCAACAACTTACATCCACATCAAGCGAAAGATGACCTTTTCCAATGAAGGTGCGGCGTCCAGGAGTTTCTCCAATTCGGCATCATGCATCAGAACCTCCACATTCCACGCCGCATAATCACACAGCAGCTTCTGAATATCTTTCATCTGTTCGCTTTCCACAAAGACAAATCTTAACAAACTCACAATATCTCCGGTACTGTCCTTAGAGATGGTGAAATTTGCCAACAACCGTGTGAGCCGGTACAGGGACAGGACGCGTAGTGAGGTCCATTCTGTTCGGTGAGCAACACGGTGCACCCTAGCATGGGCCAAGAGGATCTCCGTGTAGTCTTCCGTAGGGTTAGTTGGCTCATCATCTTCGTCCCACTTTGAGCGGCCAACTTGTTCACCCAGCGAGCTATGTAATCATCAATTGATGTCCAATGGAAAATGTTTTCGGATAGCTGTGTAGGGTTCCACCGCTTCAGTGGAGTCCAGGCGGGTTTGTCCTCTTCAATAAAATGAGACTCTCTAGTTGGCAACGGAATGGAGTAATCACCGGTGTATACGAATTCACAACAACGGCCAAAGTCGACCTCATCTATTTCGTCATTGACAGGGGAATTGAGTATCTTCTTCGGAAAATGGCTTGTCAACGCATTGTGGACCCAGAATCGCTTTCGGCTTTTGCCGATAATGAACCCAACAGTCCCGGATTGCATAATACTGGGTGTGTGTCAGTCATAGAAACGTTCGCTCTTCGTGGCACTTTGTCTTACTCATGATAATTGGGTCGCATTGTGATCAGTGATGGTAAACGAGATTCGCAATGATCAGACCAATGACACAGGTATTCACGTGCGTTTACGCAGACCATAGGCACGAGGATCGGAAGGAAAACGAGAGGTAAGGGTGTGCTATCCTTTATATGCTCTGCCCAAACAACGGAACCCATAACCGAACATGGGTCAGACTTGCGAAGAGACGAGTGGCTGCGGTACAGTGGAGCCTGTATCCACATTCCGCAGATACTTGTCCGAGGTATATCAAGGTTGACTATGGATACTCCCGCAGCTGGAAAGTCTTAACCCAGAGACGCTCCAAATCGTATCCACACGCCAGACGCCCGCGAAACGTCCAGTCGGAGTACCTTCGACGAAGCGCTGATTACATCCACATCAGGGTTTACGGGGTCAACCCAATCTATCTCAAGAAACCCGAACACTTCATAGATTCTGGCCGTGAAAAGAAGTACATCGAGAATGTGAGGATCTATTCGTCAACCCCTACTCCAGGTTGCGGGATATAAAACGTTCCAACTTGGCTAAACACCCGTGGTCTTTGGCAAGGTATGAGCAAGACGGAACATCCTCAGCATGCTGGTAAAGGGCGGAGAGCTCTGAGAATTCTGTCACACAGTGTGGGCAGGTATAAAGCCAACCTCCATCCTCGAGCTCATCATTGATATACTTCCTACTTTGGTAACATTCGCGGGCCAAGTCGTCAAGATCATCCTCGGTAATATTCGATGAGCAGCCCCCAGACTCGAGATGGATCAGAACTCCGGAGAAGGATTTGAAGGTCTTGTAGCAACCGCAGCATTCCATCGTTCGAGGTTGGTGTTTCTGTTGATGCTGGAAAGTCAGGTCAGCATCGAATGCATAATGTTGAGGGTACCTTATACCATTTCCAAGTTGTTCTTGTTTGCAAAATACTTCTCACACTTGACACATAAGTGATGCTCATCGACATCATGCTCCCTAAGCTTCTCAGCGGACTGGTGGTAAAGGTTGCAGTCTAAGCAAAGGATGATATCCGGTCAAGTGGGTCTCAAGCTCCTCAAGGGTTTCGAAATTTCGTGACGGCGAACATCGTAGGCAAAAGTTATGTCTGCCAGACGCTTTGAAATGCGCATCTTTCGATGCCGTTGAAATAAAGACTCGACAGCATCTCTCACACCACTCGTGTCGGGATGTGTTCCTGCAGTGTGCGTAGAGTGAGCCTTCGGAAGCAAAACCCCTCTCACAGAGAGTACATTCATAGTCTATCCCATCAAAGGTAAGATATGGGCTAAGTTCCATCCTTTGGATTAATAGTGAAGTGGTTAAATGGAGCTGGTTGAGGAGAAAAAGTGGCATCCTCCGACTGTCTGACTACCCTGGTGATGCCAGCCTTTTGACTCAGGTGCCAACCTCAGTTCATTGGCCTGTAGCATCCGAACCTGAATACTGCTTTTGCGTTTCCTTTGACACCGCTCCGTGAATGCTTCATCGCCATCGAATGGCTCGTGGAATTCTTATGGGACGAATGACCCCGGTATGGAAAATTGAGACGCATTCAGTTGCTGTTCAACGGGTGGCACGAGTCATGCCACGACAAGCAGGCCCAGACATCCTCGAAGGCCTCAGACAGACCTGTACATCATTGCAGGTCTCGATCGCCATACGATTTATAGCGGCAATGATGACGGTGGCTTTTCCAATCATCCCTCTGATTGAAGCGAGGTGGTCGGTAAGATGCATCAGTACCGAAACCCTCTTCTCACGGTCAGTTGGCTGTAAAAGCACAACCAGGCTATGTCTGATCCAAGAAAGAAAGGAGGGGGAGAGGAGTCCCGGCGCCTACCACGTGTGCTTCCATGCATTTTTGCCTTCTTGATGGGTCAGGCACTCAGGTTCCTCGTCGTATGGGATAGTGTTTCCATCCGTTGGCGGCTGGTTTCAACGACACGAGGATCCGAATAGTTACAGAAGACAGGATGGCTTCGTAAGGAGCTCAGCACTGGGCAGGGCCGCTCGCTTCCTGAAGGCTCAGGCCCATACCATTGACTTCATGTCACCAGAGGCAGCGTCCATAACATTACGTCCATCCACACTGTGCCTTTGGCTTTGGACCTAGCTATTATCTTGGGTAGGCTTATGGCTAGGAGCTCTACTGAGGGAGAGGGACTGTCGATGTAAGAAGCAATATAACAATGACTTAAGAGGAACAACTAGTTGCACGACCGATTGAACGAGATGCGAGCTCACGGGTAAGGACAGCGAGGCCATTCCTAGCGAAATATCTACTAGAAATCTCCTTTTGAACACAAGTGCCAACCCCTTAACCAAAAGCAACGGCAAGAGATTTATCATAGTAACTTTGGCGTGCTGGTAATTGGGGACATGTGAAAGATGCTGAAGCTGTTTGGCACAACGCTGTTAGCTATAGAGCTCGGGGAGGTGTCTATGTTTAGTGCCTTATATCTTAAGCAGATAGGACCTCTTGCAATCAATCAGAATCTGGGGGAGTGGGCATCATACAGGCATGGCATTTCCCCTGTCGCTGCCCTCCATTAAGACTACCCCAGGTCGAGCATGGGCAGTTCTGATTCCTTTGTACTGCCTCACCGCAACGTTCAACGCCATCAGCCCCATTGTGCTCACACTCCATGTAAAAGTAGACTATATGGGAGCACATTTTCCTTGGATTTGTCAGTGATGATGACATCTCGTCTCATTGCGGGGTGAGTACTTACCAAGCCGTTGACGGGTGCAGAGTAATTCCAATAGGAAATGGTCGGGATTGAAATCACCAAGGAGACAACGGATATAAAGAAAACAAAGACTGTTGTCTCTCAAGGCCATGGGAGGCCCCATTGGGCTTTATAAACTCCAGCCCCGTTTAGCCTCCGATATAATGGGCATAGCCGCTGGATTCACGCTGATCCCAGCAGCGGTAACTGTATGAGGCTACATGATAAGTCTCTCTTTCCTATTAGTCAGACTGAATCCGTGATTTGCTCAGTTGCACCAACACTCACCCAACCTAGTTAGGTTGAGGGATATCATCGATTGGCTGGATGTTGACAACCACTGAGCATTCCTGGCCTTGTTGTATCATCCAATTGCATTCACCTCTTTATTTCAGGCTTGCTGACGCGCTATGAACTAATGCAAGTCCATCACACCTGGGCATCTAATCCGAGCCATGTCACAGGCAATTTGCCTTTCAGCATTGTCCATCACTACCCCATACCTACTCTTCTCAGATAAGAGAAAGAGAGGTTCCCCGCTGATCGTGAACCATGAAGGATCCTGACAAGCCAATATTTGCTCTCTGACACCAGACCACGCTATTGCAGAGCAGCCCATATAGGCAGCCAGTTTCCCACGTCAAATACCCCAGATATAAGATCTAGTTTGTACTGATATATAACTTCGTATCAGGAAGGGCTGAGGTCTTCAGTATATTCATCTAAACAAGTCATGCGTAGTTGGAGCTCGGCACTATACTGTTTTAGGAATAGCTCCAAGTATCATTTTTGTCACATGGGTACCTTTGACAGCCTCATACGATGTTTTGATTGACGTACTTATATGTTCGTGTCCATATTGGGTTGACCAAATTGGCTCGCTGTGGTTTTATCGTGATAGTTGACTGATATACCTATATCTTCTTGATCATTACCAAAAGCTGCTCCCTCTTAGAGCGATATATGGACGAGACACTCCCAGATGATAGGGCTATCATTGCCCCAGTCCCCACAGTAGACCTAACTGTTGAGGACCGGTTTCAGACTTTGAAGACATCAGACATCAGTCACGTTGTCGTCCAGTAAGTGGAAGATACTTTGGCCCTCATGTTTTCAGTCATTTGACTTTCCAAATTGTTAATTGGTCTATCTTGAAGGCTCTCTGATAAAAGGCTGGACTCAATCATGCAGTGTTGCGCGGGCCTCGCTTATGATCCCAACAAACCTTGGCCTTTCTGGTTCTTCATTGGCAAGGTCCTATCAAAAGCCCTTTTTGGCGATGAGCAACAGCTTAAGTGGCTGAATGCTGTTCGTGTCCAGAATCGGGAGTTCATTGCATTCACCAATATGAGGGGGGAGAGTATGTCAGACCTGGAACTACTGAATCGTGACAAAGGAAGACTTCAGGTGATCGAAGTCGATTTCTCGAAACCTGTACCAGGTGAAGATCTGAAGGCTTTTTGGAAGCCTGCACGAGGAATTATATGCCAGAGAGTTGAAGAGTGTGAGTCTCCAGGAATCCGAGATTTCTCTATTTTCTAATTTGAAACGGACAGGGCTTGAATTTTCAAGAAGGAGAACCCCAGGGTCGAACAGCAAACTAGACACAGATTCCTCTGCCATCTAACAATAATGTGCCCTCAGCTCTATGGAAAATTGCGGATTGAGCAGCTCGAAAGTGTTCTGGTTGAGCGTCATTGTATTCCCATATAAAATATGCTCAGGAAGCCAAACTCAGCCGCGTACACGGACGAGTGACCTATTATAATGCAAGCAGGAAATGCGAAAGGTTACCATATTCTCCTGACTACTTTCGCCTCCAATTTACCCAAACGCAGACAAAGCCGAAACCTATAATACCTATCGCAGTTGTAATAGATGGCTTCTCGCGTAGAGTTGACCTTAAGCACCCCCACAGAGTAGCAAGCGTTTCTCAGCAACCTTCTGGGCTCATATAATGGCTGAAATCGCCCCAAAGTTGGCTCAGTTCAGAGTACTGGGAAGTCCAACATTTGTAGATGATGCTTTGGTGTTTGAGACCATCAATATTTGGAAATATCCGTGCATTGTAAAGGCTTTCCACTTCGTCGGTATCTTCGATCTCGTCATACGGACGGCTCCCAGTGGAGATCTCATAGATCAGACAGCCCAGTGCAAACAAGTCGGTCTTGAAAGTTCATGGGGACAATGGGGAAATTCAGTACTGGTCCTCCTCCTCAATCAATGGCCCCAAGTCCCCGATGGCTGATCCAGCAAAGTCGCAGAGTTTGATCGATAGGTCGTCGGCCACGAGGAAGTTACGTGGGCTGATATCAGCGTGGATAACACCATAGGTATGTATAAAATCGACAGCGTCGATAGCATTCCCAATCCATTGGTCTCAGATATGATCATCAACTTTGTTGCGTCATAAATAGTCACAGAGGTTTCCAAGCCAGCAATACGGAAAATGGAGGCATTTTTCCTCAATATCGAGACAGTCGAGGATGTAAGGACTCTTGGGTAGAGTTTGGTAAATGAAATTTTCGCGGTCAATGCATAATTCTGAGATAGACTCAATATGTCACACATGTTCAATGACATGTTGGCCGCAGCCTTCGGTATTATGCTTGAGAGTGGTCTTGATAACTTGTCCGTTGTTGTCCTGTGTTGTGGAATATGCATGTAACTCAGGGAAGAAGGGCAGAATGAAGCTGTATCGACTACACGTACGTAGCCTACTAAGGAACGGATGCCATTCAGATCTTGTCTCTCTATCTCACTTTCTACATACAATCAGGGGCTCGGATTCTCAGGGGTTGGAGAGGGAGCCAAGCCGCCATACCACGTGACCTTTTCCATATCAGATTAGATATGTGGCTCGTATTCTTTGCAGTAACTAATCGCCTACCATCTTGATATTAAATTTGCAATATCAGAACTTAAACTCGAAAAGCTTACTCCATAAATTGGGCTTATAGCTCAGTGGTAGAGCGCTCGCTTTGCATACCACCAACTGTCCTTCGGTGTAAGGTCTTGCCTGCGAGAGGTCAGGGGTTCGACTCCCTTTGAGTCCATTTTTTTTATATATTTTTTCCCCAATGCAATTCGTTCATCGGAGGGTCCATTTAGGTGTCTGTCCAAGTTATGTACCAGTACTATGGTAATTCTCTATGCACTATGTCTCAGAGATTGATCCACGTTCCTGATCCTCCATATGCAGGTATCTTCCATCGATAGGTGGAGTAATAACATATGTTGACTCGGCAAGAATCCCATCCGTTTCTTGCCATCCCGTATATGGATGGTGTGCAGTGTCCCATCCTCCTAAATGCATGTTGCTATCCACTGCGGGAATTCGCAATCATCCTTGCTGCGGTTGAGATTAGGCGAGATAGTTGTCTGTTCCTGCAGATGTGCCGGTGTTGGTCCCTTGGGTAATTTCATGAAGGATTGGATAATGGTTGTTTGTTTGGATGTGGTATCATTTAGGGCAGGGCAAGGAAAGGAGTGCAATACAGGCTATTATATAACATGGTATTTAGTTAATTCCCTGAGGGAGCACTGAGTAAAAGAAAGAAAAAGGATTCATCTGGCTCCAATGCAATGAAGCCTGTCATCTTTTCCGCTCTTGTCGCCCTGCTTTCAAACATCGTCGCCGGTCAACTCATTGGCCCCGTCGGTCCTACAGCAGATCTCTCCCAGAAAACCATCGAATGGAACATCCTCCGCTACGGCGCTGTTGCCGACAATAGCACCGATATCTCAACGGCCCTCGAGACGGCCTTCACCAATTGCGTTCTGAAAAGCCCCGGCAGCCGTCTCATCGTACCCGAAGGCAACTATTTGGTCAATCGCGGAGTGGTGCTCAGCAATGTCACCAACTAAGCATTCCAGTTAGATGGCCTCATCACAGCCGCGTATGGTGGGAATTGGACAATTCAGCGTGAGTTGATACTGCAGGGTTTTGCGGGAACAGAACCTCTCAACGCTACTATTAACGGAGGGTGACCATCGGTTTTTGCTAGATGTGCTTGTTATTGTTAATGGTGTGTCCAAGAGCGTGTATCGCATGAGACAGTGGATATTTGCTGACTTGAACAGCGGTCGGCTTCGAGTTTTATTCATCCAACGGCCGAGGTGCCTTCCAGGGCCAGGGGTAGTTATATCTATCGGAATCTTAATAAGTGAGTTGAGCCCTAAATAAATGTACACTGGTGCAATTGACCACGGCCATTTCAAGTACGGAGCGTCCTCGCTTGGTCCGCTTGATCTCCCCGACCAATGCCTCTGTCTGCAGAGATTTCGAATATTGTATGTCTTCCCTCGGGCTGGCCTTCCCATATACTCATCCCAACCAGGAAGCCCGCAATATCAGTATTATTCAGGGCAACAACATTGCCTTCATCAAACCCTACCCTGGAGGATCAGGCTATGTGACTAACGTGACCTTTTCCAGTTCCCGGTCCCTTGCGAGTTTCTACGGGTTGAATATCGATCAATACTGGCAGAATAAGTTCGAGCCTGATACTGGGTCTGTCACCCTGAGTAACCTGGTCTTCCGGAATTCCTCAGGTAGGTCATACGTTCACGTAGTCTAACCTGGAGAAGGCAGCAGTATTCTAACAAAGCCTACAGGATCTGTTGCCAATGGTGTACAGCGGCCTCCATTGCATTTTGCTGCGAATGATCTAACCTTCGCGACAAACATCACCGTTGAGGACTTCTCCGTCTGGACAGAATCAGGAACATCTACCGTAAACAAGATCAGCAATGTCTTCGGCACAGGTGACGATAGTTATGGACCAAATGATGGTATTGTCTCTTTGGCTCCCAACGAGTCACCTCACGCATATACAAGCACGTATTCGATAACAGCGTCTCCGACTAATTGGCAAGTTCCGACTATACCGGCATGGGCAGCGCCCAGTACGGGTTATGATAGTAAGTTTTCCTGGAGATATCAAATTGGAAAATGGTAAAGTGCTAATGTGTCTATTATATAGCTTCTTCTCCAATACCAGTATATACTCCTGCTCCGCTGTGGCGTCCGGGCAGAGTGGACTACAATTTGCATTATTGGGGAAGCTTCTAAATGAAGATTTGCGCTTGTAAAGCTTCTGTGGAAACCTATGGGTGTTGTAATTCTATGCAATGTATCTTCATCTTCATCTCCCACATCTGGCAAGGAACCTTGTGTTCGCAATGGGCTCAGGGCTTGCTGAAAGATACGACTCACCTTTCGCAAATACCTTCCCACGCCCAAAGGTCCTGGAGAATGTATTTCTGGTTCTCGCAGGCTACTCAGCGCTTTACGGGGTGGACTAGGGGTGAACATTGGAGGCGATACACTTTCTCTGGAAACGAAGGCGCGGCATCAATGGACGTTGATTTTTTTTTTTTTTTTTTTTTTTTTGTTTTTGATATGAGAAAAATATCGTCAAAGCTCCGTCGATGCAGCTACAATTTCGCTTGTTTTACTTGCTTTCTGCCAGCTCCTATCAAGACCGTAAACGTGCAGTAAATGACTTGTCTCTGGTATGTCAGTAAAAGCATGTAAGCCGTGGTCATAATCATCTATTACACATTTCTACTGCCAATATAACCATCAATAAATGCCAAATTCTGTATAGCCGCCAACCCGTATAGTGCCGTGATATTCGTGGAGACCCAACTAGCCTCATCCACTGCAACCGGCACCTCACTTCCACAGACAAGATCACTCTTCCACGGAATCGATGCTACGTAGCCGTCTGGATTATAAAGCCCCTTCCATGCACGACGAGCTAGACCCACTCTCGTCAATCCTCTAGCTGCATATGCAGTTAACCGCGAATGTCCCTGGCGCAGGATCAATAGTGGGAAACGTCTTCCGTATCTCTCCAGCTGTGTCTCACCGGCTGCGTTGAAGCAGATACAGTAGTCCAGCCAGGCTGATCGGAAGACATCCAGAATAGCGTCATCGATTATCCCGTTGAGCGTGTCCATCAGTTCCGCGCGGAATCTCAACCAGTCCGATCATAGCTGATAGATGCGAGGCTTGGACATGCCCCAGATTCTGGGGATCGCTGGGCGGCGGACTCATTGCTCCATTTGACAAATCCAGCAAAGCCTGTCCAGTCACGAAGCCTTCTTCAACTGGGATATTCCCTTGATTGATTCGAAGAGCTTATCCCGTTTGCGTTCCCACTCTGGCCCCCTCCTCTCCCATTCTATCATCCATGCCGACGCAAGTGCGGACCAATCCGTGCCAAGGGATACCAGGACCCCCTGTTCCGGGTTGTGAATATGATGATCGGTCCTTTCGAACCTTTCTATACGGATCGAGAATGCGAAATGTGTTCTCTCCTGCTAGTGCTTCTCGCATGGTTTCCCCCGTCCGCTCGTCTCCGCCGGTGAGGTAGTAGAAATATTTCCGGTAAATTGCATTTGAGACACGGACTTGCTTGCAGCTATCGCTCCAATGCTGGATTCCATGTCTAGTCCCGAGACCCTTGAGCGGTCCGAGATGATACATATCGACCTCCGATGTATGTCGTGTTAGATTCTCGGCGAGTCGGAAGACGTCTTCACGGTGCGTACGGAGGAAGTACAGCCATAGCCATAGATCGGGAGAGAGCTCAGAGTTGTCCCATGCGTATCCTCCTATGTCGTAGCGCCAGGTGTGACGGTCTGAGTCGTATGTGTACATGATGTCTCCGTGGCCCCAGAAGCCATACCACCGGCGTTGGGCTATTTGGTTTTTGTAGAAGGTAAATAGGAAATCTAGATTTTTTTCGATCTGGTCGACAGAGATACTGCTTTTTTTGGATTGAGGGGGCCAGTATGTCCCGAATGCTTTCGTTTGGTGTGTGTAATCTTGTTCTGCAATGAGGAAGGGTGGACTGCGCATCGAGCCTACCAGCCTGGATAATGTATACGAAGTAGGTGTGCCCTCGAATGCATACAGATAGATCTCATTCGTTTTTGCAATTCCATACAGTGAGCCTTTGTCAGGTTCCCAGTCCTCGTAAGTGACCTGCGGAGCATCCAACTGGTCATCAAAGCTTTCCTGCCCTAACCCGTCATGATACGGACGAAGGTCCATAGGCTCCGCGGAAGGACTGTATAGCCACATTGTAATCTCTCAACGCTCAGAGCCTGCGTTTCGGATATCTATCTGCCTGGGATATCCTTCCCAGAAATGACGAAGTCCGATACCCAGTCCTCCCCTCCACCGAGATAGACAAACCCCCCTGCTCTTGTGCCTCCCGGGATGTTCACCCAGCTGTGTCCGGGTTTCGTTCTTTTCTTCATTGTATACCCGTCTGGGAACAGTTGTATTAATGTAAAATTGTTCCAGTGGGGAACCTAGTGCAGCTTCGATGTAAAGGTTTGGTTGATAGTTAGACGTGAAGTCTAGCGAATTCCAGGCAGCAGCGGATATTAGACATCCTATCTTACACAAGCAAAATGCTTCATCCAGGGGGAAGAAAATATTCACCATTCTGGGTCAGAATCAGCCCAAGCAGAAGACAACCAACCCCGAAGTAATGAGCCGACTAGCCAGGAATCAGGGGGTCTCTCCCAATCTGTCTTCTACGACATACTCGATGTAAATGATCAGGAACTATTCGCCTTCATTCCGTGACCGGTACATGCGCTTATCTTCATCAGGCCGGGGATGTCTATCATGCCACGCAGGACAATGTCGAGAGGCATATGAAAGATTATGATGCGTGCGGATTGATGGCATTCCTGCATAGTATCTCGAACGGTGCCGGACGGAACTCATCCAGCCTGCCCGGACCTTGACAAGCTACTTCAGGAATCTATCTCTCTTTCTCTTGTTCCCCGCGCAGAGTCATCGTATGACTCGGGCTTCCTTGAATCTGTGCACATGTCTGCTGCGGCCGCCCGGGACTCAGCGGTGCCATCCGCTGATGTGTATAACCGGGCCCAGTATGCTCTCGGAAGAGGGAAGAGGCATTCTAAATCATTCATATTCTTGAACCTCAGTATGCACTACGATGGGCACCGAAGCTGGTAGGGTTACCCGGTGCATAGTCCGTCGACCATCAGCTGCCGGATGTTGCACTCCGGGACATGGCATGATAGATAGACCTAGCCCGGGTTGCTTCTGATATTCAGTGATGCTCTCAATGTGGCGAGGGATGGAACTGCCCAACTTCTCCAATAAGAAATACAGTATCAATATCAGACTGGTCGTTGGGCATGAACTACTGCACCACATCTCGCCTGAAATGAATTTCTACCAGTGGCAGGCTCCGGAAGAGACCCAAAAAGGACGTTCATTCCATCTATCGGTAGACTCATCGTTCTGGACGTCATGAAAAGGTTCGGATCTTCCCAGTGTCTGCGGAGATAGAGCAGCCCCGGCGAAGCGCCCACTGAGTCGCATCCACGTAGCGGCTGTCAGTCATGCAGCTGCATCTCTGAAGTATGCAGGCAGACTATGGCTTTCGCCCATGCATGAATACGATTCTTGGGCAGAGGCACCCGCATCTGCCAATACACGTTGCAATCCTGCCTTGCGTTTTTGCTTGTCTAAAGCTCTAACCGGTCCGTTTTATATGCCTTCTAGAGCTCCAGGCAAGATCCTTGTAAACCTTCCCACCCTCCCTACTTTTGTCCGTACCTGTCCGTATCGCGCGATGGGAGGCAGCCAGAGGAGGGAGAACGGGAATGCGTTTGGCAGCGGGTAATTGGGTATAAATTGGCCTCATTATGCTGTTTCTGGTAGAGCAAACCCAGGAAAGCCATCGGCAAGACTCCCAGTAGTCCGTAACCATGGCCCCGGAAGTTCAAATTGCTTCTAACCTGGACCAAGGCTCCATCAACAGTGGTATTTTTAAGAGCCTCGTCAAGAGCATAAATACGCTGGCTTCGAGTCCCGACTTCCGCGCCATATCTTCCATCTGTGATGAGATCACTCATCTACGACAACAGCTACAGGAAAAAGATGAAAGCCTAATCAAAAAGGAAACGGCCATTTCTGAAATGTTTGCCGCTAATGAGAGAGAAAAGGCGAAGCAAAGAGAGACCGACTTGCAGGTGGAATCCCTCATGAAGACGATCCAGAAGAAAGAAGACGCTCTCGTGAAACAATCCGAAGAGACGAAGAAGCTCCAAGTGCAGATTAACGAGGCCAAATCTACTGCCGTGGAGGAAGCGAAGAATCTCGCGCGGTACAGGGAAGACATCAATGCCCTACAGAAGAAATTGAAGGACTGCGAAAAGAGCGTCGACAAGATAAAGGGGGACAATTCGAATCTCAAGGAAACACTGTCGGCGACGATGAAGAAGAATAAAGAGCTGGAGAGTGAGAAGCGTTCACTGAGCAAGACTCTAGAAGATACCCAGAAACGTCTTCAAACCCTGGAAGGTTTCACTGTCAAACGGCCAGACGTGAAAGAAGAACAGATGTAGGCTCTCTGTCGGTTATTGAATGCATTCTGCAGCGGACTGACCTGATCCAGAGTCGATGGCTTCGCAAATCTCTGGGTTCATGCTGCAAAAGAGGTATACTCCCATCTGGTGAAGGATTTCAAGGAGGAAGTCCTGCAGGTTTGACCCTCACACCTAGTACTGTGGAATATTGTTCTCATTCCAACTAGGACAGTAAGCTCTGGGTCGAATTTCGAACGAAAACCGATCTCAAACTGAGACACCATGTACCCCTTCACGCTTCAAACTCTCCATCGGCAAAGATAATGCGTCTTGCAGTCATCCTAGGCATCCTGTCGAGGGAGATCGACAAGCACATTTTCCAGCCGACGTATATTCTGTCGGATGATGAAAATGCTCAGCTTCGACACATCCTCAACTACCTTGCAGAGAGTGAGCATGAAAAGGAATATTTCTGCCGATCGATGCTTCTCTCTATTGATTCCGACACGAAGAAGACGCTACATTCGAAGACTCAGCTCATTGTCCGGACCGTGTCATCGTACCTCTACGACTTCCTCTCGGAAACCCAGTACGGTGACCTGAGGACAAGCCTGGAAAAGGTCGTGAAAGAGGCTATCGACGTTTGGTCGCCTATTCAGCGGTCTGAGAAGAGATATGAGCCTGACTTCGAGCCTCTCCAGTGGAAAGACGATGAATGGGAGCTATTCGATATTCTGGGACGAGATTCGTCTGAGTATCAGAGTGTCCAGGGTGTTTCAGACGACGTCCTGCTCACTGTGTTTCCGCGTATCTCTTCGGTGAGAGGTCGCGAGCGTGTGCCATTGACCTATGTGGTACAGCTCAGGAAGGCTCAGAAGATGTGCATTAGGGCTCAGGAGGAGATGAATCAGATACCGGCTAGCCCAACTGCTGGCCGAAGGGCGTCAAACCGTTCGAGGAGAAGGTCTATTGCTCAAGCCAACGGTCACCCAAACGGGGCTGTTTTAAAAAACGCTTCGTGAGGAGCATAGTGGCGTGGATGAACGGGCAACGAGTTGGTGGAAGTGATTCTAATCAGTAAATACATGTCCTTTCAGCGCGTGCTATTCAACTGTTGCTTCATTTCTCTTTTCCTTTCATCCATTTTCCATCCTCCATCATCCCGAAACTGGAAAATTGGCTGGTTGAACACGCGCATTCTATGCTCATAATACATCATTTACGCCTAGAATACAGCAGTAAGCAGAACCGTTGCAAACGCGGCCACTCCCACACCAAGCAAGTTGACTATGAGCGGCGGAGCTGCATCTTTAGAGCCATTGTCCGCATCATCAGGGTGTTCTTCAGTGACAACCTTGAGGCACGTCAACTGCGCTGTGGTTCTATTGACAAGATGGCGATCCCCCCGGCCGGCGAAGAACACAGTCAACACCGGTGTGATCTTGTACACTTCCTCGAGATTTGCTTTCGCGGTGTAGTTCCCCTGTAGACTAATTAGTTTGTACTTTCCAGGACATGGTGGGAGGAACCAGAAACGAAGTGACGCGCACCAGAGCAATGTCACTGCCTATTTCCACCAGATTATCCGACTTGGGAGCAATGGGCCAGCAGTCCGATGACGAGTTCTGCGAGGAGCTGAGGGGGGACAGGTCCGCCAGCTCTCTAACGGTAAATTTTCCGAGTCCAGCCCCGGAACCTGCGAAATCACGACATTCATCAACCGGGTTTCTTCTCAGTTCGCTTTCCAATGCGGAGCAGGAAGTGCCATTGCCGGTGACGCTTCGTGCCGCCCGCGAAGTGAGCGTGTCAATACATTTCGCGTCAATAACATCCGCGCAGGTTCCGTGTGAGGCCTCGACATCGGTGCCATTGCCACCGCCGGGAAAGTGCTTGGGTGGCGGGTCGTTGAAGATGACGGCACAACCGGCGAGGTCGTCGATATCGAGACTGCTGGGAGCACCGAGGTAGTATACCGACGTAAAGGGAAGTGTCTCGTCATCCGGGGAACTATCTTTCCGTCCGGACGCGGAGATATTGACCCCTTTGACAAGCGACAGGCCTTGGAGGGCTGATGGCAGATTCGGGATGCGTGCCAGCCCTACGCCGGCGAAAGCATTGCTGCCGACAGTGCAGCGGTCCTCTCCGTTCTCGTTGGGGCAGGCGAGGTCACTGCAGCCAACGATGTCGTTTGGGAGGGCAGAGTCGTCTGCGTATACGGAGAGAAATGAGGAGAAGCAAAAGACGGCAAGGCTGGCTTTCGTGAGGTAGGACATCATGCTGTGCTGGACTTAGGGCTAAATGATGTATATCACAGAAGAGAGCCAAATCGGCCAGCAGAACACAAGAATCCAAAGGTTTTGTATGCACCAACAATCTGATAAGCCAGCAGGACTGGCAAGACGACCGCCGGTGATGTCGGCGGCGCTGTCATCAGGCCACGGGGACCGTGTGCAAAGAGGAACCAGGGGCAACGGGAGTGGCTTAGAGACTCCATCTTTGGGCATCTTGGCGCGAATGGCACATCTTGGCAGTGGAGGACCAAGACATCCAAGTGTCAGCGTCGCATTGTCTTCCAGGCCAGGTTTTAGGGCTCTGTGGAGATCTGCGGGGTGTTTTCCAGTTGCTCGAGGCGGTGTTCGCATGGATTCTCGGCTATATGCTAATGGATCCATCCCATGCCATAGCGGTCTGAAGACTGAACGGCCCAAGACAAGATTCGGCTATGCTCTTGTGCTGTTTCTTTTCGTTGAGAGGATGGAGAAGATCCTGCTCAACAGCTTTCCTGCGGACTTGATCGTCACATTCGCATTGATGCCGCTGGATCATGAGATATAATGCCGAAGCGCAACCCAGACGCAGATATTGAGATCGGCTCGTTACATCGAGGAACCCTGCAGGGCAGCTGCTCAATCAGGCAAGTAACAGCGCGGAATAACAGACATTGGCCACGCCAAGGACTCTCATAGCGCATCGAGCCGATATTAGGGCCCTTCATGGGCCGTGTATGAATATAGCGTGCGTCCACGCGGGCCGGCTTGTGTTCATCCTCTTGGTACAACCTCTGCATGCAGAGATGAGATCCTTCTCAATCTCGTCATGGCCCGCGGTGGCTGCCCGTGCGCGATGAAGCATGCTTCTCATCATCGAATACGCCACGATAGCGCTTTCCGGTGCCCTGGTATAAAATCCGGTCGAATCTCGGCTGACTCCTGTACTCGTCCTTCTTTTGTTCATTCGCCCCGCGCACTGGATCTTCGCCATGGCCGGCATTGTCGACGCCATTGGAATCGTCTCGGGTCTGCTGGGAATCGTAGGCTTTGCACAAGATAACTTCGTTTCCGAGCCCAAGCCAGGCTCAACCTTCAACGTTGCCGTTGCCCTCGACGGCCCGGGCGGGACTACAAATGCCGGAGGAGACCTACCGGACATGTGAGTGAGACCGGGCCTCAGCAGAGGAAGGACTCCATTCTGACGATATGAACCAGCCGTGTTTGGAACGACCTTGGAAAGTTCGTCGGCATGACCGCAGACCCCGGCTCGGTGGACGACGGAAACGTTGGCCAGGCCCACGTCGAGCACGACAACCAGGGCGTGTACTCGCTGTTCTCGGCCAACGACGACGCCATCTGCGTAGCCTGGGTCACATCCACCTGGAGCGATGAGCACGGGGGCAACAAATACGCCGTCTCGGGCGACTATGGATGGGCGTGTGGTGGTTCCTGGTACGAAAGCCACATGTACACCAACAGCGACAAGTCCTATCAGCCGAAATGTTTCTGGATCGATGCCGATGGCGACCAGCCACAGACTGGATTCCAGGTCCGCTGGCCTTCGTACTCCAAGGATGTCTATGATCCGGATAATAGAGACCCGCAGCAGTTCTGTAACGGCATTGACTTCGGCCTGCGCACCGAGAAAGACCCTAACACCGTCAACTACTACACGTCCAGCAAGCGCAAGAGGAACCGCCGGCTTCGAGTGCTCCAGCCGCGAGAACGCGTGTCGTGGGCGGCGTCGCAGCTTGTCATCAGTGATTCCAGTTCTCACTCTGCCCGCGACCTGTGCGGGTCGGAAACGTCCATGGGCCCGGATTTTGCTCATGTTCGCGAGAAGCTCTTTTGCGATATGGGTTCGAAGATCCTCTATCCCTTCTGCGGCGCTGACCAGGCCGAAGACGGATGCTTTGACTTTGAGTCCCGGAGGCTCACTGGTTCAAGGAACGGGACTTCTCGAGTCGCTTCGCTCACTGCTGGGCCTTATACTCGAGTTCGCGACTGGCGGGGCAGTTAAATATAGACCCGGCATGTGTCTATTGGGGCATGTATTGGGGCATGTATCTATTGCGCGATGTAGCATTACCTACGACGAGGACTAGTTCATATACTTCAATTTGGCGGGTAATAATCCATCTGAGGAGGGGAAGAACGAGTACACCAGAACATAGGCCCTCTTCCCATCTATTTCCTGCTCGGATTGTCTCCTTATCATGCATATTCCGCGGTCTGATCTACCCACTCGGAGCTGGTAGATAACAAGCTTGGCCCGGCCTGGCACGAGGTAATGGGGTTAAAAGGGATGCCCTGGCTTGTTCCTCTCCCTTACTTCGATTAGCGGAAACAGTCTCGTCGTGCCAAACCCATTCTACCCACCAGACACATGACGGAGGAAAGGAGGCGTGCTGCTCGCGCGTGGGTGCACCGATCATTCCCTGCACGGGATAGACCAGACTGACGCGTGAATGATAGCTGCGACGAGTGCCGGCGCCTGAAAGAGAAATGCGAGGGTGGAATCCCCTGCCGAAGATGCTCGCATTTCCAGCGACAATGTGAATTCAAAAGTGCTGCTATGAGAGCGCGGGAATTCCGGCATTACGTTCCACGGTGAGTATCCATTGTTAGTATTATCCAGTGCTATCTAGGCCCACGGGTATGTTGGCTCAGAGCATCTCATGAACTGCTAGGTCCCGCGCCGGGAGATCGGAGGTCAGAGAATTGATACAGCGCTCAAAGTACATGGAGCAGATATTGAAGCAGCGGGTCGAGGGGATCTCGTTGGACACGAATAGTCTGGCGCGGATGGCGAATTCGCTTTCTCTCGCGGACAAAGCGTCCCCTGCTGTCTGCGATGCGGTGGACGTGGAGGAGTTGGCTCTTGAGGAGGAATCGTGTACGATGGATCCGGTTGGGGATACTATCACTCGTCGGTCCTACGCTTCCTTTCTCGTGCTTTGATGTCCTTTGCGTGCCCGAACTGACTCGGGCAGATTTCTCCGGGGAGTTCTCGTATTGGAACTTCTCCATGCGTGTCAAGCAGCGCCTGGACAGCCAGACGAGGGCTGGCACTCAGGTTGGTGCCATCCACCCTGTTCGACTGCTCTCTCCTGACGATGTGACAGAAGTCGGACCGAATAGACGGATACTGGCGGGCCCAGCAATTGCGTCCAGGTCTGAGCCATCTGTCCGAGGCGATCGCCTGCTGTCCTCCGCGCCATATAGCCGTGTTTTTGGTCGGCACGTTCTTCAAGCACACCAAGCAGCACTGTTTCATCGTCCGGGAGAACTGGGTCCTGGAAGAGTTGAGCACGCTCTACAGTGACCCTCGGAGGCTGCTTGAGAAGACGCAGGCCGCAGTCATCATTGCCATCCTGCTGGCCGTCTTCGCCATTGGAACGCAGTACGCACATCTCGAAGCCCGGAGGAATGCTGCAGCCGGCGCATTCACATCTCCGCCGGCGTTCTCGGAGGAAGAGGTCGGCGTCACGTTCTACCAACCGGCTATCCGTCTACTCCCTGAGATCATCGAGCTGTCGTGCCTGGAAAGCGTGCAGGCGTGTCTGCTGTTCGGCTTTTACGCCCTCCCCGTCGACGCCGCGGGGCTGGGGTACATCTACGTGAACCTGGCGGTGCGGCTGGCGATGCAGAACGGGATGCATCGCAGGTGCACTACGGACGCATTCACCCCGATGATGGTCGAGGGGCGCAATCGTGTGTGGTGGATGGCATATTCGCTTGAGAGGTATGCCCTTCCCTTGGTAGGATCGCCAACATGCTGAACAGGCTAGAAAAATATCCATCTTCCATGGCCGGCCTCTGTCCATCGCACGATCCGACGTCGATGCCGACATGCCACGGTACCAGCCGGATATGCCGCTGGAAGACTCAAGCTGGGCCGTTGCTTGTGCCGTGGCCGGTGTCAATCTGATCTTCTTCCTCGAGGACCTTTTCAATCTGGTGTATGCGGTTCGCGCCATGCATATAAGTTGCAAACAGCCATGCTGACATCTTGTTACGATGCTCTAGGTCCCTTCTCCGCAATTGTCGGAAGCAGGAGACACCACACCTCATCCTACGACTGGTGAGCAAGAAAGATGCCCTGACAACGTGGTGGGATAGCCTCCCGCCAGAGATCCTCGGGAATAGAACCCAGTCCCAGGCACAGCTTCGCGCAACCATGCATCTACGACTAGAATACTGCCTGGTGCGCATGTTCGTTGGCCGGCCATTTCTGCTTCGGAATGAACCGTCCTCTTCCCCGGCTGCGTCAGACTGCAGAACTCCACGGAGCTGCGGCGGACAGAGCTCGCACGGCAGAGATCTCGTCGAGGATTGCATCCAAGCCGCCAAGACCGCGTTGGAAATCTGTCAACTGCTCCGAGACTGTGGGCCTGGACTGGCCAGAGCGTCGTATACAGAGTTCAGCTCCTGTCGCGCGTCGCTGTTGGTCTTGATTGCCTACTCGATCGAGAACCGGCCGGAGGAGTTCCGGAAACAGCTACGCGACGGTTTGGATATGATCCGGGAGATGTCTGCTGCTGGGGACTCGGCAAGATCAGAGGTATCCTTGATCGAGGCGCTGGAGCGTGCTCTCGAGCGCTTGCAAGGCCGGGCGCAGAGAGCACGGGCGAGCGAGATGGGTGTGAACGAGGCCGAGTCTTACGTTCCGGATTACAACGCTTTCAAGCACTGGGGAGTAATGTGGAAGAACCAGAGTCGCAGCACGATGAGTCCTATGGATGTGCCGAATGCCATGTCTCCTCGAGGCGGACGGCCTCCCATTTCCGATATCAACTCTCCAGACCATCTAGCCGGCTTGATGGATCACGGCATACCCCTTGATGACACTGGACAAGATGGTGGAGTGGATATCTTCCGCTCCTTCGGCTCGACAGACTGGTCAACGTACGGTGCTGGAAATATGGCTTCAGGATGGACAGATACACTGGAGACGAGGGTGCTGGAGCAGTTCCTTGCGAGTCCGTCCGGAATATGCAACTCAGTAGAGCAGTAGGGTACATGTCTCATCATGGCTAAATGAACAGAACTTGTGGATTCATATGGACTCAATCATAACGAAGCAGCCACGATCCCATCGGCCAGCTCAGGTAAAGAATCCGCAATAACATCCATCTTCGCATCAAAGATCTCCTCACACGCCTCCTTCTCATAAACCGTACAATACGCTCCTCGAAAACCCACCTTCGTCGCAGCCGAAACGTCCCACATATGCGCCGCCGCAAACCACTTCACATCCTGCGGCGCGAGCTTCTCCAGCGCCGGTATATACGCCTTGAGACTCGGTTTCGCTATGCCGTGTGAATCGCAACTGATAAAATTCTCCAGCGGCATATCCACGCCACCGCGCTCAAAGTACCCCCGCACCCGTTTCGTGTCGCCCGTCGTAAGACACCAGACCGTGAACCCTGCCTCTCGGAGCCTCGCAAAACATTCTTTCGTGCCGGGCCGAAGTGCCAGCTCCGAGTATCCCTGTGCGCATTCGTCTCGTTCGGCGTCTGTTGCGAAGGCCCGTGGCTCTTTGATCCCTGCCATGTGCAGCGTGCGGTAGAATACGGCTTTCAGCACGTCCCGGTAGGGTCTGTACCGCTCTGATATGGAGAGGAAGGTGAATTCGAGCTCCGCAGCTGTCATCCAGGTGAAGCCGAAGAAGGAAGATGTGATGTTATGAGACAGCAGTCGCGCGCCGAGGACATGGTCGATGCGGTTGTAGAAGGCGTCGAAGGCGACACAGGTGCCTACGACGTCGAAGACGACGTGTTTGGACATTTTTGCTATTCCGAGAATCATCGTTGCTTTCTACATCTTCCACGCCCCGACAGTCCGTTATATCCCAGATTGCCGGCAGATAGATCACCAGTATCATGCCTCCATTGGGCAGGACGGGCCGGTTCGCTTCGACGAAGATAGAAAAGAGATAGCTGAAGCCAAGAAGTCAAGATACGAGATATACGAGGTATCCAGGAATAAGACCCATTTTGCTCCGCTGTGGCTGTGATACTCCGTGATAACTGAGTCTATTCTCTGTAACTATCTCAACGACGCAGTGGATTCTGTCTTATCTATACTACTACTCAGTAACCCACTCCATGTATCTCATTATTGTAAGTTGCCAGCCCCCTAAGACCATAGAACGTTGATCTTCTGCAATCCCCGCTTCGGCTGAGGCTGAGGCTCAGGGTTATTCCTATAATTCTCGATGAACGGCCGAATAGGAATCTCATCCAACGGGATGATCTTCGTCTTCATCCAGAACTTATAGCCAAAGTACAAGCAAAGAATAATGGGCAGATTGATGTACGAGGAAACAAACGTCTCCGTGTCCCAGTTATGCCGGAGGAACGTCGACCAGCCACCGGTGAAGAACAGGATGACCAGCAGAACCAACGTGGCCCAGGTCGCGTACGGCTGGAAGGGAGCCGCCCAGGGGAGTTCCTTGTGGCGGTCGATGCCTTGTTTCTTGCATCCGTAGTAGAACCGGAGGTAGACGCAGCAGATGCAGACCCAGTTCACCAGCGTGGAGATGGAGACGATATCCTGTAGCCATGTAAAGACCGTGCTGGCGGAATTGGATACGGTCATGTAGCCTAGGGCCATGAAGAGGCTGAACAGCGACACCGCGACGTAGGGCACGCCGAAGCGGTTGAGGCGGCGGAAGATGGCCGGTGCATGTCCGTGAGCTGCGAGTCCGAAGAGCGTTCGAGAGCCGCCGAGCATGGTGGAATTGCCCGACGACCAGGCCGAGGTGAGGATGACGGCGTTGATGATGGATGGCACGACCTTGATCCCTGCGTTGCGGGCTGCGATGACAAAGGGCGACTGTGATGCGGTTCCCGTCGAACGAAGCAGGTTCGGGTCATTCGAGGGCACGACGAGGCCGACCATGAAGATCGACAGGGCGTAGAACAGGAGAATACGGTAGAAAATGCGCTTGGCCGCCAGCGGGATCGAATGCCGGGGAGACCGCGTCTCAGCGGCGGCCACGGAGATCGTCTCGATGCCAGAGTATGCGTAGAGGGCATTATCAAATGTTGTCCAGAATCCCAAGAACCGGCCAAGAGACCCCTTGATGCCCAAATACCGCACAAAGGGCCCGGGGTTCTTCCAGAAACGGAAGCCGATGGTCGTGTGGTCGGGGCCTCCGCCGCAGGTGATGACCAGGGACATGATGTTGATGCCGATGATGAGCATGATCTTCAGCATGGAGAACATGAACTCCAGTTCCCCATACACCCGGACGAACAGAAGCGAGGTCATGGTCATCACGACGCCAAACACGGTGACCCAGACGGCGTTGCTGATGGTGATCCAGAACTGCACCACGACGGCGGCGGCAACAATCTCGGCCGGGATGGAGATCAAGGAGGAATAGATCTGATTCCATCCATTCGCAAAGGACAATGCACGATCGCAGAAGAGTTCGGAGTACCGAACCACGCCGCCGTTGAGCGGCGCCAAGGCGCCCATCTCTCCAACGCCAAACACGACGCTCATGGCGGCGAGGCCGATGATGGTGTAGCCGAGGAAGGCCCCGAGAGGCCCGGCCGTTGCAATGGCACTTCCAGAGCCCAGGAAGAGACCAGTGCCGATGGTGCCGGCGAGGGCAATCATCTGGATGTGCCGCTGGTGAAGGCCTTGCTTCAGCATGTCGATCTCCTGCAGGTGGCCTGCTGCCGTTTCGATGTCGCCATTGCCCATTTCAGCTTCATTGTGAGGGACTGTCTTCTCTGCGAAAACCGCAGAGTCGTCTGAAGGATGGCCCATTGTAAAGAGGACGTGCTCGGGGAGGGAGAAGAGTAAGTCGCAGGGTCAGTTTCGGAACAGCCGACGAGGGCAAGGAGCAAAGGCGACAGAAGACGAGCAATTCCTTTCTTTTTGTATCATTCTGGGTCCCTCGAGAGTGCATTGGAGACTGCACGGCCATGCCAGCTCTGAAAGCTTATCAGGCTCTCCTGAGAAATCGCCACGGCTTCATTGGCCCTGGCTATCTTCGTGGGCATTTGGCAATGGATCGTTGCAGATGAGCAATCCAGGCCATCGGACGTGCACTGCGACTTTGTTATCAGCCATGGGACGCCAAGGACAGCAGGTCATGCAAGCGCAACAGCTTAGCGTTCCACGATGCCCGAAGAGGCATAAATGCCCCGGTTCACTGCTACATCGCGATACGAGAATACCGGTCCGGCCGATCAAGCTGATAGTAGATACAGGATGCTTCAGCCGGCTCTGGACAGGCATATAACCAGGCCGCGATGAACCAGAATGTTGTGGCCCTTTCTTGCGTCGAGCAAGCTCGGATATTGAATCGCCATGGCTGCCTCATCCGCTGCAGCCAGCGCACAGTCGCAGAAATGCTTCCCAGCACGCAATCCGGGAGAGTGCTTTTGGCAGACAGAGCCACACGAGCTGAGCAACCACCGCTCGACGGAACAGCTGCCGGAACACAGTGACATCGTGATCATTGGCGCTGGGTACGCCGGGATCAGTACGGCCTACCACCTCGTCAGAGACCACGGGGACCTGAACAAATCCATCACAATCCTGGAGGCGCGCGGGGCCTGTTCCGGGGCCACCGGACGCAATGGAGGACACCTCAGGCCCGACTTCTATGGTCATATCCCGACATATATTGATCGGGCTGGGGCGCGAGCCGGTGCGGAGATTGCAGAGTTTGAGATTGCGCATCTTCGTGCCATAAAGCGGGTCATCGAGGAAGAACACATTGACTGCGATTTCACGCTGGCACGGTCGATTGACGTCTGGTGCAATGAGGAGGCGGCCAAGAATGCTAAGGCTGTCTACGACCGGATGGTGGCGGAGAAATTCGAGTACATGGACGATGTTATTTTCTACACGGGCAAGAAGGCAGAAGGGGTATGTATCTGGCTTGAGCATATGGAGTAAATACTAATGAATATAGATCTGCGGCGTGAAAGGCGCCGTCGCCTGTGCCTCATTCACAGCCGGCACAATGTGGCCGTACAAATTCATCCTGCATCTCACCAAGTCTGCCCTGGCCACAGGCAAGGTCAATCTGCAGACATACACGCCCGCGACCAGTGTAACGCCCGATCCGAATGGCGGCTTCATCATCGACACCCCCCGGGGAAAGATACACGCAGGAACCGTCATCCATGCGAACAACGCATACGTGTCTGGTCTTCTCCCAGAATACGATAAGAATATCATCCCCTGCAAGGGCATCTGTTGTCGAATTACAGTCCCGGAAGGAGTGACACCTCCCCTGCTTAACAACTCCTACATCAACCGGACAAAGGACAATACACTCTCCTACCTGATCCCCCGAGCAGACGGCAGCATCATCGTCGGCGGCGCAGCGGCCAAGTTCAAGCCATTCCGGGAACAATGGTACGGCAACGTCGATGATAGCACGCTCATCGATGCAGCCAAGGATTACTACAACGACTACATGCAACGGACTTATCGCGGCTGGGAAGACACCAAGGCGTCCGTGGATAAGATCTGGACCGGCGTCATGGGCTATTCCTACGACTCTAACCCTCATATCGGTGCGGTGCCGGGGAAGGAAGGGCAGTTTATCATTGCCGGATTTAACGGGCATGGCATGCCGGTTATTTGGCTCTCTGCCAAGGGTCTGGCGAGCATGGTCGTACGGGGGGTCCCGTTCGAAGAGACTGGTATGCCTAGATTGTTCAAGACGACGCAGTTCCGTATCGACCGTGCAAGGAATGGACGGGAGGAGGATGGGGATATTCTGGGGACGGGAAATCTGGCTCCTACGAAGCCGTAGTCCTCTAGGAATGGATTACGAATGTACTATGCTATAAAACCAGTAAACCCTTCGATATTGAACTATTTACAGCTGTGAGGGCGTAGATGCTCCGACGATGGCCAACATTAAAGCCTCATCAAGTTGACCAGCGCACGGCTGGAGCAAGAGTGCCTTAAAATGTGTGAAGAGAATGAAGGCAATGGAAGAATTTCCCGAATCCCACGACCACTGCCTTGTCGGTCTTTACACAGCATTGATCAGACAGACGACTTCAGACCAAAAATAATATTCTCAGAGTAGCCAAAAAAGTGATGTCGGTAAGTAAGTATTAGAAGAAGAGTCAAAAAGCAAAAAGCAAAAAAGAAAGAAAGAAACCGCGCAAAAAAGTCGAGTCAACTGCAAAAAGGAAATGTGGCCCGAACCGCGATTCGAACGCGGGACCTCCTGTATGCGAGAATACCTTCGTAAGAAGGGGAACCCAAAACAGGAATCATACCACTAGACCATCCGGGCTGTGCTTATAGTATTATCTCCGTTATATTGCTTTTCCTGCAATTACATACAGACGTGATATTCACAGCCGAAATCTTGATCCAAGAAAGATCTTCACGGTTATGCTATGCCATCATATGCCAGGAAAGCAGTGGAGTTGGGATTCTGTCGACGCATTGTATTTCCGGTCGGAGCACTCCGTCGTAGGAGATTGATTTAGAAGTGAAGATGACCTGATTCATATCCGCGTACTATAATAATGTGCATCAGCAGGTTAGCTCGTGTGTATACAAAAAGAGACTGAAAGTACGCCGGTAGACGGATAGATATTGGTCAATTTGCCCCCTGGTAACTTCCAGAGGGACCAGATAGGCAATCTGGCAGTCTGGTACCCTTCGTAGCCGACGATATTTCTGTCTTCCACAGAGGTTCCGGCCAAGTTCGACAGCCCTTTGAGAACGCCCATACACCATATAAGCATAACATTATAGGGCTAGAGGCTGAGTTCTAAAGAAGCAAGTATGCCTTTATGGTCGCTGTGATTGATTGATTGTATGACACACCAGATCGTATTCCCTGTGTACGCCAGGACATTCCTCGACGTGCTTATCATGAGTTACATTCCAAGGCCTACTGGGGTGTGCCAAAGGCTTATCAGTCCATATAACAGCAGATGAGCTGGCTTTTCGACTGGTATACATTTTGTGTGTGAATCAGAAGAGAAGGCCGACGGAAGGGGAAAAAGCGGACAAAAAATATAAGGGCCCGAACCGCGATTCGAACGCGGGACCTCTCGCAGTTTAGAGCTAATAAAAATGCCCCGAAGCGAGAATCATACCACTAGACCATCCGGGCGAATTTTACCTGTATAAGGGCTTTATGCTATATCAGGCCGAGAACAATGTACGGGGAGTAATAATGGTTGTTGTTCATTGTGTGGAACCCCAGAATTTTGTCACAGTGAATCCGGATGGTGTTAAGCATCATGAGCCGCAACAAGAGCCTTCAATGTCAATGTATCTATGAACATGTTGTGCAAGTTGTTTAATCTAGCTCCAGTAGCATGTTGTATGTAAAACATGTCTTGAGCAACCAGGTGGTACGTATGTATGTATATGACTTCTAGGCTTACCACACAGACACGTTCTATGACGTGGAGGAAGAGGGAAGAAACCATGTCATTATACATAAGGGGAGATCGGAATACAAAATTTTATTCCCCCAGGACAGGACGCCTAAAGAATTCAAGTCATAAACGGACCGCCGGTCTACAATCGACCAGAAGAAGCTTGCACGGTTCCATTCTCGCCGTATCCAGCTTCATTTCAATTTCACATCAACCCGCCGTAGGTCTTACCCTCTTCATTCAGTTCCTCTTCTGTGGCGAGATAGTCCTTCCATTTGGACTTGTCCTTCTTGATGTGGTCTTCGAACTTTTCGAGATTGCTTTCTTTCTTGAGCGCTGCCTTGTCTGCACCTTCCGACTGCCCCCTGGGCTCATCGTGGGTATGCTTGCGGTGGAAGATTTCGTCCAGGACTCCGTGATGGTGTTGTAGTTCCGATGCTGGAGGTAAGAGCGTTAATTCCAGGGCAAATTAATACGGGGACTGACCGGGTTGACTAACTTGGTGCCATGGCGTCCTACGATTATTGGAGAGGAGTACCTGCTTTTCAAGACAGTTGGGTACCAAACTTAACGTTCGTGTTCGTGTTCGATGTTAAGAGCTTGGGGTGCCTTACTTGTAGACCGAAGTGTCGGGCAGGTTTGTGATGTATATATATATACCCCGCGCATGTCCTGCGTCATCGGATGTGCAAGCACCGATGAAGTCCGGGAGATCATGAATTGCTCCAGGCTTTCTGGTCCCCACATCGGGAACCGTAAATCACAGCTCCATCGTGCTCCCTTTGACCGTGGTGGGCGGAGAATCCTTGTTTTTGCGGCGATCAATCAAGCCCTAAGCCAATGACTGGGCAAACACGGACATTTCCATAGCAGCCATAGCAGCCAGGAAATACAGGCTTCAGTATTCCAACTTAAAGAGACCCAGAATCCTGTTACTCGGTGTTTCCCCCTTGTTCGTCCAGCAGATGGGAATTCGGCAGTTCCCTGCAGGTTATCCCGACCCGCTGTATCTATATGAATGTCGTCTTCCCAGTGCCCAGTTCGGGTTCACCATGAAAAAGCATCCAGCGTAAATTCGGTTGCCTTACTCTTTCAAGATGCCAACGCTCGAAAGCATCAATATAACAACGGTGGACACGAATAATCGCCCCGATGAATGGAGGATAGAACAGGGTATGGCAGGTTCCAAGTCGCCTATCCTCGATCAGACTCAAGCAAGATGGTCTTCATTCACCCGATCGATCCACCCTTAGGAACACAAGATAAGGTAGCGATTGAAAGCTATTGGCGATCGCAACAAGCTGTTCGCTCGCGAGTCGGAAGGGTGGAAGGGGTACAGGTTCTGTAGTCTTGATTCCGGTCCAATCCTCTGGAGAGGCTGGCTGATAAAATGTGGATTCCCCCAGCTCTGTAGAATGGGAGAAACACCCTAGAAGAAAGCAAAAGCCCACAAGACCTTACAGCCCAGACCTTTCTCCTGTTCCGGATTTCATGACTGGTCCTGCCCCCGGCATAAATCCTGTGCTTCCAGGGGAAGACTTCAGGGCACGGCACCGTGCTGTCGGAGGGGAGCTCGCCGGTGTCCCTGACGGCTTCTGGAAAACTGTTTGCAAGGGAAAACATCCCGATATGCCTCATCTCCTGCAGTTCTCGCATAACGGGGAAGCCTCGAAAAGTCTCGTCACCGCGGAAGCTGTTACGCCCAACTCGCTTCATTTAGCCCATAACCACGGCGGTATCCTTGTATCCTGATGAGTAAATGGCTCTGGATTTGTCTTTGGTTATCTCGTCTCATGCTGCGATAGCCTACTTAGCTAATTAAGAAATATGTCCATTAATCAATGCTGCCGAGAAATCATGCGTCTCCGCCGCAACAGCACGCAGATCTGTTGATCGGACTGAATCCAATTGGACATACGCTGCCGATTATTAAATTAGAACTTGCATCTTTATGGTCCATGATTGCATAATATAAGGCACCGCCGGGGCCTGATTCACATTCCTGGAATCAGTGTCCCATTGCAAGTTGTTGGGACAGCCTGAAGAATCCTCTCTGTCCACATGGGCACCTTGGACACCCTGATGCTGTGCTTCATCCTGCTGGGAACCCTTCCATCGGCATCACTTGCCGGAACAGCCAACCTTCCCTCGTATCCTCTCGCGGTTAGGAGTCCCTATCTGTCGACCTGGGTGCCGGGACGTCAGGTGCTTGCAGATGCAGCCACTGCGCAGTCGGAATTCTGGGCCGGTCAAAGGATAAACTGGCCCATCTTAGCAAGAGTTGATGGTAAAACATACTCATTGTTTGGAAATCCTCATTCTATAGATGATATCGCAGCGGCATCAACAGTGGGAGTCAGCTACACGTCTTCGCATACGTTTCTCAACCTCACTGCTGGCGCTGCTAGTTTCACACTAGATTTCTTCTCCCCGGTATTCCCAGGGAGCGATGACTTTCTGCGCCAATCTCTCCCGTATTCATATCTCACCGTCACTGCAACAAGCAGCAGCTCCGGGCCGGTCGATGTGCAGATCCTCAGTGCCATTGACAATACTTGGACGGCGCAGAATGGAGAGGCAGATCTCAATTATACGTCTCACGGCAAGGCTGGGTTGTTCTGGTTCTACAACCCCGATCAGATCTCGTTCACTGAACGGAGTGACATGGCTACATATGGCTCTGTGGTGTTCGCGACTATCTCAGGCGACCGAGTTACTCATGCTTGCGCCATGGCTTCTAGTATATACGCAGAGTTCACCAGCAAGGGCTCCCTCACCGCAGCGACATCCTGTACTGGTATTGACCTTGCAGCGTTATCCAAGGACCTGGGCAATGTAAACGATGCTCATCCAGGGCGGGTGACGTTCGCTGTCGGCCTTGATCGGAAAGAAGCAATCGACTATCTGAACACCACGCAGACAGGCTATCATTATTCGAAATGGCCTACCGTGCCAGAAGCGGTGGAATATTTCCTCCAGGATTACAGTCACGCCCTAGCTAAGTCATCTGCATTTGATATGGAAGTGCGCCGCAAAACAGAGGCTGTGTCGAGTGTGTTCGGGGAGAAATATGCGGATATCGTGGAAGCCAGTGTTCGACAGACGTTCGGTGCCCTAGAACTCACGGTAAGCTCTCATTTCATCGTATACAAAGGTATGATCTCGTCTGACTCAAGGCTAGGTCCCTGCGGACGATCTCACAGCCACGCCTTCTGTGTTTTTGAAAGAGATCTCGAGTGACGGCAACATCAACACCATTGATATTCTGTTCCAAACGTGGCCGATTTTCATCAGCTGGAACCCAGAGTACATCCGACTGTTCTTCCAACCGGTCCTCTCGTATCTCAACCTTCCCAAGTCAGAGGGCTGGCCGAAGCCATGGGTGATCCATGATCTTGGCTATAGTATGGACATTCATCTCCTCTTGAGTGCTACGTTATGCTCACGAACCAATGCACAGGTTACCCAAACGCTACTGGTCATAGTGACGGCGTGGCCGAGTCTCTCCCTCTATTCGAGACATCGTCTCTGTTCATCCTTCTATACGCGTACCAGAAATATACTGGAGACAAGGCATGGGCACAGCAATACCTCCGCCTTCTAGAAAATTACGCGGAATATCTAGCGGAAAACTCACTCTACCCAGCCAGCCAGCTCACCAGCGTCGACGCCATTGCCCCGACTGCTAATCAGACAGCTCTTGCTATTCAATGCGCCGTCGGCCTCCAAGCCGCCGGGATCATCACCGGCAACGACACCTACGCTGCATTGGCTGCTTCATACGCTCGGATAATCTACGACGATGCCCTAGGCTTGGATGGAGATACTGTCTTGGAGAGCACGCATTTCACCTACAACTACGGGAATGGAAGTACGTGGAATGTCATATTCGCCGCTTTCTCGGACATCATATTGGATCTGAATACCTTTCCCGCTGCAGCGTGGGAGTTACAGTCCAGTTGGTACCTGGCGCAAATGGAAGAGGCTGGCTTGGCCTTTGCAGGGCCTGCGTCTGATACGACTTACACGGGCAAGCCATTCACATGGGGTCTTGTCGATTGGAGTGAGTCGACTTGTTGATATTGTCACTGTGGTTTGTACGTCTCCGTCTAACTATCACGAACAGACATTGTCGCCGCCGCGGCGTCGTCGACCACCGTCCAGGAAGCTGTCATAAACACCACACACGCTTTCCTGACAAATGGTCTGAATGACGCTCCCTTTGGCACAAAATACGAGGTTCAAGGTCCTGATGCAGGGAAATGGATTGCGAATAAAGCGAGGAGTACTGTGGGGTCTAATTTTGCTCTGGTAGCGCTGCAGCAGGGCCTGTGGAACCTGTCGAGAGAGAATACCCTCGACATTTAGTAGATAATACTCACGGGCGGCTGGAATACATTTTGGATAAGCTACATATAAAAGCTAGCAGGTAGCTGCAGACTACAAAGGATATATCTCTCCCTCGGAGCAATAGTTCATTAATCTACCCGAACCATACTGGTATGGGGCATGTCCTGCATGGCCCAAAGAACCAAGCGTAGATATCTTCCCTGAATCACCAACTGCAACCAGAATCGGTCTTTGATGTCCAGCACATCAATCCTCGAATGCCATGTTTTGCTCACCAAAAACCTGATCGAGGAGATGCGCCATGCCACGTCCATAGAGCTGGTAGATAATCTCGAAGGGATTCAACCTGGAAGAACCTTCTCCAACGTTATCGTGTTCATGGATATTGTGGTTCTCGAGGGTATTCTCGCCCTCCTGATCTTCACTGGAAGTAAGAGTATTGTCATCCTCGCAAGCGTTGCTCTCACAAGTATCGTCAACCTCACAGGTATCATAGTCTTCAGGAATGCTGCCGTCCTCATCGTTGCTGTCGGAAGCTTCACTGTCCACGGAATCCTCAATGGTAGAAATATGGCTGCAAGTCTTCAAAAGCGGAAGCTCGGGAGACGGATCGTCCAGGTACAGGTTCGATCCGTCCTTGTTACTATTGATGAAAATCTTGGGACAGACATACGTCTCGAGTAAGTGGCAGTTGGCGGGGTTTTTCGGTAGGGCGCGTACCCTCTTCAGGACTTGCTGGGCGCGAGTGTAGATGAGACGTTCTATCGAGTCGTCGACGCTGATCAGGAGGCTTGGAGGTTGAGTTGGTTTAGCATTGTTCTGGTCGATGGGCTTCTGGTGATCGCTATTCTCTGCGGCCTGCTCACCGTTCTTCTCACCGTCAGTATTTTTGTCAACGGTGTCAGTAGCCTTCTGATCGACAGCTTTGTCGTCAGTGGTCTTGTCGTAAAAAGTCTTTTCATCAACAGCCTCGTCATGAACCATATCCGCAAAGGACTTGTCGTCAGGGACCTCATCATCAACAGTCTGGCCAACAGGTTTGTTATCAGAAGCCTTGTCGTCAACGGTCTTGCCATCGACCGTTTTGCCATCAGCAGCATCGGCATCAATGGCCTTGTTACCAACCGACTTGGCATCAGTGATATTCGGACGAATGGTTTCGTCACTACCACTGTCGCTGTCGGCACTCTCTTCACCATCGATGACAACGCTTTTCAGAGCCGGTCTCACAACCTGGTAGACGTAGCAAAGGTGGCTCAACTCATTGAAGTCTTGGGGTCTATCATTTTCACGCACAAGCCCAAAGAACTTTTGCCAAACGAAATCCCCTTCATCAAGGACTTTCAACACCTGATCGACGGTAGGGAACTGGTGGGCCATTAAACAATGCATTATTTCATAATAGACAAGATGAGTGAAGGGTGAAATCTCGACCTTGCACTTGCCCGTGAGACCGTATTTCGCGAGTCCGTGGATGATCAGACGACGGAATATGTACGAAATTTGCATATGGCGTTTACTGGCAGCGAGCATCCACCTCATTGCTCTTTCAAAGGTACATGTTCCGGCACGGAGACGGTCATCGAGTGATTGGTAATAATGGAACCGAGGTATATCAAGGTTAATTATCAAGGTACGGCCAGGATCGCTATTGTGATTGTTTGTCATTGCCAGGAGTCTCACAAGGTCGATAATGGCCGGGACGGCACGGGCGAAGTATTCGACTTCGTAAAGAGTTGGCTCGGATTGCTCGAGTATACTCGCGCTGGGGCTTTTTGCGTTAGCGAAGCTGGCGTCCAGAAGGCGTTTTGTGTACAGGCTCATTCCAGAAAAAATAGTGATGCTTTCAAGGCTGGGCTGGCCGCCATCACCCTGACCGGATAACAGACCACGCACGACCTCGGCCGTGGGACAGGAAAAATGGAGATAATGACCGGATGCTGCCCTAATCTCCTCTATCACCGGGTGGGGAAAGATGAAATTAATTCGTTCAAAGAGAGTGACAGCTTCAACGTGTCCGTCTTCTGGGAGCCCTCCAACAAGACCCCTTCCGGTCGTGGTGACAGAGACGTCGTCTGCCTGTTTGGCATAATTGAGGATATCAACCGCCCTGCAAGCAGTATTATGTCCTTCAGTCACTGCCTTGGCATACATGATGGCATGTTTGTCTTTGTTGCTGTCATCCTCTTGGTCTCCAGGATCAGTGACTTCAGGGAGATAGTGGTACCCTCGTATCTCTGAGGAGCCCTGTTTGAGACAGTGTTTGGCATGGTGCACAGTGAGTGTAGCAGGAGAATCAGTATGACACTGGAGATTTGCAACCTTGAACATGGTGTCAAGTCAGTTAAGGAGGGTGAAAGAGGAGATGAGAGGAGAGAGCAGCAGAGAGATGTGACAACTCTCTTTATGCTCCTTATACTCCTGATATCACGTGCAAAGCAAACGCACACACGCTAACAGTCACTAAGGCCTGATAAAGCCAATAAACGTGTGGAAAACTCTGCTAGCATGTTCACCCCATGCTTCTTGCAGTCTAGCGTGGACGGACTGTCATGCCTACTGGGTGAAATTGAAAGAACTCCACAGGACAGTGACCGTTACCACAGTGAAGGGGGTCTTCAGGTCCCAGACTGCAGCTGGGAAGCTTTGAGAAACCATGTCAACCTTGTGTGAATGACAGGAAGACAACTACGACCGCCTGCAGACATGGAATTGCACGCAGAATTCTACGTTGGGATGCCTGGCTGGGTATGGCTAATCAAACAGCGAGGCATCTCGCCAGATACAGCCGTTATAGCTCTGAGATTGGTGGAAACAAGAAGCAGAGCACGTCTGGTCATGGGAGATGGTCATGGGAAGTATGGGAAGTATGCATTCCTTTGTTACGATGCCGTTGTCGACCTGAATCACTGACGGGTCTACATCTTGGGTCCCAATCCAGTTTCCGAACGACAGGAGCTCTCGGTATCTCTCGAGTGGTCATACGTGCTGGGTTATGCAATTGGCACAGACTCAAGCGTGACTTGTAAGATGTGTGGGTATGAGATTGGAAGCTTCGAATATGCGCACGGCGACTGCTGATGATACCTTAACTACAGTAAGTCGATGTACAATCCTTCGGTAGAAGGAGCGGCCGGAGGAATCCAAGGCTTCTGGCGACTACTGTTGTATCGGTGCTGAGTACAGTCCTACCGAGTACGGGGCTTATACACTGGAATCAGAAGGGATACGAATTGATATATGGTAGTCGAGATGGCCTTCGGATTCTTGACGGATTATTGAAACCGGACATAATGAAGAGGAATCTAAGATTACTGAATATACTTGTACGTCCTTCAAAGTCTCTAAACCGGAGAATATAATCTGACGTATTCATATAAGACGATTCATGTCTTAGTAGACTTCACCGTCTCCGCATCCTGCTCAATAGGACCCGGCCGGGCAAAGAACGCACCAAAGAAAGATACAAGGCTATTGGCACGGTATGAAAGACACAGAAAAAGCGTCATGCCCGTAACAACGAGTTCATCCCTCGCATCCCGAGCTGCTGCCCTGGAACCCAAGAACTCGATGTTGCCGACTTTCTTGGTCGCCCAGATGTTGAGTGACAGCTTCGCGACGGGCATCTTCCGCTCATCCAAAGACACAAAGTTCCACTTCTTCAATGTCATATCGCCCGTCCACGTCATAGGTACGGGGGAGTCAGTATCGGAGAAGGCGTGTGAGAGGTAGGTGTACCTGGACTTGAAACGTTTGAGGGCTTTCAACGTGCCCTTTCGGCCGTGGATCTCGTAGTCGGCGTCTATGCGGACTGTGTGCACGGAGCCCGTCCCGATCGGGTTGATTTCACTTGGTGATGTGACGACGATGTGTGGTGCTTTGAGTCTGAAGTCAACCTTGTACATAGGAACTTCATTATCTGTGAGTACCGCTTCGGCCTTGGAGACTGAGTAGTTGATTTTCAGCGTAGAAGAGCGCGAAGCGTCTGAGATATCTGAAGATGAGGCCATTTCGTTTGGTATGTGTGCGCGCGTAAGAGAGTGTATGCTGATGTTGTCAGGGTATTTCGGGTTGCTTATTTATGGTCGTTGCCGGATTCTTCTTTAGGGCTTCTGATCATTGCCGGATCTGGTGCTATGTGCCGCCTGCCAATGGCATCAGCAACGCGAACCTTGCAGCATTTTAGTTATCTCTCGGCACTGGGCATTGGGCAATGTGAAGACTGGGCTGAATTACGATCAGCACGGGTGTCAAAGCCCCATGCGATCTTGGCAGCTTGGAAGCTAGCCTATGCGTTAAGAGGCTGAGTTGTCGCCCTGGGCTCTGGACGAATATGAGCCAAGCAGAGCCTTGTATCTGCCGTTACCTTGTTACGTTCCGTGCAGGGCTGATGCGGAATTGGGGTTTATATCCCGCTGTGCCATGTGATACTATAATTAACAGGAAGTTGGAGAAACATTCTGTCATCTCTAAAGGAACTGGCTATTTAGATGAGGACCTCACCCGTGCTCTCTAATTTTATTGACAGAGCGCCGTGTATAACCAGATTCGGTATGGCATATTGCACGCAGCTGAGGTTGTCCTGTTTCGTCATCCTCTGGAAAGATGGCTGTCGAGAGGTATAAAAGGGCTCTCTAGTGCCCCATTGTCAGGACCATACAGGGGTTCATTCTCGCATCTGAGTCCTGAACACTACCTCTACTCCCAATATGCATGTGTCACGACGTTCCCCTCTCTCTTTTGTCTGTATACATCACAGGCGGCCTTGCCGATTACCTGGGACCTATCAACCCAGCACCCGCCGACCTGACGAGCGGTGAAAGCCATGCGGCCTCAAGCTGGGCGAATCTTGCATCCGCTTTTGATGAGTCTTTGAAGAATGCCGGCGGAACATCGGGTGTTCTTGCAGGGCTGGAGAACCTCACATTTTCCGCTGGCGTGTTTTCGCTCCATGACCCGGCCGCTACAAACCTGCAATACCACTACACGTCCCCGGAAATCGCGAATGCACCGTCGGGCACCGGGAATGTTGATGCAAATAGCATCTACCGCATCGCCAGTGTGTCCAAGCTCATCACCGTGTTCGCGGGCTTGCTGGAATTGAGCAACGAAGACTGGAACCGTCCCCTCATCGACATCGTCCCTGGATTGGAAGAAGCAGTGCATCAATACAAGGGGGAGAGGGAAGCTGTTTACAACGCTCAATGGGACAAGATCACTCCGTGGGCCCTCGCGTCCCAGATGAGTGGTGTGACAACACTTGGGATTGTAGGTACTGATCTTCTCGCTGAGTATCTAGTTGCTCTGGCACTTGGTCTGCCTGCTACGGACCCCGTTGGTGAAGAGGGCTTCCCACCCGTCGACGCCAGTAAGTTGGGGCCTTGTTGGAGCTTCGAGAATGCTTTCTGCGATCCCTATGATCTTGCTCAGGAGATAAATGACCAGCAGCCCATTTTCCTGCCGTGGGCTACCCCAAGCTACTCCGACGCCGGTTTCATGCTGCTGGGAATGGCTATAGCCAACATCACCGGCAAACCCCTGGATGCCGTCTACCAGGAATCCGTCTTCGACCCTCTCGGAATGACTTCCTCCTATTCCAATCATCCCACCGGCGAGGCTGAAGTCGCTCGCTCTGTTATCTCCGGCGACCCGGACGCGGGTTTCGCTCTGGATGGCGGCTCTACCACCCCATCTGGTGGTCTCCTCTCCACCATCAACGACCTCACCAAACTCGGAATTGGCATTCTTAACTCGACTCTATACCCCTCGGATTTCACTCGCAAGTGGATGAAACCTATTACCCACACCGCAAGTCTGTCCTACTCCGTCGGTACCCCCTGGGAGATCATCCGCTACGCCCACCCGTCCACGGGCAAGGTCACAGACATCTACACTAAACTCGGCGACTCAGGGAATTACGGTGGCGCTCTCGTCCTCATCCCCGACTATGATGCGGGTTTCTGCTTCCTCAATGCTAACAGCGACATGGCCTTCCGGAGTACCGCGGCGTTAGTCGTCCTTGACCATATCACAGACACTATCGTCCCGGCCCTCGAGGCTCAAGCCACCGCGGAAGCTATGCGCAATTTCGTCGGCACCTACGTCTCGACTGATCCTAATCTGGATTCATCGATTACGATCTCCTTCAATGAATCTACTGTCCCGCGCGCTGCGCCGACTCTCAGTCTCTCCTCCTGGATCTCCAATGGCACGGATGTCCTCGCTTCACCCCTCTACGATGGCGACAGGCCACAGCTGTTGCTGAGTATACCCAATCAATTTGTCGGTGCTGGGAAAGTGGCGTTCCGATTGTCTCTGAATACACAATACAACATCTATACGGCTGCGAGTGGCTCGGGCGTGGGGCCGTTTTCGGGTGAATACTACACGAACTTTGGCTGGTTTTCTACTGATAATATGCACTATGCGGGGAATGCAGGTAATCTGTTTGTGTTCGATATTGATGAGAGCGGGAGGGCTACTGCTGTTAACCCGGTAGGTATGAAGGTGACTCTGGAGAGACAGGGGTAACTTCTGTCCTTGTGTCAAGAAAGCGAGCGACTGACTGCATTGGCTTTTACTTGAGAACTCTTCATCAATCAGATGTACTCGTTCCGTATCATTTTGTTCTATTTTGCCTCCATAGAATATAAGGACCTGCTGCTTTATATTATAGTTAACAGTATCGCGAACTAAGTATGTCTGAGATCATATTATTTATTCATGGGCCACTCGATATCTTTCCATGGCCGGCCATTTGTTTCCCGAGCAAGGTCCGCCACCGTCTTCCACTTCCAGATTTTTTGGCGTGGATTCACCATGACATCCTGCATAACATGGCGTTTCGTATTGTTGATCTTATCCTCTCCCATTAAGAAGCGTATACACTGCGCTGGATCGGGGGTAGCATTATTAATCGCATTGGCTTTAAATTCCTTCAGATTAAGCTCCTTTATCTGGATCTCCCCAGCCCCGGCAGCAGACATGCAATCAGCTATTTGCCGGAATGATTTTGTATCGCCTGAAATATGGATGATATCCGGTAACTGATCTGTTGAAAACAAAAAGGAGTGCGCGGTGATCTGTGCAACCGCCTTCCCAACATCATCCAATGCAGTAAACGAAATCGGAGTGTCTGCCGAACCGACGGCCTCGTACACCCCCGTCCTCGTATTAAACCCAAACCAGGGCCCGATGCTATCCTCCAGAAAGACTCCACAGAATATTCAACATATTTTGATCGCACTGGCACTGTACGCTGTCTGTGCATGCTCCAGATGCTTCTTTTTCTGGTCCCACACCGGATGGGAGAAGTCGTGGATGTAGTGGTCGACCCCGAACTCGGACGGAAGGTAAGTGCGCACCGGCGTATAAGGTACGGAGTCGATTAACTTATCCTTGAGGTCATGACCGCCGGGACCAATTGCGTCTACGAGGATCTGGACATCCCGGAGGACATCCATGATGTTGCCCTCGTGGTACTGCCGGCGAATGATGTTGGGGGCAGAGGTAGGCGGGAGCTGTGAGGGATCCTTTCGTGAGAGAAGTATGACCTTGGTAAAGGCGGATATGAACTGTTGAGAGGTAACAGCAGCAGTAATATGCTGGCCAAGATGGCCTGTAGAGCCAGCAATGGCGATCGATGGCATGGTGATATCAGGTCAGTACGTTAGAAATCCACTCACGGTAAGGTCTAGGACGCACATATACGACACTTCACCAGGCATAAAATAATAGGGCTTATAGTCATATTGCCTCCCATACGCAATACTTATTGTCTGGTCTTGCCTTCCAGGTTGTAGGTACCGAGTATGTGCAGCGTAGACGGGTGGTAATGCAGGAGAACCAGATGTCGGCGTGATGTCATTCGATGGCAAGCTACGTAGTCATTTGCATATGTTGCCTATTTTGCCTATTTCGACATGTTTGTCATATTTGTACTGTTTGTACTATTTGCCCACACTTGCAAACATCCACTGTATATCCTGGTGACGGGTTGGACGTAGTTGTATTCATAAAGGTTTTTGATTTGATTTGATTACTATTTAACGTCACTCGGCGGATCACGTGGCACACGTGACCCGCGGCCTCCCAAGGGGCATCCGGACGTGCTACCTAAGCAAAGACTCACTAAAATAAATACATGCTTGAAGCAACAAAGCTGGACACTATGTGTTGGAAAAGAGTGGAAGAAGCACCAGGCGCTACCCTGGCCTGGACTTCTAAAGGTGAGGAACCTGCTTTGGCTACCTTCAGTCGAGCAGGGGTGCCTTTCCCGTTCGTCCAGGTAGAAGCGTAGACTGTTGCACTATTCAGTGCTTGAGCAGGCCCAATTTGGGCATATATCCTTGAAAAAGGATGAATCTTGCACGATGTGGCTGAACTCTTCCGCCCCAGCAGCTGTACCTAGTAGCCAGTCAATTGTACTTGACGGGCTGCCTCTCTTGCATTTCCATCTATCCTTCCAGCGCTTCCTGGTGGGTGGGCAGAAGAAGAAATGGACAGGGGACTTCTGTCTCTTGCAGGAGCAGGTTGCTAGGTAGTCTACATGTTGAAATCTTTCATGATATGCTGCAAAATCCCCGTGACCTGTACGGGCGGCTATGAGCCTGCCCAGGACCCAGCGGGGGAGCTTATGTTCTTGGTCACGACTGCTTTTTGTATGAGGTCTGATGCCCAGGTCACGGTAGGCCTGAGGTGCGCCTCTAAAATATGCCGCGTGTGTATCTGCGCGGATCCGCTGTTTTGCCTCCCGTCTGAGGAATGAGGGAGAAGGGGGGATATCAGGACTGGCTAATGAAGCTCCCTTCTTTGCCAGCTTATCTGCGAGCTCATTCCCTGTGACCCCAGAGTGGCCTGGAACCCAACAGACCCCTACAGGTTTGCGAGGTAGAGATAAAAGTGAAGGCAAGCTGTCCCACTGAGCGGAGAGTTGGTGGAAAGTATCAGTAAGTCTTCGTCTATGGGGGGCTGGCCTGCCATCTGCTAGCAGGCTAGCTGCGGCTAGATTATCAAGGAGGATGTTGATTTGGGTAGCGAACTTGGTGCAGTCTTGGCTAACTGCAGCACGGAGCCCTTCTACTGCACCCATAATTTCTGCGTCGTAAACCTCTGTCCGCGCCCAGCAGGGCCGAATCCCTGGGTAAGCAGGATAGGGCCATAGTATATTGCATAGCCGTACCCAGCGCCCTGGTCTGTACGGGAGCCATCTGAATAGACTGTTACTTCCAATGGGGAAGGAAGGTGCTTACCCCAGTCAGTGGGGAGCATGCGCAGTGATGGGAGGGGTGGTTCTATATGCATGCGTTCCGGCGCTGGTCCAGGGACAAGTTGGAGGATCCTGGTAAGTCTGGTCCTGTTCTTACAGCTCTGGGCTGTAGTGGTAGTTATGCGAGCAATCAGGTGCTTCGCGTCAAGGCTTGCATATCTGATTGCCGCCTTCTGGAGGGTACCGTTGAGCAGGGCTTCAGGGTCAGGTAGGTCTGCCTCCCGGAGGAGTACTGTAGTAGGGGTTGTTTTATATGCAGGAAGAATGGCCAGGGCGGCCAGGCGGAGCAGGGATTGAAGGGAGCTGATAACCCCTTGTTGCCTGTAGCCAGTATAGAAGACTTCTGCGCCATAGAGAGCTGTTGGCAGGACGCACTGCATGACCACTGCACGCATGGAGGCTACTGGGCACCCACGCTGGGTATTGCTAAGCCTCCGGAGATGTTGAGCGAGCTGCTTGCCGCGGCTGAATGTCCAATTAATATGTGACCTGAAGGTGAGCTTAGTGTCAAGCAGGACCCCTAACCATCGGGTATATGGAGATGGTTTGATCTTGCCTACACCTAGTAGAAAGACTGTGGGGATAGACTGCTTCCGCTGCCTAGAGAAATGCTGTATTTCTGTCTTCTCAAAGGAGAATGGAAGGCCTGATGCAGCCCCAAGTGCCGTGATTGATTTATAGGCTTCCAATAGTTGCCGTGAGGTCTCTTCCAGATTGTTTCCAATGAATAGCAATCCCAGGTCGTCTGCATAGCAGAAAGAGCCCTTATGGGTAGAAACTACCATTGCCGCGTACAGCAGGAAGAGAATTGGGGATAGAGGGGACCCCTGGGGGAGACCGCCCTTGATTAGGGCTGTTGCAATAGCCTCTCTAATATGGACTGAGGCAGTGCGGCCGGTCAGCCAATCTTGGATTAACCGGATTAGGCCTTCGTCCCATCCCTGCAGGCGTAGGTGTGAGAGAAGCCGCTGATGGATTACCGCATCAAAGGCCCCCTTTACGTCCAGTAATAGTAGTGAAGCCACCATCTTCCTTCCAAAGGCCTTCTCTATCCTGTGGACCAGGATCTGGACAAGATCAATCGCAGAGCGGCCAGGAAGAGCGCCAAAATGGCAGGGGGCCAGTAGCCCTACCTGGATTGCTCGTGCAGCTATGCGCCGCGCCAGAAAGCGCTCTAGGCCTTTTCCTAAGGTGGAGAGTAGGCTGATGGGTCGCCAGGAGCCGAGCTGTGTGAGGTCCCTTTTTCCTGGCTTTGGTATCATTACCACCTTTGCAGACTTAAAACACTGTGGGAAGCGACCTTCCTCTAAGCAGCGGCGATAAAGAAGCGTGATTGTGTTGCCTAGAGCAGGCCAGAGCTCTCTCCAAACTGTGGTAGCAAGCCCATCCCTACCTGGGGCGGATGGGGCAGGGGCACAAAGGGCAGTCCAGCAGTCCTCCTTAGTTGGCAACCCTAGTGAATCCAGAGGTTTTGCTGGAGGGCCCTCCTCTAGTTGATCTGGAAGGGAGGCTCCCTTCTCCAGTAAATGTGAAAGAAAAGCATCCGCTTTATCTTGTGGAGTGCTAACCTGATTTCCTTGGATGTTTAGAGGGGGTGCCGCGAGCTGATCTGAGCGCTTATGCCATTTAGCAAGTAGGAAGGCATCTGTGGGAGACACTGCTTGCTCAATTCGCCTCTTCCAGTAATTAGCCTTTGCACAGGATATTGTCTTCCGGAGTGGTAGGTAGTCTGGGTCCTGCTGCTGTCGTGTTTGGTGGAGTAGGTCTGTGAGCTCTGGTGTCCACCAAGGGGTGCGTGGGAGCTTGCGAGAGTTATGTTTTGATGCACCACGGATGGCTAGCTGTACATTATCAACTAGTTCTTCTGCTAAGGTGTTGATGGGGAGGTGCGCAGGTGGGGGGGTTAGCAGAGATATAGCCTTCTCCCAGTCTGTAGAGCCTATCCTTGGACGGGAGATAGGCTCCGTCCAGTCTGTTGTAATCAGAATGGTTGCATGATCACTTGAGGTATTAAGGTAGTCTTCAACTACTGCCTCTATCAACATGTTGGAGAAGACCAGGTCAAGGGTGTTTGGCCCACGAGTAGGAGTGCCTGGCTCCATACAGAGCACTAGTTCATGGGCTTCTAGCCACTCTATAAGTGCTGTTGCGCCTGCTGTTACTTGGTGCGGTTCTGTCCCCGGTTGCCAGAGGGGGTGGTGGGTATTAAAGTCCCCCGCGATAATAGTGTTCTGCGGAGGGGAGAATTGCAATAGGGTGTGTAGGGTAGATAGGGTTGAACCAGATCCCGCTGGCACAACGGGGTCATTTGGGGGCGGTAGATGTTTATGATGGTTAGGCCAGCTGTACAGATAGCTGCGATATCTGGTGAGATAGGCTGAGGGAGAGAGAATGCTGGAAGATCCCGGCGAACATATATCAAAGCTCTAGGCCTAGTTTCCCACCGAGTGGCAGGGCTGAAGAGCTGGTATCGTGGGTGTGTTTTTGTGAGTTGTTTTGCCATGTCCGTCCAGGGCTCCTGGACTAGGATAATGTCCGCCTCAAATGTTAGCAGTAGGTCGTGGGCAGGGCTGCCCCTTCCAACATTAGCCTGCAATATCTTCATAGTTCTGGTGATGGGAGGGTTTGATTTGCAAGCTCCTGGGCAAGCTGGCTTGAGGACTGGTGGGGGGTGTGTGGACTGCTAGCTTGGTGGCTAGAGGCTGACTTAGCTAGTTGCTGTTGAAAGGCAAGTCGGCCAGCCTTACGAACAGCAGCCAAGGTGTCCTTTGCAAGGCGGATAATAGAACCCTTTTGTGTATATGGTCTAGCAGGGCACTTTTGGTAGTCTGCTGCATGTGGACCGCAGCAGTTCACACACTGCACGCGGCAGGTATGCTCCTGTTTAGAGGATCCACAGGAGATGCAGCGCTCACTAGAGCGGCAGGCTCGTGTATCATGGAAGCGGTGGCAGCGGGTACACTGTAGTGGTCTTTTCTTAGGGCGGGTAGGCCGTGATAGGCCAGAGGAGCCAAAGAGTTGCAAGGCACGTTGTGGCTTCTTTGGAAAGGCTATGACTGCCGTGATAGAGCCCTCCTCTACAGGGTGCTTAGAGAGCTTAGTCATAAGCGGCTTCATACCAGTTATGCGCTCTGCTTCTGTACTGATATCCCTGATTGTGGTGGGTGCCCATCCCTCTCGGGTCCAGAGCTGCTGAGGGATCCTAGGGACTACTACCTGATGGAAACCCATTGCAGCCTCAAAGTTGCCGTCTCCTGCTAGCCCACTTGCCTGTGGGGAGAGTAGGAAAGCCCTACCTTCTTCAGTGGCTGAGATTGCATATCCTGTAGCCACGGCCTGCACTCATGCGATTCCACCAGGAATTTTTTTCCGCTAGGGTGACCCGGATGCCATGCGGCCCAATAGCTCGTAGGCTGGAGGAGACCGGCAGCCGGAGAAAGATACGGGAGTCAGTTTTGCTTTCCTGCTGGGGTTGCTGCTGGGCTGGCTTTTGTGTCTGCTGCCGAGAGGCTTGCACACTATGTTCTTGAGTATCAGATTGCCAGTTGTCCTGGCTAGCTTTTAGGGCGGCAACTGAGGCCCAGGTTGAGGTCTGTAAGGTCTTTTTAGCTTGATATGCCTGCGCCATCTGGGGGGGTGCTATGTCAGGCTTTGCCCCTTGCTGTGGGGTGTTGAGGTTTGCCAGGGTAATAAACCTAGCTACAAGCCCTCGAGCGAGCTCCTTGGGACGGCCCTGTAGAGAGGAGACAGTTGTCTCAAGTGCCTCTGCAAGGGAGGTTAGCGCCAGCTTCCAGTCACCTAGGAGCAGGAGCTGGTCGTTTGCAGCTGCGGTAGCCTGCTGGCAAATTGATCCAGCAGCCTGCGTGTTGGATATAGGAGCTATTATCGCCGTAGGCATCCTATAGGGGAGGGTGGCGCCCTCCTTTTCAGGGAGATGCGGGGGAGGGGGTAGGGGTGGGAGGTCCTGATAACGGATCAGAGTTTTCGAACAGGCGCGGAGTCCCTGGGCGAGCTTCGTCCGCAGGAGGATCGTCTACCTCCATGTCTAGAGGGGGAGAGCGATCAGTATAGATGGTATAAATAGTGATAAACAATGTATAGTCGTTGGTCTGCCTGCGAGTCCGTGTATTCATAAAGGGGTCGACGGAGTCGGTCCCTATCTAGCTGTTGGATCACGTGGGATTCTGCCGCATAGGTCCGCCCTCGCTGACCCTTTTCACCACGGTAGGCCTATCTAGCTAGTCACCAACCAACAATATGTTAGAGGTCACGTGTATTCTGCCATATTAGACCGCCCTCGCTTGGCCCGACACACTAAAATAGCTAGACCAACCTAGATAGATACAATACAAGCAAGTTGATCCAACACAATACACCTCCATATTACTAGCTAATGGAGATCACGTGACTACTAAGTCAACACCTGGAATCTTCAACCTTTGCCCATCCTGGTAATGGTCAATCCGACTGCTTATATATATAACCAGAATGATGTGGCAGAACCGTGTGAAGCTTGTCCTCGCACTTCTTGCTGGGCAAAATGGATAGCTGCAAGCGGGAAGATGTTGCGGCATCGTTACACTGCATCACATCATTGACGGCGTAAGCAAAAGCAGACATGGATATGGCAGCCTGGGAGATCCTGATGATCCACGAGAGAACCTGTGTAAAGAACGTGGATATTGCCCCAGCCAAGTTGGCATTAGAGACCCGTTCATAGAAATGGCGGCCACATATTTCTGGCTGGATTTATATTCTTTCCTTGTCTCATCCCTCTTCGTGCTCTATGTGCCCCGCAGGCTATGGAAACTGCATGGCTCAACCATTAAAGTGGTTCCGAGTTTCCGCGGTCATCTCAAAACGGTTTGCATCTCTATAAAATCAATATATTGGAGACTCACTGACAGATATCGAGCCTGAAAGATCTTAACAATCGCGTTCACTGCGATTCAATATATCTTCCTCATCAAGGCTACAGTGCTGCCGGTTGGCCATGGTAACGCGATTCCGGGGGCTATATCGGTTCTAGCTGCTCTCGGGCTTTGTTTATTATGCTTTTTCGAACATCGCAACAGTGTGCGGCCTTCCGATGGAATAATTATATATGTTGGGCTACTGGTTGTCAAAGATTTCATTGATCTGACCAGGCCATCCCATTACTATGAAACTATGCACCTTATACCCCTTATTGCGAGGCTTCTAATTCTGTCCAGTCTCTTGGTGGCAGAGTCGATGAGCAAAATTGATATATTGGATGCTCCTTACCAGTCACTCGTCTCCGAAGAGCTCTCCGGAGCATTTGGCCGTGTGCTATTCTGGTGGATAAACCCAGTTCTCAAGGAGGGCCACCGAGGAATCTTATTTCACGAAGACTTGCCGCGAATCGATCAAGCATTTTCCTCGGGGTTCCTACGGGAACGGATCATTCACGCTTGGAAATGCAGATGTAAAGATGATTCTGCGCCATTAAGAGGTACAGGAAGTGTCACTGATGTTCTATCTAGCAAATCCTCACACCCGGTTCACTCTGCCTCTTGTTCTGATGAAATGTTTCCAGTGGGAATTTCTATCCCCAGTTCTACCGCGCCTCTTCCTAATAATCTTCCGCTACGCCCAGCCCACGCTTATTAGCATCACCATTGGTTTTGTGCAGAACGAACATGCGCCGCATACGCTGACTGATGCGGGATACTGGCTTATTATCCTTACTGCCATTATATACTCTGGCCTCGCAGTAAGCTGGTTTGATAGCTATCTCGAATGACAAGTATGTACTTACTTCGTGGACAGATTTCAACATCTTCATACCGACACCAACTCAATCGACTACAAGTAATGACACGGGGTGCGCTGGTGGGACTCATCCACGCAAAATCCCTAAGGGCAGAGATATCACCAGTGGAAGACAGGAAGGCTTTAACACTTATGAGCACTGATGTAGACAATGTCAGCACTGTCGCGGAAATGTTTCATGAGACTTGGGCTCAAGTGACCGAAGTCTTGATCGGGACGACGCTCCTGGCAAGGGAGATTGGGTGGTTCGCATTACTACCTCTGATCATTATATTCGGTATGGTCTGCACTCATTAGGTAGATGAAGACATACTGAGCGAGAGATAGGATGCTCGCGAATGAGCGCATATGTTGCCAAACATCTGCAAGGCAGACAGAGAGATTGGAGTCTCGCAACCCAACAACGTCTCGAAATGATTACTTCTGTCCTCGGTAGCATCAAAAGTATGAAGATCCTAGGACTTGACGATGCAGTTATATCTCTTGTTACGAATCTGAGGGCCCGTGAGATTTCCCTGTCAAAACGATTAGGATGGATTATGCTGGCACACAATGCTAGTGGTAAGCCCACTCCTACTTGGAGTCTTGCGTATTTACGGGTATCCTTCTATTGAGACATCAGCTGAAGCAAACTTGTTGCAATTTTCCGTAGCCAACGCACTGGGAATATTCGCACCGGTCTTGACGCTGGTGCTGTTCGCAATTTTTCGCAGCGTGCATAGCACATATGCCATGGATGCCGATATCGTCTTCACTTCTGTCGCTCTTCTCGCCCTTGTCACCCATCCGGCTAATATGGTCATGACCATAGTACCGCGTGCAGTTGCTTCGTTGGCTAACTTCCAAAGAATACAGGCCCTTTTGGCAGAAAATCCGTTACTAGATAAAAGAGAGAATATTTCCCCAAGGGAGCACGCTCTTGAGTCTCAAGGTTCACTCGCAATCTCGCTAGAAAAGGTCACACTCCATCCCCCTTCTAGCACTTCCCCTATTATTGAAGACGTCAGTCTTTCGATGAATGAAGGTTCAATCCTCATGTGCTCAGGACCAATGGGCAGTGGCAAATCCGCCCTAGCTTTATCAATCTTGGGAGAAATAAACCCAGTACAGGGCACTATTGCTGTCTCGGATAAACGAATTGGGTTCTACAGCCAGCCAGTCTGGCTTCCCACGGCGTCAATTCGCGAAGTCATTTGCGGAGGATCGTCCGTTTTTGATAGAGAATGGTATATAACTGTCATTAACGCTTGCTGCCTCGCCTCCGATTTGGAATCCTTTGTCGACAAAGACATGACGTGGGTTGGGACTGGTGGTGTCAATCTCTCTGGAGGACAAAAGTCTCGCATCGTAAGAGCTGTCTCTGGCCTCGATATTTACCGTGCAAAGTTATTAATATGGTTCTTGAAAGGCGCTTGCTCGCGTGGTTTATTCTCGACCTCGTCTAGTCGTCTTGGACGATCCTTTTAGTGCACTTGACGGTGAGACCGAGCGTGGTATAGTCGACGCTTTATTTGGGCCTCAAGGGATCTTTCGCAAGACATGTGCTACGGTATTTCTCATCAGCAGCGCGAGTATGTCCTATTATTCCCGGCTTTATTGCCATGGCTAATTGGGAGCAGCACAATACTATTATTTGGCAGACAAGGTTGTCCTACTTGAAGATGGACAAGTACAGATCCTGGATCCCACCAGTGACATTCTTCGCGCAAAAGCTCAAATGTCTAAGATGCGTCCTCCACCAAAGGATGGCGAGAGCACCGAGTTCAACAAAGTTTCGGATCTAACAAATCGAACACGCAGGGACGATGCGGCTGCTGACTTGTCGAGAAGAACCGGGGACCTGGGAATCTACAGTAAGAATATTGTCTATATCTGGTGGACAGATGTGGAGCTGATGCAATGCAGAGTATTACTTTGGTACCTTCGGCATTTTGAGCTTGGTGTTCATGACAAGCTGCACTGCGATCTATGCGTTCTTTCTTACCTTCTCGCAATATCTTCTCAAGTGGTGGACTGAATCAAGTTCTACACAATCATGGTTATATATGCCGATCTACTTCCTGGCGTCACTAATGGCCTGGATGGCCACGAATGGGAATATGTGGTATGCTCCCTTCAGTCAACGAGGCCAATTCTCTGACCGGCCTAGGTCAACTCGGATCATAATCACCCCGAAATCGGGTTCTGCGTTGCACTCGCGATTGCTTGGAAAAATCATGAAGTCTGTAATCACCATGTATTTGTTAATGGGAGGCAACTGCTGAGCATATGCAGTGCCCCCCTTTCATATTTTTCAGAATTCAAAATTGGCACTGTATTGAACAGGTATGGCTAGATATTCCCTATGAAGGACTTCATACTCATGTGCCATCTTACAGGTTTGGCCAAGATATCCAGCTCGTTGATAAACAGCTGCCTTCTGCTCTGGCAAATCTCAGCACCCGTATGTCTAAAACCCATCTGCTAAACACAGTGAAGCTTACCCGGGTGATAGAGGTGTTCAAACTCCTCATGCAGGCGATTATTCTCTTTGTCGTGAGACCCAATATGGCAATTACTCTGCCCCTTGTTTGGGTTTGCATGTACTTTATACAACGGGTCTACCTACGAACTTCGCGACAACTGCGCTTTATTGACATCGAGTCAAACTCTGGCCTTTATACAAGCTTTTTCCAGACAGTGAGTATGTCCTGGCAGTGTTTGTTCTCTCATACCAAAGCTTATTCCTGGGCAGATTGACGGTATCGCGACAATTCGTGCCTTTGGCTGGGAGGGAAATTTCGAAGCAGATAACATCGAGAAACTAGACGCCTCGCAGAGACCATTATACCTTCTTTTGTGCTTGCAACGATGGCTCAACGTGGTCCTCGATCTAGTAATAGCTGGAATTGCCGTCGTCTTGGTAGCGTCTTCAGTGGCCCTTAGGGGCACCGCCACCGGCGCTGACATCGGCGTTGCGTTGAATATGATCATAGCCGCGAATGCGACATTGCTTCGCCTGGTTGAAAATTGGACGAATCTAGAGACGTCCCTTGGTGCCATTGCACGTTTGAAATCTGTCGATAAGGATACTCCGTCCGAGGAGAGTGGTCACGATTATTTGGAACCTCCTTTACAATGGCCGGCTATGGGATCTATAAAGCTGCGTCATCTATCTACTGGTTACTAGTAGGTAACCTCTTGAACATGAATTACGGGATGTACCTGATAAGTTGTTGCAGTCCTGATGTACCTGTACTCCGAGATTTGAATATGGACATCCAAGCCGGCCAGAAGCTCATATTATGTGGCCGAACTGGAAGGTTAGTGCGCTGTCCCGATCCGCTTGGAGGCTGCATTAATCAAATTGGACATTCCTGACCCTGGAAATAGTGGAAAGAGCAGTTTCTTTCTCAGTCTCCTCCGACTGTTGGATATTCAAACAGGTTCTCTCGAGGTCGATGATGTGGATGTCTCTCGCACACCACTGTGTACTGTCCGACGACGCTGCTTCATCGCCGTTCCCCAGGACCCATTCATTCTTCCCCACGCCAGTGTACGGTTCAACCTTGACCCGTACAACGAACATAACGACACTGCTCTTTGTCAGGCTCTAGAGAGGACCGGTCTTTCGTCCCATTTTTCGACCTCCATGTCCGAGGAGCGTGGGGATAGCCACGATATGCCTGATTCTGATATCTTTCATCGAGCACTTAATACATTCCCCCCACTCTCCACGGGTCAGATGCAAATGCTTGCCTTTGCACAGGCTCTATTAAGAGCCCAGCCATCGGCTCGGATTACTGACCCGCTGATCATCCAGAGGAAGCCTATATTGATTCTCGACGAGGCTAGTTCATCTCTGGACCTTGAGACAGAGGCTCAGATGCAGGAGCTATTGCAGCAGGAGTTCACCAAGAACGGACATACTGTTATTATTATTGCCCACAGACTGAATCATGTAATGAAGGATATGAGGCCGGGATTGGATGGTGTGGTTTTGGTGGATGATGGGAAGATGGAGGTGCACGGGTGATTTTATATTAATACAAACGCTCTCCGCTCCGATAAAGAAGCATTGCTACGACAAGATCAAGAGATTGGAAGTGAAAAAACAGCTTCGTTCAATGTATCCCTGTATCTATCTGCTCGTACCTTCAGTTCTGTCATTCCGTCGTTTGACTGCTCTCAGATAGCCAGGGGAACCTAATCAGACCTTCCACGTCTTGCATTCTCTTCGCAGAAATACCGTCGCCAGAGCAAGGCAGCCGGTCCCAACGAGGATCGATACAGCAGCAAATATCTGCAGTCCGGAGAAGTCTGTGTTGTGCTGGCGGTTCAGAATGGCGCCCTCGATGGGTAGGCCCGTCAGACAACTGTAGTGTGTCAGCAATCGACTGTGAAATGACCAGCACAGGATAAAACATGCCATACCTCACTGAAATCACGATTTGGAACGTTCCAAACCGCTGGCCCAGTGTCTCGAGGGGCCCGGTTTTCGCTACACAAGCCATCATCAGAGACACGACGGCGCCGCTCACGAACCCAAAGACTAATCCGAAGACAATGGTTCCTGCGTGCGATGCATGGTAGTTGAACGGTAGCCACAGTGCCAGTATAGATCCACCGGTAAATAGGGCACAGATGGTGATTATGTTGAAATGGCCAAGGTAGTCCGCCACATAGCCTGGGAGAATACGGCCGGGAACCGACGTTGCACTATTCATATTCAGCATCCGCTGTGGGCACGATACGAAAAGGAAGAAAAGAACCATACTTTACGATGGAAATCAAATACAGCGCCAGAGTAGGCGAGAAACCCTCATGGGAGGCCATGGATGGGAGATAGTCGAATGGCGCCCACAACCCCCACCTGCTCGTGGTTAGAGCATCCATGAGACGCACGGGATAGAAGGACGAACATGACAAAGTAGACGCCAAAGGTGTAGAAAGCGAACTGTGGTTGTCGGAACAACCGCGCCTCAAACCACCTGGCGTCTGGATCCCACGTCTTGCGTGGGAAACGGGACCGAACCAACAGGCAAGATGCGGCCAGGAGGACGCCCATGAACAGTGCCGTATAGCGCACAGCCCCGTAGAATCCGACGTCCCTGTTCACGCGGTCCACGAAGATGGGAAAGATGACGCCGCCCATGCTGCTGCCCGCGGCGGCGATTCCTGTAGCTAACCCTCGTCGCCGGGCAAGCCACTGGCCTACGGAGATCATGCATGAGGAGAACACGCCCCCGGCGCCAATCCCAAAGCCCAATCCCTGGGCCAGGAATATCTGGTAGTACTCGCGGGCGAGACTGGTCATGCACAGCGAGAAGACACACAGGAGACTGCAGGGATAGAGGACCGGTGCGGGCCCGTACGTGTCGATGAGGCGTCCGTAAAACGGACCCGGAGCCCACATGAGCGCGAGCTGGATGGCAAAAATCCATGCGATACTGGACGCGGAGTAGTTGCGAAGGGCTATCTGCTCGTAGGTTGTCTGGAAGACCCCGATGCTTGGGCAGAGTCAGTATGGCCCTGGACATGCGTTGTCGGACAAGGGTACGGACGCGTTCAAGAAGCCAAAGGTAGAAAAGATGCCCAAGAAGGCGCCCGCGACACACAGCCAGCCCCAGACGCCCTCTTCAGGGGGGATTTCTGGCACTTCAGCCGCGCCGGTCTCGTTGTTTTCCACGGGTAAGTCGCCCATGCTGATGCCTTCTCAGGCGTCCCTTCTGTCTGGATTCACGGGCTGTTCGAGTGCGGAGGGAGCAGCATTTATAGTTGGCTCGCCCGGCTACACTGCTACAACCATTCTTTTACGTTCTTATACGTTCTTATATTGTGGTGAACCTTGTCGGCCGCCACTAAACCAGGCTGGGAAACGGAGATATCGTTGAATGGGCCTAACTCCGGACATGCATGGCATCGACGATCTCGATCCATCCATATAACAAGCCTGATATACCCGGGCTCCTGCAGACACGGCCGGCTCCATCATGGCGGCCGACAACGCCTTATGCCGTGCCGCCCTGGTGTGCGAGAACTGCAAAGCACGGAAGAAAAAGTGCGACAAGCGTCTTCCGCGTTGCGGATACTGCCAGGAGTAAGCAGCACGGCCGAAAGACGCATGGGACAGACACGCTGATACCGTCGGGCTAGGAAGAAGCTGACCTGCAAATACTCCCGCGCCATCACAATGCCGTCCTGGAGGCCAGCCGACGGCTTGACGGCCTGGATCCGATTGTGCGGTCTTCACTCTTTGCCCAGGTGCAGAGTTCGTCTTTTTCCGGCAACCTCATCCGGGCGGGTGTCCTGCTGGCCGTGTACGAATATGCCCATGGTAAGCCGGATAGTGCGTTTGCCTCTATTACGGGTTGTGCGCGCATGGCATATGCGGCTGGCATCCGCCAACATGCCAAGGGTAACTGCGAGGAAGCCAACACATGGTGGGCAGTCGTCATCTATGAGCGGTATGCATAGCCGGTCTTCTAGGGTGCAGATTCGCCCGTGAACTGTCCTGGTAGTATCTGTTTCTGCGATGTAACGGTCCAGCAGCAGCCACTCCTTACTGCCATCCCAGACGATCTCTCTCCGGCAGAGGCAGAAGCCATGGACGACGATGCCTCATCAACAGACATTTCTCCCGCTTCCACGTCTGCCGTCACCGAGGACATCGGGCCGTTTGGCTGCGCAGCCCGAGTAGCATGGATCCTGGACCAAATCTTCCGCGCGATGGATATACCGGATCTTGATTCCCAACTGGCGCGTGTCAACGCACTGGATGAGACGCTGCGGTTGTTTCTGGCCGATATGATGCGGCAGATTCATGAGAGACAGCTTCTGTGCTGTGAACCGCTCAGTGCGGCTTTTCGGTTCGTGGTTGCCTTCATGCCCGAATCCCTGTACTGACGGACATAGGGCTTTGTTCATGATACACCATCAGATTCTAGGTGTGCGTCCCGGCTTGTCCGGCCATACTACCGAATCCCGGATATCGCCTGCGCAGTGGGAGAAGTCTAACGCGGCTCTCGACACCGCGACCAAGATGATCGTCGATGTTGTCGATTCCCATGTGAATATCAGTCCGGATCTCTGTTATATTGGCCTCCCCCGGTAGCCAGTATGTTATCCGCGCGGCTTTGAAGCGTATCTATGCCAATCCGCGTCTACTCGAAGACCCGTGGTTGCAAAGGGTCGAAAAACGGCTGCGAAGGGGTCTCTATGAAGCCAGTCATGGGCGTTCAGCCGAGATCGATGTCGGAAGCATCCCTTAGTGTACCTACCGGATGCCTACCAATTCTGCATTAAATCAGTGGGAAAATACACCGCAGTCCCCGCGATGCCGTGAGGATGCGGAGGTGATGGGCTGGTCGTTGCAGTACTATTGAAGGGGATCTAGTAGTAGTACTATGGTGGGCCAAGGCCATCTTCTGCTCTCTGGACTAAGACCACATAATAATAGGCTTGATAGTATCACCGGCTTGCATATCCTTGAGCGCCTTCTCAAAATCATCAGCCGGATAGAACCTGGCTATCCTGTCGAGCGGCATTTTCCCCTGCTGAACCCACCGGATCAACTGTGGGATGTAACTCTGCGGATCCACGTCGCCCTGCACAACGCCCATGTACTGCTTCCCGGCAACCATGAATTCGAAAATGGGAATATCCAATGTTGCCGTGGCTGGCGCAACGCCCACCTGGATCAATTTCCCCTTGAAGCCGGTCAGATTCACTCCTTCGCGGATGAGTGCCGGGAATCCCGTGCTATCGAGCGTGATGGTTGACCCCCGACCATTCGTGATGCGATGGACTTCCTTGGTCAAATCGCTCAGGTCGTCCATGTCTCCGGTGTTTATGACATGGGTTGCCCCCAGTTCGCGAGCCAGTTCCAATCGTGACGAGAATCGGTCCACGCCGATGATCATCGAGCAGCTGCGTAGCTTGGCTCCCATCACCGCGCTGAGCCCGACCCCTCCGAGCCCAAGGACAACTACTCTGTCCTTTTCACATGCGTCTGCTGCGATCACGATGGCTCCGCTTCCGGTTTGGATACCGCATCCTAAGGGCGAGAGCAGTGCTAGTTCTTGCTTGCTCTTCACGAGCCCGGTGACGTTGACGACGGATTGCTCGTTGACGATGGACCAGCCGGACAGACTCGACTGTCCGAAGAACTTGCCGTAGATGCTTGTCCCAGGTCCACTGTCTGCTGGCTCTGACTCTCGCGCGATGTAGTAATCATCCGAACCGGCCTCGAAGTTGATCGGGTTAAAGCTGGTACAATGTCCGGGATGATCGGTCAGGCATTGCTCGCAACTTCGACACGACGAGAATGATAGTAGGACTGAATCTCCCGGCTGGGCGATGCGCACTTTGCTTCCGACATCTCGTACGTATCCGGATCCTATAGTTAATCATTGAGGCTGTCAGTAGAATGAATTGGTCCCCCTCCCCCACTCGCGCGAGCTGACCTTCATGGCCCATGATGCGAGGATAATACACGCCATATCCGCTTTCCAGGCCAGCAAAGTGTAGATCTGTATGACAGATGCCCGAGGCTACCAGTTCCACGAGCAATTCATTCTCCTTCAGCGGCCGGAGCGTGATGTTCTTGAGCTTCCAGCCGCCATTCTGGTATGGACCGTACGACACCACTGCCCGGGTAGTTGGAGCTGTCATTGTGCGATAGATGGGCATCACAACAAGATAGGCACCGGTTCGGCGTGCATTTGATATTTAATTACCTGCTGTGTCCAAGAACGAGTACCCCTCTTTCCTGAACAGCCATCCCATCCCCGGGTTATTTTATCATCGTATGTACGCATCATTCGGCACGATATCCGGCCGTTCTGATAGTGAAGATACATCTGTTCTTTATGGGATAGAGCCCCCAGTCTCCGGCTTATCATGGCCTCGGGAATATCCCAATATTATTGATGGCTCTTCTGAGATACGGCTTCGTTAGGGCTCGCCGAATAGGATGGTTTTGATAGAGTGGATGCACTTATCACGGAGAAAGGCGTGTATAGATTGCCCCGAAAGCATCGGACAACGCCAGCAGCATAGATAGACATCAAGAGTGGGGGGATTGCTTAGATGTATACAGAGCTAAAAGTGAATTTGTTGAGATTGTACGCATATACGATCACTCCATAAAGACATCGTGATACTCCGTAGCGCTTCCGGTCGACGATGACATGAATCCCTCGCATACACACCTCGACTCGATGGAGAAACAACCGCAGGACGAGCCGTCCAAGGAAGCATACCTGGACGACGAACATGGAACAGTCGAAACAATCTCCCAACGGCAAACCGGCCCCCTGGGCTATATCTTCCGCCTGGAACGCTGGCTGGGCGTCGAAACACGCGGCATTGAACGTGTGCCCGAATCAATGCGTGAGCGGAAGACAAGGCTGAGAGACTACGCGCAGATGAGCGTCATCTGGTTCTCGGCGAATGTCACGGCGAATAATGTGTTGGTTGGGCTGCTGGGTCCGCTGGTGTACGAGCTGGGACTTGTCGATGCCATGCTCCTCGCCTCGTTTGGGGCGATGTTTGGGGCTATGTGTAGTGCGTATATTTCGACCTTTGGTCCGATGAGTGGTTGTCGGACGATGGTATGTCTCGTTTCCTGGATTTGTGCGTACGTGTATGTGGAGGTCCCTGAATCTAACACGGTGTTCAGGTAGTTTCTCGCTTTACCATGGGCTGGTGGCCTACGCGGGTCTGCGTGCTGTTGAACATTGTCATCTTCTTGGGCTACGGCCTCGTCGATTCCCTCATCGCCGGTCAAATTCTCGCCGCGGTCAACAACGCCGGCATGGGCGTCGTTGTGGGCGTTATCATCGCAGCCATCATCATCCTGGCAGTCTGTCTATTTGGAATCCGCGTCTTCCACACGTACGAACGGTACGCGTTTATCCCACAGCTCATCGTTCTATTTGTGCTCGTTGGCGTCTCCGGACCATACTGGGATGCATCGTCGGAAACAACAGGAACCTCCGAAGACAAGGCCGCGAACCGGATGAGCTTCTTCTTCTATTGTGTCTCCGGTAGTCTGTTGTGGGCTGGATCCGGGGCTGATTTTTATGTCTACTTCCCGCCCAATGCGCAGCGGTGGATGGTCTTCCTCTCGACCTTCACAGGGCTGGGATTGTCCTGCGTCATGACATATCTTCTAGGCATTGGCGTGGCGTCTGGAGTCGCGAAGAATCCAGCATGGAATGCTGCATACAGCCAAACGCCTGGAGCCCTAATCGTCGAAGTCTACCGGCCGCTTGGCCACTTTGGGAGCTTTTGCGCCGTCATTGTGGCCCTGGGCGTCATCGCAAATAATGTCCCTACCACGTATTCAGCTGCCCTGAACTTCCAGATGCTGGGGAGGTGGTTCCTGGCTTTGCCCCGTCCCGTCTGGACCCTGGTGGCGGTGGTTATCTATACAGTCTGTGCCTGCATTGGGCGAAACAGTCTCTTCAACGTCTTCAATGACTTCCTGGGCCTGATGGGCTATTGGAGTGCCATCTGGGTTGTGATCGTTTTGGAGGAAGAGTTGCTATTCCAGAGACCCCGCGGCAGATGGTATGACTGGTCCGCTTGGAATTCGCCTGAACGGTTGCCTGTTGGCTTGGCTGCTCTGTTTGCCTTCTGTGTGGGTTGGGTCGGTGCTGTGCTGGGCATGTATCAGACTTATTTCACCGGTCCGCTGGCGAAAATGGTCGGGGAGGGAATCGACATGGGCATCCCGGTAGCTATGAGCTGGGGGGCCGTGGTTTATCCTCTTCTAAGGTGGTTGGAGCTGGAATGGGTCGGGCGTTGAATTGGTACTTAGGGCAAGTTGCTACAATCAAGTTGCTACAATCTACTCTGCGACTACCACCCCTAATGCATAAATAATCGTATCCTCAATCCGAGCCATGCTATCTCGGAGGTGGGGTTCTCCAATACGACGGTTATATTAATACAGCGGAGATGGGGGATACGAAGATGCTTTTTCCGAATTAATTATGCCATCCAAGCGAGTCGTGGATGAATAACTGCTAGCCGGCAGGATGATATTAATTTCGCTTGGCCCATCCTGTATCATATCATACACATCTATCACGGAATAATCAACCATGCAGAGTCCAATCCCCCTCATCATCAACAACGAATCCGTAGCTACGGGCATCCGCTTCGACGTCCGCAGCCCCTCCACCGGCAATGTCATCGAAAGTTGTTCCGGCGCCTCAGTCAATGAGGTAAACAAAGCCGTCGATGCAGCAAAAGCTGCATTCCCAGCCTGGAGCAAGATGCGTCCGTATGCCCGTCGCGACATTCTGATGAAAGCCGCCGACGTGCTCCTGGCGCGCAAGGAGGAGCTCATACAGTACCAGCGTGACGAGACGGGGGCCGGTCGTCCGTTCGTCGAGCATACCTTTTTGCTGGGTGTCAGTCTGCTGAAGGACTTTGCGGCGCGGATCCCTTCGATTGAGGGGACGGTGCCGTCTGTCACGCAGGATGGGGAGGGTGCGATGATCTACAAGGAGCCCTATGGGGTTGTATTGGGAATCGCTCCATGGTGAGTTCTGCTACTGGTTGCGTGCGCAGAGCCCCTGATAACCGATGAAGGAACGCCCCGTTCATCTTGGGAGTCCGGTCTGTTGCTATCCCCCTGGCTGCTGGGAATACCACGATTCTCAAAGGCTCGGAACTGTCACCAAGATGCTACTGGGCTATTGGTGATGCCTTCCGGGAAGCCGGCCTCCCTGCTGGATGTCTGAATGTCCTGTACCATAGCGCTGCTGATGCTGCAGAAGTGACAACAGCACTTATCGCGCATCCTTTCGTGCGGAAGATCAGCTTCACCGGAAGCACGCAGGTTGGCAGGATCATCGGCACGACTGCAAGCAAGTATATCAAGCCTGTGCTGCTTGAGTTGGGCGGGAAGGCCTCTGCGATTGTGTTGAATGATGCCAATCTGGAGCATGCGGCTTCTTCCTGCGTCACAGGTGCATTCATGCATGTGGGTATTTATCCTTTGATATACCGTAATCACAGGATGTTTCTGACTTCTGATCTAGTGCGGCCAAATATGCATGTCCACGGAGCGCATCGTGGTCCAGCGATCTGTGGCAAGCAAGTTCCGACTTCTTCTAGCTGCTGCCGCCGAGAAGATGTTCGGCAAGGATACACCAGCTCCAGTTTTAGTCACGTCTGCAGCGGTGGATAAGAACAGGAAGCTGGTAAAAGATGCCGTAGCGAAAGGAGCCAGTATTCTCTTCGGCGATGTCAATGCCACCGAGGCTTGCAGTAGCAGTATGCGGCCGATCATTGTCGACAATGTCTCCAAGGAAATGGAGTTGTACGCTGCTGAGTCTTTTGGACCCACCGTTTCTCTGATTGAGGTCGACACGGAGGAGGAGGCAGTTGCTCTGGCTAATGATACTGAATATGGCTTGACAGCGGCAGTCTTCACGGAGAATCTGGTGCGCGGGTTGAAGGTAGCAAAGCAATTGGAGGCTGGGTAAGTCGTGTTTGAGCGCTGCGAGTACATAAGTTATTAACGTTCTTGTCTAGGGCTGTTCATATCAACTCCAAAACTGTGCATGATGAGCCTGTATTGCCTCATGGGGGATGGAAAAGCAGTGGATATGGCCGCTTCGGAGGGCCTCTGGGCTACGACGAGTTCCTGCAGACGAAGACAGTGACCTGGGTGGAATAGACTGAAATATTAGCAGTCTATGCAGGCTATATAGTTCCTTGTCTCCCTGTAGAGCATGTCTACAGTGTGAGCGGAGATATTGTAAACCCTATGTCGCAGGAGTAATTAAAGAAGCAAGACAATATACAAAGTTCTACATGGTTGGTCTTCGTGATATGATACTAAAATTGAATCCCATATGCTATCTTCCATCCAAGACATCCATCCATGGTCAAACGGATCATTCCCAACTACCCTTGGCCGGCCCAAAATACCCAGCCGCCGGTGGTTTCATATACGGCGTCCCCTTCCCATCAGCGGTATTGGAGTAGATAGTATTTCCCCACCAATCCAGCTTTCCTCCCGGGAGAATAATACAGAGAAAGATGATCACGGTAGCGACAGCGACGCCTGAGTCGAGAGCAGCTGAGAGAACATAATCTAGTAAGGTTAGCTGAATACGGATACGTGGAAAGAAGGAACATTGATGGCAAGAGAAACTAAACGCACTGTATTTAGCCCACCATGCTGCCTTCCGCCGTCGAAGGATCCCATTGAATATCATATTCACCACCCACCATGACGAGAAACTAACGCCCGTAGCGGGAGGAACGAGACTCATGGCCCCGAATGCCACGGGCCAGGAGATGTAGTTCAGAACCTTCCACCGGCGGCCGAGGAGGTACGTAACCAGCACCGCCAGCGGTCCCGCGAGGAAGAACCAGAGAAGTTTACCGTACAGTTGGCCGGGGGAAAAGCTTCGACCGGGTCCCAGGGCACCTGTTTGGTCAGCTTTCGCTTCATGTGTGGAGACGACAAGTGAAGGTGGCATGGCATACCCCAGATCAAGGATGAAGAGTATGTTACTCGGCCATGGGGGCACGTAAAGCCTCCGCTGGCCTCAGGCGTGCAGACATTGTCGATCTCCGTTATCATAAAGACGGTCACGCCGCACTGGACTATGGCCCCGACCAGTGTTGCGATCCCCTGTGCGAAGAAGAGTGTGCGAGGGGGGATGTGGAGATAATGTGCCAGTTTCATGTCGGCCACGAATCTGTTCACAGTCAGAAATCCTTACCAGGAACCTGGAATAGGGAGAGAAGCTCACTCGAGTCCCTGAGACACAGCAACATAGCCCGAAAACTTGAACATCATGTTGGCAATCGGCTTCCCCAGAAACGTGTAGCCACCGATAAACTCCGTGACCAGATTCAGTTGGTTCGTACTGATATTCGTCACTGCTTTGATGACACCTATCGGCAGGAAATAGACCATAGGCAGCACATAAGACAGTAGAACAGCCCACACCGGTAGATCCGTATGCCAGACCTCGTTGGTGACGATGCTCAGCCCAAACATCAATACCGTGATCGAGGCGAACCACCACCACGGCACGCCGCGGTAGGCAGTCATCAGCCGTGCGTGGATGTCCTTCTTATCCGACCCCTTCCACTGCAGCCAGAGGTCCTTCCCGTGGTACAGCGCGACATGGACGAAGATACCGGTCAGATTGGCAAAGGCCACCCCGTAAGTCATTGCGTACCCGGCGGGGATGAACATGGGCGAGTACTCCCGGTACGCGGCTTGATTGACGGTCCCATCGGCATTCATGATGCGGCTGGTGTTGTACGTATGGCCTGTGTTGTCAAAGGTATTCGAGTTCATCAGGGGGAGATACGCCGAATACCAGGTGTTGGTATAGTAGAGGATGGGACAGATGAGCCAGAAGAAGAGAGCAAACGACCCGATGACATTCAACCCAGCCCAGAACGGAACAAGAAGCGGGCTTTGGTTCGCATAGACGACCTGTGCCCAGTCGAAGGTGAGAAACGACATCCCCAGCCCGGTGACTTGGCCGAATAGTTGGTTGACAACCACATTGTTCGGCACAATCCAGCAGATGAAGCTGAATGTGCTGAGACCGGTAAACAAAAATCCAGGCACGAAATACCACGCGGTGCCGCCGACGAAAACGATCAGGAAGAAACGCAACCGGGAAATGCGCCAGCCATCCGCACTGGCATTCACGCGCGAATGCAGAGTAGAAAGGAGAGCTGCATTGGACAGAACCAGAGGCCATATCATCGACGCCGGTCCTACAAGCCAGCGCGAGGCTATCCCCGCCAGGCCAAATCCAAACAGCTGCGTGCTGATGGTCAAGAGGACCTCAAATCCTCCCTTGGAGGGCAGGTTATAGAACTTGACCATAGCCTCGATAATCTGCGTGGCCGCAGCGGACCCAAAGGCGACGTTGGCCATAATGGTGATCAAGGCATGCTCCTTGATGTTGAAGCGACGGTCCACATTAAGCACTCCCAGGGGCATCCATTGCGCCCACGCACAGCCCACGGGATAAGCCAGGAGCTGAGCCACGAGGGAGCTGATGGTGACGCTGGGTTGTCGCAGACTGAAGAACTGGTTCAGCCCACTGCCGACCTAGTTGACACTTAGCGACTGCTTCCTCCACCAAGGTTGAGGGAACCAACTATGGTGAACAGGATTCCAATAACCCACATGCGCACCGTATTGACGGGCAGAGTCACATCGTCCACTGGCTGGACGACAGCGCGCACCTCGGGGTATGGAGAGTCGTCTGCTTCGAAAGGGAGGATCTCACCCACAGCATGGTCATCTGTGCTGTACTGCTCCTAGGACACAGTCAGCTACTCCGTGCACAAGGCTTGTCCACATCATAGCCATTGTCCTACCTGGAGACGAGGTTCCTTTGCCGGAAGCTTCTCTCCGCTCAACGTGGACTCGCCCATGACTGCATGAACTGGCGGACTTGTCCTGCCAGCGGCCACGGGTCGGAGTTGACGGTGTTGTAAAGGATGTCCAGGACACTGATTATTGAGCTCAACGTCGTTATGCCGTCTCTTGTCAGTTGTTATATAGTTTGCTGACATAGTCTGTTCCCTGACGACAATGAGCAATTGCTTACACTGCTTGTACGCAGGAGAGCCCTGCGTCGGCCTGGCCCGCCAGTGACACCCGTCGTGGCGTATATCTTCAAAGTATCCCCTGGCAATGGGTTAATATCAACTGTCGAGAAATGTCCGCCAAGAAGGCAGTCAGCATAGATAACGGCGACAGGATCCGAATGGGCCAATTCCAGCCTCAATCGCATATCTGATGGAGATAATAAAAGCCGATCGTGAGCAATATCAACTATCAAGCAATATATCAGCTTCCGCATTGGGTAATTCCGTCGGGTTGAGCCGACATGGTGCAGCTCCGTCTCTGCGTCTGCACGATTGTACACCTAGCCTGTTCATAATATGTTAATGGTTTATCAGAAAGAGGGGTTCTGTCAGGATCCGACGGCGTCGGAATTAACGGCAGGACGTGTTTCCAGGTATATAATCGACCCGAGAGGAGGCGTAGAAGAGCTGGCTTAATAGACGTCGAGGAAGAATACATAACATGGGATTATTTCAACCCGTCGAACCGGCCATTGCGCCTTTCGCACAGCGGCCGATTATCATCCTCGGCGCAGGAATCATTGGATGTGCTACGGCCCGACAGCTTCTTCTCGCTGGATTCCAGGTGACGCTGGTTGCCGAATATCTGCCCGGAGATCAGAGTATCCTCTACGCCTCGGCTTGGGCTGGTGCAGCATGGCATGCAGCGAGTGGAATAACTCCTGATCAGAGATATCTCCAGGCCGTGACGTACCGGCATCTACTGAAGATGGCTCGGGAGGAGCCAGAGTCGGGGGTCTGCATTGTCAAGGGGTTGGAGTATCTCGAACAACCCCCGGACAAGAGTTCGTCCATCTGGGGGAAGACGGTGCTGCCGAACGTGAGAGAATCCGAAGCAAGGACTATAGTTATAACCCGATTGACATATGGCAGTTCCGCGATCTAAAGCAAGGCGAATATCCATCCAACTTCAGCTGCGGCTGGTCCTACGAAACCCTCGTCACCAATCCCACACTCCACATGCCGTACCTGAAGAAGAGGATCACCGAGCTCGGAGGCCAGTTCGTCCAGCAACGCGTCGAGTCCCTGCAGGAACTGTACGACATGTTCCCGGACGCCCGGATCTTCATCAATGCAAGCGGTTGGGGAAGCAAGCTTCTCAGCGACGTTCGAGACGACAAATGTTTCCCCGAACGAGGCCAGAATGTATTCTTCAAGACCGAAGATTGCAACACCATGTACTTCCGTAACGGAAAGGAATATACATATGTCATTCCCCGACCTCAATCGCACGGCGTGATTCTGGGAGGCGTGAAACAGGCGGATAATCTGTATGTGAGCCATGGACACAGCCAGTATAGTATATATCAGATGCTGAACCGGAACAGTTCCCCAGAAATCGATATGGACATTGCCCGAGATGAGATTGCGCGCGCACACCGACTGGCTCCTGAAGTCGTCCCGGAGAAGCCGTCCGAGGACTCGCTGAGCTATATCGTCGGTATTCGTCCGTCGCGGAAGGGCGGATTTCGCCTGGACTCCGAAAAGAAGGGAAGTCGCGTCGTCTTATCCGCGTATGGTTTTGGTGGAGGGGGGTATGCGTTCTCGTATGGCATCGCCGATGCTCTGGTCAAGATGGTGGAGAAGGCAGAACGGGAGAATGTGATTGATATTGCATGAGCATGTAGCATAGCCCCATGCATGAAGTATAAAATTAACTCGTTATACGTACCCCATGTCGTGCTGTCGATCTACGTACAAGTGTATTCATCAATGCGGATAATCATCCATCAAATATCATAATACGTCGACAGCTCCTCCTGAAATGAACCATGCAAGTAAAAGAGCTGCGGATCAGCTCCAGTTGCCCCTGTGGCCGTCATATCGTCATCCAGGAAAAAAGTAGTTGAGACAGAGGGAGGCAATGGCATCCTCTGTGGTTGCTGCTGCTGATAGATCTCCTGGCTCAAAACCATCGCGCTCTGGCGCCGAAACGTCCCTGCCAATTTCTCCACGCCCGGTCGTCGCTCGCCAAACTCCTCCAGCAACGCCGTCGTGGCGTTGATTCCCTGGTGCATCATCTGCTCGTCAGGCTGCCAGAGTGGCAGAAGTCCGTTTCGAACAGCGCGGGCGTTCTGCTCCAGACACCACAAGATGGTAATCCCGGCAAAGTACACCTGGCTCAGCGTGAGCCAGATCCACTTGAGGTTCCCTACAGCATAACTGTCCCAATACGAGCGAATTACCTGGATGCTGGAATCGAAACATGCCACGATCGACGTTAGGTTCGGAGCCGGATTGCGCGCACTAGGCCGATGCATGAGTAGCAGTGTCGTGTAGTAGAGATAGTCATAGTAGGACGTCGAATAGAGCATCGCTGGGGGATACAAAGGAGCTGCCTTGCGCCATTCATCCAGCTCCCGTTGAAATCGACCGAGCGTGGCTGTGATTTCTTCTGGTGGTGGTCGGGGTTGGTTGTTATATACTAGTTGGCAGTGAGCAGTCAGCAGTCAGCACCTGAGTGACGGCAGGAGTACAACATAGCCATACAGTATCGATATATCCGAGAAAATATCCGACGCAATTTGATCACTTGCAAGGGGATAGTCATCGAACTCGCCCCCGGAGCCTCCACCCAGTCATCGTTGAGCTCGCGCGGCAGGTCAACGCTGATATCCTCATCTGCAATGCCCAATGGCCTACCCAGAGTCGCTGCAATCAGCCGGTCGAGGTTGTAGAGGCTCCAGAATACTCGCTTCGCGATTTCCTCCTCGACTAAACTGGAAGAGGGCGGCGACTTATGCAGACTCAGACTGGTCGCCAGACGAATCGCCGTGCCCAGGATATGCCAGATGCTGGGACCCGCGGCCGCAAACAAGGTGTACAGCGCCAGACTCAGCAACGCGCAGATCGCCGAGAGGTCCTCCTTCGGTAATACATGAGACAGAGACCGCTGGCTGAGGCGATAGAACTCTGTGGACTGAGCCTCATCCGCCGATCCCATCTGCAGCGCGATGGCCATGGTGATATGGTATGAATAATGCACCTCAGCGGACGGTCGATTGCCCGCGTAGATATGCTTCAGACGCGTCATGAAGTTGGAGCGGTGTAGGAAAGGATATTGGTATCCGAGATGGTCGAAATACTGGTTCGCTACGCGCTCTGCCTCCTCGAGGCTCGACAGACGCAGAGCGTGCGATACCGAGGATGACTCCATGCGTGGGACGGGCAGCCGGCGGTGCTCCAGCTGGTCACGAAAGATCTCTCCGACATTTGGCAATTCGGACCCGATGCCAGGCGCCTTCATCTCGAGAGCGGGAGTCATAGTGGAAGCAGAAGAGACGCTGTCCGTCATCGACACGGTCGCGTCGCCTTGAGCGATCAACAACGGCACCTGGTGCCACGAGTCTGACTCCTCCTGGCCATCCACAATGCTACCGGTTGGCAGCTCGGACACAACTATGCCTGTCTTCTGCTTCACGATCTGCTCCAGCCATTGTACGCGTTTCTGCAAGTTCTCGAGCTGGTCTCGGGGGACGGAGGCGCTGGCGACATGGTGACTGGGTGGGGAAACGGTGCAACAGACTCCCAGACGGGCACAGGCGGAACAATTGGGATATCGAAAATCGCACTTCTTCTTCCTCTTCCGACAGAAATCGCAGGCTGTCGCGACCCGTTTGCTGCGTGCCGTCGGCGATTGTGAAGGAGGTGGCCGTTGTCGTCCCGGTCTGATTGATCCATCCTGCGGCGGTGACGACGGGGGATTAGCATCGGCACTGGGGTTATGATTCGAGGTGTAGTCGAAGGGTGCCTTGGAAGCAGAACTGTCTGTAGAGGCACCGTGGGCTTGAGCTACCGGGGTGAGGCGGAATTTGCCCAGTTGCCGGTGGAAGTCAAGGCTGGCGGTTGTCATCATGCTGCATTGGCCATTGGATATGATGGAAAGGATGGCATTTTGAAGCTTTATCAAGGAAAAACATGATGATTATCATTGTTTATCATTACTATCAGCAGTTGATGGCAATCCCTAGCTCTTACGGCGCATGTCCGTATCCTCGTATCAGTAGGAAATGCTCAAACCCGGAGGATTATGGAAGACTGGCCACGCCAGTATGGAGTGGAAATACTTTCAATTACATAGACAGCAAACAAGTATACGCTCGTCGATTCGAAATTCGACTGGAAATAAATTGAATTAAGCGAGGTATACAGGCAGATCACATACGACTATTGACGATGTCCGGCAACGGATTCTCCTCCCCACGGCGAAGAATGTATCGACTGATCCCCTCCTTTTTTGAGTCCTCGAGAAAGGTCGCTGTATGCGCAAATTCCGCTCCTCGAGGGCTCTGGAACTCCATCTCCTCTAGTTACGTCAATGCCCGAAGGTGCTCGACTACCTAGGCCCAAGACCCGGAGAGGAGATAGAGGCCGCAGACCTTGAGTCTTTTTTAACGTTTGAGGCAGTCTCTGCACCAAAGCCACCATCTCGGTGTCTTCAAATGGTATGTTTCGTAGATATAGGCTTTGTAAGCACTTCCATCTCAGAGCCAGGAACTTGGTCGCGGAGGGTTGTGGTCTCTCCGTGAAACAAGGGTACCCTTCAAAGCTGAGCATGAGATGCTCCAATTCTTCGACATTGCAGAAAGCGTCAACGACGGATCCAAGATGTGGATTTCATCATATGGACAGTCGTTGTTTACAGCAAGGGAATCCTGTCGCGCCTATGAATAGGCCATAGATGAACACTCTTCGCGTGCTGCAGAACATGGCGGATACAGTGAAGATGCTCCTGCAGCGATCGAAACACCCGTAGATCAGACGGAGGGCTAAAACACGCTGAAAACGCCGTAGGTGAGATGGATGCTTGAGCTAGTGCGCCAAAGATGTCTGCGAGGAGATGTACAGGTGGATCCACGTCCGGACGGTAGAAGCTTCCTTTCTATGGAAATGCCCGTAGACACTCCAGTCGAAGGGTTGGCTCTGAGAATTCCTCACACTCTGATGGCGTCCTGGACGCTGGTTAGTTTTCTTGGGCATCAGCTTTTGTTGACAGTTGTCTGATATCCTGACGCGTTCAATCTCCGTTAGCCGTTGGAGTATGGCCAATATTCCCGTCGTGTGTCTGTTTTTGACTCTCGCGAGTTCTTGGTCCTCGTATAAACGACCATACTCATGAAACTCAAGAAGCATCGATTGAATTGGAGTCGGACAAGCTGCATCATAGCTGCCATCTTTGATAGCAGTCCAGTCCCGCACAATCTCACGGCCGATTTCAAAGAAGTCATCTGGCATGAAATCCCCATGGTCGTAAGCATCCATCAGACCGAAAACATCGCCGGCAGTCCACTCCGCAAATGATGCCAGGCCCCTTGAGAAGACGATATCGTAGAAGGAAAGATCGAAATTGACGGTTTTGATCCATCTGACAATAAGCGGGTTCTGGCAGAGAGTTTCCAGGCTGTCCAGAGTATCGTTGGATATGCGAATATATATAGACCGGCATAGCATCGTAGCGCATATGTTGGCCAGTCTTTTCGAGACCAGACGACATGTTGCTATGTCAGAGGCATGATTCAGGAACCGGACGCAATTATCAAGGATCTCTGACGGTAGATTTTGAAGGTTCATGTTTCCAGGCTCTAGAACGCTATCATGGATTTTCCATTATTGATTGCAGCTGCTGTTCTCCACCTGCAATTAGTGCTTACACTGCAAGTTACCCCTGGAGTGCGTCACTTGGCGCAAGACAATGCCTGAGGCTGAGTAGCTCTCGGACTATCCATGGTAATAGCTGCTTGGGGTGAAACTCGAGCCCATATTTCTGTTTGATGGTCCACTGCGTTGGTCAAGGAAAGTTGCATCACACTTGTCTTGATATCGACTACATTCTTCATTGGAAGCTTTGGTTTGTAAGCCATCTACCGCGGGGGTTGGGCTACACATCACCATGATATTTAAAGTGAGAAGAGAGCAATTTGGTTATTTTGAAAATAACTCGGAGTTTAAAGGAAAGTCGGCTTCACGTGCACTATGTTGAATGGTGAACGATACAATCGAAGTCGTAGTTGGATCACAGCCATGTTGGATGGCAACAAAAACAGAACGCAAAAGTGCAGAAAGCAAATCGAAAGGGTTCCTTCTTGTGGAATTTCGGTCTAGCGAGTAGACTTCAGTAGTCATCGCCGCGACTGATAACTTCTTTGCTTGATTCTCCTAGGAGGATAGTCTGTCGAGGATTAGCTCTGAAGAGGATATCAACAGTGATGGGGGAGCATACATGTTCAAACTGCGCTGAATAGGACCCCTCAATGTCCATCAAAGGCTGGTAAACCTCGACAATCCCTTGCGAAGCAAGGTTGTTCATCTGCAGGTAATAAGCGCTCCATTCAACAAGCAACTGGTCAGATATTCACTTACGCCCGCCAAATATCGGCTAACGCCAAGACGTTCAAGATACCGGCGGCAAAAGACCAGAGAGCCAAAGTTCTCGTTGATCATCTTGTTGAGAGACCTAGCCGTTGCAAGGGGCGAGGAGATTCTCTTCGGTGCAAGGGGGTCTTTGCCATACCCGTAGACACCAGGCTGAAACAAATCAGTTCTTTTCCTAACTGCAGGCAAAAAGGGGAATGCATCATACTCCATTCACGATATAGCCACGTCCGGTGGAGCCGAATGTCTCAATGGCAAAAACCTCTCCCACTTCCATCTTGGTCTGGTCATTATTCCTCACGAAGGGAATCGACTTTCCACCATGGATCCGATACTGTTCGATATTATGCCCAGTGATACCTTGCACCGCCTTCACAGGAAAACTTTTACCTCCGATTTCCACCTCATAGCTTTCCATTGCCTCCTGGATCGCAGCACTGATATCGCTAATACGGACATCAACTCCAGCATTCTAATCGATGTCGACATTAGCCGTACTCTGAAGTCGGGACAAGAGCGCCTATTTACCTTGATGCCAGTATTTGTCGCATCCTTCACTGCAGCAAGTAGGTTATCATAAGTTGGATCCCACGACATGGTGAAGGCACTATCAACAATCCAGCCATTGATATGGACGCCAAAGTCAACCTTCATCACATCGCTCGACTGCAAGATAATTTCCTTCTGTCCAGGATTGGGCGTGTAGTGCGCCACGCAATTATTCAGCGCGAGTCCCGTTGGGAAGCCCATGCCTGACACCAGTCCACTTCCAGGTTCAAGACCCGCATTATCGAGCAGCGCTCTCACGCCATCCTCGATATTTACAGCAATATCTGTGAGCGTCTGTCCAGGCCGGGCGCTATCCTGCGTATATTTTCGGACCTGGCGGTGGATTTCTGCTGCTTTGCGGTAGTTACTCAGAAATTCATCGTCATGGGTGCGACGATGAGACAGATATCGGACTTCCTCGCCCGTCGTGCGAGCCGTATTTTCAAACACGGGCTCATAAGTCTGAATCTCCCCATTGGGATACTGACCAGTGGGGAAGATTCGGTCGAGAGAGACTCGTGGCGGCGACGACTGCTTCCCAGACAATGTCTTCTTCTTAGACTTCTTCCGCTTCTTCTTGGTGGAAGCGGATGCAGATTGCATGTTCAGCGACACGGCCGCCGCTCGAGCCATATCATCTCCGTCGGCATCATCACCGCCCTCGCCGTCTCCCAGGCTGCCGTCTCCGTCCCGGGACAGATGGACTCCCCGTGGTTCGCCGCCAGTACCATTGGCCTTGGTGGAGACGAACGGGACATCTGCTGAGATGTAAGCACGGATACATATGAGTTAGGGCTGACACACATACCGCCACCTGTATGGCTCTCGTGCTCAGGAGACTTTGATCCCATTTCAACATCAAGAAGTCGTTTTCGTAGTGTCGTGTGGTGGTATGGGAAGGCCAGGAGGCGTAAGCAGACCAGCATAACTAATTAACTAATACGGGATTTCATTTTGTCCGGTCTGCGGAAACAAATCTGGCAAACCCAGCAAACCCAGCAAACCCACGTGCGATTTACGAACCACTCCTGTTATTTGTTGGATCACGTGGGATTCTGCCGCATAGGTCCGCCCTCGCTGACCCTTTTCACCACGTAGGCCTATCTAGCTAGTAACCAACCAACAATACACCTCCATTAGGTTATGAGCCCGTTTCTTGCTCGGAAATATGAGCTATTTTAGGCCCGTATAAGTGGTCAATTTAAGCCCTCTGATTGGCTGAACCAAAATTCCATACCCCAGATTCCAAAAATTCCAGGATCCCAGATACGGTCCGAACCTGAGCATGTCAGGAGAACCTACTACGCCTCCCGCTACTGCTATACGACGATCACGTCGCCGAAATCTCCAAAACAGGTCCTCGAATATAGACGAGACCTCCTCATCAGTTGTCTCTGAAGAGATAGAGACCCCAACGCCTTCCGGAGCCAATCTGAGCTCTACCAATACCGCCAACATGGCTTCCACAAACGAACTTACCCCTGATCTTGCTGATATGATGCGACAAATGCTTGCTCGCCAGAATCAGATGGAACAAGATATGCGAGACCGTGAAGCTAGAATGGAGCTAAAACTGGCATCTATCATCCAGTCTAATACTCCACAAGCTTCCTTGCCTTCAAATACAACCCAAGATACTACACCAATGGATATCCAACCGCCTCTGCGTGATGCCTCAGACACAAATATCAGCAATGCTATTGCCCTTGTCCAAGCCGATGTCGATACGCTACTGCCTGACCGATGCCGTGTCATCTTGACACTGGATAATTACGATGCATGGAGCTCTGCCATACAAAAAGAAGCTGGTATTCTCAATGCTATTACAACTCTTCACCAGGACTCTCCTCCTGCTGGATCATCTCCACTTGATGCTGCAGTTTGGCACAGAAAAGCCATTGTCATGAGAGCCCGTATGCTCAATGCCATGACAACCCCTGCTTCCGATAAACTAGGCACCGTATATGACCTCTCTGCCCATGGTCTTTGGGACCGAGCTGCCACACTTTTTGGCAAATCCACCGGTGAAGAGCGAATGGCCCTTACCATGGAGCTCAAAGAGCTCTATATAAAGGATAACGATTATCTCACCTACCAGTCATCCTTTAATCGAATCTTTGACCGCCTACACGCTATTGGAGAAGAATCTCTTGAAAATCTCAAACATGACCTCTTCTTTATAGGTCTCCGGGACTGGAACCGCGCCTTTATCAAGAGTAAACTAGATGATGTCTACTCTACTGGCCGTGCTCCGGTTACCAACCTGGATCTTAAGGTTATCCAGACCCAATTATCTACTCGAACCGGCACTAAATTCCGTGATACTCATTCTCAAGACCGGTCAAACCAACAGAAAGAGAACTCCCAGAACCGCAGTTATTCAAAACAAGCATCTGGAACCAAATACACAATTCCTCAACGTTCCAATAACCAAGATAGATCTCGTCATACACTTATAGACTGTGATCACTGCGGAAATCGCCATGGACTTATATGCTATTTTAAACATCCTGAGAAAGCACCAGAGTATAGACGCAAGTTCTATACTACTATGGCTAATGCTCTCCGTGTTCAGCAACAATCTGAAGCAAACCCACAATCAAACCAGGATCACCCTGCTTCACAGGAACTTGTCTTGCATAAGAAACTCTCCAATGCCAAATCTGCCATTGTGAAGTCTGCAAAGACTCTCTCATTTTCCAATCAATGGTTTGTTGACAGCTGTGCCTCTTTCCATTCTACACCTGACCGTTCACTTTTTGCAACCTATAAGGCCTTGCAGAAGCATGATCTGGTGGAGACAGATTATATGGAAGGTGCTCAAGGCCATATCTCTATGCCTCAAGGCATTGGCACCGTGATTATAGATATTGGTTACGGATCTCTGATCCTAAGAGACGTCCGCCATGTTCCTTCCTTTACTTCCAACCTCATTTCAGAAGGCATGCTTGTACGACAAGGCTTTAGGCTTCAATATACACTAGATTGTGAAGTCAAGCTGATTACCACACCATCTGGAGCTGAATTCCAAGCCCGATTGTTCAAAAACAATGTTTACCTCCTTGAAGACTGTCTATCTCCTGGAGAAGAAGAAAATTCCTATGCCTTTGTCACCACCCGGTCTGGCAAAGAAGTTAACCGCCCAGAAGAGCCACCTGCAAAGGCTCCCACAATTAAGACACCAGCTGAGGCTCCTACTCCAAAAGAGACCCCGGTTCTAGGGAAGCCGCGAACTACTAAGATATCCCTACCTATCATGGCCTGGCACCGACGCCTATGCCATCTCAATCAAGCCGATCTCCTCCGCCTCGCCCGAGATCCTGAGTCTTGCATCGAAATCAAAGGCTCTAAAGAACTCCCATTTTGTGAAGTCTGTATACAGGCTAGACAGACACGCTATTATAGCAAGGTCCCTAGGTCCAGAGTTACCAAACCCCTTGCCCGAGTCCATCTAGATATCGCCGGCGGTGGACAAACTCTTGATTTTGACAACCCTAATGATGTTGTCACTGGCCGAATTGGGGCAAAATATGTCTTACTTATTACCGATGATGCCACACATTATCGATGGATCCTCTTCCTTGAGACAAAAAGTGCAGCCATTACCGCCTTCAAGAACTGGCTTCAAAATATGAAGAACCATGGCTTCACTGCTCCTGCCTACCTAGTCTCTGATAATGAATTCCGCTCCACTGAATGGATGGAAACCTACCGTCAGGAAGGCATAGAATGGCAACCAAGCTCGCCATATTCACCATGGCAAAATGCCGTTAGTGAACGTGGCATCCGGATCCTTTTTGAACGGGCCCGAGCTATGATGCTTGATGCCCCATATATACCAGAACGCTTTTGGGTAGATGCTCTCCAATATGCCACAGATCTTACAAATCGGCTCCCTACATCTACCATCTTATACAATTCCCAAATTCCTGGGGGGGTGAATATCAACAAGGACATACACCCCAGCCCTTATCGCGCTCCGTTGGCAGCGTGGACTAATTCATCCATTTCTTCACTCCCCGGATATCGCCGTTGGGGGTGTCCAGCCTGGGTCCATCGGCATGGACCAGATAAACCTGGAAATAAGCTTGATTCACGTTCTCACTGCTGTTTCCTCATTGGCCAAATTAGTAGCCATCAATATCGTGTTTGGGACCCTAAAACTGACACCGTCTTTGTCACCAATGATGTTATATTTGATGAGGATTACAAAGATCCTACAACTACCACTCCCAAAGGTCCCAGCACCCCTACCGAAGAAAACCCAACTCAATTAGTTGAAGATGAACCTCTCAATGACCAAGATATATGGCTCCGACCTGCCAAAGGCATGTCCCTAGCTTACTTTGCCACTTCAACCATTCCTTCATCAGAAGACAACACGCCTACTTCTTATAAGCAGGCCATATCCCATCCTGATGCTGCTAAATGGCAAGCTGCCATGCAAAAGGAAGTCAACCAACTCAAAGAGAAAGGCTGCTGGCAACTCATTCGCCGTTCTGACCTACCACCAGGGGCCAAAGTCATCCCTGGCCGGTGGGTATACAAAAAGAAAGAAATCCCCGGCATACCTATCTCAGAGGATTATCAGGCTAAAGCCCGCTGGGTCATTCGTGGCAATCTACTTGATAAAGACTTCATGGAATCCTACGCACCAGTGGTAAATGAAAATACTACCAGAACCCTCACGGCACTGGCCACCCTGCTTGGCTGGCATACCCGAAAAGCTGATGCCACCCTTGCTTTCCTAAATGGGAAAATGCCCACGGACAAACGTGTCTTTATGACCCAAGTTCAGGGATTCAAAGAAGGTTCTGGAGATCTTGTCTGTGAACTCCTTCAATCCCTCTATGGATTGGTCCCATCTGCCCGCATCTGGTATGATACTCTGGGTGCTTTTCTACGCCAAATCAGCTTCAAATGCTCTGAATATGACTCTGGTCTATGGATCCACACTACCCGGACCCAACTCTATGTGACCACCCATGTGGATGACTTCAAAGTCTATGCTAAACATGAAAATGATGCCATCTGGTTTATGGAGACTCTCTCCGCCAAATTTGACATAAAAGAAGTTGGAAACTCTACCAAATACCTTGGCATGACCATCTCCCAGTCTGAGACTTCATCTTCTTTATCTCAAGCCGACTACACTGAAGATGTTGTTGCCTCTTTTGGTCAAGCCCAAGCACATCCTGTTAGGATTCCAATGGATCCTAGCCTAATAATTGATGATGAACCAGACCCTACAGTCAACACCAAAGAATATCAACGTGGTGTAGGCTGCCTTACCTGGCTAGCCACCAAAACCCGGCCAGATCTTAGCCAGACGGTTGGCATACTATCCCAATATAACGCCAAACCCACCCAAAAAGCATGGCGTGCCCTTATACACGCCATACGCTATCTTAAAGGCTCCATCAATCGGCAAATTACCTATCATAAACCCACGGAGTCCATTACATCTGACCTCCTCATGCCAAAATGTTATACCGACTCTGATTGGGGTGGCCAACTGACAGGCAACCGCCGGTCAGTTTCTGGATACATCTTTCTGCTTGCCGGAGCCCCAATTGCCTGGAAAAGCCGCAAGCAAACATCCGTTGCCCTTAGCTCCAACGAAGCTGAGTATATGGCTCTAAGCGAAGCCAGCCGTGATGCCCTCTGGCTCCGGAATCTCATCAACGAGCTTAATGTGCTCCCAACTGAATGCCCACCAATATCTCTTCATATCGATAATCAAGGTGCCCACGCCATGGCTGAAGCCGAGCTCACCACCAAGAGATCCAAACACATTGACATACGCTACCATTACGTTCGGGAGAAGGTCCGAGACGGCATTGTTAAACTTCAGACCTGCCCTACCAAAGAACAGGCAGCAGATGGCCTGACAAAACCTCTCCAAACTGAACGATTCAATCATTTCCTGGAACTCACCGGCATACATTAAGCGGCGCTTGTTCCCCCATTTTGGTTATACTTTCTATTCTGATTTACGGCTTCTGATTGGCCAAAGCGGAACCTCTCACTTCTCTGCTTAATTTTGCTTTTACTCTCTCATTTGGAGGCCTGAATAGAGGCCGATTTTTGTATTTAAATTCTTTAGATTAGTCTTTAGGCCAGCTCGTGCGTGGGGGGGTGTTGGATCACGTGGGATTCTGCCGCATAGGTCCGCCCTCGCTGACCCTTTTCACCACGTAGGCCTATCTAGCTAGTAACCAACCAACAATACACCTCCATTATTATTCCTGCTAAAGATTCCATGCAGAGTAGAAAGCAGCAGGATTGTACCATACGACAATTAATGCTCAGTTATCTCCTCGATATTGCCTCTTCAAGGGTACAGCCCTCTAGTTTTCTACCTCTCTCATGATGCTAGCGGCATCCCGACCCCCAGCTCTGCCCGGAGTTCCTAGGACAGACGATTCCTGTCAGAATCCATGGATTAATTATACTTACCTCCTTACTCTGTATGGAATTCCGCTGGCTGCTTTATTATCACCAGATTTTGAAGAGCGCAAAGACAATGATCGACCAGGAAGAAATGGGATGCAAGCGGCATCTGTAGTTACTCCGTGGGGAATGAATACTGGCTCCCCGGACCGAACGCGATACCCGAAGATCTAGATGTGCCAAGGGGTGTAGACTATGGAGTCTGGAACTAATGTCCAGTCCTCGAATGGCTATTATGTGCATATAACTCGCTGATTTCTAGGTGACTTATTGTGTCCTTCGGTAGTTCCGGCCTCGACACAGATTGCCGGTTAGATTCCCGGACAACCATAGATTATGATTAGGGCTATGAGATGAGACTATTCACCACTCCTTAACCTGATTGATACATGGCGTAAATATTCAGATACAAACTTTATCTTCGGATAAAAGCCTCGAATCATGCTTGAGACAGGCTGTTCAAGCCCAAAGACTAATTACGAAGCAGGTCAGACGACGACTCGCTCAGGCTCATTTCCCCATTTCCTCTTATCGGCTAATTCGGAGCCTATAATTAGTTAGTTATATTGAGTCATTGACTAATTAATTAGATCATGTTTATCTTCGGCCGATTCCGTGGGGAAACCGAAACGGCTCTCTCAGCGACCTGGACGACGTAACGACCCCGGGATTGATTCACGCATAGTCATAGCCAGGCAGTTCCAATGGCAACACCACCACAACCGGCAAAGCGAACGAGGACAAGGACGGGATGCTGGACGTGTCGAGACGCCGGGTACAAATGCGACGAGGTCCAGCCGAAATGCGGACGCTGCATACGACTGAATATCCACTGCAAGGGCTATGGGGTACGGCTGCGATGGAGAGAGCAGAATCCGCCGAAACGACGTCGGAGTCTGAAAGGGAGCAGCGAGTCTCCGTCGGAAAGCAGCGAGCAGACTATCCAGACTCCTACTGCGAGTAATAGTCCGCCGCGCCGCAGTCGTTCCCCCTCGAGTCTCTCCGCGCAGCCGTGTTTGTCGATAAGACCGTCGAGCATGACGTTGGACGAATACAGACTCCTCTGTCACTGGACGGTGCACATCTCACCACTGCTCTGCACATCGTCGATGTCCCAGTTGAATCCCTTCCAAAAGTACTTGACTCCTATAGCGCTCGAGGAAGAGGGGGCGCTGCGACATATCGTCATGTCCGTCGCTGCGAACCACTTGACCATGGCCGATCCGTCGCCAAAGATGGCTCTCGCAGCCCAGAGCCATCGAGTATCAGCCATTGCCTGCCTCAGGGAAGCGTTGAACAACGCCGCTCTGCGATCCTCCGACTCTGCGCTCGCCACTGTGTTGGTCCTGGAGATCAGCAAGCAATTCGATAACGCTCCCCGTCATGACATCAACCACCTCGTCGGTGCTAGGGAGCTTATTCTGGAGCGAGGTGGTCCGGAATCCCTGACATCCCCCTGTTCGCGTTTCCTCTTGACCCAGCTCCTCTACCGTGACTTCCTCTCTGCCGTATCCCGGGGCGACCGACCTCTCACCGATCACCAGTGGCTCATCAAACAGGGCGATCTCCTGGATCCATGTCTCGGCTACGACGCCACCATCCTACGGGCGATGGCACGGATCAGCGAGTTGAAGGCGTGGAAGGAAAAGCGACCGTCGGCGAACAACGACCTCGGTCTGGACCTGACGGTTGCGGAAATGGAGATTGAAGGGGAGTTAATGTCGTTGAGTGTGTCTGCCTCTGATCAAGACCAGGCGCATACAGCAGAGGCACATCGTTCTGCAGCTTTGATCTATCTCTATCGTGTTGTGTATAATATCGGCGCTCCACATCCGCTTACTCTATTTCATGTTCGACGCTGTTTAGATGCTATCGCTTCTGTTGATTCCTCGTCCCCCCTCGTCTCTGCTCATGTCTGGCCGCTGTTTACGGCGGGATGTGAAGCGACGGAGCGACGGGACAGGGACTTCGTCCGACAACGGCTGACGGACATGTATCATCAGCGGAAGATACGATCTCTCAAGAAGGTCGGGGAGCTGATGGAAGAGGTCTGGATTAATAAGGACGTAATGGCCGTCGAGGGAGCAGAACAGATGTGTCGCGTAGGCTGTATCGAGGTGATTACTGGTCTCGGTGAGGAGTTCCAGTTGGTATAGGACTACGCAGTTACTTTGTAATAAGTATACGTATTCATTCCATTCAATGCGCTGTTTTTCTTTTTTTTTTTTTTTTTTTTTTTAGCATACATGACGTTCACGGCTTGAGAGCAAAGTTATGATTATGACGACCCTGCAGATAATCATATCCGTCCTCCACCCACTCCACGCAAGGCTGCACGTTCTCCCAGCTGCTGACTTCCTCCTTCAGACTCTTGGGCAGCTGGAATGTCTGGTCGCTTCTATACCAGTGTGGGAACAAGATCGAAACGAGCATAACCCGTGGGTCGTCGGTCTTATTCGGCATTCCGGCGTGCCACAGCCGCATGTCACGGATAATCAAGCTCCCCTTGGGCAACGAGGGCTGAATGCCAGGGGAGAACTTCCTCCGCTCATCAAGCAGCTCCTCCTTGACCTGCTTATGTGTATATTGCTTGTCCAGGACGTCCTTTGTGGTATCAGTGTGGCTCCCAAGCCAGACTTCAGTCGCACCGTTTTCCGGACTGGTATCAACCAGATTGATATTGATGGCATAGCCCCATGGAATTTTAGGGAAGTCAAAATTAACATCAATATGCACTGGCTGTCTCTTTTCGGATTTAAATGCTGTATTGGCGCTGTAGAACCGGAGGGATGGGTTGGGACCAAACATGCACTGCACCACCTGCAGGGCAAAGGGGTTTGCTAGGATGTCTTGGAAAACATAACCCTTCTCCAAGCTTGGCTCCTGCTGGATATTTCCACTTCCGGCGAAGTTATGGTGCGTTGATGCCTTCGCGTATAGTGTTTTGGCTTCGGGGACCATGCGATCATTTAGCTTATCGAGGTGGGTGGTATCAACGGCGTTTTTGAGGACGATGACTCCATCACGGTGGAGAGCCTCGATGGCATGCTGGAGGTTGTGGGATTCGAGCTTCTTCGTGGCGAGTTCTTCCTCCGAGAGGGTGATGAGGGTAACTTCGGGGGTTACGGCGGTCATTCTGGCGACGTTATTCTTTGGTTTCCTGCTGTCTGTGATGTCTTCTCTTCTGCGCCCTTGGCTTCCAGGTCTGCCTTATTTATGTACCGCTACAAGAAACTGTGCACCGATAAGCTCAAAAAGGCAAGTAGAACAGCTGCAAATGCTGTCTTCCTAGGCTTAGCCGCTGCAGCTGCCTCGGAGTCTGCTCCGACTGCAAAGGAGATCGGCAGAAGCATGAAGGAACCGTTTAGCTAGGCAAACCTTAACTGTTATTTTTGCCCGATCCGGGAATTGGCGCGCTCAAGCAATTGGTGGAAGATACGAAGAAGAGCCCCGATTAGATCTGAGGGCTGTTTCTTCAGTTTCTGCGCGCATCCAATTACCGCGGCGTTGATTCAAACCTGTATCCAGACGATCGGAGCTAGATGAACTCTGACTCTTATTCTTGCTGATTAGAGTATATCAGAACTCTTGGATAATGGCCAAGGCACTGTTATCGCGGTCTTTGGTATCGCAAACATGGGGCCTCTGATATGGCAGTGGTTGCTTGTACCCCCCCATGGAGGGCTATAACTGCGACGCTCATCCCATCATTGACTTAGAAAAATACTAGATCTGTGCCCGAAGACCCTTCTATCCCCACGTCCCCCGACACCGAGATCCGAGCGAGGCAAATGACGGACACCAAAAACCCCGAGAAGGCTGTGAGTCCTGGAGTCGAGGAGAGGGAGGGTTCCCTCAAGGATATCGATGGAGCCGTGCTTTGGGAGTCGGAACAATCCCTTCTCTACACCCAAACCCAACATTCGATGGGTTTCTGGGAGGCCGTGAAGCTCTATAAGTGTGCTGTGGCCTGGTCCTTCCTGATAAATGTCTCTGTTATCCTCAAAGGTTTTGATGGCGCGCTGATTGGGAGTGTTGTTGGCCTCAACCCCTTCAAGAGGCAGTTTGGGTATCTGTATGAGGGGGAATACATTGTGAAGGCTTCCTGGAACGGTGCCTTCAACTATGCCAACAGCGTCGGGGGTATTGTCGGTGCTCTGTCTGCTGGTTGGCTCTATGATCAGTTTGGACCCAAAATAACACTGGCTGGCTGTTCATTCCTTTCAATTGCTTGGATTTTCATGGAGTTCTTTGCAGAGAAGCCAGTCGTGCTTTTCCTTGGTGAACTCTTCAATGGCTGCGTCATCGCCTTCTACCCCATTATGGGATCAGCCTATATTGGGGAGGTCTGTCCTCTTGTTCTCCGCGGTGTTGCTGGTTCCTTGGTCAATCTTGGCTTCGTTGTTGGGCAGCTCATTGCCTCTGGTCTGCTCAAGGGAACCAACAGTCTTGATAACAAGTGGTCCTACAAGATTCCCTATGCTTCTCAGTGGGCTCCGGCAATCCTCATCCTTGCCTTTGTGTGCTTCTGCCCAAACTCGCCATGGTGGCTTTGCCGTAAGGGCAAATACTCTGATGCCGAAAAAGCGCTCAAACGCCTTGCCTCCGCTGCGGTTGATGTAGAGCCCACATTAGCCAATATCAAGCATACCCTCCGACTCGAGATGGAGTTGGACAAGCGCCATAACTATCTTGATTGTTTCCGTGGACCTGATCTCCGCCGATTGATTATCGCCATCATGGTGTACGCCATCCAGCCACTATCTGGTCAGGTTCTCTATGTCAACTATGCAGTCCAGTTCTTCGAGCATGCTGGATTGAATTCTTCCAATGCCTTCTCCATGAATGTTGGCCTGACCTCAATTGGTTTTGTCGGTACCATCGTCGCGTGGTTCTTCATCTCCAACATCGGGCGCCGACTGATCTATATTGTTGGAACCGCAGCCATTGCTCTGATCTTACTTCTCATTGGTATCCTGGATGTTGTCCCCCACCATGGCACAGGTGTAGTCTGGGGTCAGTGTGCACTTTTGCTTATCTGTCTGTTGGTGTATGACATCACTATTGGGCCTGCTTGCTTTACCATCCTCTGTGAAATCCCCTCTGCTCGACTCCGTGGAATGACGATTGGTTTGGCCACCGTCTGCTGTGCAATTTGGAATATCATCTTCGCGGTTGCTATTCCATATGCCATGGACACAGATCAGGGCAACTGGAAAGGCAAGCTCGGCTTTTTATTTGCCGGCATCTCAGCGCTGTGCACTGTCTGGTGTTACTTCTATCTTCCGGAGACAAAAGACCGGACCTTTGAGGAGCTGGATATCCTTTTTGAAGAGCGAGTATCGAGCCGGAAGTTCCAGGACTACGAAATCCACCGCAATGCAGACGCGAATGCCGAGATCCATGCCGAGGTCTAGAGATGATCCCTATCTGTATGGGGATGTTTTTCGATGGTACTGGGTTGTTGCAGCGTTCCCAGCACATGTACACGCATGAGTCAAATGTATAGAATAGGCATAAGATAATCAAGACTCCTGATGAACCTTATTAATTGGGCCTGCGCGGATGAGCGTACTGCTTGGTATTCCTTGGTATTCCGCGTAATAAACTATCTTCGCTCTTTCAACCCCCACTGAGCCTGTTGACAGCTGAAATGCCTGCAGAAGCGCGGGAATTAAGCAATCCGAGACAAGAAGGGCAGTGGCATGGTAGTGTCTACTAGCATCGTGAAGCGTAAGTTTGAGTCCGTGGAGATACGCAGTCACGTGCCGCTCACTTATCGACTTTGATCAGGGGTGTGGCGTCTGGATATCAAATCCTAAAGGGATACCATAGTATTCGTAGGGATCGTGGTGAACGCTCTATACCGATATACTGTCGTCTCTGGTACATTATGAAGCTCCAATTGATACGCTTGATGCTTAATCGCTTGCTTGAACTGCTATATACAGGATTCGGGATATTTAGGCACCTTTCCTCCCGGAATATATATATTCCGGATCCCGAGGCAGGATTATTAGATAACCCACCTTTCCGAAATAGTAACTAGCGTAATCGGACTCTCAGTGTCCGATTACGTTATATCCTCATCACTTATCGTCGTTACCACTCCGGGGAGATCATCCATCACATCACCACTCAATGGATGTCCCATTCGTCTGTTGCTGCTGTGGCGCCATTATCATCAAAGAATTCTGATGCCATCCTGGAAGAGAGTTAGAACCGGTACGTGTATGATTACTACTCCGAATCCATCGATGGGATGTGCAAAGCACCGCTAACGCTGATTCTGTCCCGTACAGGCTGCTGGACTTGCCGCCGACGGGGTTATCGCTGTGACGAGACTAAACCGGCTTGCCAAACTTGCATACGATTAGCAATTCCCTGCGAGGGTTATGGTGTACGACTGAAATGGCTACCTCCTTCCTCAAAATCTTCGAGATCTCTGGATTCGTCTGCAGTCCGAAGCAGTGTGCAGGCTGTCCATACCCCACGCTCCGAGACCAGCGTCAATGACACCAAAATACACTCGCCTGCTCTTCCACCAACATCTCCCCAGCCGTCACTACCATCGGCATTATCGAATGACCAGCACTTTCTTCTGCGACACTTCTTTTACACCGTGTCGGGTCTGTTGTCCAGTACACACGACACCTCAATTAACACATACTGTCGAGTAATCATTCCAATGGGACTCTCATGCGACTTATTACTAGATGCTATATTGTCAGTATCTGCGACTCACCTCGCGACGCGATACGACTCGTTCCACCTTTGCGCCATGATGTACAGGGACCGTGTGTTGAAAGGGTTGATAAATTCGATTCGTACACAGACTGGGTTTGACGTCACGATGCTGGCAACAATCATCATGCTAAGCATTCATGAGGCATGTATTTATGGCCATTCGATTGCTATTTTGGATGGAGTGCATGTTAACTGACCGCTCTAGGTATTCGAAGCCGATGCCTATTCCTGGGTCAAGCATCTAAGGGCCGCTGGCGCCTTCATACGCAATTATATGCAGAAGTGCAAGGCCCCAGATACGGCCACGCGCATGCTCTTCGACATGTATGACATAATCAATCAATATGCATGGGAAGTATGCTGACAAGCTGAGCACCAGCTTTTTATATCACAATGCCCTCGCTCTGATCTCTACCAAACAATCTGAGCTCTTCATGGATATCTATACAGACAACAAATGGTGCGCTCTTCAAGGTCAGCGAACGGCATTCCTCGCGTCCGTTGACACTCTGCTCTCTCTTGTCGCTCGTTTATCAATTTTCGCAACACAATCGGATACATATAGTTCCGATGATGAGCGGAATCTACATCTTTCCGCTATCCGACGCGAATTACAACTCTGGTTTCCTCCGGAAGGTATTTGCGATGATGCTCGTCATACCGCGGAGGCAATGCGGCATGCTGCACTTCTATATCATTATCAAATAGCCTCCACAGACGATGCTTCAAAGGCCATCACAAGAAGTTATCGAGCCATAATCCGTCATATTGGTCAGGTTTCGGTCTCCAGTCCGTCAGTTGCCAGTCACGTCTGGCCATTGTATATGGCCGGGACGACGTGTCAGGAAGTGACTGGAGGAGATGACCGAACGTTCATCAGAGATCGCCTGTCGCAGATGAGGGCTTTCAGGAGCATCAAGAGCATCGACCGGGTCCGTGAGACCCTAGAGCAGCGATGGGCAGATCCCAGGGTGGGCAGTAATGCCGAAGCCCCGTTGATTCTCTTCTGAGGGCTTGGACCTCCATTCCTTATTTTATTCGCCTATTGTTTTCTTGTCTGGATTTATTCGGTTTCTTTTTGGACAGCGACCGGCGTGATACATGGGCTGATTATGATGCCGGATGTCATAACACATGAATGATTCATGAATTAATATATCCCAACCAGGTTCATTACACTAGATTACTACAGTCATATATATACCAATAATCCATCAAATCATATATCTCGTTTGGAAGACATCTTACACTGCCTTCTCTGCATCATCAGACGCCTTATTGTCTGAATCAGCTTTCCCTTTGATAACGATAGTTTCCTCGGGCTTGATTTCAGTCTCGTGGACTCGCCAGATGAACACCGGTAGCGCGAACACCATCCCGCCAAACATCAGAGCCCAGCTGGAAGCAAAGATGTTCGCAAAGGGATATTTACTCTGTCGTGATAATGATTCATTAGCCTATCTAGCAATATATCCACGGATGAAAGGAAGACATACCCCATCGAGTGCTGCGACAACAGCCGCACCCGCCGCTTGGATAGACTTGTAAAAGCCCGAGTAGTACGCCAGCTTTTCGGGGTCGTTGCTAAGTGCGCCCATGACGTAGTAGCAGTAGGTTTGCCATATTGCGTCAAGGAAGCCGTAGAGCATGTACAGCTTTTGGAATCAGTACTGTCATGATACATATGTACACGTGTATGTGTATCTGTGTGATAAAAAGGCATACAATTAAATACCAAGTATAGTTATGATCAAATATATCCGTATGCGGACTCTTGACGGATCGGTTCGTCTTGAGTAGAAAGGCAACGCCTCCGCCCCAGATGGCGTTCATGAGAACGAATGTGGAACCCCATCCTATCCACAATCTTGTACGTCGGGAGAACCGAGTGTTATCCAGGAAGAGTCCGAAGGCGCCGGCGCCGATGACCTGGGAGATCCAGTACCACATGTTGTTGAAAGCGCGAGTTCTGGTATTGAAGTAGTAAGAATTCATATCTGACGGCGTAAGCTCAACGTCCTTGATGGCAAATGCGTAAGTGGAAAGGGCACGACGAACCATTGAACTGATACGTGTAGAACCAATTCGACGCAAAGAACATGGGGAATAGTAGCAAGATCCACGGATCCGTGGCCAACGTTGTGTACAGACCGACAATAAGGGGTTTCAATCCGGGATGGACAACTCGGTGGACCCTGGTTCCGTCGTCTCGGATAACCTTCTCGCTCGGGGACAGTAGACAGCAAAGCAGTGCCCCCAAGGCCTCCAGGACAATGAAGGCCGCATACGTGCCATCTGTTACTGTGCCGGAGCTGTTATCCCAGTTTTGTCCTATTGTCACGGCAGCTCCGATTACTGCTCCGAGGTTGAAGAGCAGCCAGGTGATCGCAATGGCTCGTCCTTTCTGGTTCTCTGTTGGGTACGACTAGGTGGACGTTCTTCGTTAATATGGCCCATTCTTCTTTTTTACAGATAAATGCAGCTGTAAATAGACATACCATCATGACCACTCCCTGGGCACACCATAGGAAGGCTGCGCAGAAGCCCAGAAGACAACCGGAGAAGATGACAAATCCGGAGTTCTGGGTGTGATTGTAGCAAAGAAATGCGGCCGAATAGACAACATAACCAATCCCACCTATCGCCATGGTCCATTTCGTGCCACTTCGGATATTTCAATAGTGTATCATGTAGAATAAGCGGGGGACACTCACATCTGGTTATGTGCAATGCCAACGACGAACCCAACGACGGCGAAACATGAGTGCAGGCCCTCAGCAGCTCTATTTTGAGCCGTCGTATCAACCTGTCCCGCACCACCGAGTCCAGTTAATGCATTGTACATTCTGAACAGGGGAGAAGAAGGAGTCAGCGTGAGGCTTGTACGCCGTCTGACCATGTGACGTCACTTACCCAGGGTTCAGGAACATGATGAAGCCGACGAGGACTATCTGCACCATGGCAGACGAGTAGCGGGGGATCTTGACTCCCATGATGGTTGCTGCATATCTACTATGCAGCACTGGAGTTGGTTGTTGCTCGCCGTCTGCTGACCATCTAATGTTAGACCAGGCGTGTTGCGTGCTTAGTACCTCGAGATAGGGTTCAGGGCGAGAAAGACGAACCATCATGCTTGATCGACCGGCATTCAGCCTTGTCCATATCTTCCAAATTCCTGCTGGGAGGTATGACACTGAGGACATGAATGGGTCAGCATGGGTATGGTATAACTATATATACATGTTCATCAAGGCAGTTCTCCCACCTCCATGTACTCGGTACTTGGAGATACTTTAAAGTGGGCCGATAGCAAACTTTGGGGACACGAGACGCACGAGCCCTCGGGAACCCTCAGCCCTTAACCCTGATAACCTCACAGCTAAAAGGGCACCTTCTGATTGGTTGATGGTCACGCGTCTAGATTACAGAGGTACCCGCCAATCAGCAGGTGCGGACTGTTACCATTTCCCATTCCGGTTAGAATGATCGTCAAAGGACTAGCCCTAGAGGCGCGCAGGATAGTTGGCCTGACCGCGCTAAGGACCATACCTGACCCGGCCTTGTTGTTGGATCACGTGTTATTCTGCCGCGTAGGTCCGCCCTCGCTGACCTTTTCCACCACGGTGTCATTTTGTATGCCTGCCTCCACAGCGGAAGTGACGAGGCCAAGCAAAACGGGAGGGGAGCTGGATTTGGCTGCAGGCGGGAGCCATTTCCGGCATTATTTTGGTCATGAGTGGAAATGAGGAGAACAACTTGTTGAAGTTGAGCACCTACATTAGCTCAGGATGATGACTGGAAATTCTTGGCAGGTGCAGAATAGTGGTGCTACACAGATGCTGGACAGTCAAGCAGCGGCTCGTCGCTGGAAGTTACGGGTGGAAGGGCGGCCGTTTCTGGCCTCGGTAGCCGCCATTTTCGGCATTATTTTACAGGTCTTCACATTTGTATATGTAATGAGCATGAGACAAATCATATTCAAAAGACTAGTATTATTCATAAACTGGGGACGGGGTTGGTAAAACGAAAGAAGAAGCGGGAAAAAATTATCGGCTGGGCTATTATCTGGACATCGCTGTACGCCAGAAAACGAGTGGGAAATGATGTCCTGGCTGATGTGGTGGTATCCGTCATGACTGGCCGGCGGCCTCAAACAGCCAGGTTCATCAAGGAAGCATTCTTCCGTTACAGAATGAATATGGAGAATTGTACTGATGAAGAGGATGAGGAATAAGGTGTTCTACATGCATCTATGTAAATGGACATTACCTTGTTCAGCAACCGTCCAGCACACCCACGGAGAGCACTTGGTGAAAAAAGAAATTACATTAGCCGTCTAAATAGCTCTATCGATCAAAGCGAAACAATTACAAAGGAGATGGTAAAAACGAGAGAAGAAATCTCAGGCTTGTCCAGTGCTAGGGGAATGCCATGAGTTTGTGTGGTGAATGCATCTATGGCTCACGCAAGAACACGCCACCCTCAGCCATACTAGTATACTTCGAGGACGGCAATAGTATTCCTGTGATGAGGTAAATGCAAACCACGGCATATTCCATGACCAGCGCCATGAGGATAAATGGGACGAGCGTCACCGTCAGAGCCCATTTAAGATTCGACGCCTCGAACTCAGAGAGAAAGAGATAGGTGATGCGGACGACAATGAACGGAAAGGCCAATGACATGGCTTGGAGCGCCTGAAATGCAGTGAGTATAATATATTCATCCCGAGCGTCGGGTACATATACTGACCGTTGCACTACTCGGAGTAAGCGTCGAGTAATGATTCCAGAAGTAGGTAATGAAGGCTAGCAAGCAGCCGACAAACACGGCAATAATGATATACCCTGCCTTGACAAGCCTATCGCCCGTTGACACGAGGTGGTAGCTGTCTTGGCCCTTCAAAATTCCTCCGGCAATTAGGAGAGGAATTCCCACGAAGAACAGCATACGCGATATGGCCAAGCCCTGGTGGACTCGGGGGTTGATCTTATGTTCCTGTGCAATTCTGAGGCAACCAAATCCAGTCAGCAGAGCTCATTATTAAAGCAATAAGGTGACTGACATAATCCGTATAAAGCCAATAGTGGCAGCGATAAGGGGAAATGCACCGGGATTCGACAGGATGATGACGGGAACACCCAGTCCAACGCTGGGCTGCTGCTCGTAAACGATAATGATTATCCCAGAAGCCAGCCGGACTAGTTTAGAGATTATCAGTGTATTGATTCAAAATTATAAACACCTTCAAGACTTCGCGATTACTCACTGAGCGAAAACATGAGCAAAATGTACCAAGCCAGACGGGGACGGCCATGGCGGCGGAACAGATAGTGAGCCGCAACCAGAAGGGAGGGGATATAGAAGGCAATAATGGCAATTCCAGTTTTCACTCGAGCGTTAAACATATTTTTTAAATGAGGAAAAATTAAGCCGGTGAGGAGGACAGCTGGGAAGGAGATGGAGTCCTCCCCGATATGCAGCAGCTATGGCCTTTATATGGGGTTGGAGATGTAGCAGGAAAGTTGCATGGGTCTTGCACCGCTGAGGCTGCCCTCGCATTTTGACTCCCGGAAGAGCCATGGTGCGTCCCGTCATGCCCATTTGGTGTCTTATGGAGCTGGCGATTCCCTCGATGGAGGAGAATGGAGACGTGCCGACAAGGCTCAGCCCTGCTGACTTCCTAAAGCGAAATAGTCGCCGCAAGTTTAGGTTTATAACGTCACGTGATTCGCATAATGCATCCAAAACGGGATTAGCGCGTCGCCGAGGTTGATTCTCCTGCTTCGTTCAGCCTCAAAGACAGCGACATGGTTTAATTAAGAGCAGGTCCTTCTCGCATCATCTTTCTCAGGATGGATACCCGCATTCTGTCCGTCTCTTCCTCCTCTTCTGTCATTGCGCATATAGTCTCTGCTAAAGTCCCACACTCTGAGCAATGGTAGGCGTTCCGGGAAGGTCCAAAGGCTGCAGCACATGTCGGAAGCGCAAGATAGCGGTAGGCCATACAATGTTCAATTTCCTTCTAGGACGGGTCTTAGTTAACCATGAATTAGTGTGGGCTGCAGCGGCCTGTCTGCGTACAATGTGTTCGATCCAAGCGCGTCTGTGGGGGCTATGACAGAGAAAGAAAGTTTATCCTTGTTCAGCCTGGGGAAGAGATGCATTCTAGTCCTTCCTCTGAACGCGAGCAGCCGCAAGGAGAAACATCCAGCGAGACATCGTCAAGTCCGAGCGGTGATATTGGATCCGTTAGTGGCGATCTCACGGTATTAATCCCCCATAGGAACGATGGTGCCATTCAAAGAGGATCAGCTCACGACATGATCACAAACGCCATGGTTCGTAACGGCCTAGCCCTTTCTTTCCTTGAAAGCCGTTTTCCAGAATCAAATATCAGTCCTGCTACTGGAAAAGCGCATTGGATCTCACTCCTCCCTTTCCTGCCGGTGGAAGTGAAAGCTCTTGAAAGCGCTACTGCCGCCCTGTCTACTGCGGCTTTGGGCCGCCTCCACTGCAGCCCAGTCTTAGTCAGAGAAAGTCTCAGACTATATACACAGGGACTTCGAGAACTTCAGATTGCCTTGTACAGCCGCAAATTGATGCACCAGACGGGGACTCTGGCCGCCTGCATGGCGCTCACTATGTATGAAATTCTGGAATGCCCCGACAACAAAGCCGATGGGTATGCGAGCCACTGCCAAGGGATTTTGGCCTTGATTCGCTCGCGTGGGGTCTCTGCACATACGTCTTTTGTAGATCATTCCCTGTTCCTCGGCGCTCGTTTCTTTGGTGTAAGTTTGTTCCTCGCCCGATCGAAGTTCATAGTATGTACTGATCTCCTGTGCCACAGATTTTCTACTCCCTGGAACGTCAGGTATCCACTTTTCTCTCTCGTCCGATATGGATAGAAGGACCGTGGAAAGACTTACCAAAAACTCCGTTGGACCGCATCACCGACTGCCTGACGCGTGCCCCTGGTATTCTTCAAGAAACCCTCTGTTTTCCCTTCTTGACCCATTCGCAGAAACTCAAATTAGCACAAAAACTAGCGAAGCAGTGCTGGGAAATAAGTAATACCCTCGAGTCAATATATGATGAAATCGTCGCTTCCTCTCCTTACTCCCTTTACTGGCCCGATGCATCTCTTGCCGACAATATCTCCAACCATATCGAACTTCAGAAACCGTTCACCATATCATATCGCTTCCCTGACTTACGTACTGCCGCTACGGTGATATTCTATTGGGCCACGTCAGTCATGGTATACTCTGGCCTCTGCAATCTACACGATATGATTGACCACCTGTCCCGCGATGAACCAGAAAACACAATACCCAGAGATACATCTTTAATTTCCGTTTCACGAGGTGAAACTGGAAGTGACAACAGCGGTTACCCCCGGCTGGGACACCGCAGAAACTACCGGGAACTAGTGAGCCATGTATGCCGTTCAGTTGAATATGCGTTACAGGATAGCTTTGTCCTGTGGGGGGCTGCCTTCATGTCCTCGTGTATTGGACTCATAGTTGGCAGCATCCGGGAGAATCCAGAGTTTAGTCATGAAGTTGCTTGGATGAGAGAGGTTCTGAAGATTGTGCAGAAGAGGGGACTGCGACTGTTGACGCACACAACACCATGATTGTCTGTCTATTCGTACTGTGCCATGTTGTGGGGTTCCACATAGTTCCGAACGTCTATAATTCGGAAGACTATATGTAAGCAAGGGCTTGTCCACATACGACGCATCCTGCATCTTTCGGAAGCTATTGAGCCAACTGGGTCTGGATACGACTCGCTACATGGTAGCGGGCGGTCCATGACTTCAGAAAATAGTTAGAATGTTGATGCAATGAGGAGGCGCATTGCGATGACAAGTTTTATGTGCTGCTAACCATTATAAGGGGACTGTGAGCTGTCAGTTTAGATTCGAGTCGAGTAATAATTGGCATTGAATTCAACAAATGGTCTTCAGACTATATACATTTCATCTCTATCATTCTTGAACTCATCAGGTAACAGTGCACCTCCGCTCTTCTCTTCATCTCACCAAACCTTCACAACTTCATAAAATGACCGCTGTCCTATTTACTTATAGCTGACAGTAACAGAATCGCTGGAAATGGACGAGGAGGTCAGAACCTCGTTGTTCTGCCTGATGTCCATAATGGTAGCTCCGGAGGGACCGACAGTCGAGCCACCGTCAGTGGCCTGGGCATTGGTGAAGGTGACGGTTCCAAAGTCGCAGAAAGGAACCATGGAAGAACCGGATTCAAAGTCTTCGACGATCCACTCGGCATTGGTTTCGCAAAGAGAACCCTGCTCGCTGCCGGTGAACCTGTGGGTGACCTTCTGGCCAGAGGAGAGGTTCTCAATGGTAGCCGTTCCGGTGGTGGTGCTGGATGCCTCAACAGTCACCTGGACGTTGTCGCCGGCGGAGAAGCTAATGCCGCTGAAGTCGTAGGCATAGTCGGGGTACCATTCGTACCACGCGTCATAGCTGACATCGCCGTCCTGGACACAGAAATCGATACCAGTCTGGAGAATGGCGGAGGTGCAGGTATCACCGTCGAGACCGACCCAAGCAGAGGCACAGTACTGAGTGCCATCGTCGCTGCCGTATGGTGCAGAAGGAGAAGGGATGGTGAACTGTGCGGTGACGGCAGTGTAGCCAGAGCCGACGAGGACGGCACCAGCCCAGTTGCTGCTGTATTGCTCGTGCACGGTAGTCCCATTCAGACTGAGGGGCTCGTGAGTGTCCGGCTTGAAGGGAGGGTTGCCGTGGCGGGCAATGTTGCGAGCACGACGCTTCTCGGTAAGGGGAGCTGCCAGAGCTGCACTGGCGAGCAGCGCGGCAGAGAGGGTTGCAGTGAACTTCATGGTGGTTTGAAGATATATGTTAGGGAATGGGACTGGTTCTGAAGAGTAAGTTCTGGATTGACAGAGCAAGCTTGAGGCGACTGGTCTGATGAACAAAAACACGGACAGAAGAGAGAGGATGAGCCTGAATTTATACACCAGCTCCGGGCTCTATCTCTGATGCCATATCTCGACTCCCATCCCAGCTCAAGCCGTGATAGCCGGCACTGGGTCCTCGTCAAGATCAAGTGATGCTACCATCATTCCAGGCCATGGCGCGAATGCTTGGTAGTAGCGACGGGGATGAGTGAGGACAGCTCCGTCTGGAGCCAGTGGGAACAGCGCGGGAGGTAGATTGAAGAGTTGTAGCTCGATTCCAATTTGCATTCCACAGCCTGTGTCTATATCCATTGGTCCCAGAAGCAGAAGCTAGCCAAAAGGGAAGAGCGATCGACATGGAATTAATATATCGGATGGAGAATGTAGCATGCAACCTGCATCGCGGTGTGCATTCTGCAAGGTATGCAGGTCTTGTCTGCAGTCACGGCGCTCCGACGGGTTATAGAACGCTGTGGAACAACGGATACTCTTCTGCAATGCTTCGTTCCATGCATGTCTATGCAGTGTGCACATCTCATGGGTTAGGTATGGTGCAGTGTATATACTCCTTCCAACGTCCCGAGGCTGACAGCAGCAGGACATTAATTAAGCTTTGGACAAGCCCTGCAGATGATAAGCGGACACTTCTTGTCCAGCGCAATGATCGTCTGTTTAATTTACAGACTTACGCCTCGATATCCAGCGCCTCGAGCTGGTCTTAAAGCGGATGGAGACACTGTTGAGCAGTGTCTACTTCCGCACCGGTCTCCAGGGCGCCCCTTATCGACCTGCCTACCTGGGAAAATCCTCTCTAACAGCGTGCGCCGGGACGATCAAAGTGGGGGAAAGCTACTCCATACAGCGCTGTCGGACTTAAGCTGCTGCAGAATGTAACCCTACGACGGCATGCCACTGTTTCTGGTTAAATCCCGCGACAGCTGCAAAGATAATGCGGGTGGCTCCTCCGTCGTGATTATTAAAGCCCGGAGATCAATTCAATCAGCCCCTGAACAGAGGGTAATATTGCCCTGAGCATCCACTGGCATACTACGTGGCCTGACAGAACACCACCGTGCTGCTGGCTAAGAATGTCTTATCTCTTGTCCGAAGCTTGAGAGAAATGGTACCTTGGCCTCAAGTAGACTTGATCAGCCGATATTAACACTAATGATTGCTAAGCTTCAAAGTCGATGAAGAGCAGAACATGAGATAACCCCTGGTGATCAGCATCACACCTCGACCGTAGCATTCTACTCCCTCGGAGACTCTGTCCAAAGGCCTAGGCCGCGCAGACCTGGTTCCTCTTCCTGACGTCCCTCCAACCCATCCCCAGTGAGAAGAGGAAACATCCTGCTGCCACTCCAGTAGTCAAGTAGAAAACGCGATCGACACTTTTCGCATACGCCACCAGCACGCTAGGCAGCTCTGATTGCTGAGTAGCCGTCCGGGATCCGGTTTTCCCTGCATTGATAATGACCTGGGGATTAACTGCGGGCGCATATTCGGAGATGAGCGTCTTGAGGCTATGGCCGAAGATGGTGTTAGAAATACCCAAGAACAATGCCCCGGCAAAGGTTGGACTGAACACGACCAGTGCCGTGGCGATGGGAATCTGGACAGGACAAAGCACGTTTTGGACTGCGATGATCGGCTGGTGACGATTAGTGGGTTTGCAGGCATTCGTTCAAAGACAGAGACTCGTCTCACGATTTATTTCCCCATTGACGCTCCAGGGCTAATGTCGACAGGAGGCCATTGGAAACCACCACCACGGCTGCGCTGCCGGCCATGATGGGCAGGTAATATCCTACTCGTTCGACCGAGGACCGTCAGTGATTGAAACCATAAGCAGTTAAGATGAACAAGAGCTGCGAAGAGACGAGCCAACATGCTCCGGAGGATGTATACACCACTCAACATCGGAGAGGAGCCCTTGACACCCTGGAAATCGATCGGCAGGTAGTAGGTAGTACAGAATAACTGGCCCATCAAAAATCCATATGACAGGCTACTTGACCAGACGATTCTCTTGCGGACCATGGAGAAAGGGATCATCGCTGTATCGCCTTTGCGGTAATCCCAGACGAGGAACACAATGAATGTGGCGCCGGCGCTGCAGAAGAGCCCGATGACTTGAGAACTGTTCCAGGCATATTTGACCCCACCATGCTGTAGAGCAAGTAGCAATTGGATGGCAGAGGGAGCAAAGAGGGCGGATCTGACGAGATCGAGCTTGGGTGGGAGTGTGTGGAGTGCTTCGACGACGCTGGGCTTGGGGATTTGTTCAGGGATATGGACGAATGCTAGCAATACCGCAACGAGGCCACCGACGGGGAGATTAATGTAGAAGCCTGGACGGAGATGATTTTAGAATGAGGGACTTGATAGAGAAAACCATGCGACTCACACCATCTCCAGGTTATGTACTAGGATATACTAGGGTATACTGGGTTAGGGCTCCTCCTGTCAAGGGTCTAGCGGCGAGGCCAATTTTCGAAACTGGACAACAATGAATGAAAATATTTTATATAGTCAGTTCTGAGGTATGCGTGGACCTACAACCCATTAGGAACCCGATTAAAGCTGCAACAGTTAACAGTCGTCAGCATGAAATAACACGGAAATTGTGAAGAACAAAAGCACTTGGTCTTCTCGTCATCGGAACACACCCAGAGATGATGGTAAAAGCACCATTCAGAATCCCAGAACTTCCCATTCCAGCGACTGCTCGTCCTACGATGAGCATTTCGAAGAGCTGGCGACACCATAAAGGAAGGAGCCCAGTTCAAACACGGCGAAGAAGCCCATGAATGTCCACTAGACCGTCAGTAAACGACATACGGATGGACATCATTGCTGACCATGGAATCCAGGTTGGCATACACCCTCCCGGTAAGCGGTTGGAGTGCTGCACTATACAACATATCAGCCACCGTCCCTGCACAATAGGGTAAGTCGTAACGGTGTGCCTTGCCAGCTGGTATGCACTACCATACCAGCCCACGTCAGGCAGAGAATGAAAGTGACTCGTAATTCGGGGAATGGCCTATGCAGACTTCGTGATGATAAGCATAAGGGCATGGATGTAGTCTGTACCGTCACGACAATCGAGACATCAGGCAGCACGAGAAGACAAACGAGACTGATGGCAAGCATGATAATAACAAGTTTCACACCTGTAACCCATTCACGCTCCTGGGTAGGGGCAGAGTGTGCCTGTTCTCTTTCCTCTGATTCTAGCTCCGCCATGGTAGAGGACGTATATAACAATGGAGATGAGAGTATTCCGGCAGTGAGTCATACTGGCATACCTTTATACTGCAAAGGATGTTCATTCAACGCCTGTAAGTACCGTCCGAGAACTAGGGCAGATTTATATTGCTACGGGATCCAGCGAAACCCCAAATCCGAATCCCGATGGATGACAGGTTGATGACAAGATTATATCCAACGCATTCTAATGGTACAATATATGAGACTCGAGGCTTGGAAGAGAGGGAGACATGGAAGCCACTTCCCCCGTAACCAGCTGTAGTCGTACTTGATGGACCAAGACCTCATCATCGAGATACCCCTTTTCCTCATCCAATACCCGCAGGCACTCGTCCATATGGGGTGTCCAACGGAGGGCGTCGATTCCCTGCAAGAATGACGATATGCTAAGGTACTAAACGTGATCCTTGAAGAGCATTGAAAGATGCCATACATACATCGATGTAACCAGAAAGCAAGCGAGCGCAGCTCTCCGCTCCTCGACCGAGGAAGTGCACGGGGTTTCGAATGCTTCCGCAGCTTTATACAGGGGATTGCCTATCTATGCATGGGAACGGGCTTATTCAGACCAAGATCGAATACGAGGAATACAGTGAGCTGCGTAAGGAGAGCCAGAAACGGTTTGCTATGACCTGGTAGTTAGCCCTAGGCTGTGCTGTTAGTCCCATCTCTGATCTCTGAATTTTGGCATTTGGCATTGGCAACTAGTGTACCAACCAGTAAATGATAGGAGTCCCAGGAGAAGATCGGTATTCTTCTCGGACCTGACTACCATTTCCTGCGCTACTATCTGTCGTACTTTGCTATCAAGTACCTGGTGCTGTGAGGTTGATTTGGACCCCGCGACCATGATACAGAGCCACAGGAAGGGCCGTTCCTGTCGGAGCTGCTTAGAGCTCATGGTGGATGGGATGCATACAAATGGAAAGAATTTTATTTTGAAAGCCTGGAACTCGGTCAGATATTCCTCTGCCTCGACAGGGGAGGGTTCACCGGCGTGACCGCAAGTGACGAGATGTTGATCCATTTTGAATATAATCGTCCGGACGGATGATGCATCTGCATTTGGATCGAGCACAGTTCGCACAGGCGTGGCCATAGGGCACTGATGTAAATCTACTGAGAAAATCTACCGAGCAAGGTCTGTAGGCAGGATGCACATCTTTTGTAAGGGCCACGACGCTCTAGTTAACTGTGTAACAGGACACGAATTTCTCCGCTGTTAATATCATGGAGTGAGCATCTACTCCGTATCCTGCTCTGAATCATGGTTGAGCCACGGACACATTGCGATCTCCTCCTACATACCAGAGACGAATATAGCTGCTAGGAGGTACAAGATTGCCTACAAACAGCGTGCTCCCACGCTACAAACTGCCCGAGTATCACCGCAAGTGATAGTCTCCACTGGAACAGGTCTGCTAGGAAGATGGAGATCAACAAGCCCAGGTTTGCAACAGCCAGTGCCAGTGCCAAGTGGTTCCACCGCACGATCGCTCGTCGGACCTGGAGCCGGAAGAGAAACACGATGAGCGAAACCTTGATGAGGGCCAGAATGGGGTTACAGGAGCTGATTGGCGAGATTGTACTTTTGCCCGGTGACTTTTCGCTCGACAGACAACGGAGGAATGTCGTGAATATGGTATCTTTGGTAGGCTAATTTGTATCTGAAGTGAGCATTTAGCAAATGGTCGGTCAAGGCGAGATGACCGAGCGTACACACATCCATGCCGTGTAGACTTCTGCTATTGCTGGGGCCTGTTAGACTGTTAGAGCAGACAGTAAACCGGGAAAAGAGACACAATTGGATTTACCCAGGCTGTCAGGATGAGCCCATCATCTGGACATTGTATTAGTGATATCACTTGCCGGCGGTTGGTACTAGGGCATGCAGCAGGACTTACCCCAGCAAACCTCACCCATGCCAGGACGCGAATCGCTTCTGAAATATGGAGAATGATTAGATAAAGAGTTTGGACATGTTCGCCGGTCCTAAGATGAGTACAAGTGTCGGCAATCTCACTCCCCAGACCTGGAGGACATTCTGGACTCTCCATTGGCGACGTCCGGCCGCTATGGATGCGCGGAAATGGCTGCGGGCTGTGGATAAAGGTTAAATTGAACAGTTAGACGGCTTCAATTAATTATGCCCGTCCCCTCCGATTGGAGTCTGTCCTCGATTGCTCGCTTTGGATGGATAGGAAATCTGAAGGAAGAGAGTAGAGGAATCCGCAGAAACGGACTTCAATGAAATCCCAGGATCAGCTTCCTTCTGACGGCCAACTCAATCTATTCAAGACGCCAGATATGCCGGGAAAGTAGAGACTGCCAGCCTCCTCTCATCTCCAAAGCCGGTGGAGTCAGCTCGGCGAAAAAGCCCTCTGGTTCCCATGAAGCAGGGGTGGCGTCGTCACATCGGCTACCGTCAAGGCGTATCCCACAATCCCAACTCAGTCGTCGCCTTCACCTGGTCGACAGGAGGCGATATCACGCACGATCGTTTCTGGGCAGGGTTTCGGGCATACATGGACTTCTTCGTCGAGTGTTCGGACGCGGAATCTACTCCCGCGTCTTCACCCTCCCGTCCGAGGGCGAATTCACCTTTCTGATGCAGCCGTTCTTCGCGCCAAACAAGACTCTGGAGGAAACCGAGACGCTTCCAGAGCCGTGTTCCAGCATCTGCGACAGCTGGCGATCACCTTCACGCCCAAGACGCGGTACGTTGACGGTTTCTACGACGCGTGGAACGCTTCCTTCCCGCTGGAAGCGGTCGAGAAGACGCAGGACCAACTGGGAGGATCCTGTGCGGCTGAACGAGACTTTTGACGCGATCAAGCCATGGTCCAACACAGGGCTTACGCTCATCGCGTTCAACACGGCGCCCATGCTAGCCCGCGGTGGGAGCGCAGATAATGCACGCAACCCAACCCAGCCTGTCCCAATGCTACAGTCGAGGAAATCGCTGCCGGTACAATCTCACGCACGTCAGCCCCGGAGCCGGGTAGTGTCTGGGGGAGAGCGATCGCATGGAACCGGATTTTCAGCCGTCGTCCCCGGCTGCTGACATTGAAGCGCGAACTGGACCCGAACGACGTGTTCTGGTGGCGACCGCAGTGGGCAGCGAGTCGTGGACGGGCTTCCAACGGAGGACAGAGGACGGCAGACGGTGCCTCGCGAATACCACAGGCCAATAACGGATCCGTGATAACAATGTTGCATCTGATGCCACGTTTAGTAAAGTTCTGGAAACAAACGAGGTTTCCAAGAGAGCGAGAGGACTTGGCTCTGCTGCCAAGATGCGCGCTGGAGCTTGGGATTCAGCCCAGCTGGCATCTCGTGTGTCTCCATTAGTATTATGGTTTACTCCGTATTATTCGCATCTACGGTGTGAACGATACCAGCTACTCCGTGCTCGCGTGTTGTGTATTTCGACAGGGTAGCATTGTGTGCGGGGGGGGCCTAACTCGCCGCGAAAAGTCCGATCCAATAACGCACATATCGACGTATTTCGAGCCGTAAGGCGAAAAATAGTAGTAAAACCAAGATCATGCTTGATAACAACCGGTGGGCAGACCGTGTCTTCTTATCTGCCTGGCTGTTGACGTCTCTTTAAATGCTGGCATGACACCCGGATCTGGTAGGTTTTTCTTCCCTTTCTCCAATCCTTCCCCCCCATCCCCCATCCCTCCTTTCGCAGCATGGATATTGACCCCGAAAAGGGCCAGGGCCAGGGCCGTGGCGTGGCTCACGATGCCGCGGACAAAAATTTCGTCGTGGACGTCCGCTCCAACGAGGAATCGCTGCCGATTGAAAGCCAAAGCGACGCTGCTTCTTCGCCTCTGGGGAGCTTCCTAGCCACCCTCCGCGATTTCGAGGCGCGCATGGACAGGATATTCCATCTGGAGTCGGAGGCCATCGTTCGCAAACGGCCGGAGGACAAGAGACCCGTGCCCTGGAGGGAACAGCTGTCGATGGCGCTGCTGTGGGCCAGCGGCACCATGAACACCTCCTGCTTCGCGACCGGTCTTCTCGGCTGGGAATTCGGTCTGAGTCTGCGGCAGTCCATCGTCATCACCATCTTCGCATCCATCCTTGGCGGCGCCTTGACCGGGTATTGCGCGACGTTCGGTGCTGCCACGGGCCTCCGTCAGATCAGTGTCAGCCGGTACAGCTTCGGATGGTGGCCGAACAAGCTCATTGCCCTCCTGAACGGCATCCAGCAGCTGGGATGGGCGGCTGTCGCGTGCATCACGGGTGGTCTGGCACTGACGGCCGTGTCGGACGGCCATCTCTCCCTCGTGGTCGGCATCATCATTCTGGCCGTGGTGGCCCTGGTCATCTCCTTTGTCGGGCTGAAAGCCATCTTGGTCTACGAGCGATACGCGTGGATCGTCTTCTTCGTCATCTTCATGATTATCTATGGCGAAGCAGGAGAATATGCCGACAACACAACCCCGGCTAGCGTCACCGGTATCAACCTCTCCGCGGCTGTTCTCAACTTGCTTGCCGTTGTCTACGGTTCCAGTGCGTCGTGGTCCACCATGGTCAGCGACTACTACGTCCATTATCCGGTCAATGTGAGCCGTGTCAAGGTCTTCCTCATGACAACCTTCGGCATTGCCATCCCCACGTCCATCGGCATGGTCGCCGGCTGCGTCGTCGCCTCTGGACTCAACAACCGGCCCGATTGGAAGGATTCTTACGAGGAAGGCGGCGTCGGCTACCTTATCCAGGATGTGCTGCATCCGCGCGGTTTCTCCAAGTTCCTCCTCACCCTCCTCGTCTTGTCCGGAATCAACGTCAACGTGATCAGCATTTACAGTTCTGCCATTTCTTTCCAGCAGCTCGCGCGGCCTTTTGCCAAGATCCCCCGCTTCATCTGGACTTTGTTCTGCTTCGCTTGTATCCTTGCGCTTGGCCTGGGCGGCCGAGAAGAGTTGAATACGTACCTGCAGGACTTTCTCAGTCTGCTGGGTTACTGGTGTACCAGTTACGGTGTCATTCTGTTCGAGGAGCATTATATCTTCCGCAAGGGCCGATTTGAGAATTACGACCTGGAAGCGTGGAACGATCCGACCCGGTTGCCCCTAGGCATCGGTGCAGCGGTCGCATTCTGTCTGGGCATAGTCGCCTGGGTTATGGGCATGGATGAGACCTGGTACGTCGGACCTCTTGCGAGCCTTATTGGAGAGGCTGGTGGCGATGTTGCAAATGAGTTCACGCTTGTGGTGACTGCTGTGAGCTATATGCCCGCGAGGTACTTGGAGCTGAAGTACTTTGGGCGCTGAATAGCCATGACGTGGTTCTCTTAGATGTTTAATATTGGATGCAGCAGATTTATACGGCGTCAAAGTTCTCGCCAGTAAGCTAGGTATGAGTTGCGAAGTTCTAGCCATATGATCTGCCATTCGTTTCTCTCTTAGACTTTGCCCTGAGGCTCCCTGAACTTTTATTCTACGACTATTCAAGCATTGGCCTGGATATCCGGGATGTTCAAACCAATAACCATCAGCAACAGGGGGAACTCTTGCCATGGGGTTCTTCACGACATCAGCAAAGTGTTTCTTGTCTCTGCCATAAGGAGACCCTCCCTTTGCATATTCAGTCACATTCCCCTCAGGTGCAATACCTTCCTGATCCTCCCGTATTTTCTGGCGTCTGTCGTGAAGAACCAGGAGCTGTGTGATCGCAACAACTACCAATGCAGCAACTACGAACCCGAAAGTCGCAGGGAAGCCCTTTCCTACGTATAGCGTTAGAACCGCACCTCGACAGTAGATGAACATCAGAATGCATACGGAATGTGGGAGCCTCTGTCTGTGCAAAGATGACGATAGGAAGCCATGCTGCCACTGCGTATTGAAACGCGTTCATGCTGCTTACTACCAGAGCGCGCTCTTCATTGTCATCCGAGCACACTTCGTTTGCCCATGTATAGCTGCAAAGAATAAGTACAATCGAAGAGGGAATACATACACCCAACTTACTATATTGCCGTCATCAGCTGGACGCCAGTGGGCAAGAAGGCAGCCTCCTTGAGCTTGACGCTTTTAGGCCAGACCGCCAGAATTCCATTCGGAACGAGACCGTACGTCTGTAGCATGTTAACGAAGAGAACCTAGCACACCATAAATGTACACATGGACGTGAGACAAACCAGAGGCAGAAGAACCCAGAGGACTCGATTTTTTCGTGGAGTCAGCAAGGAATCCCACTACGTACCGGTCAGAAGTGGTTGTAGACAAGCTATCCATGAACCGAACCCACCAGGACAACACAGAAAGCGGATATCAGGTTTGTACCTGTTGGGATAATATTCCTTTTAGAGACAGAAAAGTGCTCCGACTTCAGCCAGCTGCGAAGGAGGAAGATGATCCGCAGGAAGAACCGTATAGCTTGACTCGGCCGTAAGCATGGCATGTTTTCCAGCGGACCTGGTCCACTTACCACGTAACCGAGAACGAAGGCATGCCATCCTGAAAATTGAACGTAAGAATGCAATTAAACCAATTCAAAATGCCATAGGTTGTCCACATACTCCATCGCCTCGCAATTTGGACCATGTTCGATAGGCTGAGTTTCGCAGGTGCCGCCTTTCCTGCGTTCTCAGCACGCACTACGGCGAGACGGATCTCATCTTCATGTAAAGGGAGGTTCGTGCCAAATATCCACTAAAAGCCGAACCAAGAGGAGCAGTCATATGGAAATAGCAGTCCGTTTGGCTTGACAGCGTCGCTTAGCTAGCTAGTGCTTGATAATTTTACAGTCGGCGTACCTCATTCCGCTTTTGTATACCTTGGACAAAGTCAATTTGGATGGTACTCGTGGTCGTATTGCGGCACACTTACCATGATCCCAAGACATACAACATGCACGGAAAGAATGAGCTTTCGAAAAAGCCAACCATGAACCTGAAAGCGTACAGCTGCGATACACTGGACAAGCCGGCCTGGGCAAATGTGAAAACGCCCCAGCCAACCTCCATGACGGCCAGCCAGTAACTCGGTCTGATCTTCTGGATGATGAGGTAAGATACTGCTTATGTCAGCATATGTTATGGCTGCAACCACGTCCTTCTCATCATATTCCTCATCAGCCATGGCACCATCCATCTCAAAGCGGGGAGATGCATACCTATCTTCCGATTGAGTATATTGAGGAAACTGCCGGCCAGTGCTTTTTGAGACGTGGTGTGAAGAATAATGCCCTTGTGTTCCGGAGTCCTACTGGCGTCTGGACAATCTTCTGCAAGCATATTCAGCCAAGATTCCCTAGGAAATGTCGCGAGCACGACGATTTTGCCAGCATTGTGCCATGGTACTGAGATGCTGACTTTCTGGATGAAGCGATTGAAGCGACCAAAAAAATCTTCTGGTGCGTGGTGTATGCATGCATATACGGAGGATGCAACTGACACATGAACCTAGTCTACGCAAATCCGTCAAAGACAGGAGCCTTTGATAATGATCATATTTATAGAGCAAATACTAAATACATTGACTTGCCATTATATATCTACAGTTTGGCTGCTCGACTGTCGGCCAGCAGCAACTCCGCCAATGGCTCCACGATTGCCTCATCACATCTCAAAGCCATCAGATTCCCTACAGTGGCATTGATCGGGAGTCTCCTCGCATCCTCAATGACTTTCCATAGGCGGTCCTTCAGCTGGAATTCCACCTGATAGTCTCTAATCAAACTCTCAATGCGTGGTTTGTGGTCTATCAGGCTGAGTTGTGGATTCGACCCGAGTTCGATGGTAATGGTGTGCTTTCCTTCGCTGACGAATGGACATTTGACAACTAGACTCGGTGTTCGTGGATACTCCTCGACAGCAACTTCACTGTCCTTTGTACGATCTGTTCCATCGGCAATGATCTTGAGATCTTTCGGGATAGAGGTTATGGCCAGGAAGCGGAAGGCCCATGTTCCGCCTGCCACTTCCGCAGTCAGCTTTCCTTCTGCTTGGACGTACGTGATAGTTGATTTCCGTTCATGGTGTGCTGCTGTTGCATTCACTTTGCCAGCATTGATTTCGTCATCGTTAGGATTTTCGAGAACGCTAGCCTGCCCATCATGACCAACAACTACCAGGACTTCAAATGCCTCCGGGTTCAGGCAGCCGTTCTTCGGCGATGGGTCAGCATCAAGGGGGATGATGGATCCTTCATGGGCCAGGACGGGATACTCTTCCAGACGTCTGTACAGAGTGATCTCACGGTCGCCATCGTATACAGTGCCAGTGAAAATATCGACATGGCGGTGAAGTGGCGGTAGCCAGGCTGTCACTGATCCCAGGTTGGTCCTCTTGTCCCTTGGTTGGACGATAGGAGCAACAACAAGTTCGGATCCAAAGAAGAATTCATTGGGGAATGAATACGCCTCTTCGCGGTTCGGATATGACCAGTACATCGGTTGAACAAGGGGTTCATCCTCGGTAGAACAAATCACGTTTCTCGTGTACAGGAAGGGCACCAGTCTGTGCCTCAGCCGCATGAATTCGGACATGACTATTTCGTATTCTTTGCGATATAGCCATGGCTCCTTGGACATCCAGCGAGAGATTGTCGAATGTAGACGGAAGATGGGTGAAAACACACCAAGCTGAACCCACCGAGTGACCAGCTCATCATCACGACTGCCGCGAAGATGGCCACCGATGTCGTGACTCCACCAGCCGTAACCGATGTTGGAGGCGGTTGCTGTGAACTCGGGCTGAAACTCAAGAGATGCCCAAGTGACCACCGTATCACCGGAGAAGCCAATGGGATATCTATGGCTTCCAGGGCCGGCATATCTCGAGAAGATCAGGGGGATCTTTCCATCGTGGGAATGGTCGAGGTAGTGAAAATGGTTTAAGAGCCACAGGGGATCGAGGCTGGGAATCTTCGAATGCGGCCCCTGCTGCCAATCGATCCACCAAAAGTCACATGCGATCTTCTCAATGTTACGGTGCAAGATGGTCAGGTAAGCCTCCATAAACTTGGGGTTTGTAGGGTCGAAGAGAATTGGGTTTTTATCTGCGGTGTCATGGCCCAGTGCTTGAGCCATTTCTTCGTAGTAGTCCTCATGAGAATGGATACCATTATGCGGATGGTCATTCAGTGTGATCTGAAGGTTTCTCTTGTGAAGCTCACGTCCAAACTCCACAGGGTCCGGAAACAGCTTCTTGTTCCAAGTATACCCAGTCCATCCAGAGTGCGGAACGCACTCCTCGGACACAAGATGCCAATCCATATCGACAACAGCAACGGACATGGGAATCCCGCGGGCGCGGAAGTCATCCATTAGTTGGATATACTCATCTTGCCGGTACGCATAGTATCTACTCCACCAGTTCCCCAGGGTATAGCGAGGCAGAATGGGCTGCTTGCCAGAGACGGCATAGAATGCTTTGATGGCGGCTTTGTACTCGCGGCCATAACAGAACAAATAGCCGTCGATGCGATCGCCAGGGCGCCTGCCAGCCACGAAGCCATGGCCGTCAAAGAGCATCGAATTAGAGTCGTCGAGCGCTGCATAACCCGCTTTCGACATTACTCCCTGGCCCATATCGCACGGTCCGTCGCACAGGTCGAGTGTTCTGGCTGTACCCCCCAAGTTGGGGGCTGGTATTCCGAACCGCCATGGAGCTCCCCAGTTGGTATTCCTGGCGTTGAAATGGACCGATAAACCACCGGGACTGAATCGTTTCTTGTCATAGCTCAGGTGGAAGTGCTCCGTGATAATCTGGAGATCCTCGTTATCGACAACTCGGTAATTTGGAACGGGAAAATCACGGTTGATGGCGAACGTGGAGGCTCGATCTTCGAACTGGCCGTCTTCCGCCCATTCATAGCGGACTAGGCGATCGGTGAGGATTGTAAAACGATAATTTGGTCCAGAGACAATGGCCTTGGGGTTGGCCAATGGTTTCGTGGGAAAGACGTAGCTGTTCATGAGGGGCGAATGCCTGCGAACAGTGATAGAGGAAGGACTCGGCGAGCGAGAGAATGAGGATGTATTTGGGATTCCATTTGGGACCGGACACGCTGGATATTTCTAGGGGAGCAGAGTTCGGATCTTCGAGTCGCCTATGCGTTGTTCCCATCCGGGGCTCATCGTCATCAACGTCAAGAAGCAGGACCGGGACACGATCTCGCGAATAAATCAGCGATATTATGGGGAAGGAAACGCTCCACCTTGCGATGTGCATCCTCAGTGGTATTCCAGCGGATAATGGAGCGAAATTTTGAGCGAGAATTTCAGCGATTGGACCAGCCGCGCAGCGATGCAGAATAAAGTTGCACCGGTGCGTCACCCGAGTATCTCTTGCGATGCCGATGCCTCATCGGCTCACGGATATGGCTGGCTTTTCGCTGACCTCGTGTTTCCCGATCTTCGGTCCATGGGGATCTGCCCCCATGGGGACGTCCCCGCAGAATCTCGCCATGTGCAGCGTTTCCTTACCGAATGATTCGTGTCGAGGCATCACGAGGAGACAAAATGAATCTGCGAAAGCACTATAAATATACGATTGACTTGTCAGCATGAGCCTGTATACGGTACGCCATCTCCTTTCTCCGTCTAGCTTTGTTTTGGCTTTGAAAGACTTTTCTTTCCATCTTCGACTTGACGCATCATGAAAGAGGATCAGGAAACCTGTCATGTAGAGTCCCTACCTGGGCAACCTACGGACAATGTCCCCGAGGTACTTCCTGAGAAGAACGGCGCTCGCGAGGCGATGGAGGATGAGCAGGAAATGGGTTTCTTTGAGGCCATCAGACTCTACCCCATGGCCGCCGTCTGGTCCGTCGGCATGTCCACTGCAGTGGTCATGGAAGGATATGCTACCATGTTGCTTTCTAGTTTCTACGCCCTCCCCCAATTCAACCGCAAATACGGTGTACTACAATCCGACGGGTCCTACGTGATTCCTGCTCCATGGAAGTCTGGCCTCTCGAACGGTGCGCTTTGTGGAGAGATCCTCGGCCTCTTCATCACCGGTCTCTGCCAGGATCGCTTTGGCTACCGCAGGACGATCATCGCTGCCCTTGTCATGATTGCGGGCTTCATCTTTATCCTCTTCTTCGCACAAAATGTAGAAATGCTCCTGGTCGGGGAGATACTTTGTGGGATTCCATGGGGTACTTTTCAGACCATCACCACTTCCTACGCCTCCGAGGTATGCCCGGTGGCCCTGCGCGGCTACTTGACCACATATGTCAACCTATGCTGGGTCATAGGCCAGTTCATCGTCTCCGGTGTCCTGCGTGGTGTCCTTGATCGCACAGACCAGTGGGCATACCGCATCCCCTTTTCTGTCCAATGGATCTGGCCGATACCTCTGATTATCATATGCCTTTTGGCCCCGGAGTCCCCTTGGTGGTTAGTGCGACAAGGCCGACTCGAAGAAGCATGCCACAGCCTCTCTCGCCTCATGAACCGTGCGAGCGACAGGATTGAGCCGACCCTGGCCATGATCCAGCACACAAACCGGCTCGAGCTGGAAGCAACTGCAGGCACGACATACTGGGATTGCTTTAAGGGAACGAATCTGCGTCGTACGGAGATTGTGTGCCTTACGTGGTTAATCCAAGTCATATGCGGATCCCAATTGAGTGCCTATTCCACCGTTTTCTACATCGCGGCAGGACTTGAGGAAAGCTGGTCATTCAACATGTCCCTAATCCAATACGCGCTCGGAGCGGCAGGGACGATCCTATCATGGTTTCTCATGACACGTGTTGGCCGTCGCACGATCTATGCGTATGGGCTCATTGCCTTATTCGCTTTTCAGATGATCATTGGGTTTGTCTCCCTTGCGCCCCGGGACAACAGCAATGCCAACTGGGCGGTCGGTGCGCTGCTTTCCATCTTCACGTTTACATATGATCTTACCGTCGGCCCCGTATGCTACTCACTTGTTGCCGAATTGTCCTCCGTCCGTCTTCGTGCCAAATCGGTTGTTCTCGCTCGCAATCTCTATAATGTCGGGGGGATCGTCGTCAACGTCCTGATTAACTACCAGCTCACGAAGACGTCATGGAACTGGAGTGCAAAATCTGCGTTTTTTTGGGGAGGTATCTGTTTTTGCTGCTTCGTCTGGGTATTTTTCCGCCTTCCTGAACCCCGGGGTCGGACGTATGCGGAACTGGACATTCTTTTTACGCAGCGTGTGTCTGCACGGAAGTTCAGCTCGACGGAGGTTGATGTATTTCATCCCGGTCAAGGCCACGAGGAACTGCCGGGTGGTATTGAAATGGCTACGAAGAAAGATTGATGATGGCGTACAAGACTTATGCTTGACTGAAACGATAGCTTTGGAGAGGAACATGTATATACATGAATGAGACTTCCATAAATAAGACTTTTCTGAACAGATTAAGACACGAGTAGATTACGAGAACGCTAAATAGACAGATACATCAACACCTACGCCTACCGACCAGAGAGCAATGCACAACTACGCTGGATCACCTTCCTCTAGTTCTTCCAAAACCCTTGCGCCAGGGGAATGGCATGTGAGGCCGATGGGTATGTTGTTTGTGCAGAGAAGAAAACAGCTAGATACCCTTGGCTGCAGGGCCTGTGCATATTTTGCGCGAGAGTTGGGCGTGAGATAGAGGTGTTGCAGGATGGCGTCGAGTCGGTCCATATTTTGCGAGACGACACACGTTTGACCGGTTAGTTTAATGGAACAGTGAATGATATCGGCCAATACGCTGCCGATGTCGAAGATTTTCTCAAACTAACAAGGGACAATTAGTCTACGCAAGCAATGAGGAAGCAGATAAGACCTACAATTCCCAGTCCGTGAACTTCGATGGACTCGGTAGATACCGAGGATAGAACCCGCAATAGTGAGAGAGCAATGTCCTCCGGGTAAGCAAAGGTCATGGATCGTGTTTGCGCCGCACTTGACAGCAGCGAGTGATGGAGGGCGCTTTTCCAGTAGACCAGTTGCAGCCAGTGCCGGGTGACAAGGATGTCGACTTTTTGGGTGTCTGATACACCATCCGTCCCGTGCGGGACAGGCTCCAGATGGAGTGCGTCCAGCGGTCGAAGAAGGCTGGAAGGCGCTGACAATGCGGAGCCGAACCGACTCCAAAAATTGATAAAATCCACGTCAAGCTGGGAGTAGGTTTGGATAAGCTGCCGGAAGCCCACGTCGATCTCCGACCGCTCGTCTTCTGGAGCCCCGATGGGGAGAGGAAGGGGTTGCGTCAAGAGAACGGGTTTGTGCTGCGATATTGCGAATGACCTGGACGTGGTCAGGATACATGGGCAAAATCGGAATGCATACATGCAGGGGACTCAGACCTCTCCGTGATAAAGAGTATGTAGTAGATCCGCCGGTAGTAGAGAGCCTCAACATTGTCAAATTGCAGGTAGAACTCCTCGGTATGCAGTCCCAGCCCCTGAGCAAGCGTAATCGCCTCACGCAGATAGAACCAGCACAGACGGACATAGTGCAGTTCAAAGTAGGCCGTGGACACGAAGAAGGATGCCAGCAGAGTAAAAACCGAGTCGTCCTCGATATGGCCGTAGCAGGACCGCAGCGCGATGCTCTCTCCCAGGAAATATTGAGCAACGGGCCGCCATTGATCGTCCCCCAGGATGGACTCGCTGCGGCCGCACATGAACGTGGTCACCAAGGCGCACAATGCGAGGAGCATACTGGTCTCGTTGGCTTTCCGCGGCCGATCGAGCATCGCGTGGAGCTCAGCTGGCCGGATGATGGGCATGATGGGGTACATGTGGTGCAAGTACACTCGAACACATCGCTTCACCAGCGGCAATACCTGTTCGGAGAAGTCATTGCCACTGCACGCATCCAACGGTGGCCGCGCCTCCTGCTGCGGCTGCTGTCGTCGATCGGTGATATTGGCGATATTTGATGCTGGCTGGAGCGCCGTCCCAGCAAGAGCGCGTTCCAACGACTCTGCAGCTCTCAGCGCCGCAATCTTCATTCCACTGCCGTATTTCGGGCCGCGACGCTTGCGGACGTAGTCCCGGCGACACGACAGCCCGGACCGCTGGCAGTGGAGGCAAGGCGTGGTGCCGTCGCAGCGAACCCGACGGTGTCGGCATTGATCGCATGGAACACGCGTGGTGGGCATGGCGTGGCTTGTCCCTGTCCGGGCAAAACACTTGTACTGGGGGTTTGCTGGAAGTGCTTGTAGTGATTGTAGTGCTCGTGGTGCTCGTGGTGCTCGTCCATGTGGAGGCGCGTTGAAGCCGAAATCTGCGGCGGATTGCGGGGTCGGCGCACGGTTGTGGGGATGAAACTGGCATCTTTACGGACATTCTTTTCCAGTTAATTTAATCTGTGGGGTCATTCTTGTCCGGTTGATACAGACATGTATACACAGACATGCATACATGACATACATGACATACAGGACAGGTTACGTTTCTTTCTCTGTCGGAATCTATCTTACCCTCACGAACAGCACAAAACGAGCTGTCTTAGGGCCGACGGAACGCCCGAACCAAACGTTGGACGCCACGAGATGCGTGCCGGAAACAGTGAGCGCCGGCACAGCCAAGCAGTGGCAGCGCTATACAGGATTCCTCAGTGCGTACTTAAGCAAGGTGGGTTCTAGTTAACTAGCCATCCGCTGAGCGCGGATAGTGCTGGTCTTTTGGCCTGGTGGGTGAGCGTGGGTGATCCAGCTACATCCCTTGCCCCAGGCGCTTCTGTCCAGCTTCTGATGCCCGACAACTATGTGGGATGCCCTACGTCAACGAGTCTGCCTGGTGTTGGACAAAATGCGTCTCTGCCTAACTGTCCCGCAGGAGGCTGCAGGACTGCATGGCATCAGTGAGGCGATCCATAACGCGCCAGGTTCACGCCAACAGCTACCCTCCTCCACCTATGCATCCTAGAGGCAGAACGCTATGGCAGCCTTCCAGCCTTGCATCTTCGTGCTTCTGCCCATCATCCCTCTACGCCGCGTAATAATTGCCCAGGGGGAGGGGAAAGCGCCGCTCTGGGCTATTTAATGAGTGCCTTTCCTGTGTCTCTTTCCAGGTTACTTCTTCATGATCAGCCTCCCAGCTCCGTTTCCTGCTACATTCAACATGGCGAGAAAATCAAAACCGGTCGGAAACTCGTCCATGTACCCTAAGCTCCATGACGATGTATCACGCCTGCTGGAAGAAGACGATCTTTACTTTCACTTCCACGAAGTTGATGATGATAAAGGTCCGATCAAGAACTACGACACGACCGTCATGGGCCGATTTCTCTGTCGGAACCGCAAGTGCGCCTCGAACGGATGGTCCAGCAAGAAGATTGCCATCACGATACGAATGTACCCTGGCGACAAATACAATGCTCGGGTATATCACCAGCGCTGCAAGAGCTGCAACTATCTCAGCCGGCCACTGCTAGACGATTCATATGCGGACCGAGTCGCCTATCGGATCAAGAAATGGAATGGGATAAGGTTGGACATACCGTTTTACTCGGGTGAGAGCAAGGGACCACACAATCGCCATCTCTGTGAGGGATGCAAAGCTGGTCGTTGCAGTGGACTTGGACTGGGGTGGTTCTAGTCGCTACGGCGTGGGTTGACGGTCAAAGTAATACTACAGATGATCTCCAAATAGGATCTAGTGCTAGGATGAACATGAAGCAGCCGATATGGCCAGTCCCTGCTATGTTTAGGCCCCTCAAGAGGTTAGAAAACACAGCCAATTATCCCCAGACACGCATACTTATCATATACACCGTGTAAACCAACTATGATCACGCCACAAACGAAGCACGGCGGCGGAGCGTTTATTGCAGCATTCATATATACCCTCTCCACAGACATCAATATTTCTCGCTTTCAGTCTGCCTGGAATGCGGTACTTCAGGCCCACATGATTCCGAGGAGCTGGCTGGTTCAGGACAGTCGCTGTTCCAAGTTGTACTCGGTGAAAATGATATTTGGAGCGCAGTAGAAGACATGGACGACTATGCTGTGTTGTTCTCTGAGCAGGAGTTCTCACTGGGCAAGCTGCTACTCCATTTGGCGCATAGGATGCCTGTTCCCAGTAACAGAACCAAATTTGCCCTGGTCTCCCATAACGCTTTATATACTGAGCCAACAGGCTTATGTGGGCCAGTCGCTTCCTGCGTCCCCATTCCGATCCTTCGTCAGCCATATTGCAAAGACTGATTCCGCTGAAGTGCAGAGTTATTGGCAGTCCCAGCTGCAGGGATTTGACAGATAGGGCTTTAGGGTCTGCCAACCCCGCTGCGAACACGACGGTGAGCCAGAGCCTGCTGCTCATGCAACCCTCCTCCAGAACTGCTATGGGTTTCACGAGACTATGCTATGTGTACTAAGCATAACCTGAGAGCCTTCAGCTACCGACATTTCCACAACCCTAGACTTTGACCCACGCGTTGTGCAAGTGAAGCAGGCACATCGAATCAACGCTTGTGATCTTCTCGAATAATCCCGATGTTTGTCTTTCAGATTTACGGATATGAGCGTGGTCATTTTCAAATGCATTTGCGATGGTCTCCCATGTTAGATAAGCGAGTATTACTAACTAGTTAGTAGTCCGGCTTCTGGGAAAGATGAAGGGAATTAGACGTACTGCAGTAGTTGTAGTTTAGTTAGATAAATTGTTCTTTGTCTCGTCAAAATTGCATCGGATTTATAGTAATGGCAGATACCGAAGCATATATTTGAAATTACTGTAGCATGCCAGATGCAACTTAGCATCGGGGACAAAGTCGTGTTGGTGGCCTAAGTGACGTTCCATAAGCACCATAAAACCCCAATGGTCAAATGCGATCTACTGGAACTAGTTAACTACTAACTAGTCAATTAACATAAATTGACTAATGATGGAACAGTGGAGTAAATCCAGGCCAACTACGGAGCACTGTAAGCACTACTGCTACTGTGAGGGGAGCTCGGACAAGATCGAGCGACTGCTGTTCCTTCTTCCTTTGTTTTTTCTTTGTTTTTTCTTTCTTTCTTTCTTCTTTTTTCTTTCTTTTTATTATTTTCAACTTTTCGCAAAATCGCAAACTTAATCGCCGTCATGGTGAACAGTGCCTTCATTGAGAAGATAGTGGCCTCAGAAGAGTTCAAGATCCTCGACCAGGTCGTAAATAAACCCGATGCAACAGTTGATGACGCTCTGCAGAAAGTCATGACCATGACAATGGCGGCCAGCGCCGCGCATGGTCCAAACTCCCTCCAAGGCGCCGGTCTTGTCGACTATAACGTCTCCTTGGCTCTCATGGAACTGGTTCAGCGCCTCGATCCCATCAAGCACGGCAAGCTCGTTGAGTTCATCTCAAAACTCCAAAGGCAGACAGTGATTAATCCGTCAACGGGCGAGCCGCAGAAAATCCAGGGCAATACCCTCTGGACGGATCTACCGTCGTTTGGCTACACCGAGCTGGAAACATGGTACGAATTCGGAGGTGAATACAAAGGTAGTTGATTCCCAGCCTGCGTCTACACTTGTTCATATCACCAATAAAGACACGGTTGCATCTAGATCCCTGCGACCCTCGGATGGACCGCAAGGAACAACAGCGGTGGGCCAATTTGAACGCGTTTCTCGCGCAACTCAGCCAAGCCACTGATGTTCACCACCCGTCTCCTGGCGAGGAAGTCCTCTTCCATCCCCTGGACAAATCTCTTCGAGCACTGTGGACGATGCAAAAGGCACTTGAAAATGGGGACTGTCCTCCCAAGACACTGGTTGGCACGGTTGCCCTGCGAGCCGCATGCCTGTGGTTTATCTACGCCGCGGACCGGCTGTGGGCCAATGTTCAGAGCGGTCGCACATACCCCGAGGCCTCAGGAGCCGGACCCGGAAGTGAGAAGTACGCTCAGAAGGGCTGGAAGGGGTACGAACGAGAGAGGTGGGATGTCTGGGAGCAGGGTCTGCAGGATGCGAAAGCAGCGTGTACAGATGAAGGGGAGAAGACACTGATTGAAGACGCTTTGGCGCACATGAGCCGCACGATGCAGGTATCTGGATTCTGACGACACTGAAATAGCACATAGCTGATACCCAGAAGAGTGGGTTATGAAAAGTTTTCATTACCATATAATTCGTGGTGCAACCGGAATATACTATTGGCACGGGTAGTATTTCGGACGGCTCCCACTAGACGAAAGGCGGCCATGGAGTTGGCGTTGGTATTTTACTCGCTGGACTACCTCTCCAGAATTCAGCTGAGGACAATTAAAAGTGGACCCGCCGCAAAAACTTCTGCCACATTCGGAAGAATGTCGATGCCTCCTAGATTTTTGCGGCATTGTGCCTCATATGCTCTCGTGGTCGCGCGAGCTGTTGTGGATTACTGATGGTCTTGGCAGTCACGTGCTGGCGGTACAGCTCGCGTGAGACTCTTCATCAGGCGTGTATATGTAAGGCTGCAAAGGCACAAGCCTCAGGCCACACAACATCACGTGTACTTAGCACTTAGGGAGCTGACCTCCGCAACACCATAACGAAGTCAGCGATTAGTTCTTACACCATAAGGACCCTACGTTCTCCTCCGTACTATCGTACTTAGCATTCTCCGTATATTGATTACCTCTTCACGCCGTCACCGCCATCCAGTCTTTACAATTTGTGATTTAGCTTCTGGTTGGAAGCCATGATGATCGTTTCCATTTTCTGGAGCTTTTTTTGTGCATGGGTTGAGACCCTTACCAACAGTGGTGTTGGCATGCATTCCATTGTTTCCAGGCAAAGCATCCCAGCCATCGGATTGAGAGAGGAGACTTTATGGTCCATAGCATACATTGCGGTCCATAGCATTTTGGTTTCTTGTTGATAGTTTTCATGTGGTGACACATACACGCGCCACGCCAGCTATGTATAGAGTTGTTTTGGCAGTTGTCTGGACCGGAAATTAATGTACTGATGTACACTGGGCAATTCCAGTTTTGGATGATAAAAATGAAGATCAATGACATCAGTCCTGCCAGATTTCGTTCTTTCATCACAGTGAAGTCATGCCACGTTGGAAGCCCTGGCAATTCAAATGTATCTGCGGCGCTCTACATGATGTAGAAAGCACAATTGAACGGGCCAAAGCGATACAAGCATGTCTGACCTCTCCAATCCCAGCATTCCCCTGCGGAGCACGCCGCAATGGGGATCGTATCAGCGAGAGAACTTTTGGAAGGTGAACGAAAGCGAAGTGCCGCCTTTCAACACAGGTATGCATGCGTACTCCTGGCCTAGACATATTCCGCTAAGCAGATCTCGCAGACCCTGAGAAACTGGAAGAGAGGGCGAGGGAGAGATTGGGGGAGGCTGGATGGCACGTTCTCCGCCGCTCTTCTGTGAAGCTATCTATACCTTAACTCAAATCACTAACGAGAGCAGGTACTATGCATCGTCGAATGCAGGCATGTCCGCCACGCACCTTGCCAACCGGCAAGCCTTCTACCGTCACCGCATCATCCCTCGACAGCTGATCGACACCAACCTGCGCGACACAACAACGACCATCTTCGGCCACCATGTCTCGGCCCCGATCGGCTTTGCTCCGATAGGAATCAATCGCATCTATCACCCACAGGCTGAGCTGGCCGTAGCCAAAGTCGCCGGCGAGCTCAACCTCCCCTACAGCCTCTCCACGGCGGGCAGCATGCCTATCGAGTCCGTGGCAGCCGCAAACGGCAAAGACTCGCCCCGTTTCTACCAACTATACATGCCGCATGACGACGAACTAACGCTCTCACTCCTGAACCGCGCGTGGAAATCCGGCTTCGACGTCCTCCTTTTCACGGTCGACACGGTCCAGCTGGGCTGGCGCCACGACGACGTCGCAACATCCAATTATGCCTTCTACCGCGGCATAGGCGGAGGACTAGGTCTTTCGGACCCCGTCTTCCAGAAACGCTGCCGCGAGGCAGGGATCGACATCGAGACGCAACCGGTCGAGGCGTCAACGAAATGGATCGACTCGGTCTGGCACGGCCGCGCGTGGTCATGGGATAAAATACCCTGGCTGATAGAGCAGTGGAAGCGGATCTCGCACGGCCGCCCGTTCGTGATCAAGGGGATCCAGTCGGTGCAGGACGCGGAGAAGTGCATCCAGTACGGCGTCGATGGGATCGTGGTGAGCAATCATGCCGGACGCCAGGTGGACGGCGCCATTGCCAGTTTGGATGCGCTGGAGAATATCGTCGATGCGGTTGGGGACCGGCTCGTCGTCATGTTTGATTCCGGGGTGCGCGGTGCGAGCGATGTGGTCAAGGCCCTTGCGCTGGGAGCCAAATTCGTCTTTGTCGGGAGGTTGTGGGTGTGGGGATTGAGTATTATGGGGGAGAACGGGGTGAGGCATGTTATGAGGTCCCTTTTGGCCGATTTGGACATTCTCATGGCCGTTGCGGGATTTAACAGGGTTGATGAGTTTGATCGGTCTATCCTCGGTATTTACTTCTTTTCTTTTCCTTTTTTTCCCCTTCAAAAAGGAAACATTTACTGACGGTACTGTTTGTGTAGAGTCTTATCCAAAGTCTTACACTTATATTGCCGACAAGGTGCTGTGATGGTTATTGATATTAGCACATAAGAGTGTATCTAATGCATGAACACGATGCTCTATACACGCTTGTACGCGAGGAAAGAAAGAGAAAGAGAGAAAATTGACAGACTCCTTTAACCTATATATCCTGAACGAGTGGAAAATGCGCGTATGTACGTATGTCTGAAGTCTGAAGTAGCGAATGTAGAATTTGCCCGGATTAATTTAAAACATTGGAAAAAAAAAAGGAAAAAAGAAAACAAAACAAAACACGTCAGTCAGAACTCAACATGATTGACAACACGGCGAGTATAGCCCAAACATGACCTGTCACTAGAGTAATACTTCCCTGGGACTTTTGCGAGGACGCATCCACGCTTCTGGTAGCGTCTGCCGCCGTGGATACAGCAGTCTTTGAGACGGAAGTTTCAGTTCCAGATCCAGTGGAAGAAGAAGCCGACGTGGATGTGGACGTGGTGTTTTTGCTGCTGGATATCGAGTCCTCACGGGGAGCGAACCCGATTCGATCCGCATCATAATCGAACACGGTGTAGACGTTCTTGAGGAAGATGTCACCGACGAGCCAATCTGCGTCTTTAAAGGTCTTCTGTGGGACGATGGTGGAGAGGCAATTGGAGCCGGAACCAGAGCCGGAGCGAGCGCCAACATAGTCCTTCGGGGAGATGGAGTAGCTCAAGCCGGAGAAGGTCAGTTTGACATCTGCAGTGGAGTCGCAGGCACGATGTAGTGGCTGCTGCCGGACTGGGAGGAGCCGGGGATGAGGGAGGGAGCGAAGCAAGGTTTAAATAAGTAAATCAGTATATTTATTTTATGGACTACAGAAAGATTTGGTTAATACTGGCTGAAAAATAGCTCTAATGTAGCCCACCACCGAACGGGGCCACCTTACGCGTTTTGGTGATGCACAAAAACGTGAGGAAATTCAACAACCCACCATGCCTCCAGAAGCTCATAAAAATTCAAAAGATTCAGCTGAGCAAGAGGGGAGAATCTTACTTGCAATATCAGATATTCAAAAAGGCAAAATTTGCAATGTACGTGAGGCAGCACGCATCTTTAATGTTCCCCATACTGATATGGAAAAGGTCACGTGGTATGGCGGCTTGGCTCCCTCTCTGACCCCTGAGAATCCGAGCCCCTGATTGTATGGAGAAAAAGATATAGAGACAAGATCTGAATGGCATCCGTTCCTTAGTAGGCTACGTACGTGTAGTCGATACAGTTTCATTCTGCCCTTCTTCCCTGAGTTACATGCATATTCCACAACACAGAGTGATGGAACACCCAGCACCTATGTAAGTTGAAGACTCATCTGGGACTTCAGTCGATGCAGGTCAAAATGCATCACAAATGGTTTCGCTCGATTGGCTCTTAGAACCCAATGACAATTGGAACAATATGTTCGCGCATGCTGGATTTGGTATCAAGGAGGGCATCTTCTTTGCATGATTCACCGTAATATGAGAGAAATTACTGCCTCTTGTCAACAAGGAGTCATGCCTGCTCTGGGCGAATAAAACGAATGGGCTGATTGAAACGCACCGTTCCCCTCCCCTGGAAACAAGATATGTCCTAATAATCACTGGTCAATATTCGAATACCTATCAGAAATCCGTAATAACAAAAGCCGATTACATCCCGCCCTCATTATCTTAATATAAGGGTTGCATTAATTGCCCTGGCTATTGCTATATTCCCCTTCTCCTCCACCTAAAGGTACTGCTGTTGTATCCGAATGATGGAAAATCTGTTTTCTTTCTCCGACTATCTTCAACTGAGAAGGACAGTTGGGATCTGGACAGGCAACGCAAGCATCTGTCGTCATCCAATCGTTAGAGTCCGTGGGCCGTTGCTTCGCTGCTAGAAGCGGTAGTACTGAGGCTGAAATTGTTGATTAAGCAGTTGCTTATACATCTGACCAAGGAGCTCACCTAGACTGTATATACTGAAGCCCTGGTTGGGTGGCAGATAGAGCATCTCGCCTTGCAGAAAAAAGCAATCACCATCTTTAGCTCCGCAAAGAATTCTTTTGCCAGGTGGGCAAACGACTTCCACGCGAAGGTCGTAAAGCTCAAACTTGTCGTTGGTGGCCATTTTTTGTAGTCAACTCTCAGTTAAGCTTGCAGTTCTCTCGATCGTGTCTAGATAGGTAAGGTAGAGCCAAAAAGGAACTTTATATTGAGTGGTTATTCTATCTTGTCTGTTCGACACTAATTTTTCTTGCAGTCATTCGGATCCTGAAGGCCACTATACCCTGCTTCCAATGTAACTCCTCAATTCCGCCAGTACCAATTTAATCTTGGCATGAGATGCAATTATCCTGTACAGCATGGGACACGCTAGCGACAGGAGTGTCCAAGTTCATCACATATCTTAATGAATCCAATATTATGGCCGGTCGCAAGGAAGACATGGATGGCCCGTATTGCACCGCTCACTGATGTCACACGAAAGAAACGCTGTAGGTCAGCAGGGGCGGAGGCATTGGAGAGGAACTCTTCCTTTTGGTTTGATCTACCTACCAGCGCGGTTGTAAGCGTCCAAAGAGCGGCCCCACCTCAGCGCCAACAGAATGATGAATGAGTGGATTAGGTTCCACATTTACCATGAGAATGTTGCCAAATAAAGGATATCGACGTAGGGAAGGCTAGTTATGCGGGAGTATAGCAGCCCAATCAGCTGACAACAAGCGTGCGCTCGTCACATGACCGCATGTTGCTCTTCTCGTCCTCGACTGCGGTCAAGACGGAACTCGCCTTCTCCATTGCGACGTGGATGAGGGAGTTCTCAACATCATGGGCATCTTCTCCAACGCACTACGAATATCCTCAAGACTACTCTTCCGCCGCATTTGCCCACTCCCTATGGGCTCATCCCACAGCAAGTCATATTTGACAACGAGCAAGGTAGTGAAGGCTGCATTGCCCCAACTGAAAGGTAAGTCATCCAGTATGCATACCAGGTGCCAGATGTTGTGCCTGCTAGCGAGCTTTCTCTTGTCTTACAATAGGTGAAGACCCTTATGCCTACACTGATGGCCACTGGCTCCACCGCGACAAAGAGCAACGTCAAGCTCGCCAGCTTGACTTCAATTTTTCAAAATTGAGCCAGATTGCGTTGGATGCCATCAAGGATGCCACAAGAATAATTAGCTATGAAAAGAAGGAGGGGGGTTACAATCGCGTCTTCATTTTTAAACTTGACACTGGCGACCAGGTTGTGGCCAAGATCCCGACCCCGGTGGCTGGTGCACCGTGACTGACGGTCCACTCAGAGGTTGCCACTGTTGAGTATTGTAAATGCACATTACGATTGTGAGATTGTGACGATGGCATTAATATGATAGGCAGTGAAATCCAAGCTCCCAGAAGTTCCTATCCCAGACATCCTGGCATGGAGCGATGACCCATCAAATCCGGCAGGGACTGAGTACATCATCCAAGAGCATGCCAAGGGTGTGCTACTGCATGAACGCTGGCCTCAGCTGAACACCGTTGAGCATCTGGATTGCACCCAGGCACTGGTGACAATTACCCAAAAGCTGATGTCTCTCGACTTTCCAGCTTTTGGCAATATCTATTATACTACGGCGCCCATTGACGAGAAGCTCAAGATGCCACTTGATCCCGAGGGCAGGTTTTGCGTTGGCCCTCATTGCTCGCCCTTGTTCTACAACTGTGGGGTTGGAGAGAACGAATTATATCAGAATGAGGGTAGCAAGAATAGAGGTCCATGTATGAGCCATTACCCTTTTGCTTTTTGGCAACCTTAAGACACTAATCTGTAGCAGGGACAAACCTTAATGAATACATTTCTGGATTATGTGACACAGCCTTATCCCGGATACCCCAAGAAGCTCCCAAGACCGATCGTCTCCCTTATAGAGGGACGGTGGAAGAGCATCGCCAAATTGTCGAGATCTGCCGTGAAATCATGAAGCTTCTTGCAGAGGATGAGCGCCTTATTTTGTCATCAGTGCCTACTCTCATGCACCCAGACTACAACAAACGAAACATATTTATTTCCCCTGACGACCCTAAGAGAATAACAGCGGTGATTGACTGGCAGCTAGCCGGCATCGAGCCAGCCTTTTCATATCTCCACGAAGACCCAGACTTTGCCCTCAAACCGCCCGACACGGACCCAGAAGAGCCAATCCCCGGCGAGGATCCGCTTTCAGAAGAAGAAAAAAAAGCGCGAAAGAATCAACGCAAGGACATGTCCATCTGCTACCGAATGTACGATATAATTCTGCGAAACAAAATCCCCAAGACCCACGCCCCCAAGCGCCTGGACCCTATCTTCTTCCGTATCTTTCACTACTGTTTCCTGACCTGGCGCGACGGGATCCCCGCCATTCGTCAGGAACTTCTCGACCTCCAATCACTCTGGGACGTAGCCAAGCTCCCGGGTAAATGTCCTTATCAGCCCAGCCAGGCCGAGTTGGACTTACAGAAGCGACAGTGGGAAGAGTTTGAAAATCGGCAGCGACTGAAAGATTGGCTAAAGGAGTCAATGCACACGACATCTGATGGCTGGTTCCCAGCTGACAGGAAGCTGTGGGCAGCAGCGCAGGAAATAAACAGAGAGGCCTATCGTCAGTGGATGGAGTCAGTACGGCAGTCTGGTGAAATGACGCCGGCAAAGGCAGATGCTCTGTGGCCATTTGACAGTAGATGAAGCAGTGTATAGCGCAGCATACATGTATCGACTGCTCTACAATTGAGAGTAGAGGTACGTTTTGAGTCGAGCTGAGTGACTAGTTCGTTGACAGGACAGCGACGGTGGCAAGTAGTCAGAAGTGATGAAGCCATGCTAACAGTTTGACAGTTTCAGTCCTTTTCCTTGAAGGATGCAAGGAAGATCCTCCGCAGCCTGGTTCTCATCCGGATTTTCGGGATCAAGAAGGATTTTGGCCCAGATCTTATGGCTGTCCTCAGCAGCTGCAGCTTTCACACCCGCATTTGCAGCGTTCTTGTTGGCTTAGAGGATCAATTCATGTTTTCCATCCACCACCGAGCCTTTATCAGATCGCAAATTGGATTTCGCGTCGTTCTTGGGAGTCCAGCCGGGGAAGACGCGTTGTTGTGTATTTGGAGACAATACAGTGAAGTGACAACTGAATCTGGATAGCATGGACTGCTCTTCGTAGTATTTGATGGTTCCAGTCACTCTGGCAGGTCATCATCTGGGACATCGTCAAGTTCTTGCCCTGCCTCCCAAGCTTCCAGACATTCTGTCAACCTCCTGGGGGGGCCGGGTTGATCTGAAAACATTCCATGGAAGTTCTGGATCTTATACGGAGCGCCCTTGAACCCGCGTGCTGGATACCAGGTGAGATTAGGATCACATCCTTTCCACTGAACCTGATATTATAGCTTCCCTTTAGATATTCGTGAAGCTAAAATGCGTTCCACTTCTCATTCTCGCTCATCGATGGTGTTGCACGGGACCTTAGTGGGAATACGATTTCTGGAGGAAGGCCGCCCCTCCCTAGATCTTCCTACTTTTTTGCGCCCATGGGTGGACGAAACGTCTGCAAGACGATGCGGCTCCTCGTCAAGAGAAAACCGAAATGGCGGTGCCTTGGGTTTTGTCACGGAACTCAACTAGACGATGAATAGGATGCTATTCAGCTATCTAGGCAGCTATCGACGAGAACTTCAAGCATGAAGAGGAAGGAAAAAAGGAAGAGATCTACGTGAAGCTGGACGACGTACTCCTATCCACGCGCCACGCTAATCCAAGTAAGGAAGCTCACGTGCTCGTCCTGGTCTACATGGCAAGGGCCCTGACACCCACTGAGCGTATCGCCGTGAAAATGCAGCCTATAAAGATGCGTTGCCGCATATCGACAACAGTGCAGCAAGAAAATAGGGACGAAATTTATGTGCATCTCATGCAAGGTGTCACGGAACTCAACTAGACGATGAATAGGATGCTATTCGACTATCTAGGCAGCTATCGACGAGAACTTCAAGCATGAAGAGGAAGGAAAAAGGAAGAGGTCTACGTGAAGCTGGACGACGTACTCCTATCCACGCGCCACGCTAATCCAAGTAAGGAAGCTCACGTGCTCGTCCTGGTCTACATGGCAAGGGCCCTGACACAAGGCGCCTATTGAGCCACTGGAGCGCGCTGCTATGCATGTATCTTCCGCCGGCCTCTAGAGTGTCTGCCTTCCTGCCACGCCGCCACCTCAGGGGGCTGTGCAGGTGCCTTCCTCCCTGCCCCGCTTCTCCTGCGGCTCTCACTGAGGTGTCCTCAGTATCACCACGTCCCTTTTCCTATTTTTGAAATGAGTGGCTGTCTTCACACAACTCCTTGCTAGTCTGCTGTTGCTGTCCAGGTGTGTCTGACACTGCAAAACAATGCGCCTTTTATGTCTCAAAGATCATGGAACACCCCACTTGACTGAATTTCTCCATGAGCCTCCTTCATATGCAATCCTTTCCCATACCTGGGGTAATGATGAGGTAACATTCAAAGACATTCAGGAAGGCACAGCAAAGACCAAGGCTGGGTATGACAAGATCCGCTTCTGCGGAAAAACTGCAGCAAGCCATGGCCTTGATTTCTTCTGGGTGGACACATGCTGCATTGATAAGTCCAACAGCACTGAGCTTCAGGAGGCCATCAACTCCATGTATCGTTGGTACCGAGATGCCACTCGATGTTATGTGTACTTGTCTGATGTATCAGTTCTGAATGGCAATGAAAGCAATTTCTCCTCCCCACCGCTTTGGCAATCAGCTTTTTTAGCAAGCAGATGGTTCACTCGCGGCTGGACCCTCCAAGAGCTTCTTGCCCCAACATCAGTTGAATTTTTCTCCCAAGATGGCCAGCGAATTGGTGATAAGAGATCTCTTGAGCAACAAATTCACAAGAGAACTGGCATTGCTATTCAAGCACTGAACGGAACACCACTCTGTGAATTCAGTGTTGATGAACGATTCAAATGGGCAGAAACCCGCAAGACAACGCGTGAAGAAGACTGGGCGTACTCTCTATTTGGCATTTTCGATATTGACATGCGGCTTTCATATGGTGAGGGGAGAGAAAAGGCTGTTGCTCGTCTTAAGAGGAAGATTGATAAGAATCTAAAGCAGAAAGATGCATACCACTGTCCAGAAGGTAGATCATCCATGCCTATCCTGATGGTACCTAGTATGCTAATGCTCATGAAGCTCCTCTCCCAGCTTGGATCGTACCATTTGAACAAAACCGCCGATTTGTTGGCCGTGTGTCTGAACTGGCTACACTTGAAGAAATGCTGTCCCAAGATGGAACTGTCAAGGCTGCCATCACAGGGCTTGGGGGAGTTGGTAAGACACAGCTTGCACTTATGCTGGTATATCGCACAAGGGCCAAGTATAAAGATTGCTCAGTCATCTGGATGCCAGCATCCAATCTGGAGAGCCTGGAGCAGGCATACCTCAACCTTGCCAAACATCTCAACATAGTTGGATGTGACAACAAGGTCGACAACAAGGTTGACATCAAGAGACTTGTGCAAGACCGCCTGAGCAGCGAGAGCACTGGCCGTTGGCTACTGGTGTTTGACAATGCTGATGATGTTGACATGTGGACTAGTCAGCGTGAGCAGGGTTCTAGTCAGTTGATTGACTACCTCCCACGAAGTCCACAAGGATCCATTGTCTTTACAACACGTAACTACAAGATGGCTACTCAACTTGCTGGTCGAAACATAGTAGAGTTGCTGCAGATGGATGAACTTGCTGCTACACAGCTGTTGCAGGAATATCTGGTCAATCAGAGCCTCATAAACAGCCAGCAAGATAAGGAAGCCCTGCTTGCACAGCTCACGTACCTCCCACTGGCCATTGTTCAGGCCGCAGCATACATTAATGCCAACCAAATTACCTTGGGTGATTATCTGTTGCTACTGAAAGAACGGGAAGAGGATGTGATTGAACTTCTTAGTGAAGAATTTGAGGATGACTGGAGATACCGTAATTCCAAGAATGCAGTGGCAGTGACATGGCTGATTTCATTTAATCAGATGCGTCAGCGTGATCCCCTTGCAGCTGACTACCTCTCCTTTGTAGCATGCATCCATCCAAAAGATATTCCCCTATCTCTTCTCCCACCGGGACCATCACGGAAGAAAGAGGTGGATGCCAAGGGGACACTCAATGCTTATTACTTTATTACAAAGCGGACAGCTGATCAGGCCATTGATGTCCATCAGCTAGTGCATTTGGCAACACGGAACTGGCTTCAAAAAGAAGAGTCACTTGCTTCTTGGACCAGCAGAGTCATTGCAAGACTAGCAGAAGTGTTTGCAGGCAGTGGTCATCATAACAGAGTTTTCTGGAGGTTGTATCTGCCACATGCCCTCTGTGTGCTGGAATCTGATCTTGTTGACAAGGACGGACAGGATAGGGTCAATCTCCTTGCAGAATGTGGGCTGTGTCTCTATCTTGATGGGCGATACAATGAGGCAGAACAGCTGGAGATACAAGTGATGGAGTCAAGGAAGACAGTGCTGGGGCCAGAGCATCCTGACACACTGACCAGCATGGCCAACCTGGCATCAACATTCCGGAACCAAGGACGGTGGACAGAGGCGGAACAGCTGGAGATACAAGTGATGGAGTTAAGGAAGACAGTGCTGGGGCCAGAGCATCCCGACACGCTGACCAGCATGGCCAACCTGGCATCAACATTCCGGAACCAAGGACGGTGGAAAGAGGCAGAACAGCTGGACATACAAGTAATGGAGACATCCAAGACAGTGCTGGGGCCAGAGCATCCTGACACACTGACCAGCATGTGCAATCTTTCTTACACATTAAAGGGTCTTGGGCGATATTCAGAAGCTTTATCCATGCTTGAAACATGTGTTCAGCTCCAGAACCAACAACTAGGTCCATCCCATCCGGACGCTATTAGTGCCAGTGCAGCTCTGGAAGCATGGCGGGTTGAGGTACTGACCAGGGGGACAACTCAAGAAGGAGAGAAAGAATGAATGAAACAACACTGGCAAACAAGAGGAAGAAGACAACAACAACAACAACACCTAGTGTAAAGGGGGGCGTACGTGCGTTGTTCCCTGCGACAGGAACCGGGTTGTGATCGAGGGATCTCAGGAATGGATATACCAAGGCGATGCCGCTATACCACACGGCACCGAACGATCTTAGCAAGAAAACGATATAACGATAAAAGGAAACACAACGACGAAGGAGCCTCGCTCCGCTCTATACGACGATAACGATACTAGTGAAGCAACCTAGAAACCAAAAGAATGCTCTCTTTCCCGTAACTATCTGGGAGGGAACCCTCCATTAAGTACTCCGGCCGTGGGCTCCACCATACATTAGTATGTCGGAGTCCGCGGTTCTACGGTGTTCCGAGATAGGAAATATGGGAGATCCGGGGTTTCGCAGTGCCCCCGGCACATACTACCCCCCCTAGAGTCGTGACGCCCTCGTCACTCCTATGCCACAACCTTGTAGACCTTCCAAACCCCAGCCTCAGGACCGAGCTGCACGTAGAACCGTTTGAACCCTGTTCCTCCAGCAATATCTTCAAGCAAAGCCCTTGGGTTTGCCCGGTGGTCAGCATCTTCAACGCGTAGTACCTCTGAGTCTCCGAGAAGACTACTCCTTTCAGCCTCAGCCTGCTCTCCATTGATTAGGTGCTCCAGATGCTCTCGTGCCTTCATGGTATCCACGATTGCCTCTCTCCGAGCTATTTCCCCTTGTGCCCCGCGTTTGTTTTCGATGAAGTGTCCAGATCGATGTCCCGTTTCTCTGCAATTTCTGGGGTCGTCCTCCTCCGCTTCGCGTGCCAAGGCGCATGGTATGCCTTGTCTTTTCCTCTGTGGCGACGACGAAAGGCTTCCTGAGGTCGGTTGACGGAGGTGAATCCCCCCCAGTTGTTGCCCTTTCAATGAAGGCACTGATGCCTCCCACCATCCTGTAGGTTCCTATTTTCCTTCATACTTTTGTATGACGGTCCTGAACATCAAACCTCCGGTAGCTCCCAGCTATCAATTTAGTGCCAAAAATCCAAAAACAAAGCAGGTAGAATGTAAGTGCAACATATGAAATATACAAATAATGAATGACATGGAATCTAATTGTTGAAATCGTTCCGTAGCTGTGTGTTGAATCCACCACACACTACTACCCCCCCCTTTGAAAGCAGATGCCCTCATCGGTAGAGGTAGCAACGTGTGGAAAACTCCTGAAATTGCGTTCAGATGACGACTGCAAATGACTCCCCCTCTGGGATAAGGTCCTGCAGTCTCCAATCGTCATCATCTCTGTGACCCATGGATTCTCCCTCGTCCTCCGACACTGAGGTGGTACTTTGCGCGCTCGAGGTCTCATCTGGCAGAGGCAGCGGTTTATAATAGATCTTGATCCGGTTCCCGTGGACAGGATAACGGAATGCTGTGCCATCTAGCTCCTCAATTTTGTAGGAGCCATTTCCAAGAGCTTCCTGAATACGAAATGGCCCAAGCCATCGAAATCCAAGCTTGTCAGAGTGGGATTTGTTCAATGGTGTATTGTGTACCAACACCAAATCCCCCTTTTCTAATGCATGCAATCGAGTATTCGTGCGTTCATTATAAAGCTCTCGTCCTTTCTCACGGAACCGGACAATCCGCGCCTGCGCTTCCTGTGTATCTTCATCGCGTCGCTCGATCTGGCGAGCTCGTAGAGCTAGGAGCTCGTCACGTGTTTGGACCTTATACCAAGGCAGGGTCCTCCAGGTCGGGACCTCCACCTCCACCGGCAACACCGCGTCGAAACCAACAACATAATGAAACGGCGACATCCCAATCCCATCGCAAATGGTGACTCTTTCTGACCAGAGGAGTGCTGGGAGATGCTTGTCCCAGCCCTTGGCAAAGCCTGCAGTGAGCTTTCTCAGGCCAAGAATGAACATGCGATGCGCGACCTCGATAAAACCATTGGCCTGCGAATTGTACGGTGAGATTGTAACGTGCTTCACCTTAAACCTCTTCATAAGCTCCCTAAAGACCTCCTGATGCTCTGGGCCATTGTCACTGACCATAACCTCCATACAGCCCCATTGAGTGATGATATTGCGGTAGACAAAGCTAGCAACAGTCCTCGCTGTCACTTCAACCACAGCTTCAGCTTCCACCCAACCCGAAACTGACTCTCGAGCTTGAACCAACGCACATTTACCACTACCTCTCCGTGAGATGTATGTGGTGTCAATGTGCCATTTTTGGAAGAGCCCCATGGGCTGGGTTGCCGTCGTTTCCTCACCTATCCGAGTCTCAGCCGCTCGCTGACATGGGTCACATCTCTGGCACCAGTCCTTGACATCCTCCCAAACCCTTGGCCACCAGTATCGCGCTCGAACCTTCTGATAAGTGCTTTCTCTGCCACGATGACCGCTATCATTGTGTAACGCGTGGAGAATCTCCCTCTGTCGCTTGGGATCATCAACTACTCGCCGTACTGGCTGGTTGGCTGCCATTCGCTTGAATAAATAGCCGTCTTGGACCATGAAACCTAATGCCTTAGCTCGAAACCGATGGTATTGGGACGCATTCATTCCCTTTGGCCGTTGTAGTGTCTGTAGCCACTCTGCAATCTGGAGGGACTCTTCAGACCATTCTTCTTCATTGGTGAGCCAATTAACCCCACCCCCTCCTTCCTCTGCGTGCCTTTCATTGTCTTCACTATGTGAGGTGTTGTTGACATGGAGAGTAAGGTTAAACTGCCTGTCTAGGAACTCCTCCATACGCTCCTGTTTCGCTTCCTCCAGTGCTTCTGGGGTAACTGGCTTCCTAGATAGCCCATCTGCAGCAGAGTTCTTCACTCCTGACACGTGCTGTACTGTGAAGTCAAACATCCGAATCCACGCAATCCAACGAGTAACTACCGCGCTAGGGATATCGGTAATAGTGCGGTTCAGTTGCGCAACCAGCGTAGCTGCATCCGTTTCCAAAACAAAGGGCACCCCATACAGGTACGACCGAAATTTCTTGAGCGCCATTAGAACTCCCCGGCATTCAAGCTTACCAGCATCATAGTTTAGCTCTGTTCCTGTCCAAACGCCACTTTCAAACCGGGCTGGATGCCTCTTCTTCGATCTGGGTTCCGCCTGCATAAGGACTGCTCCCCAACCTGTTCCACTAGCATCTGTTGCCACAATAATATCTCCAACCTCTGACATGGTTCCATCAGATAGCTGTACTGGGTACTCAATTGACCTTAGGGCTGGAGCAGTTGTGAGTGCTTCTTTAAGTTGGTCCATTGCTTCCTGCTGTGCTCGCCCCCATTCAAATGCCGCTCCCTTTCGTTGCAGCGCATATATCGGTTCAGCTATTTTAGCAAAGTCCTTGATCCATATCCGATAATATACCACGACACCTATGAATGCCTTCGTTTCTGTGAGGTTCCTGCACCCAGGCCAATCCAGTATCTTGGCCACTTTATTCGCCTCAGGGTGCCGTCCGTTATAGTCACACACATACCCAACCACCTTGACCGCAGGCTGGCATAACATTAGCTTATCTCCCGATGCGGTGAGCCCCACCAACTCCAAGTTGTATAGGGTTCGATCGATGTTGCGAATGTGCTGGTAAACATATCGCCGAATCCCAGGCATAACCTCTTCCTCATTATACATAGTCTTTGGTCCCTTTACCGCAATATCGTCAACATATGGCGATGCAGCCCTTCCTCCCGGTCCTGGGACCTTAGGTTTCCAAACTCGTGGCTCTCCACCTGGATCTGGTGGGAGTTGCACCTCATCCTTAGTATCTGTGGTCACTATGTCCGCAGTTCTGCAAAACACTGGCACCGCCCCTGTCCAGCCTTGAGTTAAGGTCATCTGCCGAACTAGGCCCAATGGCGATTGGAACGCCGTCATATCCCTTGAACGAGCATCTAGCGGAATCTGGTCATACCCTGAGAACAGGTCTATCACTGATGTTGCCGCCATGCCACTGTACTCTTCCGCGAAATCATCTGCCGAAGGGGGAATATTGGCATCTTTCAATGTGACCCCATTCATCCTCGTGCAGCTGTTTATCAACCGATATCTCCTCTCCCCATTCGGTCCAGCGTTTTTCGGCACTAGGAACCACTTATTTGAGTATGGGCTGAACGCATACTCCAGAACCCTGTTTTCCATCCTCTCCTGGCACATCTTTGCCGCAATTGGCCTCAGTGCCCTTGGTACGGGGAATCCTTTCTCCTGCCATGGTTCATGGGGAACTGTCCGTATCACCACTGGTGGGCAGACCTCTTCGCGCACCTGCCCTATCTCTGCGAACGACCAAGCTAGTGCTGCTTCCCGCGCATATAACACCTCCATGAGGAGCTCTCTCTCCTTTGGCTTTATCAACCCTATTTTTAATCGTGTCACCCGTTCCGGTGTCAACCGTGACCCTCTCGCGATCCCTGATATTTTGGGAATGACACTCCTTTGAAATTCCCCTTTGACCTCCTCCACTCTTGACCACTGGTTCGAATAATACTTCTTCAGAACCTTCAACCGCCAGTCCCCATTTCCAACTGGTGCCGCCCCTGTTGGATCGGGCTTGTTTACTGGCAGGACCTTATCTGCTTTCCTTTTGTATTTGGTGTTTACCAAATACTGCTGTCTCAGTGTCACCAAGTCCACACGTCGGCTTATCCGTGGCTCTATTCCACTTCCATCCCAGCAAAGGGCCGGCTGGAACCGCACTTCCCGTACTGGAGCCATTTTCTCCAACTCCGCAATACTCATGTATGTCCGTTCTCCAACATCACGTGACATAACATCCGCCATACTTTGGTATGATGGCCTTGAGCCCCTCTGTCCGCTGGGTCCTGGGCTCGGTACAAACCCAGCGGCTAGTTTCCCGGCTCCTCTCCAATTAACCTCCGATCTTCGAAAACGTCCCTCCGGGTCTCCATCCTACGCGTTCCGGGGGTGAAAACCTTCATTCTCGCGACCTTCGTCCTGTCCATTGAATAAATCGTTGTGATGACCGCCCCGGACGCTGTGTTCGTGTGCGCCATACGGCTCATGTGTTCAAATGGCCTCCCCAGCACCACTGCATGTCCGCCACGCGTGTCCACAATGAAGAAAGGGACATAATATTGGAAGCTCCCAATCCGTACTGGAACCCGCTCGCAGATTCCAACAAACGGCGTGAGACCTCCGTTGGCACTTCTCATCGTTCCTTTGGCGTGCAGAGTGACTGGCAGCGCATGTTTTTCCGCTAGCCAGGCTTGCATCACATTGATTTCCGCACCTCCATCCAGCAATGCCTGAACCCTTTGTGGATCCTCCAGTATCTGGATCCACGCCGCTAGAGTTCCACAGACATATAACGGAGGTTCTTCATCATCATACCCCGTTTCTTCCAAATCCATCTGGTTCGCCTTGCGGCTTCTCATCCCTAAGTTTCCCACTCGCGCAACGACCCCTGGGTCTGTTCCTTTGCTGAATTCGATAGACGTTGTCACCGGCTGTCGGGTTCCTGAGAAAAGGCTCCGATGCAGCCCATCAGACATCCCTAGCAGCTCCTGGAGTGACAATGTCACCGTGGTGTTCAGAATCCGATTCCGTATGTCCTTAATGTCCGTTGAATTCTTCAGCTCATCCGCCAATTTGTTAAGCTTAGCTTTCGGAGCATCTTTCCTCTGGGGAACTCTTGCTTTTGGGGCCCCAAAGGATCTTCTCAAACCTTCCTCCACATCCCTAACTCGGTAGTCCGGTCGATCTTCCATCTCCACATCTGCGTCAGGTTCATCAATTTCCTCATATCTTCCTGGACGGACTGTCTTCAAGATGGGAATTTCTTCTTCCCTCCTAGCCACATCGTCCAGTGCACGTCGCTTAGGGTCTGCACGCCCCTCTGGGGTTATCTTTCTCTTTTCCGCATTGACCAGCGCATTAACCTCCATTTCAACAAAGCTTTCCATAAATCCTTCTTCATCTTCCTCCTCCACTTCCTCAATGTACGCAGTTTCTTTTAACATGTTGTGTACATAACCCACTGCACTATTCCCAGTCTGGTGCTGCTTTCCATATTCCTCAATGGACTCCTTCATGCTCTTACCATTGGTAATTACCCTTACCACCTCTCCGGCTCCTCCAATCGGTCCATAACGGACTTTGGCATCTCCAGCAATATGGCATAGACCCTGGGCAGCCAATGCTTGGTACCGTGGACATGTCCCCCGTATGTTGGTGTGACCCGTTTCCAGACAGAACCGGCATTGGTCACCCGCGATTGGCACATAGCCCCGTCGGTTGGGTATGTCATTTAGCCCATGTCTTCGGAAGTCGTTCTGTCTCACCTCCATGAGGCTGATTTCCATTTTCCTCATCCGTTCAGCCAGGTCATCTAGCGTTTCCTGGTGTCTCGTTCCCGGGGCTGTTCTTGGCACCTGCCGCTTCCCTGTAGGCACTGGTTCTCTGTCCTCTGGCTGTCGTTGTTCATCTGGGACTCGCCCATCTGGCTGCACAACTACTAAGCTATGCGCAGCTGACACTTCCTCTGCGAAGTTCACATGCTTCCCTTCACGACCCTGCCGAATTAAATTTAATCCAGCCACTTCCTCCAGATATTCTTCAACTGCCTCCCGGGCCCTTGCGAACTTCATAGTCTCGAACTTCTGAGGGCTAATCTTCGCCCTCCTTACCACTTCAACCTGCACCTCCTCCGGCAGACCCTGCAGGAACATCTCTGTTCTCAAGAATTCCACCAGCTGGCCTCAGCGCATCAGTTCACCAGAGACGTTGCTAAATTCGCGAACATACTTGGTCAAGTTGTCATCTGTTGACCGTTTCTGAGCAACAAACCTGCCAAGCCAGCCTATGTTGAGCTTGGCCTGTGCTGAATCCTGGTCCCGATACTCCTCTAGGAGCCGCTTCTCCAATCCTTCATAGTCCTTCCTCTCATATTCAGGGAGACTCTCTACCCACTCACACACACTTACTGATACATAATCACACAGGGCACTTATCTTGCCCTCCTCTCGCGTGATTCCATGGTTCCTAAACAACGAATGTAAGGTCCTCAGGAATTCACTGACCTCCTTACCATTGAATGTTGGGGCTCCAGAAGTTCCTCGCAACGGCAGACCTCTGGGTGTCCCCAACAGTTTCTCCAACATCTGCATCATCAACATCGGCATGCCTTCCGGCTGCCACATTCCAGACAAGCTCGGAGTAGTGGGCATTGCGGCCGGCGCCGGTATTCCCTTTGCATCTCCCGGTGTAAGAAGTGGGCTCCCTTGCTCCACATGCACCGGGAGAGGTCGATGCTCCGAGCGGTCGCTCTCTGACGACATCTCCTTACCAATGTAGGCAATACCGAAGTAAAGCCGTCTCAGGAGTGTGGAACTGCTAACTTAGCTGAATTCAGAGTTTTCACTACTCCCGTACTCTCCCGTGTCCCAATCTCTCCTGGAAAAGCCTCTCAGTTGATTATTTTTCCCAAGAATCCCTAGCCAGGGTGCTTCCCACGCGCCCTAGAACCCAAAGCAAAGTTCGCAAGCGCCAACAAGCGTAGGCCTTCCCGGGGACGCCAATATGTAAAGGGGGGCGTACGTGCGTTGTTCCCTGCGACAGGAACCGGGTTGTGATCGAGGGATCTCAGGAATGGACACACTGAACAATCTAGCAAAACGATATAACGATAAACGAAAACACAACGACGAAGGAGCCTCGCTCCGCTCTGTACGACGATAACGATACTAGTGAAGCAACCTAGAAACCAAAAGAATGCTCTATTTGTTGTAACTATCTGGGAGGGAACCCTCCATTAAGTACTCCGGCCGTGGGCTCCACCATACATTAGTATGTCGGAGTCGGCGGTTCTACGGTGTTCCAAGATAGGAAATATGGGAGATCCGGGGTTTCGCAGTGCCCCCGGCACAACGCCACCACTAGTATGATATCATCTTAAGAGACTGAATGAGATTGAATTTATAATATTGAATGTCTAGAACTCTTCATAATCTAATATAAATTAATGGTTGCTCCCCCTTCCCAGATTAGTTCCCTAGCCAAGTGCTACCAGCAACATTTCTTATTTCTTTTTATATTGCCTATCTCTCCATTTCTATACTATCTCTTCAGGTTTCTAAGCCCTCTGCTTAACTTCTCTTTTTCATATACGCTTCACTATGGCCACCAACCTTCCTGAATTTATTATGTATCATCCTATCTACCATCTGCTTCTTTGCAAAGAATGCAAGGTGGTGGTGCCAAAGGATCTTTTTGTTTCTCATCTTCAAGCTGATCATCTGTTTACCACACACCAAATCCAAGAAGGGAGCTATAAAGCTGCCCTTGAAGCTCTAGAGCTTCAAAGAATTCCTCAAGCCCATCAGCAGATATTATATGATCTGCCTATTCCTCCTATTCAAGGACTGGAGCTTCTCCAAGCCCATGAATGTAGTGAATGTGGGAAGGTCTTTCTTAGTGCCCAAAGTGGGCAACGCCATGCAAGTAAAATCCATGAGATGAAGACTCTAACTTCCCAAAATGCTTGCTTGACTCCCATATTGGCCCAATCTTTGTCCAAAAACAAATTCTATTTCAAAGTCACTGAGCCAGCCACTGAACCTGGCCCTTCACCAACTCCTGGCCCATCTCAGCCACATCAAGCCCAAAGACCTAGGTCAGGAAATATATCAAGCCCTTTATGCATTCCCTAACTGTCTCTTAGGGTGGTTGAGTCCAGTGACTCTGATATTGAGATGGTCTCTGCCAGGTGAGCATTCCCACTGCCCATTTTGAATATATATCTTGCTGATTCTCACTGTATAGGGATGTCAATACCTCTCTGAGAGCCTCTTCTGCCTTTGGACCCTCTGCCAGTCTTCCTACCAGGTGGGGTCTATATATTTATGTAGATATGTATCCTCTACGCCTTCACTAATATGTATTTCTAGGCCTGGTTCTTCGTCGCAGCCTGACTCTGGCATCACCCCAGATCTGGTGGATTCCCTGCTCCGTCAGTACCAGGAAATCCAGAAGCCCCAGCCAGAGCAAGCCAAGATCTATCTCTCTGGGTCTAGGGATGAGCTCAATGGATTTCAGCTCCACACCAGGTATCCAGAGTTCCTGCAGCAACGCTCCCTCCCAAAGCTAAGAAATCTCTTCTCTCTATCCCTAGAGCATTCTGGTGAGTTTAATTTCTTTTCTCTGAGGGATACCTCTACCACTCTAACCCATGTTTCTTTTGCCATATATTTTGTATGGGGAAATGAACAACCCTAACAATGCATGTATCCTTGTGTTTGATGTTCAAGAGTATTTAGAGCTTATATCTATATCTATCTACCTATTGATATATATATATATATATATGGCATGCACTAATTTTTTTCATATTTTTCTAGATCGAATCCATGATTTCCTGACTGCCTGCACCACCTATATATTCGCCAAAGGCCAGAAGATCATCCCTCTCCTTTCTCGCCATGTTCGATGCCTTCTCAATAGGTTTGACATTGAGCATGTGACTCTGCGCCCTTTCAAACCCCTCCAGGAGGCAGCCAGTGCCCAGAAATATGCCCGCGTGCTTCACAGCTTTCTCGTTTTTCTGTTGGAGAGCTATCCCTACCAGGTCACTAGGGGGCCTAGGGATAGGGACCTGAATCGACTCTATGCTATAGATCACATGGTCAAGGCGGGGATTCAGGAGCTCAAGGACCTGCTACTATCCCCCCACCCTAGCGGAAGAGGATGAGGAGGCACCAAAGGCCTCAGGCCCCTTGCAGGCAGGCAGTGCCCGTGCCTATATTGGTGATGACCTTGATGGTGAGAATGATGAAGAGGATGAGATCGATCTGGCCCTGGACCTAGGGGGATGATGGTGAGGAAGATCTTGAGGACTCTGGTGTTCTCGAGAAGCTCGAGCGGCAGGCCTGGCAGGCCACCAGTGGTTTTCAATTCACTCAGGCGGCAGTGCACGAAGGGGTGGCTCTCATTGAAAAGCTCCTCATTGACCTGGTCACCAGGCATGAGTCATATGACATGAAGGGCCCTATCTACGCGTTCCTGGCCTGTTTCAGTATTCACTACCAGGAGGTGACCTTCAAGCGAATTGACCGCATCAGCCAGTCCTACTCTGCCGTTATCTACGCCATGCAGCTGGTCGCCATCAACCACCATTGGACCCCATGGATCCGGAGGATCCTTGAAGCGAAAGAGGATGGGCAGGACCAAGCGCTGGCTAATGCGGCCCCATTTCATGCTGTCTTCGGCCCCTGGCTGCAGACCTACTTCAAGCACCAGTCTCCTTACCCCCTTGGAGATCTTCTGTCCTTCAGAGCCTATGCTCTCTACTACAACACGATCTCCAGCGTGCAAGGCAACCAGGTGATTGAACAAGCACCCCACCACCTAAGATTCCACCATCTTAGTGTCAGCCGTCTGCAGCTCCAGGAATTTTTCCAGAAGTCTACCTTGGACCTGGCACACTCCCTAGTAGGCTCGCTGCTGATCTGGGAGGATGCCCAGCTTTTCAACCAGATCCAGCTGGGGGAGGCAGCTCGATTTGAGGATTTTGCCATGGAGGGGAATGGATTCAATTTCCTAACATTGAATGAGGACTACCAACACCACTACCAGCCCTATCTCGTGAAAAAAATCCTGGATGACCCTACGCGAGCCAAAGAATGGTTCAAGCCAGTCAGTATCTCCCGTATATCATCTATCTGGCTGAATGGCATTCACATACTAATATATATATATATAAAATATTATATAGGCTGGAAATCGGCTCCATCTCATTCCCCTACCAGCAGAGCGATATTTATTTATGGCCAAGAAGTTCCTGCTCCATCTGCTTGTTCTGGTGCACATGACCAGTGGCGCCCCTGCCCGAGGCACTGAGATTATTCCACTCCTGGCATCCAATTCCATGATCAACCGCCGAAACCTCTTTCTGGACCCGAAATCGAAGCTCTTCCTCATTCGGCTGCGGTATAGTAAGGTGCTGGCGACCACTGGCATGGAGCGGAATGCTGTCCGAGCCATCCCCAGAGCTCTATCCCATATACTACTGGTCTATCTGGTGGTTGTGGAGCCATTCATTCACTATCTCCATCAGGCATTGAAGCTCCGAAACCGCCGCAGTCTTCTTTTTTTCAATTCAGGGCGACCTCCCTACCAGCCGCCAGGTCAGTGACACGCTCCGCCATCGGACCAGCGCCCTGATCGGCCAGGGCATTCAGATCCATTCATGGCGCCATCTCGCCCAAGGCTTCATTCGATATGGCATGGGGGAACGGATGGAGGGGGACTCCATTGAAGCGCCAGAGCTGAGTGAGCTTGAGAATGAAGCTCTAGCAGCCGGCCAAGCACACCACAGCGTCCGCACGGCCATGCTGGTCTATGGCCGGCCACAGGTTCAATTTGGCAACCTCCCCATCAACCAGCAGGCCGCCTACATTGACTTCAGCCAGCGGTGGCATTCCTATATCGGCATGGGGCCTGATTTCGACTTTTTGAGCTTTCTCTATCAAGGGAGACCGCTGCCTCAGGCCCCCCAGGCCACAGCCAAGACCCCCCAGGGCCTATCTACCAGCTCCTTTCCTCTCAACCAGCCCTGCCTGCGCTTCTGGTGGCAGAGATCTGCCTCTTCACCATCCCCTAAGATCCCTATTGGTCAGTTCAATGCATTCATGGGCTCCACAACCCCCACATTCACTCCAATCGACCCCAATGTCACTGAAGGCATTCCCGATGGTGACCCGCGCCTGGCCGAGCTGGAACCAGGCCAGCGACTGCGACTGCTTGCACACCAGCCATTCCCTCAAACCCCTAGGGGCCTTCAAGCACCAGACCTCCTGCTTGGGCTCTTTCAAGAATTCATGGGAACGCCTCAGGCTGAATTTCGAAGCGCAGAACAGCGTGAGTGCCTCTACCATCTGCTGAAGCCAACCCCATTCCTTCTCATGGCATTACCAACTGCTGGAGGCAAGACCACCCTGTTTCTGCTTGCTGCAAGCCTTGCCTGGGCGCATACTACTGTCCTGGTGGTTCCCCTTGTTTCATTGAAGCTGAACCTGCAATCTAAGCTTCAAAACCTAGGTCTGCCATGGGTGAATTGGGAGGATCAGTAAGTACTATCTATCTATCTATCTATCTATCTTTATATATTTACTAATGCTCTATATAGGCATGAGGAGACCCCTCCTACCCGGCTAGTGCTAGTATCCATTGAGTCCGCTGTCAGCCAGGTCTTCATTAACTGGGCCATGCAGCTCTACCACCAAAACGCCCTGGACCGCATTATTTTTGACGAAGCCCATCTGATCCCCCTGGCCCGCAGCTATCGGGGGTGATGAATGATGTAAACCGCCTGAGCCAGGTCCCAGTCCCCAAAGTCTTTGCCTCTGCCACTGTGCCGGGGGCACTGCGAAACCCCGGATCTCCCATATTTCCCATCTTGGAACACCGTAGAACCGCCGACTCCGACATACTAATGTATGGGTGGAGCCCACGGCCGGAGTACTTAATGGAGGGTTCCCTCCCAGATAGTTACAACAAATTGAGCATTCTTTTGGTTTCTAGGTTGCTTCACTAGTATCGTTATCGTCGTATAGAGCGGAGCGAGGCTCCTTCGTCGTTGTGTTTTCGTTTATCGTTATATCGTTTTGCTAGATTGTTCAGTGTGTCCATTCCTGAGATCCCTCGATCACAACCCGGTTCCTGTCGCAGGGAACAACGCACGTACGCCCCCTTTACACCACCATGACCCAGCCTGCCCTGGACCAGCTCCGCCACCAATTTCTCCTGCCGGCCCACCTTCCCCTGGTCATCCGTGGTGATATCAACCGCCCTGACATTCACTATCTGGTCCAAGCACACCCCCTAGGCTCTCTGGCGCCCGCCGCTTCCAATATCTTTTGAACCTGATCCGTGATGCACGCCAGGCTGGGCAGATCCCCCTAGGGGTCAGGTGATCATCTACCTTCCCTATAAGGGCATGGTGGAGGAGTTCCATCAGGCCTATCCCCAGGAGACTGCCTATTTCCATGCCGGGCTGCCAGAGGAAGAAAAGAAAAGGGAGGTGGAGAGCTTTGACCATGGGCAGAAGCTGGTGCTCCTTGGGACAGCTGCCATCGGGGGAAGGATATGACTTTGCTCATACTGCCATGGTCATTCACTGGGGGACCAGATGGGGCATCAGCCAGTTCCTTCAAGCTACAGGGCGTGCGGCGCGGGGTGCTGGGGAGATTGGCTGGTCATATGCCATCATCCCCCCCCTCTCTCAGCCATTCCCAGCGCCGGCGGATCTGGAGGAACAGTTTTTCCATGAGTATCTGCAGGCACAGGTCTGCCGGCGGTCCCTAATCAATAGGGAATTCAATGGTCGGGCTACCCAGGGGTGTTTGGCGCATGAGAAGGCCTGTGACCTCTGTCAGGTCAGGCAGGAGGAGCTTCACATGGTCTCTGCTAGGGCTAGGGAGGCCCTTGGGGATGGGGAAGGCCTCAGGCTGAAGCTGAAGGCATACATTAAGTTTTTTGAGTATGGTATCTGCCTCTATTGCTTTCTGATGACCCAAAGTAAGTGCTTTCTCCATCTATCTCTTTATATATATATATATACTAATTGCCTTTGTTCCTAGTAAACCCATCCCAGCCAGGAATGGATTATCATCACCATCATCAGCAATGTACTCATGCCCAATCTCTAATTTCCAGCTTCAACAAGCATCGCCACCAGTTCCACTTTGAGCCTCATGGGGGATGCTTTCTCTGCCTACTTCCTACCAGAGCCTGTGGAAATAGCACTAGAGATGGAGATCAATGCTTTTTTCCCCTGGAGTTCTTCTTGTCTGGTTTATACTGATTATAGCTTATCCTGATGTGATGACCCATCTTCAGCAAGAAGGCTTCATTCATGAAAAACCCCCTCATAAAAAGGCAATTGCCAATCTCCTTTTTAGTGTTGAGAGGGATCCTTTTCAGACAGAGGCATTTATGGGGGTGATCTATTTCTTTGAATGGTGTGAAAAGCATGTTCAACTACCTTAGAGCTGATATTTTAGATCTAGCATGATCATCTTATTTTCTTTAGCTAAGTTGTCACTATCCTTGTCATCCCTTAATATTTTATTTTAATCTATATCTTCTATCTTTTATTATACTATAGCAGTGCTAGAATAGAACTTCTGTGTAGCCCTATCCCACTATATTCATCTTTAGTCCAGCAGGGTTCAATGCTATCTAGGGGTCTGCAGCCTATTCAATGCTTAGGGACCAGTCTGCCAGGGGTCTAGTCTAGCTCAGAATGGAATATGAGAATACCCTAATAGGCTAGATCAGCCACATCACCTTAATTTCCTAAGTTGGAAGGTAATTATACAAGAGCTCATATGAAAATCCTTATAGAGAGTATTACAGGTCTGACTTTCTAAAGTGGCCTAAACAAGGAGATATAGTAGGATTAAAGTTGGTGTTCTATACTAGTAGTATAATCTAAAGATTGTATTGGATATCTATAATATATAAAACTAGTATAGAAGAGAAATATAGAATCAAATCAAAGTGATATATAATATATAAATCAGGTCTAGTAAATCCATATGGAATAGATCTAAGGATCAGAAATATATAGAGAGAGATAAAATAAAGATAAAGATATTTAATAGAGCTATACTATTATTTAATTCTCATAATAAATTAATTATACAAGATAGCAGAGAAATATATATAAGAAGCATAGCCACAACTAGTATCACTATTGAATAGGTTATATAAGAAAAAGCTATAGGAGACTCTAGGTTTAGATCCTTGAGCACCTACTAGGGTGATATATATAATCAATATCCCAAAAGAGAAGGATCAGGTAATATAGAGTGAGAATATAAGTTATAGTTCTAGAAATCAGTATAAGATTCTAAGGTCAAAATCTATCCTATTGACACTATGGGTTAATGGCATACTTATCTAGCCATCCCTAGAGCCTAAGCTAACTCCAAACCTATTAAATATCTAACTAAGCCTACTGTTAAATAATATTATTTATATAATCTCTCTGTATTGTATTATAGCTACCTTAGGTATATAAATATATTATGAACCTATAGAGAAATAAGATTAAGCCTTATAATATTAGTAGAAGGACTATTAGATATTAAATATATATTATATATCTCTATCACAAGTAATCTTATATCCAACTACTCAGATCCTAAGATTAAAATCTATTGTATTAAAGCTATAGATTAATGGCATACTTATGGCTTATATTCAAGCTAGAGCTCACTCTAAACTTATTTAATATCTATCTACACCTACTATCAAATAATACCACTTATATTATCCCTCTTTATTATATCAGAGCTATCCTACTCCTATATCTATAGGCCTTTAGAAATTTAGTAGATGATATATATGAAAGAGATACAAGTAGATAGAAATAGCTCAATAGAAGCTAGGAAATAAAAATATATTTATACTTAAGATAAACAGGATATATAATATATATAGTATTAGAGTAAAGAAGGATGAAAGTAAGATATATATTGAAAAGATAGGTGTATATATGTAGTCTTATAGTACAAGACAGGCTGTGATTCAGGAACTAAAGAGAGCTTCAGGTAGAATTATATCAGATTAGTAGAGAAGAGAAAATAATAAATAGAATAATAAAGGAAAAAAAAGTAATAATATTCTTTAACTATCAAAGATAAGTGGTCCTACTTTGACTAACTAAATGAAATACTTCCTATATAGCAGAATAGAAGACTTAAACTAAGGGTCTTATATTATAGAGATATGCTTTGATTCTTCAAGAAAGAAAGGAAACTATCTAATAGGAAGGGATACTAATCTTAAATCTATAGTTAAATATAGAGATTGGCCCTCTACTATACTAATAGTATTATAAAGGGGGGTGTATGTGTATTGTTCCCTGTGACAGGAACTAGGTTGTGATCAAGGGATCTCAAGGATAGATATACCAAGATGATGCTGCTATACCACATGGCACTGAATAATCTTAGCAAGAAAATGATACAACAATAAAAGGAAACACAATGATGAAGGAGCCTCACTCTGCTCTATATAATGATAATGATACCAGTGAAGCAACCTAGAAACCAAAAGAATGCTTTATTTCTTGTAACTATCTGGGAGGGAACCCTCCAATAAGTACTCCAGCCACGGGATCCACTATATATTAATATATTGGAGTCAGCAGTTCTACAGTGTTCTAAGATAGGAAATATGAGAGATCTGGGGTTTTGCAATGCCCCTGGCACAGTATGGTGGGAATTTATATTTGCTATATCCCTGATACAATATTAGAAATAAAAAGATGATAAATAAGATGATGAGACATAAAGAATAAGAAAAAGAAGTATTGAAGATTATATTCTAAAATATCATAAAATCTTTTAAAATCCTCTAGTCCTTCTGTCAACTTCTATCTTCTAAAAGATTCTATCATATTCTGTTCTAAAATCCTCTTTACCACTACTATGAGGCATGTCTCCTACTTTGCCATTCTTTGATTTCAAAGCAGACTATTTTAGAAAGGTTCAACTGTATTATAAATAGGCTTATCCTCTCTTTATATCTAATTATTCTTTAATTTGTGAATAATCTCTTAACTTATCTATACCTTGACAGGCATAACAAATTTAACTAATTTTATATTTTCTTTTACTATTTCTTATAACTAGAAGAATAGAGAGAGAGAATAAGATAAACAAGAAATAAAAAAATTAAGAAAAGAAGCAAAAAGAAGAAATAGAGAAAAGGATATAAAAATAAGAGAATAATTAAAAAGAAGAATAAATCAAAATAGAAAAGTGATTACTAAGTCATATTCCAGACATGGCGGTAGGTACCTCCACATAGAAAAATAAGGTTTCAGAGGTGGGTCCAGACTTACCGCCAACATCGATTTTGGCCCTAGGTCTAGCTCCCTAACTAGGCCATATTAGGAAGTGAGACTAGTATCATAGTGATCCTGATCAAGTCTAGTTTCTGCTAGTGCTGTTGGATTGCTGACATAAGCAGTTTTAAATATACCCTATACCAAATAGGGTAATATTATGGCCAATGCTATTACAGGCTATGTAGGGGTCCAATTGCTCAGAATTAAATATGATGATATCATGGAGGTCTAGAAGGTGCACGTGACTTCAATTTCCTAATTAGGAAGGTAGTCATATAATAGCTTAGACGAAAGTACTCATTGAGAGCATTACAATGAACATGGTCTGATATTCTGAAGTGGCCTAGAAAAGGCGATATAGAGGTGTAAAATTAGAAATTCCAATGTAGTAAAGTAGAAATGGTCTTTTATACTAATTTATAGATCAGATAAGATCAATAAAGTATGTATGTATAACAGTAAAATAGTAGGATAGGCTAGAACAGCTAAGAGAGAATAAGGTAAAAAGCATATATATATAGAGAAGAAGTATGTAGAAATATAAATATAAAGATAGTGGATATATAGTATATAGATATAGATAGCTAATAGAAAAGAGATAAGCTAATATAGCTAAATAAAAATAAAATGAGAAATATATATAGGTAAGATAGATCAGCTAAAACAGCTAAGGGGAAATAAGATGAAGAGTATATAGAGAAGATAATAGATATATAATGTTTAGAGAGAAATATAGAAAGTAAGCTTAAATAGAAAGATAGTAAAAGAGAAATTTAAATAAAAATAATAAAAATAAAAAAGGCTAAAATAAAATAGTAATATATATATATATATAAAGAAATTAAATATAATAAAAAAGAAAATCAGGAAAGATTAGGAAAGATTAAGAAATAATATAAGAGAGAGATAAAGTGGTTAGGGTTAAGAATAATAGAGATATAAATAGAAATCAAAAAATAAAAATAAAAATTAAATTAAAAGTAAATATGTGGGATATATATAGCGAAATAAATTATAAAAAGAGAGTGGTTAGGGAAAGAATAATAAAAAAAAGATTAAAATAAAGGAAATTATTATATGGAGAGAGAGAGATATATATATAGAAATAAGAGAATAAAAGAGATATAGGATAGAGAAGTAGTATAATAAGAAAATAGAAATCAAAATATAAAAAATAGTAAGAGATAAATAATAAAAAAAGTGGTTAGGGCTAAAATAATTAATGAATAAAAAATAAATTAAAGATAAGAAATAGAAAAAAAAAAAGAGGTAAAAGTTGGAAGTAGAAAATAGAGGAAAGAGTAAGAAAAATAAAAAAAAAGAATAAAAAGGGAGGAATTAAAATAAGAAATAAAAAAGAGGAAGAATTTTAGAAAAAAAAAAAAGAGAATAATAGAATGGAAAAAGAAAGTGATTAAAATAAGTAAGAATAAAGAAAATAAGAGATAATATTAAGAATTTAAAAAATAAATTTTAAAGTAAGATTAGAAAAAGAAGAGAAGTAAAAATAGTTAAAAAGGAAAAAGTAAGAAAAAGTGGTTAGGGAGGAGGAGTAGAAAAAGAAAAAGTAGAGTGATTAAAGAGAAGATAAAAAAAAAAAAGAAAAAAAAGAGAGTAATTAAAGAAGAGAATAAATAAAAAAAATAATTAAAATAAATATAAAATAATAAAAGAGAGCGAGCAATAAGAATAAATTTAATAAAAAAAAGTTAATTTTGGTTAAAAAGAATTGAGTATAATTAAAGTTAAGATGATTAGTATATATAGTGGGATATATATATATGTGTGTGTGTATATAGAAGTGAGTATAAGAGTATAATATAAGAGTGATAAATAGAAGATGAAAGATGAAAAAGAAATTAAAGAATAAGGGATTAGTAGTAAAATAAGGAAGAAAGAATGAATAAA